TTTTATTTATTATTAAGGAGTAAATACTTCTTATTCCTTTTAGAAGGCTAAAAGGAGTAATATTAATCTTATCTATAGCTTTAATCTTATCTATAGCCTTATTATAATATATCCTATAGCTCTTATTATAGTAACTAGCTATAATCTTATTATCTACTTATTTAATTCTATTTATATTATTCTTATAGAGATAATTCTAAGTATCTTCTATTTTCTTATATATAGAGCTCTGCTTATTATATTGCCTATTTTTATTCTATATATAATATTAATAAATAAGTAAAATATCTCTAATAGATTTCCTAAGCAATATATAGTATTAATTTTTAGCTAAATATATTACTAAAAGCAGTATTATTTTAATTTAAGTTAGCTATAATTATTTTAAAATTATTTATAAAGTTTTAGAGAGATTAATTATATTATTAATAAAGCTTAAATATTTTTTATACTGCTATAATATTTATATTAGCTAGCCTATAATAATTAAGTAGTTATTATTATAGCAAGGTATAGTTTATAAAAATTAACTCTTTAAGATTATTAATTTTAAGCATTATAAGTCTTTATTTAATTTATCTTTTTAAGTATAAATATAAGTATAATGCGCGTTCTTTTATATTATATAAGCCTTTATTATCTAGCTATTTATTAAATTTAATTATTTAATAATATAGTTCTTCAGAAGAACTATTAAATAGTTTAAGATATTAGAGCTTAGATTTCCTTAATAATATAGAGGTTAAGATTATACTTAATCTACTAGATATATAGCTGCTAGTCTATTCTAACTAATTTAAGAAACTCTAGGCTTATTAATTTTATATAATAATATCTAGCTATCTTTAAAGTTCTTATATTAAATTTCTCTACTATTAGAGTTATTTTATTATATTTATTATTGCTAAGTCTGCAGTTTATCTTATTAAAACTTTACTCTCTTATAATTATCTTATTAATTTAAATATTCTTACTATAATAATATAGAATATTAATAGCTTTTATATACCTACTAATTATTTATTATTAGCGTTACTATTATTATCTATTATAGGCCCTTATATTATTTTAGATTATTAAGTATTTTATTACTATTAAGTATACTAATTCTATAGTACTATTTTACCTCTATAAGTATAGGTTTAGCTTAAGTCCTAGATTACTATCTTACCTAACCTTATAATAACTATTAATTAGTCTTAATAAAGTCTTATTATCTATAGCTAAGGGCTAACTCTATTATTATATAATTTATTACTATTTATAAGTTATTATAATAGCTAGTTTTACTTATAAAAATCTCTCTCTATAATTAATTATAGCCCTCTATTATATAATATAATTTCTTATAATAAAATATAATTATTTATAATTTTTAAATTAAGTTCTAAGAGTTCTCTAATAAGACTATTATAATTAATAAAAAAAAATTAATAAGAATAAGAATATAATAATAGGGGTTTATATTAAAGATATTCTTATTAAAGGATTAAAGAAGATCTTAAGATCTTAAGAGTCTAAGTATAAGAAATTAATATATTATATAACCTGTAGGTTATATAACCTGTTAAAGAGGTATTTCTCTATAATATAAACTTAGAATTACCTATTTTTATATTAAGATTAATAGCTTTATTATAGTAGTATTTAAATGCTTAAAAAATACTAATATCTAATAGTTAGATTAAATAACTAGTATAAGGCATTAATATAAAAAAGAGAATCTTCTTTTTTTTATAATAGTTAAGTACTTTATATATTAAATAAGAGCTATATTTATTATATAAAAAGAGGCAATAAGTCTCTTACTAATAATAAGCTAACTAGTAATTAAAGTATTATATCTACTAATAGACTAAATAGTTATTTATATATCTAGAGTTAAATACTTTAATTACGGCATTAATATCTAAGAGCTTAAATTATTCTGCCTAGATATACTTACTAACTAGAATAATAAAGAGAGAAAGCATTAATCTATTAATACTAATTATTTTAACTATAATAACTTTTTAAGAATTAGTATAATTATTTATATATAGCTTTTTTTTCCGCTCTAGGGTAATAATTTAATAATCCTTTTCTTTTTCTATTTAAAAGCCTATCTTATCTATATTATAGAGATTTGCAGGTTATATATATAGATTAATTAGTATTTATTTATAGCGGTAATACTAGTCTTATATATTATTTAAATAATAAGCCCTTTTTCTATCTATATTAAGTGCTTATTGTTTTTATATAAATATCTTAAGATATTAAAAAAGGAACTATTTAAATTAATATTAGCTAATTCTTTATAAAGGTATTAAGGGATTTTAATAAGCTTAAGCTAGGATTATATTTATATAACTAGCTATTATTTTTTATATTAGAGATAATCTAACTATATCTAAGCATTTAATATATTTATAGATAATAAGCTCTTAAGTTAGGGAAAATAGTTAATTTATTAGAGATCTATTAAATTATAAAATATAACTAAGATAGTAAGATTAAAGATATAAATAAGGCATATTAAACTAATGCGCAGCTTATATAAGATTAAGATTTAACTGATTAGATAATATAGATAGGGCATATTAAATCCTATTTTTAATATTATTATAGGATTTAGATATTATAGTAGACTATAAATAATATTAGAAGTTAAAATTTAATAAATCTTAATGATTTTACATTGAGCTAAGTGTTTGCGTTAAGGTAGCAGACCCGCGCTGCGCGCGGTGTCTAAAACTAGGGGCCGATTAGTTAACCGATAACACTATCTACGGAGTAGCGTGTTAAAAATTCTGGCGCGCACTAGTAAATTTGGCTGTAATACCCTAATACTCTAGCTGCTAATTATTTCCTTTTATAGGGTAATTAAAGCTATTCCCATTCATCATCTGTAACATCCTTAATATCCTTATATTCCTCCTACTCAGCAGTTAAACCAGCTAAGCCAGCTAAGCCGGCTATACTATTATTGTAAGGCGCAGGCCTTAGCAGTGCCCTGTAAACCCCCGGGAACTCTAGCTATTAGGCTATATAGTTCAGTGCTGGCTTAACTACGCTTAGGCATAGTTATTGTGGTCTTTTTAGCTGAGTGGTTAAAGGATCCAATTTACATAACCTAGAGCCAGTTAGGTCCTTAACAGCTAATACAGTCGCTGGCATAGTTGCTGGCAGTAGTGTTTGTATAGACTATAGAGTAGTTAGGAAGGTCTAGGATATAGAATATTAATCCAAATAGCTTTATATTTAATAAAAATAGTAGAAATAACAGTTAAAAGCAACTATCAGCGGTATAGTTGTAGATAAAACAAATGATGAGTTGTAATCGGAATACAACGCTAGTGCTGGCGATCCGCCAGGATTTTTGACACGCTACTCCGTACACTACTAACTATTCTCGACGGATGAAAATGGAGAAGACGGGAAACTTGATCAGACATAGACTCATTTCCCGAAAGATTCCCGGAGTAAGAGATACTGTTAAGCGAACATTTCCGATATTGTTTTCGTGATCAGTGCTTGTCGGATTGGTCGGTTAGGAAATGCGGGGACGGTTGGAGATGGTCTGAGATGATTGACATCTGCTACGCCATCATCGTTGAGATCTGGCTTACACCGCCAGGAACGATTGGTCCCATCCGTAGGTTAATCTGCTGGTGCGCCGGGGCAACGGAAGCTAAGGGTCAGATAGACTGTTGATAACCCCTATCAGGGGAGGGGGGTCATACTATCATCTATCGCGGTCTCGACGCCTCGGCTGGGCTTGCGTTAAGACGCAACGGTCAGACAACTACGTAGTCTTTTGGAGAAAGATGGCTACTCTTACATCAGCACCTGAAGGAAAAATGGTTGTTTGATATGGCATCTTTCATATGCTATCATCTATTCTGCATTCCTAATAGCATCATAAAACACATAGTTGCGTGATCGCCTGACGCTCCATCCAATAATAGCAATGCTGGGCAAGTATGATATTGACGGCTTAGCGTTCAGAATGAGGGTTGCTTGCCCAAAGCACAGAACTGAAATTGCTTGCAACCGAAGGCAGTAAAAGTCATGCCCCAAACTCCTCTAATTCCGTGATTGCCCGTACAGTACTCCGAACATGAAGCATTGATCAATAGGAACCGTCCTCAACCGAGACGGCAGCGCAGGTGCTAGAAATGTGATAATTTGGAATGGCGTAACCGCCGAGATGTTTGTACCCAGAGACTCGTACGACATGCTGCCGAACCTGGAGTATTGTCTTTCGTAGAGCGTTCATCGATTGGTACCTGGTGTTTGTGGCCGGGCGGTACCGAGGCGGGATATTGATAGATTTGATAGGAATCGATCGCCAGCAGTTCATTTCAGGGCTGGCTGAGAAGGAGCGTCATAGCCAAGCTTGAGGAACCCATCTGTGAAAGCCCCCGTGGATTTGCCCTGAGAATCGGTGGAAGCAGTGGACGAAGCACTGTTGGAGCGAGTGGTCCGGTGAACAGTCTCCTGAGTAGACTCGGAAGGCAGGAGGACGAGGAACTTGTTGGTTGCAGTGTAGGTATACATTTTGAGGCTGGATAAAATACAAGTGAATACAAGTGATATTACTAAGACTTCGAGAGCTTTGTAAATGAAGGAGACTGTGTTAATGATTTGAGTTGATGAAGGAAGAGGATAGATGGCGGATTGTTGACTGCTTATATACTGTAGATACTTGTGAAGGGCCACCTGGGAAGGAGCAGACGGAGGACTGCGGGCATTGGAATCGCCGATCCTATGCGCGTCCAGCCCCAGAACTCGAGATAAGAAAGACAGGGAGCGAGATGGTATTCCCCAGAGTGGGTGGATCGACTGACAACTGTTCTCCAAAGAAGTGGACAGACAAGAAATCCAAGAAGCCAAGCCGTGCCGTTTGCGAGCACTCCTTGTTGCCTATCTCCGCCATCAACGCTGCCTAGGACGCAGGATCGCCAAAGACAAGAGCACATGCCTGTCGCTTATTATTTTTATGCGCATCGTCCTTTTTGGCCATAATCTCACCGTGTGTCGCAATAAGCGTCCCGGTGTCCATCTGTGCCACTGTGGACGATGCTATTGACGACCGACAAATATAGACCGAAGTAGCCGCGGATGATCAGCACCGGACCGGAAAGCTAAGATAGGTCTCCAATTCGCCTGCCAGTTGACGTGATTCTGGCTGAGAGGTCGGCTGGTAAAAGGGGACCTCGGCTCGTTTCTTTTGGGACCTTGAGGCTTGGGGTCTATGTAGCGCGGGGCAAGATTCTTGGACCATCTAGTTACGGAGTAGATCAGTGATTGCGACCACGCAGAACACAAAGAATAACTTCCTGCAGCAATAGTTATTGCACTGTACCACATTACTGCCTCGCAAGCATAGGGCCTGAGCTTCATTCCTCCAGATGCTCTCGACACAGATTCACTTGGCATGGCTTCGATCCTCGATAACCATCTTCTCGGCGCGTAACATGCCCCTCGACGCCGAGCCTTGGCGGTACGTATCGTGAATCTGGAGCCTTCGAGACCGATAGACCTGGACACATTCGTCGCTGATCGCCATGACACCGCGTTTATCCAAGAAAGGGAGACGACAACCATAGCTCTGGGCGAGAATGTAACGGCCGAACTGAAGCACGGGTGGTAGTTTCGATCGTGACGCCAGGCATTCACGGTGTGAGTAGAGCAGCGCCACGGCGGGACAGAGCTTGGGGGCTCAGGCTTGTCGAGATGATAGTGGAATCGTCCTCCCAGGGGTTCCAGAGATCCATGTAGATGATTCTCGAATACGGTAAGCGTGAGGGTCTGTAGTATTATAACTGGTTAAGCTGAAGGAATCAAGCTTAGCAATCACCTGCCATGAGAGCGTACTCAGTGGGCTCGATATTTGTTTACAGCGCTGTCTGCGCAGCCACAGATTTACCGCTGGACTTTCACAGCCCTCTTTGAACAAACGTCTTCAGCTTATAGGATGTTGACAACATCACCACCGGACCGCAGTCTGCGCCCATGACAACTCTCTCGTCTGCTTTCTGCCAGTAGAATTTCATCCCGCCTGGACGCAGTAAGGCGCTTCAGATTCTTTCAACAGTGTTCCGTAGCCCGATCTGCGTCGTAAGATTCTCTAATGATTTGGTCCAAAGGTAGATGAGAATTAAGGGCGTGAATTTGTGTCTGGTAGGGAAGTGACGGGGTTCTGCTGGCACGTCTCAGAGTTCGTTTTGGATTTCCCAGTCGAGACAGACAACCTCCAGACACGAAGAAAGATAATGTGACGTGGGAGTCATCTGGCACCTTTGATGCCGCACCAGAAGTTATGCCATGGCTGAAAGTTCTCCTGAACTTCATGTCGATTTAGACTTAGACCAGCTTCTGCTCTTGCGCCGCTGTCCGACAAGTCATCAACATGCAGAGCGTCACTGAATATGTCCGCGCAGCTCGATTCTTTAGCCATGAAATGATCAACCTCAATCTTGGAAACTTCCTACCTGAATTACAATCGGCACTGCTTCTGCCATGTTGTGTCTTCGAAGAGTCTGATCTCCTGATATTAGATCACTCATATTGTGTCTGAAGAACCGAGATATTTTTCTTTCATTGAATATATGCCCCTCATCCTGACCACAATCGGGTCACAAAGCTGGAAATATCTCACACCCTAATGCAGATGCGGCAGTGTGTCAAGAGCATTCCCATCTTTGTAATTTTTTAGCGGAATTCATTCAAGGCAATCGAATGGTAAGGTCAGGCTTACATGGAAGTAAGTGAGCTGTTCCCATTGTCTTGTAGACTCCCATCCTTACAGTTGGGAAAGTCTCCTTCGTATCCCATACTATTATTCGTTGGACAAGGGTAATATGTTTATGTCTCACATCTGAATGCCCGAGCAGCTCCGGCCATGGTAGATTGGAGCGCTCACGGAGTTGTGACTGCAACTGGCCGATGCTATTTTTGTCTCAACAGATGAACCTGTCGGAGTCGGACAGTCTGTTGGGAGGTAAGAATCATCAACATAACAAACCTTTCAGGATGATGATTGTCTAGAAACAATGCAGATGCTGAAAATTAAGAGTGGACAAGGTCGACAACTTCTGCCGAACATAACAATGCAATTTATCATTCGCTCTCGGCACGGGCCACTCCTTGAAGAGTACCTAGTCAACCACACCAAGGCCAAATTGGACGCCACACGCAGTTGTTATTAGCAGGGTCTTTCGCCAACAGCAGATTTGGCGCCTGCGCAATCGTTGGTGGTTAAGAAATCCTCGACTCTGGTTGGTCCGATGCATTTTCTGTCACCAACATCATCGAAAGCTACCGGATGGTTGTTCGACCTGTGATGCTGTGAGGATTCTTGTCAGGTTCTATTTCTTCATGTTTTCCTGGTCAGACACCCAACTCTGATGGTTTCACTGCCATTGAATTGTTATGTTATATTATATTCCACTGTTTCTTTTGCTGTTTTGCCCTTGCAATGAGGCATATATGTCATGTCAGTTGCGGCTCAATGTGTGCGGCACAGCTGCGTGACAACTTACCTCCACTTTTTCCCTTTGGGCGAGGCCGCAAGAGTGTGCGTGCGCCGCATACTGAAAGTGGGTATAAGAAGGCCTAGGTCGACTGGAGATCGGACTTATTCGTATTGCTCTTTTTGAGTTTATCTATATCGCAATATATATGATTGTCCTATTGGCCCTTCAAGACTGTCTTGACTGAAGGCTTTCTGAGTTTCCACTGATTATTTGTTGAATGTGTCCACGAAGAAGTTGAGCTAGAAGTCTGTTCTTTGTCAGTTCATTTGACTTGCGCGCTCTTTCCTATATTAGGAACCAGAGACGCCGAATTTCCTCCTTTTCCAACAATAACGAGCAAAGATGTGTTCAATGTACTTCTACGAATATGACTGCGGCTGCGTCATTCAGGAGACTAGCGTGGTTCCTTGCCCAAAGGTAGGAACTAAGGATTGCGAGGGAGTCAAGAAGAAAGTCACCAGAAGGGAGGGATATAACTGCCCTGCACATGGTGGCTAAACGGTGAAGGGGAAAAAGAACCTCCAGAAAGGTATAGTGGGATTTTCCTTGCGTACCCAACATCAAGTATCCCCGTTTCATTTGCTGAGAAGCGGAAGCAAAGGCCCGAAGGCGCTCGTGTTACGAAATATCACCGACGAAATGACTTTTTTTTTGACGATTTTGCCCTCGTTTCTCATGAAAAGCAACATCCTTCATGATGTCTTTTCTCAGTCAGCAAGTCATGCAGTATTTGCCTGACCGTGTACTGGTGATAGGTGGATCGATTTGATGGCCTTTCGGGACCAGTACGACCAGTTTCCCTTTTCTTCCATAACGATCTCTTCTCCGGGGTCTGGATTCGAGTTCATGCTACAGTTCTGGGGTCCACAAAAAGGATGGCGGGGGGTGTTTGGCTGATTCGAACTCTTCTCTGACATTTCATTTCTGTTCTGAACCCACTTGACGTATTTCTCTTATACACGCACTCTAATAATATAGGCTCTGCACTCGCTGCATTTAGCATGCAGCAGCGTCCATATCAAAATGATCAATCACGAACCTTCAAAAGAAGGGCAGAAAATATAGGACAGAAGCAGCTATCAGTCAAGCGGTACTGCACCGGGGAACTGTAGCCTTGCAGATGAGCTACGTTGCGCATCATTTCTTGCATTTGGTCCCTGCATGGGGTTGACATGCATATCGGCCAGTACTCCCCGTTGAGCAAGGTCTGAATAGTAAGAAATGTGGGACTTAGCCTTGTGACTTATCTGCGTATGACTTCTTACCGGCGTACAAGTGCCCATGGCAAAGATTAGGCAGTGCTCACTTCATGAGATAATAACATCTCCCCTACCTGATGTGAGGATAACGTATACAACAAGTCTGTGATGGTCTCACGCGCGCTGACGAAACATCATCTTGATAGCAGGCGAGACTCGGAACGAACGAGGCCGGGACAGTGGTCTACTTCCTCTGACTATGTCTAGAGTTTCTCCAGAGACCTGCGGAAAGATATGTTTGCTGCATGTCAGAGGGACCGGCTACCTGACGTCGATCAAGGGGTTGCATCGACCAGGCGGTTATATTGTTATTGCCATGATTCCGAAAGAAGGTCCATGCCCTGGCTCCAGAATAGGGACTGACCGGCTTGAGACGCATAACAATGCTCGGCCAACGTGAACCTGCCCCCTCACATCATGCCGGAAGAGTAGTACGAGTGGATACACGGACAAGAGAGATGGCACGGCAGGAAGTCTTCTGTGTGGCGCGGATGTATCTGTCTCGTCAACCCGACAGGCGCGAAATGGCCCTTAAGATATGAAGAATAACCTATCGGGCCACGCCCGGATGCGAGCCCTAGGATGCACCCCGGAAGTTGAGCCGGGAGGGCCGACGTATATTTCGTTTTGAAGGGCCACATTACTTCAGCAAATCGTTGCATTTTCAATTGACAGGACAAGAACATTCAGGGTAAGATTGGACCGTGTAGACTGAGGAAAGTCTAGACCATTGAAGGGACGTTGCGGTATGGGACCCAACTGGGGAATATTGGTGGCGAAATATAACTTGTCGCTCACGAACATGATGCAAGACGACGAACATCATCACCACTTATGCACCTGCAATCTGGAGTAATGTGTTGCCCGTGTATGTACCACTCAAGAGTTTGCCAGCTGGTGTTTACTGCCCCCGTCAACGAGTATAACCTGAGAACGAATTTCCGTCAACAATTAGCACTAGATAGCTGTTTCTTCGAGTCTGGCTTGGTGGAGAAAGCCTTACCCGACCTGTGGACATGGAGCACGAGGGGCACGGCACATGCTCTTGGTATAACGGAGGCAAAGAACCGCGCTCAAAGCCTTTTAGCAAAAGGGCGGGCCTCTTGATAATTCCCACGCTGCTAATTATCCAGACAAGATGCATAGTCGACAACCAGAGGACGGTCGAGACGGGTAGACGTTTATCACATCCGACCTACTTGCATGAGGTCCACACCACTATGCAGTCACCTGGTACCCGATTTGTAGCCCATAAGCGAAACACAGCATGATAGAGGCAATCCAAAGCACTAGGTGTATAATAGGTAAGAATAGCCGTGAAAATGGGAAATGTTGGTTCATCCGGGAATCTCATTCGCCCATGATCAACAGCGAGCATGACACCAAAACGTAACGTAACTAGAGACTCGAGGATAGTGTGACGAACACAGAACGAATTTTGTTTTAGTGGCTTCAAACGATAAACGCCGCAGGCAGCGGATTCGACAATATTCTCCCTATGGTAGGTTGCTAAGTGTTGCCAGCATTGCCTGGCCTTTTGGCGCAGATCGTTTGCACCTCAGATAGGCTGGTCTGGGAACCATATCCGCGCCGTCAATGTCTTCCAAAATTCATGCATAGCAGAGGTGGAGCCTCGCATCACGCTGATCGATTAGATGTTGCCTAAACATGCATAGTATTTCCATCCGGCAATGTATGGTGGCGGGATTCGCAACCGCAGTTCCGCGTCTTAGTATTACACCATAATCGTACCTGGGTACTTCAGTATGGGCATTAAATCAGTCTTGAAAGGGCTTTAGGAAGCTATCAAGCCTTTTATTTCTTATTTTTAGCCTCCGACTGTTACTCTGAGGCTAGTAGCGTGGTGAAAGATTAGACGTAGCTTTCCGTATAGCCATAGTGAGGGGAGAAGCGCCAGTGGGGACGCTAGCCTCGAGATTATGACCAGAGATCTCAGATGCACGGGTACGCACGTTCAGATCTCCGCGAAGCCATTACCGGAATTAAATTGGTAAATTGGAGAGCCTCTGGCCTGATGATGGACGCCTATGGAATCTATTCCGCCGGTGGATCAATTATTGAAACAGACGGGATAAATCCCGACTGGCAAGCGAGATGCATGAAAGATGCTATGATATAAGGAGCCAGAGACAGACGAAAGCCTTGAAAGAGGTTCAATAGACGCCAGCGGTATCCATTTTGAAGAGGCGCTGATGGTCTTGGGATGTCGACGCCAGGGATACACGTGACGCGCTCGGACCAGGTGAGCGTCTTCCAGGCAATTAACTAGTAGTTAATCACTCCAAGCTTTCTGCTCCGCCAGGATTTCGAAGTGGCACCATAACTCGCTTCCTTGCGAGTTGAGCTTGAATCTGTCAGCAAATAGAAAGTTGCAATGCACATGTGATGTCCATTGACGTTAACTGGGAGAGAGCCACTTCTGGTCCTGATGGTGAGGCGCTTGCGGAGCGCATCCGCTCCTTCATCCATGACAAGTTCCAGCAAGTGGCTCTTCCTCGATTCATCCGCTCAGTCCAGGTCCACTCCTTTGACTTTGGCACTGTAGCTCCAGAACTTGAGATCAAGGACTTTTGTGACCCGTTTAGCGATTTCTACGAGGAAGACGAGGATGGAGAGATATCAGACGAGGAGGAGCTCTCCCCGGAACAATGGCATGGCGGCCCCCCAGACCTTCACGAACGCAGCTTTGCAGACGAGACGAGGACGAATCAGCAATATCGGCTTGGTGCAGACAATGAACCGCATCCTCATGTCCGCTCTCCTTTTGGGGAGCATCTAAACCCTCCATTTCTTCAGCGATCCGGCACCCCCGTCATACCAGGAGGGACGTCAAACTTGGGCTACCATTTGATGCTTGGTGGTCTTTCTGGCACACAGACTCCGCTTGCGGCAGTAGCAGGTGGTTCTCCATTTGCCAATGCCTGGTCAGATCCTTCGAGAGATCGAACTGCCTCCCGTCTGAATAGACCACAGGGGACCGCCGAGGCACAGAGAATCTCCGAAGGCGATGTTGATACTGGCTCACCGTCTCGCCCATCTACTGCAAACACAGTCCCTTCTCGACCTTCTGTACCTCACAGCGGTGGCAGTTCCTCCAACAATACTAGCGGCGACCCTGCAATCTCCAATGGCAGTGACCACCACCCTGCATCTCTCCGCCCTCACCCCCAGGATGAAGAGCACCTGGACCCGTCTGATACCCACCTTCATCCCCTGCCGCCACGCATGCGGGAGCGCCGTCCGGAGGATTTTCAGGTTATCTGCCGCGTCAAATATGCAGGGGACATAAAGCTGTGCCTGACAGCGGAGATCCTCCTGGATTACCCAATGCCTAGTTTTGTCGGCTTACCACTCAAACTGAACATCACCGGCGTCACCTTCGATGGGGTTGCTGTTGTCGCCTACATACGGAAGAGAACTCATTTCTGTTTCCTCTCTCCGGAAGATGCGGATGCTCTAATCGGGGCGGAACAAGAAAAGGAGTCTAATGACGGACGACCACGTTCGAGTGGCGGCGGGGCTTCATCAGGACGCCGTGTCGGTGGCTTGCTACAAGAGATTCGAGTCGACAGCGAAATTGGCCGCAAGGAAGATGGGAAACAAGTCCTGAAGAATGTAGGCAAGGTCGAGCGGTTCGTACTCGAACAAGTCCGCCGTATCTTCGAGGAGGAATTCGTCTTCCCGAGCTTTTGGACTTTCTTGATCTGACCTCGTCCTCGAGACGACACGTGATTGATTGTATACTAACGTTGACGCGTTTACGAAGTAATGTGCAATGTATGCTTGTAGATATATAACAAACAACATAGTGAGAAGAATGATGGTGCGAAGAATATTGCGGTTTACAGGATTGTCCTTACCGAAGCGACCGAGTGTACATATCTAATCCACTGAGGATCCACTGCATTTATGTATTTTTCGAATAAGATACAACTGTCAATTGGTGCAGCGTGCACATAATGGAAATAGGATGTGTTGCTCACGTAGACTCTGGCGTTGGCTAGATACATACATGCATGCTTAAGATACATTTTAAGAGATGACAAAGTTATCGCTCTGGAAGTTTGAATCGGATCATTTGACATGGAGCGGATATACTAGCGGCCTACTTTTCGTAGACTAGTATTCTCCAAAGGAACGAGACGGGAGATCAAATGGCACCGGGAGCCGCGTGGAGGGGCGACGGCCCCGAAGACGATATCTGGGCTAGTCACGGCTGTAGCGAAGCATGGCGAGACGACCCCCAAGGCTCAATGCTTCTGGTATGCGGGCAGAATAGCATCTTTGCCCTTCATTGTCGCGTTTATCGGTCCTTCTTTGGAGTGTTGTCGGCAGGGGAGACCTGATCGCCCAGGTTGTGGTACTCGCGGGATAGTCCCTCAGCCTGCTTCTTCAGAGTCTCGATGTCACGGTCCTTGGCCTCAAGCTCCTTCTTGAGACGGCCGATCTCGCCAATGCCGCCAGCCTGAGCCAAACGGGCAGAGTCCTTGCCGCCGGCCTTGCCATCACCTTCGAGCTGCTTGACCTTGTCCTCGAGACGGAGAACATCAAGGATCATGATGTAGGTACGGTTGAGAATCAGAGAAAGGAAGAGAGTAAAGCCGCACAGGTACATGTTGCGCTGGGAGTAGAACTTGCGGGCCTGAACCTCCATGCGTTCGGAACCGAGGGCAGCAGCTCTGCTAAGATTATGGTTAGTCTATTTCCATAACCACAGATCCAATTTCTTCGCATCAGAGGTATCATTGAACACTAACCCGAGGCTGCTACCATCCTTAGCGAAGGCAGCCAACTCAATCTGCACACGGTAGACGCGGTTGACACTGTCAATGAAGAGGATAAGGATGAAGATGAAGGTAATCTGCATGAATGTCATTAGCATATTGGCTGTAAGGAAAACCTGGCAGATTTTAGCCTTTGCATACCTTCAGCCCATACTGCAACTTAGCTATCACTGGACTTTCCGATATGAAAGTGAAGATCTTCCGCTTGACGGTGAAGGGAAGCGGGACGATGAGGGCCATAAAGACGGCCATCTCGAAGACGAGAAGGAGGAAAACCTGAACAAATAAGATCATTGATTAGCTTCCATCCGTACTGACCCATCGGCATTGAGCTGGATGCTCTGGGGTAAAGACGTCCCCAACAGCTGAGCCGCGCCCATAAGAGCTATCGTAGCTGCAATGTACGAGACACAGAGAGCAAAAACACAGAAGAAAGCAACTCAGTAGTACTCACGAGACTGTAATAGAGCGTCATTCTGGCAAGACTCGATTGCAAAAGAGTCTAGAGAGAGTAATGAGTCTGTTTATGGAGGCGTGTGGCCTAATCGAGAAGAGCAGCAACGCCGTTGAATTTTTCGTGATTTTCAAGGAGTGAATCCCATCCAAAGCACCCAGCGGGGTTAACTGAATGCAATTATGGAAACAGGAGATGACCAGGTGTGTCGTTGAAGATGTTAGAAGACGAGAGTCGAGTGGCCGAGGACAAGGTGAGGTGGTCTCAACAGCTCCGTTGCGTGGGCAGCACTTTCCAAGACGTCATCCATCCACGGTTGCGGATCAGGGAACGGCACGTGATCTACCCGTTTGAGCATGCGGGTCAGATCTCCCGATCAGGGAAGTTTACTAACTACTCCAAGTTCTAGATACGAGCCCTAGACAAAAACAAAAATACAGCAAGAGTTTCACAAGCTTGAGATTAGTTTTTGGTTTCACTGTATTCTATTGCCATGAACTTTTATATATACATTGCAGAAATAGCCGCTCATCTATCTATGCGTGTGCAAAAATCTTTATTTTTAACCCTGCGCCTCGACATCATAGGCATTGGACTTGTGCTTAGGCTGGAAATCAAATTCCTTGTGGACAGGACCAAGGAACATCTCACTGGAGGAATCTAGGTCAGTAGAGAATAACGACACTGGAGAGATGATGTGAACTTACGTGATCTTGACCCAGTCCTTGTAGTTGTCACTACCCAAGAGAGTCTCCAATTCGTTTCTGCCCCTCCATCTTGGAGGTCGGTCCTGAATGCTGGGGGGCAGGTACTCCAGCAGACCAACCGGGATATAACGGTGAGTGAAGTTTAGGAATTCGAGTAAGAATTTTCGGGTGATACCAACTCCGTACTCGTCAGCGCCCCACGCTTCGAGACCGTATCTGGCGAACTTCTCGACGTATGTCAACCGCTCCGAGGCTGACTTGTCGAGATACTGTCCTTTCTGGATCTCCTCGAAAAGCCACGGCTTGATGAGCGCTCCACGACCAATCATGACGGAGTCGACACCGGCATTCTGTATGTGGTTGTTGTAATCTTCGTATGAGTAGCAATCTCCATTGCCGAGGAAGTACACTTTGCCGCCAGCCGGCTGAGTTCTTTCATCCGCCTCACGGATTGTGTCCGCTGCAGCGTCAGACTGCTCGTTCAGTCTCTTTATGAGCGCTGAACACTCGGAAATATAGCCCCAGTCGGCCTTGCGTGTGTATCGTTGTTCCCTGCTTCGTCCATGCAGTGTGACCGCGGCAATACCAGGAGGTCCGAGGCCCGCCACTTGCGATTCATATCCTCCGTGAAGAAGTCTTTCGGCGAGCTTCAAGGCGGTAGGATTATTATCCTTGGTGCCCATGCGGATCTTCACCGTAATGGGAATGTCCTGTGAAACGGCATTCATACCTCGCAGGATTTTCTCCAGCTTTGCGGGATGATCAAGAAGGGCAGAACCAGCTCCCTCCCGGTATACAAGATCGATGGGACAACCGCAATTGAGATCAATGACACGCAGATGAGGGCAAAGAGCCGATATAACCTCAGTAGCCTTCAAGGCTTGCCATGGCTTATTGGCCGCGATCTGGGCACCGAACTTGAAGTCCTTAGAGTTATCATACCCCTTCACCACACTGGCATCTGGGGAGATAGTGGGGGGTAGCATCTCTGTTTCGTGGGCCTTCATCAGCGCCCACTCTGATTTAGAACCTTGAATAAGTGGCATGCTCATAGCCATTTCTGAATAGGTGAACTGTGCTCCCAGCTCAACGCACAGTCTCCTGAAAGGCAGGTTTCCCTGCGTGGTCAAAGGTGCCAGGGTAGGAGTCTCGGGGCCAAAGTAAATCCGTCTCTTCTCTGAAGGGAGGAATGGAGGCTCAGTATATTGTGCTCTGTTCTCCTCCTTCTCCTCCTTTTCCTCTTTCATTTCCCGATTGGCTTCATTCTCATTGGGTGCGGACTCTGTTCTCTCAGGTCTCTCGCGCCCGTGGAGGGCCTTCTCCAGCTCTCTGGTTGACTTCTCAATCCAATTGGTGAAGGCATCTGCTCGTGGCGTCTTTGTCTTCTTCCTGGTGAGGGCAACCTTATCAGCAATGGGGACGGAGTTGGCAAATCCATCCTCGGCAAAAGGAACCAGAGGTTTCGCATTCTGCTTCCTTTCCTCGTCCTCAACAAGGACCAGCTCCTGTCTGCCGTCCTCAGTCGTCCGCTCCGTCATGTGGGAGCCCACGAATCGGCATTTCCAGCCAACGGGGCATTTCCCTCTCGCGTCCCAGACAGGACAGATGCCATTGAACGTGGTGAGATCCTCACGCTTATGCTCCTTCAAGTACTTGCGGAGATCGTGTTCAAATCTGCACCCGTCGCCAAAGGGACATTCTAGAGGAGAGAACGCCGGCTGGAACATGCGAGACTGGCAAAGTCCCTTCTCATCCTGAGCAATTTTAAATTTCCGGTGTGTGTTTTGTCCCTTCTCCTTCTTTCCCTTCTTCTTGCTGCCGCCGTCGCGATCCTCATGAGAGGCCGCTTCAGCAGCGTCATCATCCTGCGTTTCCTGTACGGTTGTTTGTCCACCGATGGGATAGATCAGGTATCTAGAAAAGAATCATTAATAATAAGAAGATGGATCCAACATGATCGTAGAAAATGCGAGACATACTCTGCTTTGACAGGCGCAGTACCCCGCGGCCGCTGAGGACGACCATCGGACGCCTGCTTCTCTGTAGATGAGGTGTCCTCCAACTTAACCTTTTTTGCGGGAGGTTCCTCAGCCCCGTCTCCATCAGAAATGGCATCAGAGCCATTCTTTCCGGGGACAGTCGTTTCCTTTGGGGTGACCATTGGTTGCGGAGTGTCCGCTTCAGTCGCCGCGGGAGCCATGATAAGGACAGCGCTGACCTGTTCGTTATAACGAACAAAAAAAGGAAAAGTAGATGCACGTCCCTTGTGAGACCTATCCGATCACTCTTTGTCCCTGATCTGGTGTTCTTGTAAACCTGACCGCGCGTAAACTAGCCCTCAGATTGCTATCATTGCGTCGACTCTCCGCACAAAATTCGAACCGTGCCCGCAAGAACCCACAGACCAATAAGAGGGGCAGATCGCAAGAAGCTTGTTTGCAGTGTTTGAGAAAGGGGCGTGACCGCTTTGGCAGAAAGAACTACTCAGTCTCCAAGTCTCCAACTACGGAGTACTATTATCTACCATAGACCTCATCGCGGGACAACTGTTCTGGGTAATAATGAATCCGACAGGATACTTGTAAAATTACCCTCGCGCGAGTACGTTACAGAGCTCCCCGTAAGTACAAGACTCACCGTTCTGCGCCCAGGCCTCCCAACGCTCTGGAGAACTTCGAATTCGAGGACCGGCGAGCCGAACCGGCCAGTCACGCGAAAGCCCACAAATGGAACCGAGCTAGAAGCGATGGAAAACCTTCTGGAAACTCTCTTTTTTCTGCTCTTGGGCCTCATGGGAAAAGGGTTGATGCGCCACGACTGCTCTCCCACTCCGCTGGCCGACGTCCCGACGAGTCTCGGTGAGTAGCCGACAAGAATAATGGTGGCGGGTAATTACTTAACTCGAGCTAATCACACGTTTCCTGTCGTCTCGAGAGGCGGCGCCAGCTATGGGAGCCAGCATCCACCATCCACGTTCTCATGTCGATCTGGTACAGACGATTGACGGGTGCCGGGTCACAACTACTGTCCGTCCCCTTGGGTCCTGTTTCACGCATCTAATAGGAAACGTCGCCTTGGTCCACCGTCAAGCCATCATCCAGCGGTGTGCGCTCCGTATTATTAATCCTCGATCTATCAGTTATTTCTCCTTGTTGGCCTTCGACATATCACAGCCGAGGATCCGGTTCTCGCGTTCTGTAAGAAGTGCCGAGAAACTGAGTTGAAAGTCTCCGTGACTCTGGAATCTGGACAGTGTTGGTTTGCATGGAGTGTGTTCTCTGAGCGTGTAGCTAACTACTCTTCGCCTTCCAACATCTGAGACAGTGGTAAGACTGTTCCAGTCCAGCCTCAGTGGAGAAAGTATGCGCAATAATTACTCTAGAGCGTATAAACCCTGGGTCTGGAGATGGCTCAGTCGCGTGCCCATATGCCCTCCTCAGATCCGTCAATTTACTCCAAAAATATTATTGCAATAATAATTGGAATCTGAGACAACAACGCCTGTATTCATGGTAAGTGTTGTCCCACTCTCTAACCGCAGTAAACAAAGCTCAATAATAAACCACAAAACGATAGTACGAAGGAGCTACTCAGCCCTGTGTGCTTAGCCGTGGTGTCTCGCAATGATGTCGAAGGCTTTCGAGGGTTGGCATTGACAAGAGCCGCTGCCACTTTACGGTGGCGGCTGACGAAGTCTTCGGTATGCCGGTTGCTGATCATCTGTCCACACTGAAGTGTGGTCAGCTTGGTAGGGGCATTCAGAAATAGTTCAAGTATTTTTTAATCGGTTCTGCGTTGAGCGTAAGAATACATAATAATAATAATAATGAATGGAAGACGTCAGCATCTGCCATCCATGCTGTTAAAGATCTAAATCGCTGCGGTTATGGAGAGCAGACCAACGGAGATCTGCCCGGGCCACGAGCTGCTCCCGGGAACAAAGTCCTAGCCCCCGCAACCTGGATTTCTGGTGGCAGACCACATGAACACTTGTGATCTATAGACTAATTAGTTTACACCGCACAGGGAATATCCTGGATCTGCTCTGCCGCCGTTTCATTCAGGACGCTCCCCGGAATGGGGATCGAAAGCGATTGCCATCGATCCGAAAGACGACATACGGAAAACATAGTCCTGTCTGCCTTTGAATTATTATTGCAGGATCAACTACTCCGTAGTCTGCAGTGTATTATTTCAAGTCGGCATTTGAACTTGCCAGGCGGCGTCATCTAGAAAGGACGTTAGCGCCATCAGTCTCGGCGTGGAATCCACTTGTACCCACCGTCTGACTGAATTTTGCCTCTGTACCTGAGTTGGAACGCTTCGGGGACCGGACCTCGGGGCGGGAAATCAACGAATGATATGTCAAATGCAAGAACAAATAGACAGCGTCTTCGTGGATGCCACCATGGAGTCCCTGGACCCTGCGGTAAGTTTCACGCTGAACTTTGAAGGGACCGTACAACTCTGTCCTCCCAGAGCCGGGTCACCTGCGACAGCCACCATCGAATGGGAAGCTATGGATGACCCTAGTCGATATGCGTGTGTAAATTGACCGGGCAGAAGGAGGATCGATGGTGTCCCTGCCGGCCTTTCTTTCTAGCCGGATTCGAATAGTATTTCCAAGGCGGTGACGGTGGGAGAGTATCCCTTCCAGGAAAGTCTGTCCGATAACCGGTAAGATCTGAAATAGACCGAGGTATGGTTGTTCAACAGTAATAATAATAAGGATGAACACGCTAGGTTGACCTTGATATCCAACATGCTTTGGTAGTGGCAGATTTAGTTATAGCTAAGGTGGGGAAAAGCAGGGGCACATCTGGTGGAAATGATCTTTCAGATTCCATCCGACTTAAGTCGTCGAATCTCCATGCTTTTTGGCACCATACGGTTGTGCGCCCTGGGGAGACCGACGGTCCCTGATGGAGATGCGAAGGGATCCATATTTAGTGGTAGCTCGAACCTATGTATCCTGTTCTTGCTCTCAAACGTGCCACATACGAAGATTCACGGAAATGGCGGGTCTTGAGCCAACGAGAAATAGACATCTTTGAAGATCCCGAACGGGAACCAGCACCAGACGTGCGGATCCGTATCAATAGGGTCGTCCCCGCAGGACGAGGCAGGATCATCCATCATTATTATTGGCGCTTAAGGGGTGTTGCAACGCAGAACAATGGGTGAAGCGAAACTGCCAGGAAACTTCGGAACTCCGATGCGTTACTGCAGGGGCTGTGCACACATTTTCCACGGGGCAAGAAGAATGTCGAATGAGGCTTGAGTTTGCATTCGAAGGGCTACCGTTTATAGAGTAGTTAGATAGGTAGACTCTCGAGTCTCCGGAGACATAGTTCGAATAGTTAGTTAAGGCGAACGCTGAGAAAGCATTATCTCCAATTGACCCGGGAGTGAGGACTGGCGGCACCGATCAACGAAGCCGTCCTTGCCAGGCTGAAGCGGTGCGGACTGGTCTGTGTGTCTAGTTACATCGGATCCATGGGTCGACAGAGTAATAACGGTCGACTACTGTAGTAGTTAGTACGGTGGCAGGTGGGTTTGGTCCGTATGGCGGTTGGCCATGCTGCTTCAGACAGGAGAGCGCGGCAGAGCCCAAAGGCCGCCGAGGTCAGTGCAACTTGACGGCGTCAGTAGGTTTCCTCGAGAGCCCGATCGTCCGGGGAGATACCTCGAGAGTCGATTTCCTTGGGTCCTGTTTGGTGGCTGACAGTGTCCTACACGAGCGCAACGAACATTCTCGTGTTCCTACCACCAGTCCAACAATCCAGGGGGGGCTTTCTGTCTCCCAGCAGGGGGGCTCTGGTTGGATCTGATAGATGATAGATCTAACCAGACCAGAAAAGAGAATGCTTCGTGGTACCGATCGACTTGTTCTACCATAAGTTGCCCAGCAGCAACTGGCCCGGGCTCAATCATGGTCAGGCAAAGTATACTACTAACTACTACATAGTTAGCATAGCAGAAAGTAAATTATCCTGGCGGTATAGACGCGGTAAAGACCGGTAATGGCGCGTGTATTGTAATTACGGGAATCCCGCCGGCGTCATCTCTGCCATCATCGACTGTGGCCGCTAGGCTGCAAGCGGTCTGCTGGTCTGCTCGCCCGGAAGTCCATGGATCGCCTAATTGCCTCCCTTGGCGCCTCCAGCCTCAAGGCTGCTCCCGGGCGCCAGTGACGAGCGTATCACGCCGTTTCCCCTCCTGGCGTATCGGCGTTACCAGGGAGTATTATTACCGTGCCCTTACGCGGACTGCCAGACCATATCATTATCCCATCTCCTCGGACTGTCGCTTGTTTTCATCATCCTGATCCGTCCTGTCTCCGGACATCTATCGAGAGGCTGAGTAGCGGAGGGTTGTCTGTCGTTGCAACGTCAAAACGTTGTGGTTGTTGCTGCTGTCGCTTCTTGTTGTTCGTCTCATCTCTCCGCCACAGAAGGTCGCAACATCTCTCTCGGACTACCCCAAAGCGGGAACTGGACGTCGAGTGTGGACTCGCTGTGTAATAATCCCGCCCCAACCGCCATCGACCGTCATCTTCATGCGCGAGTCCGCAGAGATTCAGACACCTCCTCCCCTTCACTACTCGCCCTCCATCAGCGACCGTGATCCGTCGTCAACTAGAGAATCGACTCCCGTCGACACTCCATTCGGTGTTGGCGTACCCTCTTCGCGCAGGCCCGAGAGGGAGAGAGATCATTATTTCGGCAGATTCACTGGTGCTGATAAATCCGCCTCCTATATCGACCACGAACTCCTCGAGCCCGATTTTGAAGGAGACAGCAACCTTATACTCTTCCCGCTGTCTCCTCCCGAACATTCCAAGATGACCGGCCCGGCGGCTCCTCTCGACATCTCTGGGCGTCAGACGTCGGTGTCGCCGCCTGGACAGCAAGCGTCGAACCTGACGTCCGCCTTGCAGAAGGCTGGTAATGGAGAAAGGTTGGGCAGCTTCTCCAATGCGGCAGGAAACAACTTCAATTCATTCAAAGCCAATGTCGCCCGCAAAGACTCGATCACCGCCACCATGGCACAGTGGGGAAATGGCACTAAGCCCATCTCCGTCTCCGGATCAAATCGCGATAAGCAGCAGCCTCGTCGCGAGTCGCTGGCAGGCAGCTTGGTTGGAGGGATGAGCTGGGGTGGTATTTCAGTTGGCAGCTGGATTCGAGATGAGTATGTATCCCGAGGAGAAGCTGCATGCATGTGGCACTGACGAGACTTGCAGTATTATCATGACGGGCACATCTCCCTTTACCTTTCAGTCGCCCTCTTTCCACTCGTCCTCGTATCTACCTAAGCTTGAAGCAAACTTCATGCGCGATTTTTCCTGCTGTGGTGTGACTCTTCCGTCGCTGCATGACTTACTGCAACACTACGAAGAGGCCCATGCCCAGAAATCCCCCCAGCCGGGAGGCCAGCGCCCAAGTCACAATGATCACAGAGCTGCCATGGCAGCCGCCATGTCAGCTGCACAGCAGAGTAACCAACAACAGGGCCTGGGGAACCGGGGAATGCAGTCTGAGCGGTCGTTCGACCAGCAGCGGAAACTGACGCCAAACCACTCTGCTCACAACCACCAGAACCATCTGGTTTCGGATGTGGATACGATTGACGATATGGAACTGGACGACGCAATGGGTATGGATACTGGCTCCTCGCAGATGTTTTCCTCACAATCTCAGGACAACAACCAAGGTGGATTTGGCCAGCAGAACCAGAGAGTGCCGCCTCTCAATCTCAGTATGCTCCAAGGTCACCAGGGCCTGCGGGGTTCACAGCCAGGCACGCCGGTCGCCTCTGGCCGCAGCCTTCCTTTACAGAACAACCCAACTGTTTCTTCCGTCAATACACCTACACTCATGGCCAACCCTCTTCAGAACCAATTCAGAAATACACCCGACTCTTCGGGCCCCGGAACCCCTGCAGAACTAGACGAGAGCATGGTTGGCGGTTTCGGTGATTTGTCGATGCAGAATAACAACATGATGGGGAGTCAGTCTCAATTTTCTGGGTTCGGTGGCAACAACAATAACAATGATATGGTGGATCTTTGCATCGATGAGCCGGCGAAGCGGTTATTCAGCCCTAATGGCGGCTACAGTAATAATTCCCAGCAGAGTGCCCACTTCCGACTCGGACAGGCTCAGTACGGTCCGAACAGCGATATCGCCCGGCGCATTCGCGAGCAGCAGCTGTTGGCAGGCGTCCCAGACACGATGGCTCTGTTGCCAAATGAAGAGCCAAAGCCGTTCAGATGTCCTGTCATTGGATGTGAAAAAGCATACAAGAACCAGAATGGTCTCAAGTACCACAAAGCGGTAAGTACCCATCGGTTATTGGTTATTATCCCATATGGTATGACTGACTGATATGGGTACAGCATGGTCACAACAATCAACAATTACATGATAATGCTGATGGTACATTCTCCATTGTCAACCCTGAGACATCTACTCCTTACCCAGGCACGTTAGGTATGGAGAAAGAGAAGCCCTACCGGTGTGAGGTTTGCGGCAAGCGCTACAAGAACCTTAACGGTCTCAAGTATCACAAATCTCACTCTCCTCCCTGCAACCCTGACCTCCAACTGGCCGCTGGTCGAAGCTTGAATGTCGGTGGAGTCATGCAAGGTCAGAACATCAACGTGGCTGGAGCTGGTCTCCCCGGTATCGGTGAGGAGGGACTGATGTGAATCCATCTCTCTCTCCGTTCTTAAAATTCTTCCTTCTTGCTCGGCTTCAGTATCTCGATGAAAATGTGCTGTTTTCCACGATTTGAACGGCCTGTTTCCCTTACACGATTTAATGACCAGACTGGTGGATTGGAGTTGGTTGGGGTTCCGATCATGGCACTCGGTATTTCTTAACGAGCGACGGCGTGGTACCCCGGTTGATAGACCTGCTATCTGTGGAGTTGTGGCCTACTCCTCGGAAGACGCTTGTGATACACAGATTTCCTTAATAGTTCCTATTTGCTTTTTGCTTCTTGAATTGTTTATGGGTGCTATCCACGGGATTGTCTCTCCGAGCGCCTTGCTTGATATCCATTTTTTGGGAAGGACGTTGTTTGCGTTTTCGTCTCTGCAACTGCGGCAGACTGGATTTTCTCGATCGCGGAGCCTGTTCTATGAACCGGATTCTCCAAGGGTGAGGACGATGTCCCGTGGTCGAACAAAAAGAAAAAGAAAAAAACAAGATATATTGGGAAAAGATTGGAAAAGGGAACAAAAAGAAAAGCGAAAAATATTGGATTGGTACAGTGCAGTGCAGGCCTCGTCTCATGGCTTTCTCACTCTGCACTATTGTTTGGGTTCGGTGTTCATCGTTTTCAGACGGATCTCTATCCCGGGACTTGGAAAAATAAAACTGGGGGAAATGGTGCTCTGGCGCGTGTGCTGTAGAAAGTTTTCCCGCTTGATATTTGGCTTTTGTTCTCTTTTCTTTAGCACTCATACCACATGTTTTTGTTGCACTCCACGCTAACTTGAATTATGCTTGAAAGATCTGCCCTAATGTTCATTTCCTGTTTCATATACTGTTTGAATTGTGATAATAGAACTCCTGTCTGTTGCTTGACATCTCTCCACGGTAGCCGATACTCCATCGATAACGAGGCTACTAGTTAATATCTCCCGGCCGCAACTACGCTGGAGCTTGGTGGCAATTCGATCTGCTGTTATCCCAGCAGTCACCCGGCTACTGATGCACGATTATCTCGACTTGGTAGTTCGCTGATCTGTCTGGTTCGTCCATCAAGTTCGATACAGAGCGTTTGTAACTTGTATTTTGGTCCTCATAGCCGGCTTGTGGCGACATTCCCCCGATACGATACTTGGGTCTCTAGTCAGCTTGCTGCGCCTTGAAGCTTGTTCCTCATCCAACGTATAGCGTTGTCCTCTGCGCCTTCTGTCCGGTGTCGCGAAAAGCGTATCAAGAGTTATCCAGACACCTTACGCGATATTAGCCTAAAAACTGAACTTGGAGAATTCATGATAGCTGAAAGAGATAAAAAAAGCTTCCTTGCGTATTCTTCGCTATTATTTTCCAGAATTATACCGACGTAGAATCTGTTTCTGCGGGGGGGTAAAAGAAACGATTCTCGATGGAACTTTCGAGGATATTAATTAATATGTGGTCGTTCAATGAGGGATGCCAGGGATGTTGTAGATGTTTTAACTGGATCTCGTGGTTCGGGGGAAAGAGAACCGCTTAGCCTAGGAAGCTGTTTTGTGGGCAGGAAAAAAGTAATTAAAGGATCTAGAATTATTTTCAAGTCCAGGACTTGAAGAAGTGTAAGATCGCAGAAATAAAATAATAAAGGGACCTTTGGACGGGATAAGTTACGGATGGATTCACGAAGTGTCGATCGGCGAGCACTTGATGAAAACGAGTCAAAAAGGGTATCCAGCAAGCGAACTTGAAGCTCCAAGACGTAGCGAGCTGAGCAGACCGCTCCATCAAGGTCGGGGAAATAATATGGGGAGGGCAGACAGACAGACAGGGGGGAAGTCGATTGCTATTTGTCCCGCTGAGAACATTCACACAGTCTAAGAAGTGAGTTGCGCGACGTGTCCGGGAGCAGCCGACTTGGTTCTCACCCATCATCATCTTCTTCTTTTCCGAGCTGGAGATGTCCCAGAGCGCGTTGTTGCGCCTCGAATTTGCTACATCGGGCTTGTCGACCTCGAAGCGTCCGTTGCGTCATTCCGCCTCTCTGTTGCCGTTGCTCCTTTTCGCACGCGTTGCTCGTCTCACGCCACGGTCCCCGTTCTCGCGACCTTTCTCCACAACTTCACTTCCATCGACCACCATCTCCCCATTGAAAAGGCGCGGCCGTTCTACCCACCCGCATCTCAATCTCTTCTACCTTTCGCTTCCAGACGAGCCCTTCGTCGCGCATCATGGCTGAAGAGAACTCTGCCGCGTCGACCGCAGCTGAGCCCGTCGTCGGACGCGGTCCTGCCGAAGAGCCCGAGAAGAAGGAAGAGGCGACGGAAGAGCCTACTGGTGAGGCTGCCAAGGACGACGAGAAGCCAGCTGGTAAGCAGTCGATTCCTCTAGCACCCTCGTTGAAGCTTTGAGCAGACAGCTAACTCTCGTTGTCGCGTTCCCAGCCGAGGGCGAGAGCACTACAAAGGCCGAGGAGCCCAGCGCGCCCGCGGAATCGAAGGAGGAGGACGGCGATGCTGACTCCAAGGCCGCTGCTGAGCCGGAGGCCAACGGAGCTCCCGCGTCGGCGAAGAAGGCTGCGAACGGGAAGCGCAAGTCGACTGGCGGTAACCAGAAGCTCAGCAGGAAGAAGTCTCAGCACCGCGTCACGCACCTGGACGCGAAGCCGGGAGAGTACTACCTGGCGCGTCTGAAGAGCTACCCGCCATGGCCGGCCATCATCTGCGACGAAGAGATGCTTCCTCAGACGCTGCTGAACACGCGGCCTGTGACGACCAAACAGGCAGACGGTACCTACAAGGAGCCCTACGCCGATGGCGGAAAGCGCATGCACGAGCGAACGTTCCCCATCATGTTTTTGGAGACGAACGAATTGTGAGTTGAACTTGTCTGCTACGATGTCTACTGAGTTCTCGGTCTCTTGGAGAGCTTGGACTAACGAGATGCTTCATTACAGCGCCTGGATTCCTAACACCGACCTGACCCCCCTTGACCCAGAGAGTTGCAAGGATGTGTCGGAGAAGGGCAAACAGAAGCAATTGATTGCCGCGTACAAGGTGGCTGCTGAGAACCACGACCTACAATACTTCAAAGACCTTCTCGCGGATCACCAGCGCGCAATCCAGCAGGAGGCTGAAGATCGTGAAGCGAAAGAAGCTGCCAAGGCGGCTGCTAAAGCCGAAAAGGAGCAGAAAAAGAAGAAGCGGAAGAGCGCAGAGGTGGCCGAGGAGCCTGAAGACGTCGAAATGGCCGAGGCAGGCGAAGAAGAGGGAAAGAAAGCGACCAAGGCTACCAAGAAGCGCAAGAAGGACGCAGAGAGCGAGGCTGAGGCTGAGAAGGTGAGCGTTTCCACAGGCGCCGCGCGTGGCAGTTGTATCCGTACCGTGGTAATTGCTAACGTTGAACACCAAAACAGCCTGCAAAGACCCCCAAGACGACCACCAAGCTCAAGCTCACCACGCCAAAGACCCCAGCAAGTGAGACGAAGAAGCCAGCTGGCAAAGCCAAGGAAGCGAAGGGCAAGGCCGCAGATACCAAGAAGGCTGCCAAGGCTGCCACCAGCGACGAGGACACCGCGGCCGAGACGCCCAAGGAGCCTGAGAAGGTGATTGATCCGGAGGAAGCTAGAAAAAAGAAGGAGAAAGAGAGTGAGTCCTGGAATTCTCTGCAAGCCTCCGTATGCAGGCAGATCTAACTTGTATTATTAGTTTTGTTCATCCGCCACAAGCTGCAGAAGGGATTCATCTCCCGCGAATATCCTCCAAAGGAAGAAGAAATGGAAGCGATGGCGACCTTCATCACGAAGCTGGAGGGTCATGATGATCTCGAGGTGTCGATAATCCGGTCGACCAAGATCCACAGAGTGCTTAGGATGATTGCCAAGCTGAACTCGATCCCGAAGGATGAGGAATACAACTTCCGTCGTCGCTCCATCGACCTATTGGCCAAGTGGAAGAATCTCCTCGACAGCGATCTACCTGCAGATGAGAAGGAGAAGGAAAAGGAGTCCGAGCCGACAACCAACGGTGTACACAAAGAGACCGAGGAAGCCTCGGAGGCCACGGAGAAGATCGAAAAGGCCGCCGACAAGGAGCCTGAGGAGAACAAGAAGGCCGAGGAAACCGCCGAGAAGGCTGAGAAGGAGGTCACTTCTGAGCTGAAGGATGAAGAGATGCCCGACGTCGAGGCTGAGGAGAAGAAACAAGACGAAGAGCCAGCCAAGGAAGCTTCTAAGGAGGACGGAGCTGAGGAGCCGACTGAAAAGACCGATGAGAAGGCCGACGAGAAGGCCGATGACAAGGCTGCTGAGAAGCCGGCCGAGGAGACCGCAGCTTGAGCGGATGGGCGCCATCATTCGATGGCTTTAACCGTTGCAAAAAATAATCTGCAGCAGTCTCCGAAGCCGCAGTTAAAAAAGCGTGATGGCTAACTGCATCCTCTTCACCGTGTGTCATCTCCCGTCTGTTTCACTCTTATTTTCATATTGGACTGTGCAGTTAGGCTGGGAAAGAAAGGCCTTAGTTTTGGTCTAGGACTTATCTATGGGTGGATGGAGTGCCGCGTGCTTCTATGTGTCCGTGTCCAGAGAGACTGGCGAGAGATGCAGACTGGGGAGAGAAGGGTACGTGGAGGGAGGGGATTAGAGAAGGCTGGACTCGAGTATCTCTATCTCTGCTGATTGAAATTTCACGGCGACTGGTTGTTTTCCAGCAAACCATATTCCCCCTGTTTTCGCGGTGCCAAATTTCCACCCCTTTTATCCTTATGTATCTGTTTTTCTCTTCTACTATCTCCTGTGTGTTTTTAGTCGTTTCTGTCCTTTTGACCGGTTGACGTCGGAGGACACTTTTCCTTTTCACGATATCGAGATCACGGATCCGTTGGTATGGTTAGTTAATTTGTGCTCGCCCTTTGCGGGCTAGCAAAGGGTAAAAAGAATGATGCGATTTTATATTCAATTTAGGATTTAACTGAATAGTAAAACGTAATACTCTTAGTGTAGGAGCACGGCAAAGAAAGCTTAATGATGGGTCCATCTAGATATTTTCACCCCATTTCATAGCTCGTCGCTATATCATTTTATCTCCATCTAGATACTCAACTCATCTCTTCTTGACAACGTCGCTGTGGCTTTGTGTATTTTTGCATTGGCATTATATTGGGGCTAGACTACTTATTTGGAAGCTGACATTATTCGAGACGATATCAAGAAGGACCATGCACGTGATGGCTGGTTTCAGAAAGAAGACCTGCACACGGGAACTGCTTCGAAACGACACGACGAGTGCAAGAACAGGGTTTAAATCTAGAAGTCCGTATTTCTAGGAGCTTATCACTACTCGACGCTGTCCATGTAGGGATGATTTAGGAAACCTACATTAGCCACGAGATGCAAAGACGAGAACGACAACAAAAGGGGTAATGTCAGACGCCCCAGAATTGCGGTCTGGGCAAGAAAAAGCAAAGAAGAAGAAACACAAATGGCAAGGATCTAATCATGAAATGTGCTAAAATGGCCTCGACCAATAAGCTGACACGTCCGGATCGAGTGTTGGCGCTACGTTCGCAGCTGTTATTCGTTGAGACCAGAAAGAGCGCATAGCGAGACAAGGCTGCGAGCTGCCAGAAAGGCAATCTCGACATTCTAGCAGCATTATCCAACACACGGGGGAAGCCTGATGCGATATAAAAGGCACCATGGACAGCCGAACCCGAAAGGAGAAGAATCATCAAATGAACAGGAGAGCTCATGGCTCGAACCAAGGGGAACGAGGCCGAATGGCAGAAACACCATGATGAGCTCAAGTTCTTATGGCTAGAGCAGCGATGGACTGCGGAACGCATACGAGACTATATGTCCCAGAAGCACGGTTTCCACCAAAAGTCAGTTTTGTTGCCCCCGGAAAGTTGTTCATCCCATTCTAAACTAAATTATGTTGTCTCAGCAAGTATCAGTATGGTCGGCAATTCAAACAGTGGGGGTTCAAAAAGAACTCGAGTGATGAAAGGTGGAAATTTATTGCACATCGTCGCGAGAAGCGAAAACGAGATGGGAAAGATCCCGGCCCAGTTTCGCTAGATGGCAGACTGGTCCCTGAATCGAAGGTCAGAAAGGAGACATCTCGTCATGTTACATTGACGTCGCAGTATGTGGGGATAGAGGGTTCTGGTTTGTATTCATTGTGACTCCCTTCTTGATACTCTGGTTTATATGCTCACCCGTTATTCATTCAGATCCAAAGACGCCAGAGGGGGTCATCGTGGGTACGCCACCATCAGGAATACCTGGTGCAGTTTCCAATGATTCCTCCGATGTTATCGCGATGGACTGGCTCCGGGCTCCGAGCATGGATATATTGAACCTTGACGCGTCAACTCTGTTCCAGCCGGCCATTGGGGACAGTCACGCATTCCAGTTCGAACTTCCAGAATTAAGTTCATCGGTGCACTGTTACCCAGGGGGTGAGGCGCCAGCTGCACCATCTTTCGATCTTGGGCATGCCACTTTGGAACATCGTTTTCCTGAACTAGCGTCTGCTGGTACGCCAACATCTGCCGATGGGGACAGCCATATTCAGCATATCTCCAGTTCTATGAGCGAAGAAATTGCCGAAGAGCCCCGCTTTACCTTAGAACGGCTTCATGGATGGTGGGAATATGAAGATTATGAGCGTGCTCTCGTAGAACAATTTTGCGGGCTATGTCTTGATCTACTTGATGCTGTACGCCTTTTCAATTTAGAGCTCAGAGCTTATGTTAATCTAGCGCAAGGGTCTGCTCGACTGACGCTTCTGCAACTTGCTGCGCTTGGTACACTCCTTCTTGACTCAAAGGCGAATCCGGACTCTTTTACAACCAACAGTTAAGGTTCAGCTCTACAAATAGCATGCAGTGACCCCCAAAACGCCAAGATAGTCGAGCTTCCTGTAACTAGCTGCGGGCGCGGATATTGATTCTCTCCCGGGCTATCAGCCTGATAAGCGAAATCCTGATTACCTTGTGGACAGATATATGAATCCAAACCAGACGATGTCGAAGGGGTTTTGCGCTCGCACAAAACGCACACCTCTCCTACGGGCTTCGTTCCAATACGGCAGTGAAGGCCTGGTGCAATTATTGTTAAACTACGGAGCAGACGTCAATGGCAAACCTCATCCGTCTGGAGGACGCACTGCCTTGCAGGCGGCAACTGAATACGGCCGCAAGTCTGTGGTTAAGACACTATGGACGTTTGGAGCAAAAATCAAGGCCGAACGAGCCAGTAAGGATGGAATCTCGGCAGTTGAAGCTGCAGCCTCGATATCTGATCAAGAGATTCTCCAGCTTTTTCGCGACAAAGAACCTGAGATCATATCATCAGATCCCATCGCGAAAAGTCGGGTCATTATGCTAGCCTTGAAAAGCGGGAGATGCGACGTGCCTTTTCTGGAACTTTTGCTCAAAGCAGGAGCAGCTGTTGAACGTATCCCACCCTCTCCATCGGAGATATCAGTCCTTCAATCTGCAGTCCAAAATTATAGCTACAACTACAGAGCGTTTCAGTGTTTACTTTCTGCAGGCGCTACCGAATCACCGCTGGGAAACCAATCATCCTTTGTGCCTTACGGGTCACAGCATTAGGGGTCGCAGCGTTACAGCCCTTCAAACTGCGGTTTGCAAGCGGGATATTGATGTCGTCCAGTTGCTGCTCGAAAATGACGCCGATATCAATGCACCGGCGGCCAAGAATGGAAGAAGAACCGCGTTGCAGGTGGCTGTGTCAAAGAACCATTTGGCTATGACAAAACTCTTGGTGCATCACGGCGCTACCTAATGCCAATGGCTTGCCGAGCCCACTGCGAGGCCGAACAGCTCTCCAACAGGCTGCGAGCTCAGGTTTCGCGCAGCTCACCGAATTCCTGCTCTCTCATGGTGCCGATGTCAACGCGCCAGCCGCACATTTTGGCGGAGTCACTGCCTTGCAAGGGGCCGCGCTCCAGGGCAATGTTCGCATTATAATGGTGCTGCTTCAAGCTGGAGCAGACATCAATGGAGCGCCTGCCATCGAGCAGGAACGAAACGCCATCGAAGGCGCCGCTGAAAACGGCAGGCTCGATACTTTACATCTCCTTTTAATTTATCATCCAAACACGGAAGAGTTTGAGGTCAAGAAAAAACGAGCAGCGGAATTGGCACTGGCAAATGGCCACCTAGCCATAGGAAGATTTCTGCTGGCCTATCGTAAAAGTGGTTGAAGGAGATAACCGGTATTTCCCGTCATTCCAATATGTCTCTGGAGACATAGGCGACATGGAGATCTTTATTCTTGTTCTTTATATGCTTGTTTGCTAGTCCCTAATAGTTTAAACCACGAGATGTTTCCACAATTGTTAATTTTTCACAATGGGTTGAGAGAAGAAAGGACAGTCGAAACACAGTAACCAATTTCCAAAACAACATTCTTTTCCTCGTATCCATAAGATCCAAACGTCCCTCGTAAATCAAAACCGAACTTTCTCTGAATATATGCCTGAAGGAGTGTATCTATATCTCGGAAAATGTTTGTAGAGATCGGAGTCTAAGGATGGAGTTAAAAAGGACGATCTTATGTTCAACACGCAAGCAGATGGAAGGAAGAATAGCAGCGCGGAAATACTTGCGGCCGGAGAACATGCTAGCGAAGGAGAGGGCCCAAACCAGCCTTCTCCTGAAGTCTGGATGTCTATACTGACGAGGAGAAACAAATTTGAACTAGCCTCGGAATTAGATAGTCTCCGTAAATACGGCCGTAGAAGTAGCCATTTTCGGCCGCCTATTAACCGTCACCTTGTGAAATGGAGGTTATTAACCTGTGCTCAGTGGATCGGGCAGCTTACTTGCTAGAGATAATTGCAGAGATCAGTTGAATAGAGACGTGCTTTGACGAGTGGCTTTCGTACCTCATCTAAGAGAGGCTTGTTGTTGATATTTAATTGATAATGTTACAGTAATGACTATCACTAGCCTCATCTCTTTTCTTTCACATATTGTTCTATATATGTAATATAATGATGGTTCCTGGATCGCAGGATACCGTACCACTAGCGTGCTTCTACAACAATAACAGTCGTAAATAGCAGGTATGTCACCTCCAAAATGGGAGACAGGGCAGTACTGCAGATGAAGCTGCATGGAGGACGGCACGTTTCTGGTTCCATGTAATTCAGTTTTGAGATTGTCATGTGGAAAAGGAAAGAAGAAGCGGCTGGCTTGGACTTGGGGATCGGAGCCGATCTTAAGCGCAATCAAAGTAATAGTATTATTATCCCGCATCCCATGTCCGACGTCCGAACGGCCGAATCCAGTATGCCCGAGAGGTCGACGGCGAGGAACCGATCCTTGTCCTCGGATCCTCTTCAGTGTAGATCTTTAAGCCAACGCTACTGTAACGATGTTTTCTTCTGAGTTAACTACATATATCGACGATGCTGCTGGTTCTCCGATGTGCAGGTTTCAATGACTCACCAGTTCCGTGTCTGGATCTCACTAGCGGTGCGACATTATGGTATTTCTCCAGGCTGCAGCGTTCTATGTCGTAATCACAGCTGGACGATCAGATAAGGAAACAAATAGAACAGCGGCAGGGATGCTGCAAATCAGCCTTGTCAGTTAGCGCTATGAGGAATCGGGGAAGAGGAAGAGAATATTACTGTATGAGTGTATTAATATTGCAAGTCCGATACTACTATTCTAGAGCAAAACTCGTTTGGGTTTTACTCGACGTCAGCGGTCGAAGCTTGCCGATGCGGTGGATGGCTCAGATTCAACATGTTCTGGCCCCAAGGTTAGGGCATCCCATGGCCAACAGGCAGTTTGATTCTTTGATTCCTGCAAGTGGCGTTCGCGAAACAGATTACGAGTAGACGTTAAATGGGTTAAATGGCGGAAACTGAAGGGCACAACACCAACTTCAGAGCTCGACGCAGAGTGATCGACCGGACGTTTGACTCAACCGACAGCGCTAGAAGCTTTTACCAGCTTCTAAAGGGATCGCTCGAAGCCGCTTCTCGAGTATTAATTAATATTAAATACTCTCCTTCGTTACTCGTATCGCTTTCGGACCCCACTGGAACCATAATTATTATCCCCGAGTTCTTGGCTTTTTCAGCCGCCGCATTGGACCCAGATCTCCGTCGTCAAAAAAAAACTATTAACTAGTTATATACCTTGCCGATGACACACAGGCAGAGCTGTTGATCTTCCTGACTGCTGATCCGGTGTCTGTTCTTCGATGCGGTTGGGTGAACAATGTTTCGCACGGACGCGTCGAGCTTGAATTCTGATCTGCCATGGCATCCAGCACCGCGAGTTCCAGTCTGAATTCTCCGTTAAACCAGTCTCCCCAGACTACCAACCGGGCTCCTGGAGATCGACAGTCGCAAAGTAGCTCCTTGCCTCGAATCAACAGCAATGCGGCCGGCGCATCTGCCCAGCAAGCTCATTTCCCCTCACCGACCACTGACACCCAGGCGCAGCCGTCGCCACATGGTGAGCATGCCCAGCTCAACCAGCGCAGCTGCATCACTTGTCGTCGAAGAAAGGTACGATGCAGCAAGAGAGACCCGTGCTCGAATTGTGTGAAAGCAGGCATCGAATGTGTCTTCCCCGGACCGGGACGTGCGCCTCGAAAACCAAAGCGCCCCCAAGATGCGGAGCTGTTGGCGCGCCTGAGACGTCTAGAAGGCGTAGTGGAAAGCCTAGGAGCAAGTACCGCAGAGCAGGCCAGTGCACCGATATCCTTCAAGGATCCTCCAGTCCCGACTAGCGATGGCCAGAAAAAAGAAACTCCGTCCAGAGAAGGCAGGCTGGGGACTTGTCCACCCTTCTTGGATAGAGATCCCAAATCTCTATTACCTCATAACACAGAACATGAGCTGGGTCGCCTCGTGATAGATGAAGGAAAGAGTCGATATGTCAGCAATAGGTTTTGGGCCAGCCTGGGAGATGAGGTAGGTAACATGATACGTTATCTGATTGCCCTTGCTCGACCATACCTTGAGTCCAAGGGAATTTCCCTGCAACCCGGATGTTGAGTCGCTGACCTTGTCAGATCGAGGAAATGCAGGACATACTCGACCCATCGTCCGGTGAGGAGGAAGACTATCCATCGCCGCAAGACTCTATGAATTCAGGTGCTCATGACGGCTTTCTATTCGGCTATGCCTCTCTGGCGCATACTCTTCGCAACTACTACCCGACCCCAACGCAGCTTTTTGTGCTGTGGAGATTCTATCAGGAGAATGTAGCCCCATTGATCACGATACTACATCAACCAAGCCTTCGCGCGATTGTCATCGAGGCATCGACTAACGCAGAATTACTCGATAAGAATACGGAAGCTCTTCTCTTCTCGATCTATTTTTCAGCTGTCATCAGCATGACCCCGCAGCAGTGCAGCTCGCAGCTGGGAGAAGACCGGGATACTCTCCTCCATCGATATCGATTTGCTGTTGAGCAGTCGTTGGCAAGGGCGGGTCTTGTGAATTCTCAGAACCTGATGCTCCTCCAAGCTGCAGTCCTCTTTTTGATCTGCGTGCGGAGGCACGACGATACGAGATTTGTCTGGACTATGACTGCAGTTGTTCTGCGGCTGGCTCAAGGGTTGGGCCTGCACCGTGATGGTACTAATTTCGGCCTGAAGCCCTTTGAGACAGAGATGCGCCGGCGACTCTGGTGGCACATCGTCCTCTTGGATGTACGCTCATCTGAGGACCATGGCACAGATCCTCAGGTGCATGAGGCCTTCTTTGACACTCGACTTCCGTTGAATATCAATGATGACGATATTTTCCCCGACATGAAAGATCCCCCCGAAGAACGCGTTGGTGGCACCGAAATGACCTTCACTCTCGTGCGTTGTGAAGTGAACGCCACCGTTCGCCGATTGAGTTACGTACCGCCTGGCGCACGTTGTCGGGCAGGGGAACTGAGTGTCGAGCAGCGTGAGGCTCTGGTCGAGGGACTCAGCAAACGCCTTGAAGAACGCTATATTCGCCACTGCGACATGAATGTTCCTCTGTTCTGGGTATGTGCGACGATTTCAAGGCTCATTATAGCAAAGCTGTGGCTGGTTGTTTACCACCCTCTCTCCAAACACGACAATAGGCACAGCTTACCGATGGAGACCAGAGACCGTCTCTTCGTCACTTCCATCGAGGTCATCGAATTCGCTCATTTGTTGGAGAACAACGAAAATACGTCCAAGTGGAGCTGGTTATTCCGGACGTACATTCAGTGGCACGCCATTGCCTTTCTTCTGGCAGAGTTGTGCGTCCGTCCACTGTGTCCAGGCGTTGACCGGGCATGGATGGCGGTAAACTCCGTTTACAGAGAGTGGGAGGCCGAAGCTACGTTAAAGAAGGGGATGCTGTGGCGGCCCCTCTCGAGATTAATGAGACGCGCAACCGCCTTCAGGGCTCAGCAACAAGAGCAGCTTCGAGCCCAATACGGTCCCCATCCGCCCATCATCCAACCTGCCTCTACCGTCAGACAGGGTCCTGGTTTTGGTGAGCTTCCCGATATCCCTGATCAATTGCATCACGTAGAGAGCCCATCATGTCCCGCACGATCATCAGTCTCTGTCGTGGGATCAGGCCAGCAGGGGAATACGATGGATACTTCTCTTAATGCAATCGATCTCAGAAAAGGGATTCCTGACGTGTTTAATGACATATTCTCGGGGTCGGAGTGGTTGGCTGGACCAAATCCTACGGTGTCTACTCCGTCAAGCCAACAACCCATGGGCTCATTGGCTTCGTACGATGCCTTTGGCAATCCGATACGGAGCTCAAACATTTCCAATTCCGAGTCCGGCTGGCCCGACTGGGATCAAGTCGTGCGCGAGTTCCAGATGGATGTCCAACAAGCAGATGGGCCGCCTCCTCCGATGGGCGATGTGTCTGACTGGTTTGCCTGACGATCCTGGGCCATTTGCCCTTTCTCAAGTCACGATCGACTACGAAGTTATGCTGTGTATGTGCTTTGATAAAAGGGGTTACTCTCCACTTTCTCTGATCTTGTACAACATTACTAGACCATCTAGACCATCTCATCTCTGGGACGAGTAGAAGCCGTCGTTGATGATGTATGAGTAATACCCTTGAACACGATTGATGCATATTCTCTATTCTACGTGCTACTATCTCTGATTGCCTGAATGCTTGGTAACATATCCGATGTAAGGAGCGGTTAAACCCGCAGATACTAACTACAGCATAATGATCATCTTTCGCTCTGGATACGCTCTGAATACGCAAATCGGCTTGACTCCAGATCGCTGACAAACGGGCGTACCGAAATAGACCGAAATAATACAAAAATACCGGAGCGACGTTGATCCAGACCCATATCCGGTTTAGCGTCGGAATTAGAGATGCTGACAGGAATCTTTGTAATACTCCCTTTCTGCCCGCCAAAGCGCAATCCAATGCATCAGTAATATTTAATAATGGCTGACGGAGAATCTTCGAGGCGCCCAAACATGCTCGCAGTCAATGTCTCTGCTCGATTTAAAAGCGCTGACCGGACCTGACCAAGCTAAGAGCAGCCAGCAAGACTGAAATCCGGCCAAACCAGAGCTCCCGCGAAGCTTCCACTCTCCGAGGCTTCCCCCTTGTATAAAAAGCCCCGCTCCCACCCCATGAAGCTCATTCTGTCATTCTTGATTTGTATTATAGCAATCGTCTTCTCCTATAACAGCGGATCCTTCAAGTACCTGATCTCTCGTCTACAACAGAACAGCCCAGCAGTACTAACACAGTACCTCGGAGTCAAAACGACTGAGATCTCCAATTCCACTTTGATTCCTGAACACCCAGTTACCGTCCTACCCATAACAGACATGTCGGTTCCTCGTGCCATCCGCATGGCCTTCCAGGCCATTGAGACCGGAGAGGGTGCTGGTGCTCGCGTTCGCCGCTCCATCGGTACTCCTAAGCTGCGCAACTTCAGTCCTTTCCTCATGCTCGACCACTTCACCATTGGCACTGGCGCCGGTTTCCCCGATCACCCTCATCGTGGACAAGAGACCATCACATATCTCCTTTCTGGCGGTGTTGACCACGAGGACTTTGCTGGCAACAAGGGCACCATTGGACCGGGCGACCTCCAGTTCATGACGGCCGGCAAGGGTATCATGCACGCGGAGATGCCTCATGAGAACCCCGATGGAAGCCCCAACGTCGGTATGCAGTTGTGGGTCGATCTGCCCAAGAAGCTGAAGATGTGCGAACCCCGCTACCGCGATCTGCGTGCCGGTGAGATCCCCACTGTGAACGTCGACGATGGCCGAGTCACCATTAAGGTCATCTCCGGTCAATCGCACGGAGTCGACTCAGTGCAAGACCTGGCCTACACTCCCGTTTGGATCTTCGACATCACCATCCGCCCCGGTGGAAAGGTCAAGCAGCCTCTGCCTCAGGGATGGAACGCATTCGCCTACACGCTCGATGGCACAACCATCTTCGGTTCTTCGGACCAGACCCGCCCAGTGAAGAAGTTCCACAATGTGGTCTTTGAGCAGAAGGGTGACTATGTCGAGATGTCAATTCCTGATAACGCGGAGGAAGAGGCGAGGATCTTCCTGGTCGCTGGTCAGCCTCTGGACCAGAAAGTTGTCCAGTACGGTCCTTTTGTCTTGAACAGCCAGGAGGAGGTCTACCAGGCCATGCTCGACTACCAGAGCGGTGCAAATGGATTCGAGAGAGCTAGAGGCTGGCAGAGCGAGATCGGCAAGAGAATGGCCTTTTGAAAACGAAAAGAAAAGAAAGACAAAAGTGGGAAGAGAAGAGATGGAAATTTGATGCATGACACCATGATGTTACTGATTTCTTGAATTGTATCTCTACAGTTGGAGTTGATGGATCCTCCACGATTTGTTTTCGCTGTTCTAATTAGCATTTTGTTTCGGAATTGATACCTATAGAGTTGTACTGAATATATACATTGTCTCTACGAATAATTCATTTCCCCCCTAATCTATGGTTCCATTACATCGGACCAACTAATTAAATTCATCGACTTTGCAAATCAATTTTTATACCGTAGAGTCCCATTCGCCATCCTACCCCGCAAATCAATCAATATTCCCTGTCCTAGGAAGCTATATCCCTTCTACTTTCACAACCTTTCATTCCCTCCCCTATAGCACATTCACCATTCCCAAATTGCACGGAACAATCCTCTCTCAGATACTCCCACTATAATCCTACAACCAGTCAAGTTACATCAAGCATCCAATTCACGTACCTCGAACAATTCCACTCTCCACGCTTGTCCTCTTCACTTTCATTCAAGGTCCGTACCGCACTTTGCGTGGGTATAAAATTAACTCCATGACCCCCTCGATCCTCGCGTTCTACTTTACATTTATACCTAGGTGGATGGTGGTGTCGGTTCTTCCTATGAAAGGGGGATTATATCTTCTTCTTGGAGACTATAGTATTTGTATTATAATCTATTTGGTACATTTCCGGACTAGTTCACTGTCTACCTTGATGATATCCTGATTTTGGGTTTGACGTATATTTGCCACACTTCAAAAAATTTTGAACACAATGGCACCAGCTACGGCTTTGAAAGCTAAAGACCAAGGCCTCTCTCCAGACGAACTGTGCTACGGCATCTACGCTGGCGAGCTTGGTGGCGGGCTTAACGCTCATAGCTCTCTACTACTTATTAGGCAGCTGCTAGACATGTTAGTCTACCATCCTCTTCTCCCACTTCAATTCAGAATACAAGAATCATCTCTATTCTTTCCCTTGATGTTATATCTACCAGAAAACGGAAAACACCGATTTCAGGTTATGGCGCTTCCCTTTTGAAATATATATATCTTCTTATGGGAACTTGACATCTTTTCTGATTAAGAATTTCTTTTTAGGATCCGTTTGGGCCTTTGTCGATTATACAGTCGTTATCTCGTTTCTGCTTTGGGGCCTAATCTGCTCTACCGAGCGAGGCTTTGTTCTTATCGATGCATTTCTTTATACCTGTGATCACACTCGTCCAACAACGACAATGAATTTGGTCGTTGACCTACCTACCTTTCCCCGCAACGCTCAGGGACTTAGAATACTTCTTCTCTCTAACGGGATGGTTATTCCGACAATATATTCCAGGATACGCCGTTATCGCTGGTCCTTAAGTTCAGAGCCATGATCGAGAGATGTTGTTGTGTAGATTCCAAGCCCAAATTCATTATCTCTGAGATGACAAATTGCTATATTTTTACACTTGAGAACCAGCAAATTCCATTCGTACTATTCTATGTCTATTATATTCATATATCGAAAGATCGATACACGGATGACGAATACTTATTTACTATGTGTCTGTCTGTCTGACTGTCTGTCTGTCTCGTTTCCCGTCTCACTCGCGATGGATTTCGAACTTTCAGATATTGAAAAGGCGCCATGAAGGACCAAGAAAGAAGGCTGCCAAAGAAGAGTTGCTTGTTCTAATAACGCACTGCACCATTCAGCCTCCAGCCGGGAGGGAACTCGTCGCCTCGTTGAGGGAGCATGTCCTCGTCGTCACCCCTGTCCGCTTATAGTTGGTAGGCGAGCGTATAGGCCTATATGGTCTCGACAAGTCCTGGAAAGAGACCAGAGAAATCCTCAATACAAAAACTTATGACCTATACGGGAATCGTTCGCGATAAGGAAATCCGGGAAAAATCCGAGTTGTTGAGGATTTCTCAAAGTACCTAATCTAAGTATTATCAGATTTCAATCGGAGAAATTTCCAGATCCGACACAGCGTTTCCTTGGTCCCTTCGGGCCCTGGAAGATACAATTCCGTGTGAAAACTCCAAGCACAAGCCGGAGCCGTCGAACAAGTGAGAACTCTCCCCGATTGGGTGAAATACAGGATATTTGACCTTAGCTAATTGATTGCCCTAATGTCTGACGAGAGATTAGCAAGCATGCAAGATTACGCACGTCGAACCAAGTCATCATCGCTGCCCATATTTTCCCCATATGGCCTCGTCAGCAAAGCGACTTTAGCATATGTTGGGAATAGGCGAGGGACAACAAGATGTGCATATCAATGGAAGCATAGAGAGCAGCACCCATTCCCCGGCTTAGGACGTCGCCGCAAGGTGAGTCGCATACACATTGTATATGTGTAATCATCGCTAACAGTTGCAGCGTGTGAAAGATGCTGTGACCTTGAAGAGATAGACTCCTGTCGCGACAAGAGTGAAGTCAAGCGGCGCGGCCTCAAAATGGCACTTGGTCCGTACCGACGCTGTGTTTCTGTGCCCGGTGTGGCGAACGGGGCTTGTGCAAACTGTATACAATTCAGTCGACAAAGCCAGTGCTCCTTGCGTAAGTTGCTGCATTGTCTCTTCCCCTGATTGTATAGACAACGTGCCAGATACAATAGCAATGGTATTGACATGAAAGCCATCATGATAGAGAACTACCTGAAAGACCTCGGGCCGCTAAAGGCCGCGCTCGACTATTGCACCCTTGCAACTGCCTGCCAGATCGCCCTTGAAGGCCGTGGGCCTCCAGATTTCCAAGACCAGGTCATAGCGACCAAAACAATATTTGTAGCGGCTCTCGGTTTAACTGGTGGCATATCGATGGCATTGTAATCCAAACAATTATTACCGATATGTGCCATAAGCAGGCAGCTGGTAAGTCTGATAATTATTGGATTTACTAAGGTTCAATAAATATCTGTATACTAATACCTATTAGGACTTGGGCGATACCTCCGTAGTATCGATAATACTAAAAGCTGGCAAGAACATACTAAGCATACCATCGTATTCTGCTTAGTACACTATTTTCGAGGCGTGCATCGAAAGTATCGAAGCTTTGACGCCTATCATTTGATGCAAGCGCGCATGCATATTGGGGCAGATGTCTTTTCGCCCTGCAATACATTCAGTATATGCTCTTTTACAAAGGCTCGATTTGACACCCGCTTTGTGTACTGATCTCTGAAGCAGATATGCTAGAAAACGAGATTATAACAAGTATTTAGAACGCGCACTGTGCTCCTCCCACAGTGGAGAGAGTTGGGGGTCCTGCGAAACCTGCTGCGCTTTAAACATCTTCTACCTCGCCTGTCCATTTTGAGAACTACGAAAGTGAACTCTTCCAGATGTGACGCATCTCATGTATATACGTATAATATTGTGAATACATTCAGTGGAAAGATACATAAAAGGGAGTTGGTTTATACTCAAGTAAACTGCCTCCAGAAACTGTCGTCGAGAAATTCGAACAGACCAGCTGTATCAGGGACGACTAGATCATCACTAGAAGCTGAGCCACTATCACCATGAGATGGGCCCTGAGTTTGTTCAGTTGTGCTAGTCTGTGCCTGGAGCCGTGCCTTATGACATTCCTTCATTTGCTGCAAATTTGGAGTGAGCTTGACAAATATCTCCGGTATATCCATAGATAATTCCGAGATGCTCGCTTGGGAGGTCGATCGACTGTATTCTCTTGCTTCTTCGAGCTTCTGATCAAATGTGCTAAGCACTTCGAAAAAGTCCATCTGGCTGCGTACATACTCCTGGTCCCACCCTTCACCATTGAAGAGAGAAAGCTTGGACAGGACAATGATTGCGTGGCCCAGTTGCGACCACAAAGGGTACGGAAGGTGGAAATATGAGGATGGCGAAAAGGAATGGAATGTGTCGAAGCATGCTTTTGTGGACTCCAAGCAAGATAGGAGAATCTCCAAGCGTGCCATTGGGAAGTTACCGTACCGGACGGCGCTCATTCTCTCATTCAACGCGACTGAGTATAGAAAGGTCTCCAGCGCATAGTAATTCATAAGAAGATCAGCTGATACACAATGGTCAGATTGAACCGAGTTTACATTCCCGTTCCACAGAAAAGAGTAAATCGACTTACTGAAACCGGGAATGTCCTGAGGAAACGTGTGCTTCAGCTGTACAAGCTCAGATTCTAACGATCTCACATAAGCCCCTATAGGAGCTGAGACTCCTAATTGAACTTCGAGTTCATCAAGAGAAAGAGAAAGTTTGATCTTATCAGCTAATCGATGTGCGCGCATCAGCTGTATAAGGAGCGTATCGGTGGGATATTCAGCTGCCTCTGCGACTAGTTGACAGCACTCCTCGGTGTATTTTGTGTATCTTAGAGAAGCAATGTTTCTGGCATAGAGTGATACTCTGCTCCGTGGTCAATAATAGGAAAAGAAGAATAATGGCAACAGATATGATAGTCTGCATACATTGAAGTGAGATAGAAGACACCTAGATAGGCTCTCCTCTCTTCCAACGTTCTAGTTGTGTGTGGCTGTCCATCTTTCTCGAAGTATTTGGCAAGACCCAAAGCAAGCTTCGATGGGCTCTTTGGATGTGCTGCATTATTTAGGCACAGGTCCGTCATCATGGCCATGATTAGATGGAAAAGATTCGTTAGCTGAGAGCCGAGTCGAAGATGGAAATGATACCTTTCCGGATAGTCAGTCAGAGAACGCCAACCAATATATTTTGGACAACGTGCCATGCTAGATAGATAAGTAGTCCTTGAAGCATATCAAGACTTTGCTCCCCTTTGACGAGAACGGAGTAGCTTATGATCTCCCTGATCTTGTTTGCCATTGCAACTTGTCGCGAAGCATCGTGTCTACAGCCTACCATCATCACTGTCGTGAAAAGGAATGGCTTCTCCCGCCTAAGGTCATTCAAACTGACTTCAGCAGGGATGATGACGAACGGAAAATGAGGCATCATGTTAACTCGAAAATGATCCAACATCATCTCCGCTTCTCTGTCACTTGGGATGAATTGCCGTATAATTTCCGTCGGGGAGAGACCATACTGTCCAGCAGTCGGACTCGCAATTGTGGTCTGGCTCCCTGGATTGTTATTTTGTCTGGCTCGCTCTGAGGCCGACAGTATAGCGGCAACATTATCTAACTTCTGCTCCAGCCTGGCTACATCCCTTAATGAAACATTGGTACTCTGTCTTTTCAGTAATGATAGCGATTGCACTTACGAAGCATATGGTTTTGGTCTCTTCCGCCTATGGGCCCCCGGCATTTGCATGCTGCATTGTTTCTTCAAGCGGCGACATCTAAGTAAGTGATATTAGCACTTTTTAATTAATCTCCTTGACGCATGATAAGAAAATACCGTTGGCAAATGCCGTCTTCTGCTTCAATCTCACATTTGACCTTTGCACGGGCACATGGAACGCAAGCCTTTGGGACGCGAGCGAGGCCAGACGAGCCGGGCGGAGTCAACCGGAGCATGTCTATGCCGTCCTAGCGGCTAGGAATAGCGAAAATTATTTGATGAAAGATACAATGAGCGCCAATATGGTTGTCCGTTTGTTCCGTTCGTGTTACAAGATGAATGAATGCTGGTACGAGACCGACACGGACACGGAGCTCCGTGTCCGACGGCATCCCGTCCTCAGAGCGCCCCAATCGGGAAGGGCTCAGGCCTAATGTAGATGGACTATACCCAGAATTCAAAACATCTGCAAGCATTGCAAGGAGAGGATCGGAGCAATCGGAACACTCATCAAACAATAAGAATACAATATGGAAGTTTATTCAATATCCCATGTTTATCACCAACATGTCACATAGTACGCCATCCTCTGTTCTGCCCGATGCATCGGGAGGAAGCTTAGGTGACGAACAGTGTCTTTCTTCCAAAAGCAAGTCTACGAAGTCAAAATCCCCAGATGGACCAAACACTGTCTCTCATGCTCGGAGTGTGGATATACAACGAGATGTGCCCAGTGTTGACCATACCCGCCTCACTGGCATCAAGCTGTATATTCTCTTCGCCGCTGTATTATTTTCTACATTCCTTATGGCTCTTAATGGGTCCATAGTTTCAACGGTTCGTCCAATATATACCTCCTGTTAGGTTATCTAACCTAGTGGCGTCGTTGACATATGAAAGGCAATCCCCCAAATCACTTCTCATTTCAAGTCCCTTGACGACATCGGCTGGTATGGAAGCGCCTACCTTGTTTCGACGTAAGTTTTCCGATCGCATGTATGGATGCTTTTTGTATTAACAGCTCTCATAGTTGCTGTCTCCAGCCATTGGCGGGCAAATTCTATACGCACTTTCCAATAAAGGTACGGTACATACTCGCGCTCGTACACGGAGATGCTGACTTTGGAAGCAAACGTATATAACTTTCAGTGTAATCTTCTTCATCGGGTCTGTGATCTGTGGATCAGCTACTTCATCCAAAATGCTCATTGCTGGGAGAGCCATACAAGGTATCGGCGGAGCCGGATTGTTAAATGGAGCATTTACAACAATTGCGGCCGCGGCTCCGAAAGATAAGAAACCCAGTAAGGACATCCGGAACATTTGCATCGAACTGTACTAATAGTTTTATGTGGAAACAGTGCTCGTAGGAGCCGGAATGGGAATTTCTACCCTGGGATCTGTCGTTGGGCCCCTGATCGGTGGTGCTTTCACACAGCATGTATCCTGGCGGTGGTGTACGTGTTTGTCTCTTACAATACCATGGTCAATTTCAACTTTCCTGACTGGCTCGACAGGTTTCTATATCAACCTTCCTCCTGGAGGTCTGGCAATTCTAATTCTTTCCACCCTTTCTATACCTGAGCAAATGGAAAAGAGGCCTGTTTGGATCAATCTCAAAAACATAGTTACCGAAGAACTTGATCTTATAGGTTTCGCGCTCTTCGCCCCTGCCTGTGTCATGTTCCTACTTGCAATGATATGGGGAGGGACAACATATCCATGGAGGTCTTCAACGATCATTGGACTCTTTTGCGGTGCATTCGCGACGCTACTGGTGTGCGTCGCATGGGTTATGTATAGGGGAGATAAAGCTATGATACCACCCAATATCGCACGAAAAAGACTCGTTATATTCGGGTGTTTCACATCCTGCTTCCAGATGGGGGCGGTGTTATTGCTCTCTTACTATCTGCCGATCTGGTTCCAAGTCGTCAAGAATGCAAGCCCGACTATGAGTGGCGTCATGATACTCCCTACAGCTATTGCACAAATTCTCGGTGCGGTATTAGCTGGAAAATTCGGTATGCCTTCTCTCTGGTGACAGCGTCGGAGTGTTTCTAACTCCTTGACAGTTGAGTTGATCGGCTATTGTACCGCGTGGGCACTCTTTGGGTGCACGTTGAGCTCCATAGGTGCAGGATTGATGACCACCTTTCTGCCATCAACTGGCGCTGGTCCGTGGATCGGCTATCAGATACTTATGGGTACCGGTCGAGGGTCTGTTCTTCAGATGGTAAGCAATATCTCATCTTACTATTTATTGCTGTTAATAATGAATTCGCGCAGCCCATTACGGCCATCCAGAACCTCTTGCCAGCGCAAGACGTTGCGATAGCTTCATCCCAGGTCTTCTTCTTCCAATACCTAGGAGGCGCCATATTCCTCGCCGTTGGTGAAACCATCTTTACGAACGGCTTGCGTTCTTCGTTGCAAACATACGCTCCGAACGTTGACGCGCAAACGATAATCAATGCCGGTGCTTCTGGTGTACGAAGCACAGCCCCGCCAGCTGATCTTGCAGCTGTGCTCCTTGCATATAACCATGCTCTGGTGCATACTTTCGTAAGTTAACGGATATGCCAATCTCGATCATGTTACTAACAAGGTTTAAAATCCAGTATCTGGCACTTGGAGGATCTGCTGCGTCTTTCTTGACCGGTTTCGGTATGGGATGGCAACGAATCCCCCGAAAAGCAGCCAAGAAGAAGGATGAGAAGGTTTCTGCGTAGATGCTGAGCGAATTACCTAGAGTCACTTAATTTTGCTTTATGACCGATGGTTATTCACTTCGATAGCTGTGTTTCTTCACTCAATATCAATATGTAATAGGTTAAACCATGGATAGCATAATAATATTGTCAAACTGGTTGTGTCATAATTTCTATACTAACGTTATTTTCGTGATCTGTAGTATTCTATCGCCTGTGTAGAAGAAATTTAGAAAACTATGAGAACATAGAATGAATAAGTAGGTGGTGAGGAATCAGCTGGTATTGGATCCAGGTAGGCCTTGTCCCGAATTTGCTTTAGCAATAGCTTGAGCAAATCTATTCAAGATCTTTGGTGTATCATGTTTTCCCAGGATGACCTCAAGAGGCTGTGACTTCTCACAGAGGAGGTGTCGATGCGTTGCTTTTTTGGTATCTTGTTTAGAAGTTGGAGGCTGGGCTGTTGGGGGTGTTGTGCTGTGCTGATTTCCACTTTAGGAAGTTAGGATACTTAGCGCGGGGGGAAGTAAAAAATAAATTTAACGGTCAGAGGCGAAGGATTAAGCATAGCCACGTGTCGTCGATCCATAGCCCCAGCCACGTTTGATCTTCGTATACGACGGTACTAGGAGAGAGACTAGCTATCGGCCCCTATGTCTCAACAGTATTGGACAATGCACATAGTTTGGAGGCTTATTCTTGAATCTTTCATGCCCGCCCTCATCAATACTATCGAGAGATCATTGTAGTCAAAGACATGCAGATCTTGCACTGAGATTTAGGAACAGTGATAATAGTTTTGTACGATCGTTAATAACCAATGATAGAGATGTACTGTTGGTATTTTCAGACTTATTCCCGTCGATAGATGTAGCCGCTACAATATTATTACTTTCCAAAATCGGTCTACATAGCTGAGCTGAACTTCGGAACCACTATTTTAGCTTTCGAAGCAAATAAAACAACTAACTATCAAGACTCGAGAGCCTCAGAAGATATGGATAACTCGTTCACAGATCTATTGGGTGTCCCTTCGATTCCAAAAGAGAGCTCCGCTACCAGTATACGGCAAGAAATATACTTAATATTGCATCTCAAGTGAATATAATTTGGTTTATAATGCGACAATTAGCACCTTTGAGTATCAGCCGACAGGCTCTAGGCCTGACCCTCGCTACCACGTATGAGGTACGGGGTAGGCGAGGTCGGGACCAAGAGTTAGTTTAGATGATACCTGAATTAGTCGCGTTTAGCTCGCAGGAAGCTAAATTTGGGGGTGGCTAAGTTACTGAGGTAAAAACTATTTTCACCCGAAACGGGTTGTTTCACGACATAAGGTTGGGGGCCGACAAACTAGCCCTGGTTACAGCGCATAATCTCTGACCAGGCACGTTCTAGTGAGGATAACTAAACAGCAGATTAAGCATCATGTTTAGTTTTCTTCTCGACACTAGCATTTAGAATGTCGATCATTGCTTATACCCGAATAATGTGGATGAAACTAGATCTTCATCTTGGATCCTGCAGAATATAGCCAGCTGCTAACATTCGGCCCCCAGCCCCAACATGACCAATAACGCCGCGAGCTGAGAAAATCCAAAATCCTTCGATTTGTTCCATGGGGCAGATAATGATTCTATACTTGGTCATGACAGATCAATACACAGCTGATGTGCCAGACTATAAATATACCGGTTTTCCTGCGACTACTTGTTAACTTTCAAGCTCTGTCAAACATACAAAAAGGCGAATAACAATCTCCTTATCTTGCGACAGAATCTCATCATTCCACGAAAAGTCCTTCAGAAGTCTTCATTACTCCAAGTTTCCTTCCGCCACAATGTGTCTCCTCGCAGCGCTTGGTGCCCTCGTCAAGTCCAGAAGCGCATACAAGGACGCGACTTCCGGGCCATCACCGCAGCCAACCAATCCATCTGGACACAGCAGAAGGGGAAGACGTTACCAGTCTGATGTCGAGAAGTACGGGTACGAAGTAGCGGAGCGGAATTATCAGAGAAGGGCTGCTGCTGCGTAAGTGCTCATGCAGAATTTCGTATATAATCGCCTAGGCGAAGTCTCTAACATTTCCTGGTCATCAGACGACAGTGAAGAAACCTTGCAGATGAAAGCCACGTTTTATAACTTCCGATTATATGAGGACAAACTCCTGCTGTTGGAATTCGGTTTATAAAGTGATGGAAATTTTGGTACGCTGTCTGAACAAGAAACATGATGGATAGATGGGGAGTCGGTGTTTATTTTGTGTGTTTTTATTGAGCGTTTTGTGCTATGTTGTCTCTTTGGAAATGGGTTATATAGTGATGCTGTTCATTCTACAAATGACAGCTAGAGCATTTTCCATGATTTGCCGAAGTATATACATACTTATACTTTATCTTCACCATTTGTCATTAGAATATTCCTTTCGAGGACGTGTAATTGGGACCGCTCTTTATGTTTATCATTTTACAGACCAGCATTTTCGCCTAGATAAGAGATAATTTTAAACTCTATCCAGAGCTATCCATCTTTTCCAAATGTACAAAGCTACTGGCGTCTCACGATTTGTCTTGTCAATAGAATTGTATACTCGAAAACTGCACGGTACATTTCTCTATATTGATAGAGCAAACCTATATTATATTCATCACCACCAATAGGCTTCTTCTCGAGTTCTCCTTGGTATATTATTACTCTTTCAATCCGCCAATTAGTCTCCCTAGTCGACAATGACGCATTTTCTCGGGCACCTTTATAACTATCTGCAATACGGGGTCACTCTGTAAAAGATATCCAGGACGCCTTTCTAGGTAGTTGATTAAAACCTTCATTCACCGATTGTAAAAACCTCTCATTTTTGGATCATCTAAGGTAGACTCTAGGCAAAAAGCACGTGAGCTGCTCGCTTGGTCGAGCTAAGTATGATATGATTGTAGTGATTGTGAATGTAGGCAACTGCCGCTATATAGGTAGTGATAGCATCCCACTTAATGGAATGTGACGTTACCGTAGAGTAACCTCCTCCACAGCCATCTTCAATGAGATCGTCTTTCAAGATCGTCAAAACATCGAGTATATAGTCCCCTTCATCAGTTTTATCCTCTTGACTGACTGGAGCATCCACAGTCCTCGGGTTTAGCCTGGCGTTGCCATCACATATCAGCGTTGCTAAACTCATCGGGATTCTATATCACATATTAATTGTCTTCATCTCCATCGATCATCGGCTATGGCCCTTCTGGTAGAAGCGAAGAATGGTCATGACATATCTCCCTTTGATGCTTTCCCCACCCCGGATAAGACAGATGATCTTACGGAGAAGGTGCGGATGATTTCTCTTGCGAATCCTATGCCAAAGAGCCCTTAACTGAAGGCGAAGATATAAACTGAGACGAGGAGCTGGTTGCCAATGGTGGTATCAAAGATCACAGTCTCCTCGAAGAAAACGGATTTGAACCCATCTGGATAGAGGAATATAGTTACCCTGGAACCCCACCCCCCCGGATATTAGGAGTATTTGTCCTCATCTCTAGTAAGTACTACCTTGTCCATGTTTAGGGTCTTATCACTTCTAAGAATAGTTTTGACTGGATTAGATAGGAGTTTTCCAAATGATCGGTTCCATCAGAAGCATGTTCTGGCTTTTTGGTTGAACTTGTCGATGATCCGGCATGCCGTCCAAACGATGAGACTGTCCTGGTGACTCGCGGCGTTGGTCCTGTGGGTTTTCTGATGGGCCCTTATTGTGACGAAAACAAGATTCCATTATATATATATATATACAGGAGTCCTACGACGTGTCCACACATTGCATTGCGGATCTCTACCCGTTCAACCGTCCTCAGACTTTGCCGGAGAATGTCCTATGTTTAAAAGCAAAAAGCCAAAAGAATGTTGACAAGACTATATGCCACTCGAGGAGGAAACTAGGCGAAAGCCTGAACGCCGATAGTGATAAACTTTGGTTTCGAGGACTGAGCACGGTACATTTCTATGATCCTTTTTGCACCGGTCATCAGCGACAACGCCAGCGGCAATTTGTTTGGTCCAGACATCTATACCGCGAAGGATTTTCAAACTGCGGAGAACTACGCTCATGCGAACGGTGCTGTGATGGTTTTCAAAGACCCTGACTTCCGAGGCCTTGATGTCTGGCAATCTGACGTATCTGATTGGGGCTCTCTAATTGCTCACCGGCTACAAACTCCACATCAATATATCAAAGTGCCGGAGAGCTACAAGAAGTCGGATAATATCATCGGACTACTTTCACTTGACGGGTCTAAAGTCCACACGATGTCAGTGGCATCTTCAAGGTCATCTGGATTCTCAGATGAACGAAGTTAGCAACACTGTATAAAACTTGCGGGGCCCAATTGTTGGGCATGTAATACCTGGCAGCCACAAATCTGCCATGTGATTGCTCTCGAAGATACACAGGTGTGCTATGATCTAACTCTTCTATCTATCAAAATTGGGCTAACAAATTTCTTTGTTGTTGTAGACGGGACATATCTTCAAGTGTTCAAGGTGAATTGAATCACCTCGCTTACGGTTCACTGCCTTCATGGACTATCTATACCGCGTTCCTGTCCTGTCTCTTACTATCTCATCTTCTCCCACACACATTGCTTTCGATATCTTTGAGCTGGCTCATCTCTCACGTTGATGACACCTCCAGCAACCATCACGACTCACGATGGACAAGGCTGCTTCTGCCTCTTCTGCCGACGTAAGTACTGATTCCTAAAACGTGTTATTATATTGTGTCCCGTTAAACAATGACGTTAGGATGTCTGCGAGAATGGCACAGCAGTGATGATAGAAGCTATCGTCGAATTCCTGCGGCAGCAGCCTGTCAGGCCGATGTATGGGAACAGGCAGGTCTATTCACTTTAGCTTTAAGGATTTCTCCCAGAACGCAGTGTCCTGTCGATGACCGTCAGCTTGTGAGAAAAGACCACGGTATGGCCTTGCAACGTCCGACAACGATAAATAACCCTTATCCCTTTAAACTCGTGAGAAGCTTAACCACAGTACGGATGCAAGAGAGGAATCTAGGTGTTAGCCGATGCATACCAGAGCTTTCCTGACGATTTTTCCTTTGCTCGCGATCCAATCCCCTTCAGAAGAGAAGGATGATAAGTGGTTATTGAGATCTGTTCTTATGTCTGGACGAGTCTTTGTTGGCGCTAGCTTATAGAAGTACTACTCTATCTATCAATAATAGTCCAATACTATGCATTACACGTCAATAATAATGACCTCTTGTTTAGTTCGTCGGACGTCCGAACAGAGAATGTCCAACAGCTGTGCCAAGCTCCGAACAAGCGACAACTGTCGCAGAACATATTGCAATAGACGACTACTCTATGATATTAAGTCAACCATCCAAAGGCGATTATTATTATTATCATTCTCACCGTTTCCCATAGCTTCTTTGGGACTAGTATCGCGCGACAAGCTTCTCCAATCCCCATCTGTCATCAAGATAAGAAAAAAATCCCATGCGTGAAAGATAGACATGTGGGACTGCCGGGCATCCGATACACCAGTGAAGTTGATAAATTCGATTCGATTTTGGCTGTGACTTTTCGCGCTTTTCATTCTCGCGTACACACCTGGCATTAATAATTAGATACGCAAGCGCCAAGCCGAACACCACGTATGTCGGCCACGTAAGAGCATTGACTCCTATACGCGGTTCTCCATTCGAGGTTCTTTTTGGGCTCTGCTAGATGCGGCTCTCGAGATCCTTTGGAGGTTTCACTGCAGCTATTGGTCAAAAAGATCAGGAAGACATGTCAGGGTGCAATATTGGGACGACAATACACGATCTGGCCCGGCAAATGATAGTACTGCATTCGATCTGTTAAAAAGAAGAGAACGATGCCAAGATGGCCAAGACTTATAGCTTGTAACGGCGTGTTTCTAGACAGCGGAACTGCCGACTGTGGCGCAAAACTCTCCCCGACTCAGGGGGTTTCCTGGAATCAGAGCCGGAGCACGAGTTCGCAGTTCGTCGTGAGATCTACCGTGTTGTCGAATGCTTTGAGCAACGAGGATCAGTCATTTTGGCAAAGATCGCTTTTTTATCTACTTTGTTCGTTTCGTATGTCGCAATCGGATCTAATATGGTGTCAGCAAGATCGTAGTATATAATCAAAGATCTAGAAAACATATCTAACTTCAGGATCAGAAGAATGTAACTTACAAGCAAGCAACTATGCGAAACACTCTCCGCTAACTACCCCAGGAACTCCTGTCACAGGGATCACCGGGGTCTTGGCCCAGTCTCGCTATGAAGCCCTAGTTGGTTCAGAACCATTCGAACGACCGCCAAGCTCACGATGCACATCATAATCTTTATCTATCGATCCTCTATTAACGCCCGCTGAGGGTAGTATTGTGATTCCAGAACGCCTCCCAGAGTCTCAAGGCAGTCAAACTGTACGTTTCAGGGGGGAAAGCAGATCGTGTTTACCCTTTCTCCGCCTTAGCTCGGTGGAATGATCCAACGTATTTTAGGGAAGTTGTCGTATGCTCCACAGCCACAGTGGCCTCGCGGTGGTCATGGTCGTCGTTGTCGTTGTCCCCTTCCAGATTAGAACAAACAAGAGAGAGAAGAAAAAGGTTGCTTTTGCCTCGAGGCAAGGTCCCATTTAGATGGCTTCTTCATCCTCTTTCAATTCTTGCCTTTTCCATGTCCTAATATCATGAATATGTCGTCCTCGCCGGTCCTTCTCTTGGTTTTGCGCTTCTACGCGCTTTTCTTTTGTTTCAATGTCGCACTTACTGCCGAGGTAGATATTACTACGGGCAATGACTTGATGTCCTTTGTCACGGTTAGTGTGGTCAATATGAGATGCTGCTTTTTTTTCTTTTTCTTTCCAGAAGATGTTTCTGGTCGACGGAAATGTAGAATCTTTTCCTTGCTGATTCTAATGGACAATTACAGCGTCCGGATATCAAAGCCCCGCGGTATGAAGTGACAATCCATGACCCGGATTCCATGACTTCTGGATACTGGTTCTCTGCGCCATACTCGGTGATCGATCCGGAAGCCCCGACGAGAAAATGGATGCCATGCCAGGTTGGCCCGCATATCTATGACGGAAATGGAGTATGTTCTTTCTTTGTTGTGTCTCCAGATATTATTACCCCCCCTGATTTGAAAAAGAAAAGGTGGTAAACAGAAACTGACACAGCGCTCAGACACTAATCTGGTCCGGAGCTTGCCTCTTCGAGAACCGCAACGTCTTCGACTTCAGACCAGTGACAAATATCGACGATGAGGTCCACATGTCTTTCATCCTTCAGCATGCCTATCATGATGACAGCGTCAAAGGAAGTGGTATGATCTATGACCAGCACTATGAGCACGAAAAGATCGTGGGCGTGACCAACGATCTCTCTGCATTCAATATGCACGAGTTCAAAGTCCTCGAGGGTGGAAAGACGTCTCTGGCCTGTACGTACAGGCCCGAGAACGTGGACTTTGCGGATCTAGGCCGGCCAGGCGAAACTGGTGTGGTGATCATTGGGGGGTTTGAAGAAATCGACACTGCCACCGGCAAGGTGGTTTTCGAATGGAGCTCGAAGGACCATGTCTCTCTGAGCGAGTCAACGTTTGCTGTCCCAACGGATAGATTGCCCGGTGCGCCTGGATGGGATTACATGTGAGTGAATAATCCTTGGCTTTGTAGGAGGAAAAGAGCAACTTGATGAGACCAATTTACCTGACCACTCTCAAAACAGCCACGTTAACTCCGTCGATAAAAATGCCAACGGCGACTATCTCCTCTCCGCTCGATTCACAAACACCATTTACCTGATCTCCGGCCAGGACGGACACATCATCTGGCGTCTAGGCGGGAAGCAGTCTGATTTCGACCAGGACTTCTCTTTCTACAGGCAGCACCATGCACAGTTCGTCCCATCCAAGGACAACGAAACCGTCATCTCGTTCCTCAACAATGCCTCCGACGAAGGTTCGCAAGAAGACACCATTTCCACGGCTCTCATCGTTCGACTAGATACCACTTCTATGACCGCGCGAGTCGTCAAGAGCTTCGATCGCCCAGACGGAGAACTCACTCGCCTCCGCGGCAACGTCCAGATCCTATCTAACCCAGGCGGCAAAGGGGATGGCAACGTCTTCGTCGGCTGGAGTCAGCAGGGTTACCATTCCGAGTTCAGTCCTGAAGGCAAACTTCTCATGGAGGCACGCTTTATATCCCCTCGTTTCTCATCCTACCGCACCTTTAAGCTCCCCAGCAACAACTTCCATGGCCGACCAGCCGAGCCACCCGCTATCAAATCCTTCGTTTACGCCAGCGCCAGTTCCTCAACCGTCACCGTATTCTACGTGAGCTGGAACGGAGCAACAGACGTCGCATCATGGAACTTCTACGCACAAGCCCAAGACTCCAGCAACCGCGTGCTGGTAGGCAATGTGCAGAAAACCGATTTCGAAAGCATGTTCATGGCAGATGGCTATCTCGACTGGGTATCTGCCGAAGCTCTCGACGCACATGGTAACACCCTCGGCTGGTCCGAGGTGCAACGCTCAAGCCTTCCAGAGAACTGGTCCCAATCAGGCCTCAGCTTGAATCCAGATGATCCCTCCGAATTAGCTTCTCTCGAAGACTACATTAACGACCAAATCGATGCCGAAGAAGAGGAGGAGGAAGAAGAAGAAGAAGACAGCTCCTACGGGATATTCGGCGGCTTTGGTGGATTTTTGATTTTCTTACTCCTCGTCGCTTGCTCCGTTACCGGCGTCGCTGTGGATGTATGGCTGGGCCGGACGCGCGAGGAAAAGCTGGAGCAGAAGCGTGATGCGGAGGCAGACGCAGCAGTGGCAGCGTGTGAGAGAGGTCAAGGATATATTCAATTACCGTTCGATGAGGAAGTTTATGCGCTGAGCGATATGAGTCGGCGGAATAGTACAGAAAGTACGTGACATGATGGCATTCTTGTGTCTACTGTGCTTGCTTGCTTGTAATGTATGTATGTATGTATGTACATTTTCTTCTTTTTTTCTTAGACATTTTCATTTTCATTTTTCTTTTTCTTTTTTTTTTGGATCATGGGGTCTGGGGACATCGGGCGGTACATCTGTATAGGGCGTTCAAAAACTCTGAAGAGTTCATACCATTATGTTTCTGGGTTTAACTTTTATGCATCGATTCTGCCAATTCAACGCCAAGCTGCCTAACTAGTCGATATCCCAAAATTGTGTCGATGCGGACAGACAAACTAGGTGTAGCCATGATGATTTAGTCTATGCAGCTGGCCGGGAGATACGAGGAGTCGCAACGAACCCCTGTCGTCGACCGGTGATTTCCGGGAGGGTAACTAGAAGATAGTAAAGGGCCGATTAACTTAATGCCGGTATTATTATTAATGAACCACACTAACTACGTACTTAATAATGAATAATAATCTAGGAAGGCTGACATGTCCATAACTGAGAAACTAACTGGCACCGGAAAGAGCGCGGATAGATAAAATGTAAATATTTACTGGAAATGGGTATACAACTGCGCGCTAAATACACACAAAACAAAATTCTGCCTCCAGCTAGCTCCCTCAACGCCATTGGGAAAACAAGAATCCAAAAGGAGCAATATGGTTCATAAGGACAGAATGCAGTCAACTTCTCATGGAAAGGTGGATTACATACGTGAGGTGGTAATTAACCAAATATCTTTTTTCGGACGTTCTTCGCAGTATGTTTCAAGATAGGGAGAGAGGGTGGTTGATTTATGATTCCGGCACCGCCCACGGCTCAGATTGTGCTGGAAACGATCTCGTTCCAGAGCTCTTTGCCATATGGGTCACATAGACAGTCTAGCCATAGAACCTTCTTCATGCTCCTCTTCAGGTCATTCCAGCTGCGGATCTGGAAGACCGGGGCCAGACGGCGAAGAGACCGAATATACCACGCTCTAACTTCGCGATCGTCGGCGGTTGTGCTCTCGACGCCGCTTGCGATGGCTCCCAGCACAAAAGCCCAGCGCAGGAGGTCCGGAGCTGCGTGCCAGCTTTTTTGGGGGTCGGATTCAGTGAGTGCGATGCGTACCAGCCGTCCAAGCTGGGCTAGAGGAGCATTCACAGGCGGGACGGGGAATACAGTTAGCAAGCTGTAAATCATGGTGGCAAGCCGACATGGCTCGTAGACCCGGTGCGTCTCGACAAAGAGGGCGTTATGCGCGCATTCGGCAAGGGATGGCAGCGACATAAGACGGTGTTGGATGTAGTTGCGGCGGTCAGCCATGATGTGATCACCGGGATAGTGCAATTTCCCCTTGTCGAAGAGGTCGATGACAATTGAATACGTGTGTATATCCTGGAGAATCTCTGCCAATTCCCCGGTTAGACCTGTCCGGACGTACTGTTTAAAATCGCGAGCAGGACCGTATGCCGAAATTTGGGCAAGTACGTTCAGTGGCCAATCTGGTTGGATTGATCCTTTGTTAGTCTTAGCCAACGCTACATAAGGGAGCACTGGCTTCGAGAGGCTCCTCGTTGCTAGCATTGCCCCGGCACTTTGTTTTTGTCTAGGTCAGCGAGTCTCCAAGAGCAGTCGTTATTGGGGACCACTTACAAGGAAAGTGTCTCTGCCAATCCTTCCATTTTTATTTTGTGTAGGCCGCCTTTCAGATGTATCACTTGCAGGAGACCAAGGATGTGGACCTGATCTAGATCCAAGGAGCAATATACATCGAGCCATTGCAGTCTCCTGAGTGGCGATAAATGGGCTCGCCACGTGGGAGGAATCGTGGTGTTCTCGTATCTGCTGAAGGCGACAGTCATGATGGCCAGGATAATCTCGTCAGTCAGTGCCTGGGACGGGTCACTGATAATGGCATTCAGACGTCGTATCGCCTCGTCTTCGACAATCATAATCTGAAGTCGTTCTTTCTTCTCCAGGGCAGGTGAATTCGGACGCTCCAGGCGCTTGCGGCCTTTCTCGTGAGTTGCCGTACCGTACATAATAGAGCTGAACAGCGCAGGATGATTGACGGCCAGAGGCAGCCAGAATTCCGACTTTCTGTCTTTGCCTCCTCCATCAGGAAGTATAGGGATGAGGCTAGGCAAGAGTTGCTCCGCAGCTGTTTATGCACCAGTTAGCTATAATCTCCCAGAGACGCCTATGTTTGTGTAAATGCGCATAATGTGGCTACAGTATCGAGAACTCACCATAATGTATAAGCCTGCGGGCCGCTCGCTCATCGAGGTCTGATGGATATGAAGCAAACAGGCTCGACACTCCAGCGTCTAGAGCCAACGCATGGGAGTCCTGATGAACATTATCGATAGCCATAAGGTTGGTTCTTTGTTCCTCTTCTTCGTCAGGCTCCTTCTTCAATAGCGTCATGGACGATTCATCGAAGATCATGTCCACCGGGTGAGGATCATCATCGTCAGGTGGTGGTGTCAACACCGTCTGTCCATTTCCAACACTGCACGCAACTGCTGCTTCCCGGTGCCGGTTTGGGAGCCGGGTTGGGAGCGAACGTGACGAGTTTCCCTGCTGCTTGGAAGAACGGTCGACATTGCCCTTCTTCGAGCGAGCTTTGCTGGAAGTTGTTGTCTGACGACGCTGTTCCCAGATATACCGGCCTGCATTGGCGCGAATCAATGACCTGCTATCGGCCTTCTCTCCGGGCGCCGACGGGTCGACGCTCACAAAGTTGTATCCACGATCGGGATCTTTATTATCACCGCCAGAAGGCATCCCGAATCCAATCCATCAATCAGCCGATTGCGCCAGAGTCAAGTGTACCTCCATCGGTTGCTGTGCGCAGTGTTGAGCGATGACGAAGATAGAGAACGGCGCGGGGAAAGCTTTTAGAGATGCGTGGCCCCCAGGCTCATAGTCCCAGATGTATGTCTACTTCAATTGTTCTGTCTGTTTCGATTGACAAGGAAGCGCAGCGCACAAATTCCAACATCGAAGCCAACAATCCTTTCCGTTGGACGATCCGGGCGCCTTAAAAGAGACTTGCAAGTCCAGGCCACCGAATCTGCTGCGGATTCTCTGCGTCTCGTTTCTCCCCGCTTGGGTGAACCGATCGTCCAGGTGCGTTGACTAGCGAAGGTGTTAGTCTGACACGGCGGGTCTCCATCCCTCGAAGATTAAGGCTGATTGCCCGGATGGATAGCCTCATCGCACCAAGCAGTGGCACTTCACCACCACGGACTCCGGCCCGCTGGGAGGCGCCGGGATGGTGCATGGATCACAGCTGCGTAGAAGGGATTCATGGATTATTTCCACCGCCTGGGGATTTCAAGTTCTAGCTTCTCAGAAGGTTGGCCGTTACTGCTTGGGTCTCTTGGCTGTACGTCAAGTCTGTCCATTCGTATCATTCATCCATCCCAAACTAAAGGGGATGGCGCTGACCCCTGTATGTTTCTGCCTCGTGCTGACTGACAATTGACTTTGCTATCCTGGCCGTTTTGGTGGGTAGATAGTGGCGAGATGACCTGGCTGGCTCTCTGCGGTCTTAAGGATCCGCACCGGCCTCGAGACCAGCACGAGTCTCTACTGCAAGCAGCAGGTGTTAAGAGTTTCGAGAAGGAAATGGTATCATGTACCTCACCCAAGAGAGTATTCAAGTGGATGTTGAAAAGTGAAGCGAGCCGCTTGACGGCCGACCCGTTCTCTGAAGCCCACCAGGTTCAATTGCATGGATTGTCCCAGTGCAGTGGCTTTCAAGGCGTCCGTTTGCAATCCAACACATATGATTACTATTGTTATTTATCCCCTCCCAGGAGGACGTCAGTGTTCGATCTATCCGGATCCTAGATCCAAGATCGTTATGGGAGGGGACCCGCTCGTAGTCTGGATAGTAAACTGTAAATAATAATAAATTATACTCCGTATATCCTCCTACGGGTCAAGGTCATCGACCCAGGGGCGGCTCGAGGGCCGGATAGTTCGTCCAGCAGCCGGAGTCGAGAATGAGAGGAGATCCCTAACTCATACGGCGCCATGATTATTCGCCATTGAGAGAAGTTAAGCACCATTAGCCTCCGGGGAAACGGTCCAGGCTGAATTAAGCGCAACTCAATACATAAATTAGACAAACAGACCTGTGACTCGTGAGCAACGCGTCGTCGGAACGGCCAGCGGACAACCCGTTAGGAACGGGGAGAATTAGAGCGATTGACAAGGCGCTAAAGGAAAGTAAAGAGTGTCAAAAAGTCTCAAAAGAAGTTGACGTCCTGCACTGCGCTGCTGCCGGCCCCTGATCTCGGGACGCTTCGACAAGGTCTGGATTCTGTTCGATTTGACTTGCGGAACCGCGATAGACGAATAAAATCCGCCTCCAACTCAATAATAGCAGCCTTGATATGCTCCTATTATGGTTGCCGTTGCAAGTTCGTTCCATCCTCGCTTGGTCCTCCCCCTGGCTCGTTCGCTTGTATGTGATCATGCAGCTTCGGGTGTCACCTCCACGTCCCCGAGGAGCTTCATGTGTGACAAATACAATAATAATGCCAATCCCCATCCCCCCCGGAAGCTGAACCGTAGGCATGGGAAAGAAAGACACCATGACAGGGGACAAATGGTGCTCCCCTGGTCTAGGGCAACTGATCCAGTTTCCAACCCCGGCCAACGAGAAGGGAAGAGAAAAGAGCGGTGACCGTCGCTACGTAAAATTATCCGAGCCTGGTCGATCCATCCCCTCTCTTTATCTCCAGGGTCTAGTCTAGAGTATTCCGACACTCGCCATTATTAGTTAGAGTAAGTAATAACTAATCTGTCCCCGGCACATTATCAATTCTTTACAGTGCGAGATATAACCTTGCCATAATTACAGCAGACCCTCTCTCTCTCTCTCCAGTGAGAATCCCAATGCCTCCAAATCAGACGATAAGAAACATCAACATTCAACAACAAGAAGAATAGTTAATAATACCACCTCAGCTCAGGATCCACTTCCCTAGTATCCGACGACCATTACTACATGCAGAAATGGTGTGACGAAGTTAGACCATAACCTCGGAAATCCAACGTGGAACTTTTGTCCAGCTGTCCCCAAAAGAATGTGTTCATCCAAATAATAGTCTTAACTAAACCATTGAGCAAAATCGGGATTGGACTACGGGATTTGATATATTTTGTAGCCATTGAACTTTGAAGTTACTATCTAACATCTAGACTACCGTACGCAATAGTCGTGTAGACTACTTAGTTAAGGTGCAGTCTGCTTATACGGAGCCGATTATACATATAAAAATGCACACGTGCTCTATGCACATACAGTACATCGCTTCACGTGCCATATGATACGGCACATCCCTCTCACTGTGACTACTCTTCCCCCCATCCACTGAAATCTCACCTCGGATGCAGGCAGATATTATCCGGAACCGAAGTGGAGGATTCTCATGAATTCGGAAATTCAGTGCCGTTGAATGACAGACCCAAGAGGGTGGTTTGGTCCAGGCTCAAGGGGGAAAGGAAAAGGAAAAGACCGACGAGCCCGCTTCTCTCTGCTAATGCAACTACACTAGTTGAGAACATCGGACTCGTAAGTTGTAACATGATGGAATTCGGAACGGAACCGGGGGTAGAGTTAGAGAAAAAGGTAGTTAACTGCTACGGGTGTCAACAGGGCTATGCTCTTCTTTCGAGGAAGATCATGTGGGGAAAGAAAGAATGGACACATAGTTAGATAATCGGATCAATTCGTTACGCTGTTTGCATTTTGCTTGTCAACCGATATGTATCCTACAGACATGGAATAGAGCCAAACTATACGAAACAGAGATATGATGAAAATACATTGGGATGGCAACGAAATAAAAGGAAAATAGTAACTCGATTGTGCGAGAGGAGACGGGTATGGTAGAATACAGCAAGCTTTTGTATAAAGTGTTCAGCCAAGTGTGTAAGTTACTCCTTGTTTCCTGCTCAGGGGTGGTTGTAGAAACTGCAGTACTATAGTTGGGATGGCTGCTTCGTCAAGCGTTCTAGAGATCAAGTTGCCCCTTCATTCGTAACTCTTCTACCCAAGCAACGACACTATTCTATTTCGCAAAGTGGAGGTCATATGCAAGCCACTTACGCGCGTTCACGCCGGCAACATCCAGGCCAGGTGTACCGTACGTCAAGGGCGCGTAGAACAAGAATCCTGCAATGGTCGCCGCCAAGATAACGGTAGTCGCGATCCAAGCAGCCAAGTAAGATTTAGGGCCCATCCGCTCTCTCGGGGTGATGAAACGGTAGGGAATCATCCGTGACATAACGGCCTTCTTGTTCTTAGCGGCGGGATCTTGTTCATCCTCTGGCACGTATCCGGCCGGTACGATGGGGTCTACGTTGAAAATAAACTCGATCAGAGCACCTGTCACCAAAGTGGACGCCAAGTGCGCTGGTAGGTAATGGTGCAAAAAGCGCTGACGACCCATAAGCCAGAACGGGAAGTAGTGAGCTGCCCAGCAGAGGAACAGGAAACCAGTGCTGTTGTACAGACGGGAGCGGGCACCAGGACCCCAGACTAGTTCGGGTTAATGCGACCACAACTAGAAAGATTATGAAAGGGACAAAAAAACTTACTTTCGTCCAGAGCATCCACGCCGCGTCTCAAAGACAACTGATCCGCGCCAACCACACCTGCAAAGACCGCCAAGAGACTGCTAGCCAGCCACCACCCGATTGGATTTCCGAGGAAGTAGATCTGCTCGCGGGTATCGTTCTTCGTCCAGAAGCTAACACCACGCAGGAGGAACGGCCACTGGAAGGGTTCACTCGCGTACGGGTGCTCACTGGTGAGGGCATTGTTATGGAAGAACATGGCGCGTTGTAGTTCGATATACTTTCGCCAGAAAGGCAGCTGTTTGACCTGGCGGGGCTCCTTCTGCAGACGCGGAGAATCCTCCGGCAGTGAAGGGATCGCATCCACATACCAAACATTGCTCGACTGGAGGGTGTTCTTGTTTCCGTTAATCTCGGCCTGCTTGAACGCCCAGTCTGGTAGAGGAGTCGTATGTGTCCACATGGCTACCCGAGTGGGAACATGGATCAACTTGAAGTGACTCGACATGGTCCTGAAGTCTTGGCCTTCCTTGCCCCCTTCAATCTTGATCTCGAACAGAGTGTCGTTGTGACGCTCCCCGTTGGCCAAGTCGAGGGGCACCGTGGTGAACTCCTGGTTGGTCGGGTAGTAAGGAGAAGCAACATCGTGTGTGAGAAGGATGGTGTCGGTACCGACATGTCGGAGCTGAACTACGTCGCCATGCTTGACATGGTGGCCGGTAAGGTCATCCTCAGCGAACTGTTCGTTACCTGGCAAGATCTGCCAGATGTTGTTGGTGTCATTGTAGGGGTAACCGGTGACCTGCTGGCCCTGGCTAGAAATGCGGCCGTCATCGTAACGGAGCGGGTATCTCTCCCAGTGGCTGTGAAGGTAGGTCTTCGTATCCTTGTGACGAATGGTAATAGTGTCATAGTATTCGACATGGGTGGACGCAGCGGTCATCAAGTTGTCGCTCAGCGTCTCCTGGAACTCTGGGGTCATGAAGTCGTCTCCAGGACCGGATCTGGTAAGGATGGCGAAATGAACCTGGAACCAGAAGAGGTAGAAAAAGAACGGCACAATGATCAAGGAAAAGGCCCGGGCAACGAAATGCTTCCCAAACTGAGGCATCGTCAGAGCACCTCCGCGGCGGTTGATATCCAGTAGATTCCACAGGTCGACCAAGACTGCTGCGCCGATGGTAACAAACGTGAACACACCGACATACTTGGTCGAAATGACGCAGCTGAGAGAGACACCGGTCAGGAGAAGCCACTTCCACCATTTGCGTCCGAATGGCTGGTGTCTCTGCTTGTAGAACTTGATGTAGCACAGAATACTCAACGCCATAGTCAAGACTAGGGTTGCATCCAGCAGAATCAGTCTAGTCTCACCAACGTGCGCATTGTCAAACACCATCAGACCGGCAGCAAGAACACATGCGGGCAGCGAATATCCCGATTCCCACATGATCAAAAACACGACCGGGATAGTGAGAGCGCCCAGGGTAGCGGGCAGCGCTCGGAATGCCACATAAGGGACCTTGTTTTCAATGTACGATTCGCCAATGTTTTCAAAAAGGAAATGACCATCATAGCCGATGAGCCAGCCGACAAAGGCGAAAAGAAGCTTTCCAAACGGAGGGTGAACGTCAAAGAAGTATGTCCGTTGAAGGTAGTAAGAAGCAAACTGTACACATCCCAAGTCAGCATCCGATCGCAGAGAGATAGACTCCGATCAACAAGGTCTGTGCGACACGCGCGGCGCCCGCATCGACACCTCAAGAGAAATGCCATACCTTTCCGAAATGAACCTCATCAAATACCACTTCATTGGGATACCCGATATTCCAGAACCGGGTCAGGAAGCCCAATGCCGTCAACACGGCCATAGCAATCTTGTAGTCCCATTCTGGGCCTTGCGCAGACACTGGCGCAGCCGTGGCATTGCTGGGAGACACGTAGGCGTTAACATCCTTCTTTCCGCCTCTCCTACGGAGAGACGGAGGAGGGGAAGAAGACATGATGTGAAAGTAAATATAGAGAGCGTCAGGGGGGGACAAAAAGCCACCTTTACTGCAAAGAAGTCAGCATTGAGAGAACACCGGGTGATTGTGTAGCAACGTGTCAACCTACAATAATCAGTAAAAGAGCATTATAATAAAACGACAGAAGAACAAGAAACGAAATTCCTGCCGCAGGGGGGATGAAAGGGTGAGGAATCTGGCCTGTTCCTTTGTCTGAGTTGCTGGCGGCGTGGGAGCGCGGAAGGAGTAGTAGCCAGCTGGCCCGAGCGCCCTTCGGAGGAGAGCCTACGCGGCCTGTAACTACGTATACAGTAGACTCTCAACTTATTATGATCAACAATCGACAATTAACCAACGCACGACAAGCCCAAAGTGACTGGATTCGAGAGTTTTAAAATGTTTATATTCTTTGGGGAAATAGTATCATATGCAACGCCACATGTAGTGAACCGTCCCGACACAGAACACCATAGCTATCCCAGTTCTCCGCAATGCAAGCCAGTCCAACGCAATTAATAGAAAATGAAGAATCGTTCCAGAAATATACATGGTTTACAAATCACTCATCATCGTCTGACAAGTTAAGTAGCTCCAGCTCCGTTTTAACAAGAGACTGGAAATCCGCCCTTGACATACCGGTGGTCTTCGCAAGTCTGAACAAGCTCTTGATATTGGAGCTGATATGCTGCTTCACGCCAGTTTCGACGGAAGACTGATTCTCGGCTTCTTGTTCGAGCTTTGCGACCGCATCGGAACTGGCTGACGAGGTCGACGATGGCCGAGGATGATTCAGAAGCATGGCGATATCCTCCTGCCTTGCGTCACCAGGCGCATAGCCGTTCACCCGAGGGGATTCGTCCTTGCCCACATGGCTGACCTGCCTCTGGAGGAGACTAGCCAGAGTATCTCCATTCAGCGAAGATACACCAAACTCGGCCTTGTCTTCTGAGGGGTCATCATTATCCATTGCCGGCTGCACATCACCGTATCGGGCAAAATATGAGGCTTCCGATGCCACTGGTTGGTGGATCGAAGAAACTGGATTCGGCGCTGGGGTCTTGATCGATGGTGTTCTTCCGGGGGTGTTATCGTATTGTGCCCAATAGTCATCGTCGTCGTCATCCTCCAATCCTTGGTCCACCTGCTCAGCTTGCTTCAAAGCATCTTGTACCACCTTCTCCTTGGCGTGCTCGTTGGCTTCTGCTATCGACAATAACCAGGACTTGTCATCTTCCGCCGATCCATCCCATGGAAGCAACTCTGCGACTCTCCAACCAGGACCACCGCCTTCTTGGTCGGTAGGACACCATACATAGAGGACCGCGATATTGAAATCCGGCAGAGGAACTCGCGACCGTAATGTCTCCTGGTCAATCCGTTTATATTCGACCGGCAGTTCATCTGGGAGCTCTACTTCTCCCGAGACAGGATGCGGCTCAAAGGCCGCGCCATCTAGCAAGCTCTGAAGGCGCTCTGCTTTGGTGGGATCCCAAGACAACAGCTGAAGCCAGGAATCAGAACCTGAAGATGTCGAGCTGAGTATCTGAACGCGCTGGCGCAAGATGGGCGATAGTAGAGGCAGGAGAGCGGGCGGGGGACGGTTCGAGACAAAGGCTGCTGGTAGACAGGCCAGGAAAGGAGGTAACAACGTCCGGGGGTCCGGCGGCTGGATGAATTCGACCATTCTATGGCTGCCAAAAAGGGACCTTTTTTTCCTTGTTCAACGCAGGACTGTGTTCGCGGCCGCTCTCATAAGTCGTTAGAGTCGCACAGTCCTCTGAGTTTCTCAGGCGGGGCAGAGATATTTCAGGGAGGGAGAGGCCTTTGGGGAAGAGAGATCAGCAAAGGACTTGCATATAAATGTTGAATGCCCCGGGGCCCGTGTGATGCGGAGAGTGGGTTGCAATAATGCAGCAGCATCGCTGACAGCGTCACAGCTGCTGCTGGACTGTACCATAGACTATGGTACTCACCTCCATCAGCGCTGGAGAAGATGGGGCCAGCTTAGGCTCCATTTGCCCGGTGGGCTTTGGGGTTCCCGGTGAGGAGTGGCGGACGCGGGGCAACAAATAGTTAACATTTAGTTCGCGTTCGTCCGGTCTTCTAGACTACTTAGATAGATGAGAATAGATGCTCTCCTGTCGGCATAATTCCGCGTTTCCGAACGGTGTTCAACAGCGTGAGATATGGCCAGTCAAAGATGCCGTGAAGGGAAGAAAAGAAAGTATTACATTGTCGACGGAACGCGGAGAGTTATTATTGAATAGCGGAGATCCCGACCGTCAGCCCTAAAACAGTGGTTCCTGCTGACTTTCCAATAGATAGTGCCATTTTGATGATTCTAGCATGACTGCCGCTTACCATCAACTACCAAGTAACTACTTAACTTCGCGCCTGGATTATCGTGAGACTCAGCAGAAGGGCAATACATATATACTACCAAAAGAATTCCTGATCAGTAGAGAACAGTTCACAGTTGGAGTGTTTAAAGATTATTTATAACCGCCGTATACTACGCGTGTAAAATACCCTTGTGCATTTTGTTCTAATGCTGCTATGAGTGATTGTATGCTAATAACTAAGTAACTTGCCGGTCTCCATTAACATTGTCAATTAAGCTTACTTATACCGAGAAACCCCGCAACGGCTGTTTTGAAAGTCAAATATTTGGTACTGTACCAGAAGTCAGCCATTTTACCAAGCGATAGCCTCAAAGTAACAAGCAAAGAGGTATAGATTTCTTCAGAGGAATAATATAATAATTGTCATGTTCAGCTCCAAATTAACTAATTGCGGAAAAAAAGAGTGTTTTTTCGCGCGACACACTACTAAATACCTATTGGTCGGTGTACGGCTAGATTCGCGATAGTTCTGACGCGGTCGAAATGCCACGCATGGAAGCGGCTTGCTCACAGGGGCCTGCATTCCTTTACTTGCGGATTGATCATGACCCTCCGTAGTCGAATTCCCCTTTAACCATTATGAGACGAAACTGTAGGTATGTACTCGGAATGTGCTCCGGCTTAGAGTTGAGTTGAGCTCTGCACCAGTCATCGGGAACTCAATTGTGCATAACTACAGTACATGCAGTCGTTGGTCTCGAAACACCAAGAGGACAAGGATTCACGGGACAAGGGCAATCACGCCTGGTAGTCACTACATAATCAAGACCTGCCCATTTGCTGCCACTGCCCAAGATGTCAAATAAGGATGTTTTCGATCGTCCTACCACCACAGACATCACAGGAGTAGGTCGACCAGATGATGGCACAGCGGCAACCACAGAAGTCGATTCGGACGAAACGCAAGAGCTAATTTACAAGAAAAAATTGGAAAACAAACTGCGACTCAAGGTCGACTTGCGCTTATGCACAATTGCCGGTATCCTGTGCAGTCTCAATCTGCTGGACTCGGGCATCATCTCCTCCGCTTCCGTGACGACAATGCTCAAAGATCTAGAGCTGGAGGGCACTCGATACTCGGTTTCAATATTCATCTTCACAATAGCGAGTGTCGTCTTTCAGCTCCCATCAACAATTGCAGTGCGTCTAACAGGTCCTCGAATCTGGTTCGCTTTCATCACGTTCTGCTTTGGTCTTATCACTCTCTGTACTGCGTTCGTCCAAACATGGCGGCAGATGATTGCTCTGCGCGTCCTTCTGGGCATGTCCATGTCTGGCATATATCCAGGTTTGACATACCTGATCAGCGCATGGTACACGAGACGTGAGCAGCAGTTGCGCTTCGCGTTTCTTCAATCCGGCGAAGTCATTGTCCTTGCGACTGGCAGTATCGTCAACTACGGACTCAACCACCTAGACGGCAGATCAGGACTACCTGGATGGCGATGGATGTTTCTCGTCCAAGGTTTAGTTACCTGCACAATTGGGATCATCACGTACTGGTGGATGGTCGACTTTCCAGAGAACGCCCAAAAGAGCTTCTACTTCCTCTCGGAGTCAGAGACACGCCTCGCTACGCAAAGGATCAAAGATGACAGGGACGATCTCATCCCTGAACCATTCTCATGGTCTAATATCTTGGTTCACTTCAATGATCTGAAACTTTACGGCTTTTGCTGTATGTTCTTCTTACTGAACCTGGTTTCCACTTCGCTAGCATACTTCCTGCCGATCATTCTACAATCAGGCATGGGATTCTCAGCCAATGCATCTATCATCTTATCAGCACCGGTAATTATATCCATCCTTTTCTTTTTTTTTCTTTCTTTTCTTTCTGGCTGGTTCCTCCTCCCATATCTCAAGAAAACACAGTACAATACAATACAATATTAATAACACCACCCCCAAAAGCCATACTACTACGCCGTCCTACCCGTCCTCTTCACCTCCCTCATCGGCGACAGATACCACATCCGCAGTCCCCTCATCGTCCTCAACGCCCTCTTCCTCATCGCCGGCTTCCTAATGTTCGGCCTCCCCGTCTCGACACAAGTCACGGTACGATTCATCGGCACTTTCCTCGCCACAGGCGCATACGTCTCTAACTGGGCCGCCCTAAATGCCTACCAAGCCAACAATATCGTTGGTCAATGGAAACGCGTCACTGTCGCTGCGGCCGTGACGGCGTGTAATGGCCTGGGGGGTATCGCGGGAAGTTTCATCGTGAGAGAGCAGGAAGCTCCGCAGTATCAGACTGCGGTGTGGGTTTGTATTGGGTGAGTGGGATGGTATATATATATATAGATATATATCTTTCTTATCTAACGAAATAGCTGTATCGAATGGTAGGGGAAAAGGCTGACGACTCTGTACTACTCACAGGTCCCATATCTTAATGATTGCTATAGTAGCGTGTTTTACAGTCTACTTCTATATCTCAAATGGAAAGCAACGGCGGGGGAAAGTGATCTTGGAGGGTGTGGTAAGTTCGTCCTGTTGTTGCTTCAGGTGCCATAGAAATGGCTGGAGTCTTGTTGTTGTTTCTTGGTCTAACCTTTTGTGAAAAGCCTGGGTTTAGGTATACGTATTGAGTACAGCACGGGGGGTTTTGAACATCGTTGATGTTGTAGTGGTTACTGCGGACTGTGGAAGAATTACATGTGATGAAATAGGCTATGATTTATATCAAATTAATCTTTTAATAAATAATGTATCGGCAGATAGATATATTAACGTCGGGGTTACGTGCATTTGTCCATCTCTCATTATTCTAACACTGAGCACAAAGCCAAAGACACCAAGTCGATACAAGACAAATAAAAAGCACGTACAAGAGGACCCGTAATCTTAATCTTTAGATTTGACATCCATACACACACACAGAGAGAGAGGGCGAAGGAAAAAAGAAAGGGGAAAAGGCTGGACCACACAGAACCGGGGTATAATTTAATGTACTGCTTGCAAGAACCCAGAAAATTTGGAGGAAAAATAGTTCTCTTCTCTTTTTTGCAATCACGCCGCCCGATCCCTCTGTTCCAATCGCCCAACCAGTCTCTTGATTCCTGCCCATTCTTCCGCCGGCACTTCCTCTGCGGTTCCGCCGAGGTCTTTTCCAACTTCGAAAACAGTGACCACGCCGTCGAGACCACCGGTCGCGAGGCGTCTGCCTTCCCGCTCTTCCCAAGCCACCTTGTTGAGAGATTTGGTGAGTACGCCACCACGGCCCCTGGAGGGCGTGGTCTTGACGGCAGGTACTTCTGTGTCAGTGTAGAGATCCCAGACCTCCAAGTTGCCGGCTCCATCCACAAGGGAGAAGACACCAGGTCGGTGAGGGGACCAGCGCGCATCGTAAACAACATCTTCGCGATTGATGTCGAGGATCGGAGAAACAACTTGCGGGGTTGCCATAGTCGATGTGGCGGATGAAGTTGTCGCTGGCGGACGAACACGCCAAAGCTTTACGCTCCAGTCCAGACTGGAACTGAGCATCAGATCACCGAGATCCACAGGGCCACGTGAGGGGTGGAAAGCTGTAGACATAACGGGAGCAGCATGGCCACGGTAGGCCAGGCGGTGGTCCGTTCCAGCTTTGGCACCTGCCCGGTCATATCGATGGCAAGGATAGATGCCACCTTCTTCTGTACCGACGAGGAAGAAAGTTGGGTCGGACTGGGGGAACGCCATAGTGGTCGGTGCAAGGTCTTCCGTCTTGGACGGTGGAGGTGTTGTCAGCTCCAAGTACTCTTGTGGCTGAGAGAGCATATCAACAGTCCAGCCGCAGACAACACCATCAGTAGATGCTGTCAAGATATTATGGGCGTTCTGCGTTCCCACAATGGAAATACTGTAAACGGGGTGGGTGTGTCCTGAGCCGGTCAGGGGGGTCTTCTGCACAGGAGCACCTCCGCCTGCGCGTGAAGAGCGGGTGTCCCATAGCAGAACCTGTCCGGAATAGGAGCCACCGACGATGAGGTTTGGATGGAATGGAGAGAATTTGGCCGCGAGGATGTCAGAAGTGGAGTGGAAGATGTATTCAGGGCGAGAATGCAGGTGCTGGTTCCATATTTGCAGCAGGCCATCAGGCTCGTGAGGGGCGGTGGGGTTTTTCGTATAAGCGGCCAGAACAAGCTCTGGGAACTATGAAAACAGTCGAGTCAGTTGTTTCCAGATGAAGGAGAGCCAAATAAAGATATTTACCTTGGGGGAGAAGCTTATGTCGCTGATCATGCGCTTCTTGCTCCATCGCTCATCCCAGAATTGAGCAACCTCCTTGATCCCTCTTCGTTTCTTCCCATACTCTTCTTCCTCTTCATCTTCGCCATTGATTCCACCAAGTTCGTAATCCGCCAGCACATCGTACTCTTCATCTAAGGCCCGCTCTATGACTTTACTAGAGCGCTCGACGAAATCCAAGAAGTCACCGGACGAAGTGACAGCGTTGAGTTCATCGTCAGTAAGTGTACGCAGAGGATAGCGCAGCTGCGAAGACTGCGCGGCTGTCGGATCTGAGAGTTGTTTGGCAGCCTGTATCTCCTCTTCGATCTCCTTGCGCAACTTCTCACGGATTTCTTCATCGCGCTCTCGTTCCCTCCGGCTAAGCCTCTTATTCGCCCGTGTTGTCTCCTGGAATTCGTCGTCCCCGGATGCGACCGACCCATCAATCGATTCCCTTCGTGGCTGTTGCCATTCATCTGTCTGAACAGCTTTGCTGTATGTGAGGGTCTCCTGTTTCGTTTCAGGGGCTGATTCGGTGGCCTCAGGGATCGGACCAGTTGCGACGGTCTGCGTCGCTGCAGATGTAACTTGAGTCGCCGGTCGCGAAGTCGGACTCAAGACATCAGTGTTGTCTCCACTAAGCTGACTGGCGCTGAGGACGGAATTGGGTCGACTTCCTCTTCGTGACGAGCCCTCTCCTCCAGTCGCGAGGGACGCAGAGCCTGGACGATCAACGAGACGGGAGATCAAACTGTCGAGTTCCGCTCTGCTGTCAGAACGGCTAGGCACGGGGGATACAATCTAAAGGCAAATGTTAGATCACGATGTATAATCAAGGTCGTAGAAACGAGCTCCGTACATCTGAGGAATCTCCGATACTGTGCCGATTCTGATTGAATTCCTTCTGCCGCAGCTCGCGCTGGCGCTTCAGCTCAGCAAGCTTCGCCTTCTTGGCCAGGATCTCATCTTTCCGCTGTTGCATAGTCGTCATCGAGGGCATGTGTGAGTACTGAGGGCACGTCGTGGTGCCATCCAAACAAGACCAGCTCTACTCTCTCTCTCTCTTGGGTCGTTTACTCCATTAGTTCCCGTGCCTGTTCCGCGTTTCTCGTCGAGGGGGGATGACATAAGCGACCAGGCACCTCATGCTCCGGAAAATCTTACTGGCCGACATAGATCATGTTGATTATTTATCGTTATCTCATGCATTCGTTGCTGGATGTTGATTTTGACTGCTTGTATTCCTGACCTGTTTGTATGATACCAGCTATTGATTAGTTCTTGGAGAAAGGTCTGGTTATTTGTCGACTCTCGTACCAGTATCCTTCTACTCTTAACCCGAGAGAATCCTTTCCGCAGATGAGATACGTGTTGAAAGTCCATTGTGGCTTGCCAATGATTATTGCCTTAACTCATAGCTGAAAAAGAAGGGTAAGTTAATTTTGGCAGTTTCATACAGCACCAGAAGGTCAAGCCTATGTTTTGCTTTCGAGTCACCAAAGCGTCAACATTAGCTAGCCCCTGTATTGGGATATATTCCAACGACAGCTTATCCTACGGCACTAGGAGTACATTGACCTACTCCTTCGTAGTGATGAATAGTTGAAAGCCCCATTGAGGTCCTACCCGAAGCTTAATTGCATTCATGAGCGTCATCAGCCATGGCACTCCACAGTCATAATCTTTTTATATGCAAGATGAATAGTGCCTAATCAGATCCTATTCTTGGATAACTACTAGTCATTAGCACTCTTGCTAACCCGTCACTAAAACGCGTTAGCATAGTTATATTACCCGGTATTATAGGTGCTTTATTTTGCGATGCTGGTGCTAGTAAAAGAGACACTCGAGACGGGCCAGGATACAACGCATATGAACCACCAATTGTCAAATGGTAATGGAATATCAACGGCCATTTTTCAACTGCGTGAAATTATCTTAATGATGAATCATCACAGGAATGGAGTTGTTTTGACTCTTCGTGACCGTCTAAAAAGCCTGAGGCCACGAGATCTGGCACGGCGGGCAGGATGACATAAGCCGACAGGAACGTCCGGCGGCCCGGAAAAACTCGCCAACAGGGACTTCGTCCCTTCTCTCCAGCCCAGTCCGACCCGTTGCCAGCTTGAGAAGCCCAGGAAACCCATCCTGTCCAGCAGCCATTGACGGTCGATACCCCCGCTGACCTGCCTGTTGTTTGTTTGGTATCGACGCTCTTGTCGTCCTCTTTTCCCCTCTTTCTTGCTGTCTCGTTCCCCGACTCCGGCGATCTTTGGATACTTTCAGAATGGCTAGTACGCAGGGTGTCAATGTGAGCCTCCGCACCTCCCTCCTCCTACCCCGACCAACGCCCGGTTACCCTGTTGCAGCGCCTTCTAATCTCTTTGATTCAATTAGGTTCTCCGTTACTCAGCTCTTGTAGCTGGTCTCATCTACGGTTTTTCCCACCAGTCGTCGCTCAGTTCGCAAGCCAAACACGCCGAGATTGAGCGCGAATACAAGCGCAAGGAGAGCCTGATCCAGCAGGCCAAGGCCGAGTTCGCCAAGAAGCACGCGCCAGCAGACAAGAAGTCGGAAGGACGTATGTTGCGTGAAATCCCCCTTGAGCGGTTCTTTTCGGGACCAGCGCCGGTGTCCCGAGGCATTGCCATGGTGATCGCGTGCTAACTTGATATCCCGCAGCGGTCACGAATCCTGACGACCCACGCTTCGATCTGGAAGCCCTCTTGAAATTTGTGGAGGCTACGAACTAAGGAGGGGATCGCAATGGGAGCGCATCAAGGGAGTGGCTGGTAGTTTGGCAGACCTCGGAGACGTTGAAAGGGTCCGAAGATCCCGCACCCTCCCCGGGTACCAGAGGAAAGAGATAATGGCTGAAAAAGGACCAGCTATGTATTATTGTTTCATCTTAACTTCCCAGAGTCGTGTCTTTGCAAGCGAAAGAACGGAAAATCTATCTATCTAGACACCATGTCCGTCTTGTACATACCCTGGGTCGTTTGTGCACGTCTGTACACTACGCTCGGCACTCGAAGAGCAAGAAATTTCTTTGCATGTTTACACTGGGTCACCCATCTCCTGACGGGGAGTGCAGGCTCGGGAGTCTGCAGACTCTATCCGCTGCGCTCCGGATGATTCGAGGATTATGCGATAACGCACCTTTTGCAGGACTCTTTTGCGTCTGGCTGGCCTGCTTGTCTTTTTCTGCACAGAGTTCTCACCGGCATAGGCTGACCCTTCTTTGAACCATTATGGTTGAATTAGAGCCCACTCAGCCTCCATAGCTCCCAAGCAGACTTATGACCCCGCCCAAACCATTCGTCTTTGGAAACGTCTGTTCCTCTGCTGAGGGAATCACTTTGGGCTTTAATAACTTCTTTTCCTTATCCCAAATCCACCCTCGTTCCGTATAGGTTTTTTCTATAAGCGCAGTGTCTGCAGAGTCCCCGCTGTAGCCTAGATAGGCTGCTGCCGTCTCTGGTCTGATTGCTTCATACGCTCTGCTTATGTCCTGGAACGTCTTTTCTTGAAATGACCCTAAAAACCCGATGATTAGATTCCCATTCGCAAAGCATGCTTCAATTCAAACTGACTTTCGTAAGCCTGGACTACACCCTTGAGGGGCTCCGGCCAGGGCAGCTCTCTGAGGACCTTGTATACCTGCACATGGTCATTTTGCCAGACGGCCTGCAATAGTGCGATACTGTTCTGCAAAGTTTGGTCTTTAGCCACGAGGGTTGGAGGCATCCGGTGCGTCAACATGCGAGCTTCGGGTCTATCATGTAGCTGTTTAGTCAACGTAACCTAGAGAAGCATCTGGTGCTGGAGACAGACGTTTCGTTTATTAGAAGCAAAGATATAAGGTATGAGGAGTAAAAGACGCTTAGAAGTTCTGCATCACCAGTCACCTCGCTATCTGTGAACAGGAGGTTGGCATCGGGTTCGTAGTGCGAGAGCGCATCATAGAGGGCCGACGGCGAAGGCGCCGTCGTCAGGACCTCTGCCAGGCGCTCTTTTGAGAGCGGCGGCAGCGCCATAATGTGCGTCGTATTAGACTAAATAGAGGGACTGTGATAATCGAAGGAAGCCAGAGATGTACGCAGACAGAAGAACCAGTAGAGTCAACGCACGCGATGCTGATGAGCTTGATGCGGGGAGCAGCGCGGAGCTTGGAGAGTCGTTCCCGCAAGAAGGACCACGGACCAGCTTGCCAAGACTTGCTGTAGAGACCACCTTGCGGGCCTTCGATCTAAGATAACTCGCCCATCTATTCCCGTCAGCTTTCCTTGACTGGGTAGACCATTCTCTTTTTCTATCAATCATTGAATTTCTCTTTGGTTGTTCGGGCCATCATGGCCGCCTCTCCAATTGACCCTTTTTTGGAGGGCAAGACCGGCAGCAATGCTCGCGGTTTACTGCGGATTATTATTCTATTGACCATTGCCGCTGCCGCCGTGTCCAGTCGATTGTTCAGTGTCATCAGTATGCTTTCCGTCCAGAATTAAGACTAGAATTTACTCGTGAAGATCGAGACGTGCTAATTAACTACTTCTTGTAGGATTCGAAAGTATAATCCACGAGTGTATGTCTACCTCCTACTGCGAGCTGTTCTCACGAGAGCTGCCGCGCGTCCACCACGAACGATGATATTAATGTCTTCTGTACAGTCGACCCGTGGTTTAATTTCAGAGCGACAAAATACTTGGTGCAGAATGGGTTCTACAGCTTCTGGGACTGGTTTGACGACCGTAAGTACTCCGCTTGACCACTGAAACCACCGACGACCCTTGGAATCACAGCCTGTCCTCGGAGGGAAAAGGATCAATATACTGATTGGCTCTTTTTTCTAGGAACATGGCACCCTCTCGGACGTGTCACTGGCGGCACCTTGTATCCCGGGTTGATGGTCACCAGCGGTGTCATCTACCATGTCCTGCGCTTCCTGACGATCCCCGTGGACATTCGGAATATCTGTGTTCTGCTGGCCCCAGGATTCTCTGGTCTGACATCGTTGGCGATGTATCTCCTCACTCGTGAGATGACACCCTCTCCCTCTGCAGGTCTTCTTGCAGCGGCTTTCATGGGCATCACACCCGGTTACATCTCCAGATCGGTTGCGGGATCCTACGATAACGAAGCAATTGCCATCTTCCTGTTGGTGTTCACCTTCTTCCTCTGGATTAAGGCAGTCAAGAATGGTTCGATCATGTGGGGAGCGTTGACTGCGCTGTTCTACGGATACATGGTTTCTGCTTGGGGTGGATACGTCTTCATCACCAACCTGATCCCACTGCACGTCTTCGTGCTCCTCTGCATGGGAAGATACAGCTCCAGACTCTACATCAGCTATACCACCTGGTATGCCCTCGGAACATTGGCTAGCATGCAAATCCCATTCGTAGGTTTCCTGCCTATTCGAAACAGCGACCACATGTCCGCTCTCGGTATCTTTGGCCTGATTCAGGTGGTCGCCTTTGTCGAGTTCTTGAGAGGGCAGGTCCCCTCCAGACAGTTCCAGACGCTGCTCACCAGCCTTGTCCTGGTAATCTTCGGTGTTTCCTTCCTGGGGCTCGTCCTTCTCACTCTGTCCGGAGTTATTGCTCCTTGGAGCGGTCGTTTCTACTCCCTATGGGACACGGGTTACGCGAAGATCCACATTCCTATTATTGCTTCCGTCTCAGAGCACCAGCCTACCGCTTGGCCAGCGTTCTTCTTTGACTTGAACTTTCTGATCTGGCTCTTCCCCGCCGGTGTCTATCTCTGTTTCCGTAAGCTGGAGGATGAGCATGTGTTCGTCGTCATCTACTCTGTTTTGGCCAGTTACTTCGCAGGTGTTATGGTCCGATTGATGTTGACCCTGACCCCGATTGTCTGTGTGGCCGCTGCCATCGCTTTGTCTCAGATCCTGGACACCTATGTGCTTGTCTCCAAGCCCAGTCCCGCCGTGGCAGCAGCCGCTGGCAGCTCAACCTCGGACTCTCTCCGCTCCACGCGAGCACCTTGGGTTGGCATTCAGTCAACCTTCTCCAAGGTGTTTATGACGTCTTCCATAGTGACCTACCTGCTCCTTTTCGTCTCTCACTGCACATGGGTCACTTCCAACGCATACTCTTCACCTTCGGTTGTTCTCGCTAGTAGAATGCCAGATGGTAGCCAGTTCATCATTGACGACTACCGTGAGGCGTACTACTGGCTTCGCCAGAACACCCCGAATAACGCCAAGATCATGTCGTGGTGGGACTACGGCTACCAGATTGGTGGTATGGCAGACCGACCAACCCTTGTTGATAACAACACCTGGAACAACACGCATATTGCCACTGTTGGAAAGGCTATGAGCTCTCGTGAGGAGGTCAGCTACCCTATCCTCAAGCAGCATGATGTCGACTACGTTCTCGTCGTCTTTGGTGGTCTCCTCGGCTACTCCGGCGATGATATCAACAAGTTCCTCTGGATGGTCCGTATTGCGGAGGGCATTTGGCCTGATGAAGTCCGGGAGCGTGATTACTTCACTGCTCGCGGCGAGTACCGCGTCGATGACCAGGCGACCCCGGCCATGCGTAACAGCTTGATGTAAGTCTGCCCTCTACTCCGTTAATTATCGCGGGCTCCATACTCACCCATGAAAACAGGTACAAGATGTCGTACTACAACTTCAACTCCCTCTTCCCCGCCGGCCAAGCCCAGGACCGTGTCCGCGGTGTCCGTCTCCCCGCCGAGGGCCCTCAGCTCACCACGGTCGAGGAAGCCTTCACCAGCGAGAACTGGATCATCCGAATCTACAAGGTCAAGGACCTTGACAACTTGGGCCGCGACCACAACAACGCAGTCGCCTTTGACAAGGGCCACAAGAAGAAGAAAGCTACGAAGAGAAAGGGTCCCCGAGCCTTGCGAGTCGAGTAGAATCGGTCGCATCTCGTTTTCTCGTTAAAAATGAATGAAGATCCGTTCATCCCGTAGTACGTGACGATGGTAGGGTTCAGCTCATTTCGTGTATGGTAGATCTGTTAAATTTTTTTCATCCTTTATAAAATGAGATATTCAGTGCTTTTTTTTGATGTTCGTAAATACAATAGACCTACCTCTGTGTGACTAACCTGCCGGCGCGTGGATCAACTACGGTCCGGGTTAAGCAGATAGGACTCCCTATTTTCTGATTCTAGGTACAATTGTATATTCTGATATCTCTCTGAAAGGGAAGCTATATATAGAGATTTTGTATACAGAAGACATGCAAATGACCACCCCCTCATAAAAGATTATTACCTATGGCCTTGTAGTCGATACTAGATTGCTCTTCACCTTGAATATAGAATAGCTGCTGTTGGCAAAACAATAACTGGCCTGAAGACTCAACTCGATGGATTCCTTGTTGACTCTGATCGACTCATCCGCACCATTGCGAAAGCTGCGGAAGATATCCTAAACATTCCCCTCCTGAACTATCTACTTCTTCAGGCAGAAGGAATAGTAAACTCCCTCGACACCCAGATCGCAAAAGTGGACGTACAGTTCGGCAATTTCGTTGGTAACGATGCCTGTAAAAACTTGCACGCTCCTGATGTCCACGTTTCCGGATTTCCGGTGAATCTCCTGGATGCTACGAAGCGTCGTGGCCCCGTCGAGTCTGTTCTGTCGCCTTGCGTACTCAGGGTGCTGGAAGCACTTCGCCTCCACCGTGGACGTAGGTGCCATTATTTCCGAGCAGCAAATAACAGGGTCGATGATTGTTTCCAGTGAGATAACTGTTAACGCACGCCGTTTCCCATATGGATGCTCCGATTGTAACATTTGGCTTAGGGGCCAGAAGTCGTTGTAGGAGGGTTCGTTAGGAGGCCCTCTGCCCATTGGCAGAGCGTAAGATTCGAAGACGGAAAGGATGAAAGTAGCTAGTGTAGTCTTATTTGGTGCTCTGGATACCATTCCTGCCAAAAAAAAGGCGTATTTAGAATCATTAGGAAGATCTGTCTTCGCCGCAGCTATAGAACGCCTGATTGAGGAAAGATCAGATGGCTCGTCGAACAATATCCATCATGCGTAACATTCGCAATTGAAGGTCAAAAGCTGGCTCGCTGCAGCGGAGCTTCTTGCGTGTTCTACTAGATCGAGGCAAGTCAGTAGATGTCGCTCTCAGTGACAATGAAGTACTTGATGTCGCGTCTATTTGCGGGGGGAAGATGTTATCAGATTGACAATATAACCGAAAGTTTTCTCGCGTCAGGTCTGATGGGAGACCGAGATGTTGAAACTCAGTGTCTGGGGGGTCTTTCGAAGGAGAAAAAATTGTTCTTTATCTGCGTGGTTGTTCTGAATAAATGAGATATAAATATTGTCTCCATCTTGTGAGATGAGAGCACGCCTTGATCCGTTAAATAGGCTTCCCTGCAAGAGTGTATTGTATGCTATTTGCCACTGTCTCAGAACACTTTTTGAGAACCCACGGGCATCCGATCAAATATAAAGTCGGCGGTTAAAAAGAAAATGACCACGAGAGAAAAATCATATGAATCTCCGAAATATACTTTCCCCTTTGTCAGAAAAGATAGCATTTACTGCTGTCACGAGAAATGGTTTTTATATATCGATGCCATATCTGCAGAGCAGATTTTCTGGACATAAGTCAGTTCCCAATATTTCTGGAGATTTGTCATGATCTATACTCTGTTGTCGGTATCGTAAAGGTACTTTCGTCCAAGCATTCTACCTCCTTGGAAATATTTGACTTGAGAAGAAATGAGTAGGCCTGATGTGGAAAATGTAGTGCAGAATCCCGACCGATGACTTGGATTTGCTGCTGTCTCGTCCAGATGGCATATAGAGGATGAGACAGGACCAGACGGTGCAAAGCGGTACTGCATGCTTCGTGAGAAGGCATAAAGGTAATCTTGTAAAAGGTATAGAGGGCCTCGATAAAATACTTTGATCGGCTGTTTTATCTCACACAAAATATATAGATGATAAGGGAGTCTGTGGCTGATCTTGAGAGAGATGTAAAAAGTTTTTAGTTCGGCAAGCTTTTCAGGGAATTATATATCGAGGGGCAGACACTGAGGGGAGCGCGTTGTACCTCCCCAGCTCACAATCACTAATAACGAGTTAATTCAACAAGACTCGATTTGAGTACTCGTTATTAACTACCTAGGTTAGTGACTGCGAAAACTCACCTCGCGGAAGTTCCCCATTGATTTTGCCCCATGATGCTCGCATCTTACTTATGCTGGCTTTCCCTTAAGGTCCTATTTTATCTTTATTATTGCAATCTTGTGGCCTACACACTTTCGCTATTGGCGCGCTCATAATTCCTAAGCTAATTAGGCACCTGGCTGGCTAACTAACGACAAATGGGGGTGGAAAGTCTGGATTGCAAGTATCTGGGGGATCTGTGCGACTTATATACAGACGCGGCATCACGAATACTTTTTACGTAGAACTGGAGCTATACCAAGCCATAAGCGAGGGCGACCAGACGGACCAAGAGGGAGGTCTCCAACAACTACCAACTAGTAGTAGTGGCAGGAGACCGACTCTAGAGTCTAGGGCCTATGGGGTCCAAAAAAATAGCAGAATTCTTTGGGGTTGATCGAGTCCGTGGATCTTTAGGATATACTGCTCAATACAACCACTTATTTATGCACGAATGGTTAGAAATACTCTCGGTACCACGCCTAACTACTCAATATATGGATCCACTTTCTAGACGGCCAAATCTGACACCCAGATAATCTATATTTAGTATCGCCCTCTCGTATATTCGGATTCATATATAGGTATATATTCGTATTTTCGGTGGGGTAATGGCCGCACGACAAGCAGTTTACCTACTAGTAACTAGTTGATTGCGCACCGTCATACTCTAAACTTGCTTCGAACTAACTCGGTGGTACTTTTATATACTTCAGTGTATAAGTAGTGCGCACTCTTAATTAACGTCATTCCGCGAGTGAGCTAATGGCGGGTGACCCTGATGAATGTTCAAAGTCCACTCCACGGCTTTTGGGATAATCAGATCCGGACGCAAGCCACGCCAACTTCGCACTACCCATTGGCCTCATTTGTTTACTACGGGGGGTACGTCCCAATGCCGATCACAACTCCTTTTTCCGGGAGACAGGAAAAAAAAGATATAAGACGCCGGTCCGCCTTTGAACTGCACGCATTGTGCGGATCTGCCTCCTCATCTCTTTCCGACTATGTGGCTAGCAAGATATCTGGCTGTATCAGGTGTGGTGGCTGCCGTGGTTGGAGCAAGCACACACAACTTCTACAAGCCATCAACCTGGACACAGAACAATCACACGTATGTGGCTCCCGTCCATGATGACTTCGTCCTGAGACTATCCTCGGACGGCTCCAATCCGTCGATCATCATCCTAGACTACGGAAAAGATGTTGAGGGCATTCCTACATTTCAAATATCCCAGTGTCAGGGAGACACTAGTCGCTTGGAGATGACCTATAGTGAGACTCTCAGTCTCCTAGATTCGTACATGGTATGTTGATTTCGTGCGTTTTGGAGCCTTCTTGCTATGACCCAGACTGATGACCTACATGCAGGGGGATGGGCCATTGACCCTCGCAGCGGCAATGGATACTTACCGTGTGAACCGCTACAATATCACCGCGACGGGCCCGCACAAGAGCCGTCTCATTCAAGGCGGTCTCCGGTATCAGAAGCTCAACCTCTCCACTGCCGGTGAACTCCAACTATCCCATATCGGACTCATTCCAACCACCGATACCACCGCCATTAGCCAGCTTCCTGGATCGTTCAACTGCTCGGACCCGGAGCTGGCTCGTATCTGGCAAACTGGAGCGCGGACTATCCAGCTTACCGAGTTATCTGCTGGTTCCTTGCCAGAATTCTGGAGAATCACTGCGGATGGAGCCTTTGTCGATAGCGTGGCACCCCAGCCCTGGATGGGCAGTGAGCTGGCCTCGTTCTTAATGCAGTATACCCTAACCTTTTCTGCTAAGCCAATAGTCGGTGGGTTTGGATTCACTGTGCTAAGCGACACACTGGGCAGCGGCATTTATATTTTTATCGATGCAGTGCATCGCTCGATCTCCGCTCACGCAGGCTCGACAGAACGAGAGTCGCCCGCTCTTTCTTCAATGAAGTTGAATTCATCTGTCACACTTGGTGCCTGGCACTATGTTACTACCAACGTCAATATGACCGATATCTCGGTGTTTATCAATGGCACCCAAGTCTTGCAATTCTCTCAAACCTCTTCCTTCTCGGGGTCCTTTGGCCTAGGTGCCTCGTTCGGTCAAGAGGTTTATTACACAAACGTCTCCTTGACGAGCGGCAGGCAGGAAATTTATACCTCCTCCTTGACGGACAAATCTGCGCTGAAAGACTTCCTCCTTGGTACTAATCCACTCTCTGTGAGTGTAGATGGGTCAAAGAGAGATCGAATTGCCTATGCTGGTGATCTGGAAATGAGTGCTGCCTCGTCTTTTGCCAGTACTAATGGCAGAGAGTTCATCAACGGAACCATCGAGCTTCTGGGTTCCTTCCAGTTAACCCCGGGTTTCTTTGCACCAACGGCCAAGGTCCAGCAAGCACCGCGCACCAAGGATATCGAGTCTGACATCACGGGTCTGATCGGTTACTCGTTTTTACTGCCGGTATCCATGGCCGATTACTACTTGATGACCGCGGAGCCCGCTTTTGCGACACGCTGGGCACCTCGGATTATACGGTTGCTGGACTGGGCAGATTCACAGACGGTACCCGTTCAAAAGGGCATCCCTTCGAGTAAACTTCTCAACATCTCCAATGCAGTCATGGCCGGTGGCTGGAACTACTACGACCCAGCGCAATCAGGCATGGTCATGACTTTCAATGCTGTCTACGCCTTCGCCCTGCAGCAGTGTTTGCCGTTGCTGTCTGCCGCGGGTATTGCGAATGTGACGATCTACGAGACCCGTCTACGTGATCTCCGTGATGCGATCAACACCCATTTTTGGAATGACAAACTCGGTGCCTACGGACTCTCGCTCTCAAACATGGATATCCTCGCCCAGGACGCTAATTCCTTCGCCATTCTTGCCAATATCCCTGGGACAGGACATGGTAACCGATCCGCCGCCGGTGTTCTATCGGCCATGGGAAGCGAACTCTTCCTCCCCGCCGGCGGTCGTCCACTCGCCTTCTCCAATGCCAGTGTGAGCGCTGGGTTCGCACAGAAGGTCTCACCCTACGCGTCAGGCTACCATCTGAGGGCTGCGCTTCACGCTCATGATGCCACTACTGCGCTGCACCTGCTTACCTCAACCTGGGCCCCCATGGCTGACCCCGCCGCCACTAACTATACAGGCTGCTTCTGGGAAACACTCTTGCCCGACGGCACACCCGGTCTTGGAAATCCGACATCTCTCTGCCACGCGTGGAGTTCGGGACCTACAGCTGTGCTGAGCCAGCATGTCCTGGGCATTCAGCCTGTGGAAGCCGGGTTCCGTACGTGGCAGGTCAGACCGCAGACTCTCGGGCTTTCATGGGCTGAGGGCCGCCATCCAACTCCTAACGGGGTCGTGGAAGTCAAGTGGTCTTATGATGCCAAAGACAAACTTACAATGCAAGTGTCCGGCCCTGCAGGTACGCGAGGCCGAGTGCATCTACCGTTGCGACCGGCCAATACCACCGTGGAAAGACTACAGTACAAAGTCTCGGGAAATGCGTCTGCCATTTTGACGGATATGGTGTTCGAGCTGGACGGGGGTTCGACCTTCAGGTTTCAACAACTGTCATAAGTCACCCTGGACTTGGTGTCCGGGATATGGACTATTATTTTTATATCGTTATTCGTGTCTTGTGGCCCCTCTGGGAAGTAATATGGTCCGGTTATATAACGTAAATTTCACTAGTTCAAGTGTGCATGATACGTCTTTCTTAGTATTCTGTGCGTCTATTTCAAAATCTAGCGTGTAGAACCGACCTTCCCGTCATACAATCCACCAACTATGGTGTATGGTAATGTGGGATGAATATGATAATAATAATGGATCTAGGATAGAGCAAGGAACTTCATCTATGACTAGCGTGAGACGGAATAAGTAAGGCCAAGCTCCCGAACACCAACACGGAACCTAATCTATCTAGCGTAAGAGTCTAGTATCTACTCTTACTTGAAGCCGCGATGCGAGTGGGCGATGCTAAGTACGATTTAGCGTATGGATTCGCATTCTCGTATTCTCGTACTTTGTAAGTATTCTCGTATTCTCGCATTAACACCGTAAACAAGGCCTCTTGACGTTCACCCCTAGTTCTGTACCACAACTCGTGGATATTAATATTGAAATACATAATGCTAGAATTCGCCCAATAATCCTACAGTCAGTCCTTCTTCTCACTGCACTCCTCTGGAGGTGTCTCAGTTTCCTGCCATGTCTGCTACTAATCGTGATGGCAGAATCGATTACGCTCTCTATCGTTATACACCCTCCATTCCAGCAGCTGTAGTCTTTGCCGGGATCTTTCTATTTCTCTCCGTTCTACATCTTATCAGACTGATCCGAAACCGCACCTTGTTCTTTATCCCATTCATTGTGGGCTTGTTATGTGAGCACGAAACTTCCCAACCCATCTTTTAACATAAGTCATGGCCTAACACCTAGGGCTTTGTCAGTCGAATGTGCCGGTTATATTGCTCGCATCTTTTCACATTTCGACACAACAGCACTTGGCCCGTATATCGTTCAAACGATGCTGATTCTGGTTGCACCACCGCTGTTCGCCGCTTCCATATATATGACACTCGGTCGGACCATTACCAAACTCGACGCAGAAGACAAATCCATCGTTCCGGTCCGGTTCCTGACGAAGATTTTCGTTGTTGGTGATGTCATCTCGTTCCTTCTGCAATGTGGAGGTTTGTGGCGATCTGTTTTGGTTTCCATACCTCTGGGTACTGATTGGAAATAGGCGGTGGTTATATGGCCGCTGGAACATTGTCTGCTATGAAAGCTGGTGCTCATATTGTGATTGGTGGCCTGGTGATTCAGCTCGTATTCTTCGGATTCTTCGTCTACGTGTCCGCTTTATTTCATTGGCGAATGAAGAAATGGCCGCGGTATGATCATGTTCCTCCGAGTGTGGGATCTAATGGCTTCCAAAGCCAAATAACATGGGAGTCCCTCATGTGGGCTCTCTATGCTGCCTGCTTCCTCATCCTAGTGCGATCGGTCTTTCGAGTCGTGGAGTTTGTTGAAGGAAACGATGGGTTCATCATGCACAGAGAATACCTGTTATATATTTTCGATGCTTGCCTCATGTCGTTAAGTGGTATCGTCTTGATCGTTGTTTATCCTGGTACCTTTTACCGTCGGTTTGATAATCAGCGGGATAGTGGGCTTCGACTCACATCAGTGGATGACGAATTTGCTCCTCCAGAGGCAAGCCTCGCGAGCCGACAGATACATAAATAGAATATTCCATTTATTTATCCCCTTTTATCCCATTTGTCGGCAGTTCTTCTCATCACCTTTTGCGGCTTGCAATTGGGAAAGATTTTCTAAGGACGGCTATAGCTATTAGGAAGCAGACGGCGACGAAGTCGGTTACACAAATAGATTTGTTTCATTCTTTCGCACATTGCTTAACATTCAAGTTCAAGTTATAGTTATATGCTCGAGTGAGATACATAGGTAGGTAGTTTTGAGCATACTATACTGTCTCTGCAAGTGGATCAGGAAATGGCCCGCGAATCAAATTGCGGGAAATTCCGCCGAGGTACTTACACCTTCCAGTCACTTTCTCGACCTGAAATCATTCATTCATTCTTCTGCTGTTGTTCCTCACATATAAAATAATACTGAACGACCCACCTTTCCTGATACTAGTCCACATCGTATTGTCCATTTTATATACTTAAGCAACCTGCAATGGCACGCAGCGGGTCTCAGGAGTCTACAGATCCCCTCTCACCTTCGGGGCCCAGGCCGCACATTCGTCTGAAGCAACGTGTCGCCCATACCAAATCGAGAAATGGTTGTTTTGCATGCAAGAATCGCCGAGTCAAGGTAGTGGGAAATCTTCCAAGAGCTCTATTTCCTTTGGACACGAACTCATGGACATAGTGTAATGAAGAACGGCCAATCTGTGGTGCTTGCTCCCTTCGAGGAGATGAATGTATTTTTCCGCGTCCACAGACGAGACAACACCACATTCGCGGTCGCGATACAGTATCTCACGACGCAACCAATTCGGGGACGCTGCCAAATTTACATGCGAGCCCCCTTTGTCCGCTAGATTTCAATGCGGCTCCCACGAGAACATCTGACCCAGACGACGAATGTAGGAGCGGCCTGCATATGCGGGATTTGAATCTTCTGCAGCACTACATCTTACACACCTCGAGATCTTTGAGTCTGAATCCTCGCAAACTCGTGGTCTGGGAGCGTGTCATTCCAGATCTTGCTAGTGAGAACGCCTTTCTAATGCACTTAGTTCTGGCACTAGCCGGCCTACATATATTGAAATCACGCAAGTCAGACAAGCATAGGTTCACGGATACTCACATTTGCACATCGTCTTTGAACGAATCAATTGATCCAAGATCCGTGGCCACAGACACTGCTGAGTTGCCAGCTCTGATTGAACACCATCAGAAGGGTCTACAAGGTTGCCGACAGACCTCAAATACACTGGCTCCGACTAGTGCGTGGTGTTGGTTCGATTGTGCAACAGTCCTGGAATAACCTCAAATTAGGCCGATTAAGACCTCTCCTGATTTTCAACAATGCCAACGATGACTGGAAGCTAGTCGAGCCGGAACCAGTACTTGGGAATTCGCTGCCTGGTAACGTACTATCGGAAAGTCTCTCTGCATTTGTGTTCGGTGCGCAGCGAGCTATCTCAAAGTTAAGGGAATGCCTGGAGTCTCAGCAAGCAATGGGCTCAGTCCATGGTGACGTTCCTGGCTCGAACCCCAGAGTTGAGGCCAACTGGAACGTCCCGCTAGATCCGATCTGTGTGGCACAAGATCAGACCATTGCTGTAGTTGAAGACATGTATATGCGAACCATATATGTTCTTCGACTACAACCAGTAGAACCGCGCTCATCTGATCATGATACCCAAGCCGAGATAGAAGATGCGGCTGTTGCATCCTGGCCGCATCTTATTCCTGAAGCCTTTGTCTCGTCGCTAGATCCGGACAATCTTCCTGATATGACCGTCGGCTTATCGTTTGTTATCCTTGCACACTTATATCTCCTCCTTGCCCTATTGGACAATCTCTGGTATCTCGGTGAGAACTTTGGCATGGAAATTGAGAAGATTCATACTCTAATAGCCGAATTCGGGAGCCCTGAATTAACCGAACTAATGGCATGGCCGCTGAACGTCGTGAGACTCCAAAGGAATATTAGATGAGGGGCTTACTAGTTATTCCTAGTTGGGAGTGTATAGATAGGCGATATTAGCGAGTGGTGATCCCCAAAGCGAGTTATTCTAGACTATAAACCACAATTAAGCTGCCAGAATTGAGCGCAATACCCTGGGATACACATTTCCAGACAGGAGTCTCGTCGAGGACACTGGCGATGAGCGAACATCTCTGGATGATCTGGAAACCCTAGGGAGGATTTATCGTTTCGTAGTAGCACTGCTCCAGTTATACATTACATTCCCTGAGCTCTTAGAGAGAAAGGATGCGCCGAGTTCTGACCAACTTATACCCTACCCACTTCCGAATTGAAGCCACTACAAGGGTCGAGGGAAAATACAGTTCCCAGGATTGCAACTGTTGCGTTAGCAACCACTATCTTGAACCTCATCTCATCCGTCCCTGATAATTCAGGAATCCAGTTACTAAGCCGGACAAGAGAGAAAAGAATGAATTTTTTCTTGCTTGTGTGGATATCATGGATAACCTTAGAACCATGACGGATTCTCATATAGGATTTGTGCGTTTCCATTTGGCTTACTGAGAATTTATACCGTGGCTCATGGTACCTGCTGACGATCATGGGCACAAGGGAGTATCCAAGAGAGGAGGTATGATTAATTACTAGGAGTTGAATGTCTATAATAAAGCTTGGAGAAGTAGTATCCAAAGTATCGCATAAAAGACAATGTAAGGAAACAATTTCAATTTATAGAAGAACATTATCAAATACTAATATTATTTCGATATGTCATAATGGTGCGGTCTTACCTTATTGGATTGCTATATAAGTATTTCATCTCTGAAGATAAAAATCCCTTAATTCTTACTTATTTTACCTACAATTACTTGAAGAGCCTTCTTATTGTTATTTCAGGAACTTCAAAGTTCTAGAGGGCTTAAGTATTAAGAATCCACTATGTAGAATGTTCGGTTTCTGAGCTTGACGGGAAGCCCTATTTTCCACACCCTATCGTCGTATGTGTTAATCCTCCATCTAACCGCGTCCATCTTGAGTGGCTCAAAGTCTACTTTCACAGTTGCTAATACCCTACTAGAACGTTTGATGAGGTGGAAGAAGCTAAGCTCCTAGGTATCTACCCTAAGTAAAGTACCTAAGTAATTAAGTACGTGATTCCGCGTTTCGCGCCCCATCAGTCCTCCAAACATTCCATCTTCAGCATACCAGGGTGATATTATAGGATGCGATACCAAAAAGATTGAGTTTAGTACACCAGGACAGAATAAAACATCGTTCCCATCTCTTCTCGACAACCGTTTGCGGTTAGAACGTCCTGACTGTGCCTTTCCAGCCATCGACTCAACTCAAGTACTTATCACTCCAGACCTCAACTCTCTCCGCACGCCTCCTGGACCGCTTAGGTCACGACTCTGTGCAGTCGCGCTAATCAAATCAAACGCGTCTTCATCGCATCTACAGAGTGCAACGAAGTTTAACCTGTAAGTTAGCATGAACGCTACGAACTTCGGAAACTGCTCTGTAATCATAGATTCCTTTGGCGCGGTACTGTACCCATCACTGCAAGGCATTCGTCGACCGCCCCTTTTCCTACCAGCTCACTCAACCTCAATCATTGAAGCCTTTCCGATGCCATGGAAACCAACGAGCTTATCGATCTTGCCCATGAGATGCAGGGCCAGCTTTGGGTTAATAAGGTGAACGAGGCCCAGAGAACAGGCCGTCTCTGCCAGTGGGTGTCAACTTTCCATCCCAACAGGCTTCCCTGTCAACTTGATGGTACCTTTCACCATGGCGCCTTCAATGCCGGCATGAAGATGGTTTTCAGTGACAACACTGCCTGGATGGTTCGTTTCCCTCGAGTGGGAAGGGTCTGTGACCGATACGCCGATGAGAAGGTTGCCATGGAGGTTGCAGCATTAAGTCTCATCCGCAACAGGACTACCATTCCCGTCCCGAGAGTCCAGGCATGGGGACGGGCTGCCAGCAACCCACTTGGCCTCGGTCCGTTCGTCATGATGGACTTTGTTGACGGTGTGAACCTTAGCGATGTCTTCCAGGATCCCAATGCCGAGCGTCCTAGCAGAGTCATAAAGGAGAATATCAGCGATAGCGATATTGAAATAATCTACAGGCAGTTGGCCAATTTTCTACTTCAGCTATTCAAGCTCGATTTTGATTATATTGGCAGCCTTCCGTTGCCACAGGCTGAATTCCAAACCCCTACACCGCCACGACCGCTAACATTTAAGGCACATAGCATCCTACAAAATGGGGGAATAGACACCTTCGGTACGCCTCGTTACCTTCCTCTTATTTTCTCCCATTTCTACTGCTCTGATTGAGTGCGTTCACTAAGCAAATAATGAATAGGTGACCGAAACAAGGGGTTCGCAACGGCGGCCGAGTATTTTCAGTATGTCATCGAGCAGGATTGGGAACAGCTCGTTCGTCAGCCGAACTCGGCTGCTGGTTTATATGACGCTAGAAATAAATATTTGGCTTTCAAGGTTCTAAAAAGCCTGATACCTGAGTTGATCCACGCCAAGTATGACCGTTGCAAATTTAAGCTGATTTGTGACGACCTCGGCTTGGCGAATCTGATTGTCCGAAGCAGGGAAGACCTTACTGTTGTCGGAGTCGTGGACCTCGAGTGGTCATACATCGGACCTGCCCAGCTGTTTGGCTCGGCACCGTGGTGGCTCCTCCAGGATAGACCTGTTAACAGCGCGTGGGACTGCGAGGGCGATGAGCCGCCCGAGATTGCCGCCAGGTATTTCAGGTATCTGAAGATCTTCATACAAGTCCTCGAAGAAGAAGAGGCAAAAATGCCGGAGCATGAAGGAAGAGAACTCTCCAGTCTTGTCAAGTGGTCGCAAGCCTCCGGGGCCATGTGGTTGCATATGCTCCTCTCATCTGGCTTCAACGACCAACGCAGCTTCCCTTTTACGCAGCTGCGCCGATCTTTAGGCGCCTCTGAATGGACGAGGCGTGAAAAAGATTTCGAAAACACGGAAGAGCTTGAAGCATTTGCGAAGCGGAAAGTCGACGAGTTGGACAAGTATGAAGAAGCCTTGGACAAGATAAGTGATAACAAAGCGCTCATAGATAGAGGGCATATGTCGAAGGAGGAATTCATTGCCAACGCTCTAATAGCTTCAGGCGGTACTCCCTTCTTGTCTGTGACCAACGATAGGACGAGAAATAACGAGGGATTCTTCTCTACGGTGGCTGCTTGGCTGGGATTCTCTGGTTGCTTTTCCAGCACGCTTCCCTCACTTTCGTCCAGCATATGAGTGAGTCATGTAGACGTTATCACCATTGGCTACGAACCCCAAAATCGTGTTAGGTTCAAGGAGCTCTGCGCTGTTTTTTTTAAGAGCAGTTCTCTAGTTGCCGATCGGACTAGTCGAGCTACTCCTTTACGTGAAGAATATGTCTGTCCACTTCTACCAGACTCTGGGGTAATGATATGCCGTGGTGCCTTAGAGTCGGTGTAGGAGGTATATTGTAACCACCAACCCTGAGAAGACGAGCATTTCCCTTATTGCGTAGAGACCTTACGAGTTCGCTATCTTGGTCGTCGCGCCAGATTGGAAAACAGAATTGCAACTGTCTCTCAAGCTAGATCATACAGTACTAGGTAACTTAGTTGATGCCTAGAGACATTTCTTCACTGTTTAGTAGTTGATTCGATAAATAACTACTCCCTCCATAGATCAGCCTACGATCTGAGACCAGGCAATCTGAGCCAAATCATTTGGCAGGATTGGGAGAGACATACAGGGTCATCAACGTCCGAGAGACGGAATTGATCAAGTGCGTTCTCGACTCTCCCTATACATCTCGAGTCTATATTCCATATTTTAGGGATGACACAGGTTTCGTCCGAGAAGGATCTTTCAATGACTTTTTGAAGAGCGCAATATCTACAATCTTAGCCGCCAAAGTCAGAAAGGGAAGCGGACAGACAATAAGCGATGACCATGGCGCGAAATTGGCCACAGATCCTATACATAACGTGGATATCAGGATAGGTATATTGACAGATTATCGGGAGTATCCTCATGGGTAAGTGGACAAGTTCACTTCATTTTGAGCGATCAGATTAGAACACTAGAACTGGAACGTAAACCAGAATTATGTACCGAGATTAGACAGCTTCGAAATAACCGCCAGGTCTTCTTTTCCTACCGGCAGCTAAATTATATGATATGATATGCTATCCCATCCAAACTCGGCTCTAGAACGTATGCAAGACACCGAGGACCCAGATATTTGGTTTTGTTTTGTTATACAGAACGGCCTCAGCCGCCCCACCCCGAACAGTGTTTTCTGAATACAGTCACAGATGCGAGAAGAAAGAAAATAAAAATACATAAAGAAATCCTTGTTTTCTTTCCGGCCATGTTCCATCGTGTTTCAATGTCAGGGAGCGATGATATGTGGGGAATTTGCTGCTGATAGGGGTCAAGCCAAGTTTAAGGGTTGATTTTATTAGAGAGACATCCCTTGTCACTTTAGCCTGCTGCTGTGTTCATTTCTTGTTGCGGTTGCTGAACTGCTGGGGTTTCACCATTGCTGGAAGTATGGCCTTCAGTTTGCTGGGGCGGTTTGACGGGTTGCGCTTGTTGCGGCTCAACCACATGTGGTCGCCATTTGATAAGGAACTTCCCCGCCACGGGCCGAGATTCTTCGTCTATTGTATTGTTAGTAACGTGATTAAAAGCCATTGTGGAGTAGGATACTTACAGGTCCGGTAGATATCCTCCAGAGCGTCGAGGCATACTTCCCGAGCAGGTGGCCGAAACATGACAAGATATCTGGATCATGTTAGTCTGGGACTTGTCGGTGAGATGCAGTGCGAACTTACAACAGAGCTTGAACACAGAGATTTACTCTCTCCGGGTCCCTCGCAAGGCTCTTTACTCTTTCGATGATGGCTGTGTTGATTTCCGGAATTTCGCTCAGGAAGCGAATAAGGATCTTATCTCGAGCATCCACATATGGTAGAATACCGTCGAGCAATCTCAAAACCCAGCGATCATAATGCAGTGGTACATATACCTCGTCTGAGTCCTCGAGCCGTTGTGAGCCAGCAAACTTCAGCTGGATACGGTCGTTGTACCATTCTTCGTTCAACCACGTGATGCCAACGTTTATCCGTGACCTGAAATCTTCGAGGATATATCGATACAATAACTCTCGTATCGAGTCGGATATCGTCGGCTTTTTGGGAGGCACGCCCTCCTCGGTCTTTATGTTGTCTTCCTCGGATTCCAAGCCGCCAGATGCTCGCGTAGCAAGTCTGGTGAGCAGCGTCACCCACGCATCCCGATCAAATGTGCTACCAGCCAAACGCGAAAAGCCAAGTTGTTGCTGACTCGAACCCTTTGCCGTCTTTCGTGGAGCGTCCATAGATGTTACCATGCTAAACACTCTTTCAGCCGTACTCTTGCCTATTTCTTTTGCTTCATCTTCCGTCAATGGCGGGGGCCGCGGCAAAACAAAAGGCCCCAGAGACACTAGGTCTGGCTGCATTTCCGCAACTTCAGTGGATGTAGTCTGTGTCTCACCGATAGCGTTATCAGGGACATCCATGGGAGAATATTCAGGTTCATAATCGTCATCTTCCTCTTCGACGGCTGCTTGTTGCTGCGTGGCCTGTTGCCTACTACTCAAGGTTTGATACCGTGATCGCACAGCCTATCATAACATCAGTATCTGTCGCAAACGCCGAGTGCAATAATTCCATACCTCGATAGCCTGGGTCAAGGCTCCTTGGTCGACCCGACCTAGAACAGGGACCGTAATCTTGACAATAAGATCGATGGGAAGTTGCTTCACGTCGAAGGTTGAAAGACCCACGTCCTCCGTTAACGTGTAAAGCTGCGCATAACTGATCTGGCCAGGTGGAAGAGGGGGAATCTTGAAAATAGGAGGTGTGTCTGCGCCGAGTTTCGCCCGCTTTGTATTATCGAGTCCATCCGTTGGCTCCGCAGGTAGGCCACGCTTTCGCGACGTTTCATCGAAGACATCGAGCCGGGACTGGGATAGTCGATCAATGTACTGCTGCATCTTGGGCGCGAGCGGATGGTTCGGGTTCCTGGAATCTCCATAAGCATCTAGATCGGCCCAACTCGTAGACAATGTATACCTCTTCATCACATTTATCAGCAACGCTCTAGCTGTTCGTTCCATCGATTTGAGGTTCACACGAAGAGTGGGAGACATTGAGCCGTTTATATGTTTGACGGGATCGAAAGTGAGAACTGAATCGATGATCTTAGCGGCTATAGACTGTCGAGTTCGAATCAAGACTGCAAGACAGTTCAAGGTCGCATTGACTAAAACCGCATCACTAGTTGTCTGTCAGTATAGGCCGTTCTGTTCTGAACAAAATGTATAGACACACCTTGAATCCTCTTGTAAGACCATGAGAAGTCTGTCTAACAGACCAGATGATTCTGCTTCGAGATTTGGTAGCGATAGGATAGCATGGTTCCTCGGGACAATGGCTAGGGACGTCTCGTTTTTATCGGGACGCTAATATTCGTCAACAATAATGCAGATATGCGCACAGCACGGGGACATACTCTAGGATCTGAGATAGGGCCTGCAGTCTGGACATGAACCACCCTCTGGACGAATTTGATACAGCACACCTTGACTGGGTAAGGAGCACTGTCCCATCTCCGGAGGATAATCTGTTTGAGAGCCGTCATTTTCTCCCACATGGCCGCGTCTTCCGGATGATTTATGCTGCGATTTGATCAGGTTAGAATCATCCAGCTTAAACGGCGCTTCTCCAGCCAGTCACAGAGCGACCACCAATGCCTACGATGTTCCTATACCAGGTTCACACGAAAAGAGAGATCGGCCACCTACATGTGTCTGAAGACGATCGGGTAAAGACTCGCCGCAGCCTGTACCACATATTTAACAACCGCTATATCCTCCTCTGGCAGCTCCAATATCTCCTTCAGTGTCTGCACCACAGGTCCAGCGAGCTGTTCCTTCTGCGCCGCGGCCAGCGCGGGACTGGCGAATGTTTCCGCCAGAAACTCGGCTCCCCACCTCCGCAATTCAAGTTGTGCTGTGGCACCTATGATCGGTAAAATGCCGTTCACGATTTGAGGGTAGAAGGCGGCATCACCCAGGACGAGATTGCGCGCCGCCTCGAGCTGCGAGACCTGGTCCCGCAGACTCTTGGTCTGCTGAGCCATGATGACGCGCGAAACGGATATCCGATGAACAAATCAAGGAGAGGATGGGATTATTGTCGCGTTTTCCCACGTCGTCACGGAGGAAAAGGAATCGATGGAGGGTCTACGTCGGTGGTGTTGTCGGCCTAGATCCGCGGCGCAAGGCACAGGGAGGTAAACGTCGGTCGTGTGGACACGACAAGGTTGCGTTTAATATCGAGAGGTCATCATTGTCTTTGATGAATCAGAAAACGTGAATTGAGGGGAACTAAAGAGCGTGAAGCTACGGGATGCGAGAGTGAAAGAGACGAGAAGCTCGCGTTGTACAGATGAGTAGAGAGAGTATTATTGCCTCTTAAGGTGACAGCCGCGCTAAACCCCATCGAAGCCGCAGAGCCGCAGGATCGTCGACCATGACAGTAATAGAATCAATAACAACAGTAGAAGAGGACAGAAATTAAACAATAAAAGAATTAAGCCTGTAGAATGGAATCTCCTAATTATGATTAAATCGCAATCCGTACAGCAATTGTGTTGGTATAACTTCCAGTACTTACTCGTATCCCCGGGACATCGCGCCAAGACCTCAGGCCACTGCGAATGCCTTCAACTTCCGCGCGATACTTCTCTTCCGCTCCGCCAGCAAACCGCTCAGATCCAGAAGTTCTGCTGTGACTTATCCTCCGGCTTTCCTCCTCATATCCTGTTCAGCCAAAATGCCTGCTGGAATGTAAGTGAAAGACTCATCCTCTACCTCCACCATTGCCGCCATCTCGCCCACTCTCTTTCCCCTCCGGATCGGCGCTCTCGCCGTAGAACGAGCTGCGTCCCTATCTACAGACTAACATGATCCTCTCAATCACAGCTTCAACTCGACCTACTACGGCAAGGACTACCGCGCCGGTGCTGCCCTGCTCCGTGCCCGCCGGCCGTACCTCTTCAGGAATACCTTGACTGGAATCGGCCTCTTCTCATTCTGTATCGGAGTTTGTACGTGCTTTCTCGCCTCTCCCAGATGTCAACCCAGCATTCTCAAAGATATATTATTACGTTCCCACTAGCTCACTCGAACTAACATTTACATTCTAAGACACCTTCACCATCCGAGCCGTCGGACAAGAAGACTTCTCTGACGTCGTCGTCCCCGATGCCCCCGCCGCACCGAAGCAGGAAGCCAAATGAAATGCTTTAAAAAGAACAACCTCACGTTGATTTTTTCTTTCCGGGCAAGGGATCGGTCTACAATACAAATGAAGGGACTCGGGTAAATATACAAAAAAGAAATCTTCCCAATATTTTCAGCGCATGGTGCAATCGGTGTATGGAGTGAAATTTTATGTACAATATACGTTCCTTTTATGTGAAGAGGGATTTATACCACCTTTTTCCTTATCCCATCGGAGAGTTTCTCTGATAAGAGTGCTCATTGTGCTAGCTCCCTTCTCTGTCCCGTGTGGTTTTGGGGGTTGGATAGACACGGCCACGGGTTCTGATAGGATGGTAAGCAGCTGTCGACAGAACTGAGCCCTATACCCCATGCTCCAAGAAATATTCTCCTTTTCCTTATATCACAAGAGATTCTCCTGTATCGACTCATTCACTTGATCTTTGATAAGTAAGATTGTATGAAAGTCTCCGTTTGAGAGGGTAGTGGCTGGCTATAACCGCCATACTATCGTATATACAGTTCAGGAATCGAGATATGATTCTTGAAATCGTATCTGAAAGTGAAGAAATGATTAGAGGAAAGGGGACCTTGTCTCAGAACGCATTTTTGAGAAGTCTCACGGTGCCTTCTCGCCGGTGTGCCCATTTCTTATATTCAGGAGACGTCTTGCACTCAGTGGGGATAACATGATGTCTTGAAGACAGAAGAAGGGGAGGAATTCTTGTTTTCCATGGTGTTTAGTGTCGAAAGGTCAAAATTAGACGGTCTTCTGAACCGTAGGAGCGGTAGGACGTGGTATTCCTAGGCCTTATCGAGACTCAGGATCTTGACTCGTTCCTGCGAGTATGTAAACATGGCGCAAGCCTGCAAGAAAAGTATCTTTCTTTCTCAGTCCTGCTCGTATCTGCATTGTCTGCACCCGCTTTAATTTCCGTGGCTGCAGTCTGGATCGCCAAAAGTTGATAGTGTACTTCATGGTACAAGCCTGGTACCTAGAGCATCTCCTAATTTATATCCTCTTCCCCGAAAATATGAATGCATCTTACCCATTATAACCGGGTTCGCTGGGTCTTCTATGGTAGTTCCAACTATCGAAGGTGGGCTAGTTGATATCCGCTGCATGCTGTAAGTACTGCTGGATCTTGATCTCGTGGACCTTGTCGATGTCGATTCGAGATCATCTTGATCAGGCTCAGTCTGGACGCCTGCATCCACGTAACGACATACTCTCTTTGGGTTCGGTAGTTGGGGTACAGCAGCCGGTGGAGCTAGATTTCGCGACCTAGTATCTGCCACTTGGGCTTGGCTCTCTCTTTCTGTCTTCTTCTCTAACCAGCTCCAGAAGCTGGATCCGTCGATAGCGATGCTCTGCGGGCGTGCTGCTCGTAGTGTGTCACGCCTCATGATACTCCTCGTCGGCGGTGATTGCGTAACAGGAATGAGAGACGGAGGTCTTAGTTCTCGTTCAGAAGGGAGACTCGTCATAGAAAGTGTATGTGATCGCCTCAGATTCTGCCTTGAAGGCACTTGTCTCGCAGACAATTTATCCTTCAAATCAGCGGTGCTATCTCTATTCGAGACCTTCCCATTCTTGTCTGATGCAAAATACTCGTCTCCATGTCCGAAAACAATCTGAAGTGTGTCGAAGTCTCGCGTTGACCCATCCGGTGGGAAAAGCCATGTCTGTAACTCGTCTGGTAGGCCGTAGCTATCTGCTAATTGCTCAGAACAACCTTCCAACGTGCTATGAAGAGATGATGAAGTCAAATGGGTAAGATCATCGTACCCTGTCTATATTCCCCATTTTGTATCTTCCAGCAGATATAGTATCTCTCAAAAGCACCGAACGCAACGATGACCAGCTCCTTTACGCATTCGGGATCATTGGGGTTATTAGGTATATCTCGAAGTCTGTTCCACAATCGAGTAGATGGACCCATAGACCCATCAGAACTGGGAAGAGTAAGTGTTAGTATGCATCCCCGCGTTGAATGACTGCACAGAGATCAAACCTCGTGGGGTATATCCGCCTTCTCGTTGATTCGGAAGGGACACTTGAAGAATGAGCCCGCTGGGCCTTTTGATGCTCTAGCATTTTTCCAAAATGATATATAAAACCTCTGCAATTGAGGCCAGCCTTCATGCAGATGGTTAAGAGGTATGCATTTCAGAGTATCATCGTCTCAGAAGCCGGTTTACCTACGGTTAGTAGAGTGAATGCGCAAAGGGTACCCTCGTCTAAACAGGCATCACGCCATGGTTCCGCTTTCTCTTCCGTCAATCTAACTGATTAACTAACTACAAAACAGTCCACAAGTAATACTCCATGACCATGCTGATTTTAAAGGCGTAAGGGAATCTGCTAGAGATAACCCCTGCGTCACGTTCGCACGAGATGGTTTCACCATACCATCTCCGGCGATCCAGACCAAAACGTGGCATGAACGGCCCACAGTCAGGAGTACTTGTTATTCGAGACTCTTGTTTTTGATTCGAAAACTCCTCATTTTCCAATTGGTGGCTGCTCTCATACGGGAGGTGGTAGCGAGCTCTGTCTGAAGTAAAAACTGCGAATTCTGGTATATCCTTGTCTTTTGTCCCATAGGTTTTCACCATCGGCGATTCAACAAGTGGATATGATATCAAACCATTCAAAATAATTGCTTTTGTTCTATAGCAGCTAGAATCAAATATTTGACCATCGTCTTTTCCTTGTCCCGGGTATGCCATTAGGAACGCTTAATTCTGCGTTCGTAGATGTGCTTGTCTTTGCCTTCGGGCCAGCCCATGATAAACGATTATCCCTTCCAGACTTCTCACCATGTGAATTCAGTGTATCGGACATGGTTCCACGATAGTAATCATCCGATGGCGGAGAATGGGGAACGCTCAATAAGGGTATCGCCCTGTTGAACCCGTCGGGCCGACTCGATCTTGTGGTTCTTATCGGGAGTGTTTTGATCTTTGGCTGGGTAATGTTGTGCGCATCCGCTGCAGTCCCAGGACTACTTACGATAGGCTTCTTGACATCAGAGTCAGACGTTGGGGATCGTATATGGACTGACTCTTCTTTATGCCGATATACACGAGAGTTCTGATCCATGCCATTCTTTTCCATATTTTCACCCTCTTGAGAACGGTCCAGATACGGTGGATGGTCCCTCTCTTCCTGAATGCTGGGCGCGCTTGATTTCAAGGGACTCGGAACCCTTTCCGTTGGCACATCAGGATGTTTCTGTACGGTAGTACTCCCTCCATTCTTGATAGAGCTTGTTGCGGTCTTCTCTATCTGCACCGTCGACGTCTTCTGCTTCGAAATCCGCTTTTCTTTCCTCGTCAATTCGATCTCCAGCACTCTGGTTCCCGGTTTCACTTTTCCTTTCAATCCATTGTCATCTCGATCAAAGTATAAAGCCCATAGTCCTTCTTCTTCTTCCACGGCAACAAACCCTTCCCAACCTTCGAGGATAACACGCCGGTCCTTCCTCGTGCAATCGAAAGGTCCGTGGATATTAGGCTGAGCTTGCGCCCGGATACCATATTTCACTTCGTATGTGTCTTTGTCGACATATATCCAGTTTAACACGGGAGGCTCGTCTACTATCGTCGAGACGAGCCCTTCGTACTTCTCGTCCGGGTAGGGGAGATAGTAGCCTGCGAACGGATGGCCGAATTGCGTTTCCTGTGGCTGAGATGTCTCTTGTTCTGGTTCAGATCTAGTTCCGACGTCGATATATAGCTATATAAATAATACATTAGCCCGCCAATATATATGATATAATGTAGATATTTCCAAAGGATATGATCCCTCAAGATTCGTATACCATCTTACCTTATTATCCTTCAGAACCACCTGCCTGCTATCTATTTCCCTGCTACGAATGCACGATTTGACACAAGTAACGATAAGATTGCATCGACGAGCGCGATGTTCCTCTCTCCTATCCTTTGATTGGCCCTGACGAATGGCCTCTGCGGTACCGAGGAGGGCAGGGGCCGTAGTGAGCGCTACTAGCATAGACAACACCATAGTAATTTCTTAGAGAAGAATGTGATGCGACAAGGCCGGTCGTTGGAAAAACCAGACAGACGAACTAGAAGAAACCCCAGGATGATCTTCGATCAGTAGACCCGTTGTCCCTTTCTTGAGATACCAGGGTGGTTTGAGGAGATTGCAGAGGAATTCCAGTTTTCTTCCGCCAATCGTCCATGATAGCAAACTATGAAAGATGCTTTGATGTTAGGGTAGATAGGTAAGGTGGATTGGATTGGATTGGATTGTTCAGATCAGCATGGCTAAAACGTAGCAAAGAGAATGAATCATGTAAAGCATATCGTGTCTCAAGGAGGGAAGTTATCATCTTTTCGCGTCCCATTCTCCAAGAGGAGATGGCTAGAGTAAGTATGGAGATAAGATAGCTTGGAGATAGTGCAACTCCAGCCGACTACTGAATACGAAGGAAATTCCTCATGGCGTGCCAAGACGGTATGCAACGCCCATTGTGTAGAAATCCGTTTTGTATGTCTCCTAAATCGGGCAGTGAATCAGTTCCCTTCGAATAATAATACACAAAACCATATAGATACCTAGATAGTACGTTGCCAACCAACCCCTGGTGTCACCCTCCCCGAGTAGCAACTAAGCTTCCCCCCGGCCTTTCGGAACTGTCATTTTAGCTCCCATCGCAACCCTGTTAATCCACAAATAACTGTCAAGACGTGCTAAAAACTCGGCTCGCTCTCCGGATGATGCCTCTGCACGATCGTACGATGTTCTTGAGAAGTGTGGAGTTTCGGCGACGCCCCCTGATCGTCTCGTGTTCGTCTCGACTTGACACCCAACAAGCTTTTCCTACCAAACCGTGTGGATTTGCATTCTTGCAAAGTGGACAGGTTGTTGTTATCGATATGACTGGTGCCCAGAGATACATTATTAGCTAGTGACGGGAACTAGCTAGATCCCTTCCCCCAGCAGCCTAGGGAGTTCGATATTTGAATGAAGCCTTTACAGCGATACATTATGCACTTGCGCTAGCTAGCAGGGAATTAACTGTTCCATGAGAGCGATTGCGACATCTCGAAGCGAGCAAGCATATCTTAGACAGGAGAAGCTGAGACGAGACAGAAATCGTAGATCAGCAATATCGTATGATATGTGCTGTTGGCAAGGGAACTGAACTAGATTTCAAATATCTGGTTGTAACTATATATATACTCGACGAGAATCGTTCGTAAAGATATCCTTGTTTTTTTCTTTCTTCACCATCACAGTTTTAATTCTTCATCCTTTCTTTGTGTATTTCTTTCCACAAATCACTGAGCCGGTCTCAGTACAACGGATATCTCTATCTACTCCCTAATATCTGCAAAAGATCCACAATGTCTACAACACTGTACGTTCCTCAACACACACACAGAGAGAGGGTTGATGGAAACCAATTCCAGCCATCCCAACCCTACCTAATCCAAATATACTGATTTTGTAGCACCAGTGCCAACAAAACCCCCCTCAACGGCACCGGCTACTCGTCAGAAAGCGATGACGGTCAAGCCCAGGGTGGTCGGAGAGCAGCCGCTCTCTCTACGCTCCCGCATCCTCCTACTTCTGATAACTTGTCCCGACCTGCTGGTGAGTAATATAACCTCGAGACCATGGGTCCTTTTCCCAAAAAAAAAAAAAAAAAAAAAAAAAAAAAAAAAAAAAAAAAAAAAAAAAAAAAAAAAAAAAAAAAAAACCGAACATAACTAACATTTATCATTTCTCGTGCTATAGGAGGCCTCCTCAAAGGCGCCACCGACAAAGAAGGCAACTTGAAAGACGCCGGTCTGATGGTCGGTATCAAGCTCGATCTAGAAGCTGAAGTTCATCTCACTGCAAGAGTTCGTGGTGATGTCGTTATTGGCTTGTACTAGTTTTTCCTCCCTTTTTCTCTCTCTCTCTCTCTCCAACCCGCGTTCCCGATTCTGGCATTTATCTACCTTGGGTATTTGTTTTCTTCCATTCGTTGGGGAATGGACATTGGCTGAGAAAACGGCTTTGGTGTGTTCCCTTCGACACAAAAGGCGCGGATTGAGCCCGATGAGTAAAGAGGCTTTGTTCACGACGGAGAAGCCGAGGGATATGCCTGCTTGGGAGTCGAGGAGGGTCGAGAATTGGGGGGGAAGTGAGAACGAGAGTGGTGCGAAGGGGGAAAAAGGGCGATGATTTAGTTTCATGTCATTCATGTTTGTATATGTGAAGGGGAAAACGCTTGTGGAGAGGGTAGATTATGATTTGTATAATCCTTCCTTCAATGGCCTTTCTAAGTAATTTTTAGATAAAATGTGTACATTTATTGTGCCAAGTACAACACTATCTACCACTTAAAGGCAATTTGCAAGTAGAGAATATTCTTGTTCTAGCCTGCAGCAACCACCAGATGATGGGAGCTGCACTGTACGGCAAGACGCTACTACTGTAAAGTACTTAGCTGTACTATATCACAAAGTGGAAGACAGGAAAAGGCAAATGAACCAGACTCCCAAAGACGAGGCTATCAGCAGGAAAGAACTCAAGAGGGAAAGGAATAAAGCCCCTGGTATTACCCAAACATTTCAGAATGATCAATCAGACACCGAGACATGCATCTTGATACCATGCCATGCTCTAACCGGCTAGAATAGATTTTGCCGGATTTCGAAAGATAAAACGTCGAACCCCCCTTAATTCAAGGAATATTGAACCGCCCCAAATTCCAATGAAAACATTCAAGAGATCTTCCACAAACACATACAAGAAGAACCTGCAACTGGAGAAGAAGAAAAGGCGAAAGGACGTGCCAGAGAGAAAAAGATCTACATGATCCGACCGTTTGAATCGTACATACTGAGAAAAATCCCGCTGAACTCCAGATACGACCCACATTCACAGAGGGCTATTTATGGTCATCGCGCTGTCATTCGACTTGAGCCTGCACTAGCCGTGATGCTTGTCGACTGATGCATGGCGTTGATGTTTTTGGACGTAAGCGGAGGTGAGCCCTCTCCTTTTGAGGGCGTGTTGAACAAACCAAGGCGTGCTGACGGGGGCGAGTAACCGACATTCCGTGGCCCGGAATCAGGTGCATTGGCGTGTAGGTGAGGTTTTCGTACGTCCAACGGCGAAGAACTTAGCGATCTGAAGCCCGACTTCCTGTCAAGAGAATCGTAGTCGGGATTACTGAAGTGGCCCTGCTGTCGCGGTTCCTGTTCTGTTCCATATGGTGTATTCGCCGCGGAGGAGTTGGCCGCAGACTGATGGTCGGCAATGGTGGATGCCGATCCGTTCGGTGCATGGATGTCCACTACACGCTTTTGGCCAGCGGGAGTTGTATAGGAAGACATGCGAGCCTGCTCAGATGCCTTGCTCTGCTGCTTCTGCTGCGATGGCTGTTGATGAATTGGATGTTGCGGATTAGCCCAGGGCGTTTGTTCCAGAAAGGCCTCTTCAGCAGCAGTGCGGGCCATGGCAGACGGCATTGCCGACATTAGTCCCCGCGGGAACCCTGACGGATGAACCTGAGAGCTTCTAGTCTCGGTCGAAATCTGAGAGACTCGAATCAGAACCTGTGGCCTTAGAATGCTTCAACCGCGTCACTTACCCCCATCTTCTCAAAGTCCTCCTCGATCTCCGATGGGCGCGCCGCAGCCAATGACGGCGCAGCAGGAAAGCCAACATATTTGGCAACTCCGGAGAGGACAGAAACCTCTTGATTATACGCAGTTTGTTGCGCAATCTGCTGTGACCGGCGGGTGGGAAAGGGGATGTAATGATGTGGACTGATGTCCTCCGTCTTGAAGCGGTCATGCTGAATGGCATAGAACTGCTTGCTAACAGCACTAGAATGTCTCTCACGCACGTCCCTAACACGCTGGAAAAAGGTACTATGTGTTTGCGCACGCTCGGCCAAACTCTTGTTCAACAGCGACTTGAGCCTGTACTGAAACAGAGTGCTCTCGTATTTGATCTTGGCATCGCGGTAACGTCTCACGCTTTCAAGTTGACGCAGGAATTCGGGATGGGTAGGATTTGGCCCAGTCAGCTGTTCCAGCTCTTGATTGAGTTTCGCGATCCTCTCGTCGTATATTCTGTATATTATTAGTACACCAACATAATGAAAACGATGGGGACGGCGATTATCATACCGATCGCGCAGCGTCGCGAACTCCTTCTCCAGAACCACCAGAGAATCCATAGCGGACATCTTCTTTGCTGCTGTCCGAGAGTCAGTCACGAGCTGGTCATTCATGGCGCGCTCCATCACTTACACTCTTCCTCTGCCTTTGCAACAGCTTCTGCGTCTTCCGGTTCTTCGACACCTCCAGCCCCTTCTTCTTCATCTGGGACGTGGTCATCGACAAGACCCTCAGCGCCAGCTTCGACAGGCCCACCAATTTCTGTGTCTTCATCCACGTCTTTGGCCTTTCTCCCCTTCCGTTTGCCCTTTTTGCCCTTCTTGCCTCTGGTGGGCGCCACGGGCACCTCGAGCTCTTGGGCCTCCTCGGCAAGAGGAGTACCCTCATTAGACATCTCATTGACTTTGATGGTCTCTTCGGTCGGTTCTGGTGACAGGGGAGTCTCTTCGAGGGTCGCTTCCGCTGCGCCGCTCTTCAAGGAGCTTTGCCGCTTTCGAAGAGGCTCTTGCTCACCCTGATCCGTGCCGGTGTCGTCTCCAGACTCGAAACGTTTACGTTTCTTGCCAGCAGGCTCCGGCAGATGTGAGCTTTCTGGAGCAGATAATTGCTCCGCCTGCCCGGTAAGACCGTTGCTCCGGGAAGAACGCCTGACTTTGCTAGGCGAGTCTTCTGCAGGATGCCCATCGTCATCCACATCATCGTATGTAGTCGATTGCGCCAGTTTGCTAGGACTGTTCCCGTATCCACTTGCACTCACGACGATATCGCGTCGCAGGCGGAGATTGTTCGGAGAATCCTCTATCCGCTCCGTTTCGGCCTCCGAGTCGACCTCACCAGGGCCCTTTTCCGGCTTTGGAGGTTCCTCATCGGAGGGTTCCTGGTCAGAGACATAGTCAATGTCACTCAGACTGCTCGAGCGGCCATCATCAATGAGAACATCTTCTGGGATGATGTTCTCGTCGCCATTGGCGACCGGGGCCGATGCCCCCGCAGGCGTCGCAGCGGGGGCGGTCTCTCTGCTCTCCGCAACCTCCATCTCTATGTATGTATGTATATGCGAGACGCAGAAATATGAACTAAGCTAGGCGGAGGGGGAATGATCTAGCGAGATGCTCTGCGCAGAGAGCGTCGCCTTGAAAGTCGGCCGAGGGAGAGGAGGGGGGAAGGAATCGAAAAAATTTCGTCGGACGTAATTGAGTATCTAGCATGAAGACTATGTCAATTAGTGATGCTGATCCAAGAATAATGACATGGTAACAAGGCTGATGGATGGTTGGCAGAGCTAGGCTTTCTCGTGGCCGGTGCGGAGATTGACTACCCGGAGGACCGCCAGCAACCGCGAGGATGAAGCCCTGGTCGTCGATCCCAACTGAGCAGGAAAATCTTGACTCGACTCGTGTGCACGACAGCAGTAGGCTGATGGGACAATGGAGCTTCCAGAAGGCCCAGTGCAGGCTCCAGAGGGCCCAGGAGACGTACCGTGAAGCAATGCGCCAGCAGCAACGGCGGCCCTAGCACGGCAGCTCGCGACAAGCACGACGCTGAGAGGGGACCACACAAATCCTGCCACTACCAGTATATATGATCGAGGCCAGGCCTGGACGGTCTTCGACCGCTTCGGAGACTGGCCTGCTGTCCACCGCAGGACTGGACGAGTCTTGCGCGAACGACTGAGGGGATCAAGAAGCGGGCAAGACGACAATGTAGGGCCGCAGGTGAGCAGACCGCATCAGCAGGAGACAGGCGCCCGCGAGAACGGGAGAGATAGCGGCGGTCAGAGGAGGAGGACGATAAGAAGAATCCTGCGAGAAAACAAACGGAAGAGCGTATCTCTGGCGGAAAAGAGGAGTTGCAAGTGACGGGTTCCTGGGCGGTGCGCAGAGAGACGGGGAACATCCACTTGCAGTATTAGTGTATTAGTGCAGCAAAGCAGACGTGCTGGGCGACTTCACCAGCGCCGACCGTGGCCGTTTTCTGCCGGGGGGCGTTGGCCCGTCGTTGGCCTGCCCGGGCGCGTCCTCGCCTCACCGCCCTCGCTCGTCGCCCCGGCCTAAGCCTCTTCCGGTAGTCCCGTGATGCGGTGGTCACGTGAAACAGCGGCCGCTCGGCTCAACTGCCTCCGTGAGCTAAGCCTCTTTCGGCACGGCCGCTGATCGGCCTCTGACGTCGTTCCTTGCGGTGTTGGTAAGTTAGACATGTTGGAGCAGATCATCAAGCTGATGTTCACGGATTCGGCCAGATTGGATTCGTTTCTCTTCATGATTTGGTCAAGGCAGGTATTAATCAGAGGGGTGGTGTTTTTTCAGGAAAGAAAAGGAAAGAGAAGAAAAATATCTCGACAAAGCAACCGGTTGGTGGTATTATGGGGGCTGGTGGAAGAAGAGCAGCGTGTAACACATCAAGAACAACAAACAACACATGCGGATTTTGAAGATACAGAGAAGAGAGTAATGATTCTTCGTATCTACTGCTCTATCAAACATACTGAACTGTCGACTACATGTAGTTGGTTTGATTCTTTTTCTTGTCCTTATTGTCGGCTCAGCCCTCGTCCACTTCATAGCTAGTCCGAGCAGACCACTTAAATAGCAGGCAGATCAGAAAAATTAACGAAGATATACACAGACTACAACTCCTAGGTACTATTCTCATCCAGCAATAAGCTGTGACAGAGGTTGTATAACCGGAAGCAGTGTCATCGCCTATCAGTAACATCACGTGATGATAAACAGATTTCCGCAGGCCAAGACCGTGGATGGCGCTTACCGCCGCGAAAAAAAAGTTGGACCCAGGGACGAAAAGGGAAACTGTTCTGCGATTCTTCCACTCACGCAATACTCCACCATTCCTCCTAATTGCTCCAGGGGAAAATACTACCCGGCGGAGGGCAATCAATCATGGGGAACAAAACCAAGATTCGGTCCCAGCAGGCCGGAAAGGGAGCTCACGAAGATGCTCCCGCAACCACGGACAAGCCGTCCTTCCTAACGGGCGGTGCGTCCATTGATCCGACTTTGGCCTCGCTGTTTGAAACAAGTGTGAGTCCACCTGATAATAATCACCGCTCAGATCGATGGCTTCATACAAGAGGAGATTACCAGGTCTTGGCTGTTGTGAGAGGGCGACCTTTGCTAACCCGTCTGCTTTTATAATTCTAGGCTGGCCCTGTCAAGATTCCCTCGGTGAAGTCTAGTAGAGATGCGGCAGCCATGTCAGGTGCCAAGAAGGCCAATAGGCCTGAGGAAGAAGACGACGAAGAACTCAGCGCCGCGGGTGATAACGACGACGAGGAGTTGTCTGAGCTGGGCGCCCAGTCAGGCGACGAAGATGAAGAAATGGAAGATATTGAAGAGGAGAGTGGAGACGACAACAAATCTACCCCGCAAGACATGGATGCCTCGACAACGAGCAGAAAGAGAAAGAGAAGGGCTGAAGACAACCTCGAAGATTCTTATATGCGCCGGATAGCTCAGGAGGAAGCGAAAGAAGAGGCAAAGCGACGCTCTGAGAAAGCTAAGCGAGTCAAGCTTGAGGACAAGGAGGGGAGAGATGGCTCTGATGACGAAGAGGGCGAATCCTCGCAGGAGGAGGATGGTAGTCCTCCACCAAAGCATGAGACCGTTTCGGGAGATGGAGAGGCTGCTATCATTGACAAGTCTAACCGCACTGTCTTCCTCGGCAATGTGTCGACAAAGGCCATCAAGTCCAAGTCTGCTAAAAAGACACTCCTCGCTCATCTAGCGTCATTTCTTTCTACGCTACCGGAAGCTGAAGTCCTTCACAAAATTGAATCTATCAGGTTCCGCTCGACTCCATACACATCGGGAGGTGGCATCCCAAAGCGTGCCTCATACGCCCATAAAGAGATCATGGACGAGACGACGCCGAGCACTAACGCCTACGTCGTTTACACCACTGCTCAGGCAGCGAGGAAAGCCCCCGCTGCGCTGAATGGGACCGTCGTTCTGGACCGTCACTTGCGTGTCGACAGCGTGGCTCATCCTGCACCGGTGGATAACAAGCGATGTGTGTTTGTGGGTAATCTGGATTTCATTGATCAAGAGCCGGAAGATGACGACGAGGAGGAGGAGGAGAAAAAGAAGAAGAAGAAGCCTTCCGTTCCTGCTGATGTGGAAGAGGGCCTTTGGCGCACGTTCAATGAGGAGACTAAGGGTGTCACCCAAGGCTCACGAAGGGGCAACGTCGAGTCTGTTCGCGTGGTCCGCGATCGTGCCACGCGTGTTGGAAAAGGTTTCGCATACGTTCAGTTCTATGATCCTAATTGTGTGGAAGCAGCACTCCTCCTGGACGGAAAGAAATTTCCACCACTGCTTCCCCGAAAGCTGCGGGTCACACGTGCTAGGAAAGTACAGAAACGGCGAGAGGGCACTGGTGCTAATGCCAGAGAGCTGGGAGTCGGCGCTGCACGCTTGTCTCTCCAGGGTCGCGCTACTAAGCTACTGGGCAGGGCTGGCGCTGCCAAGCTAAAGGAGGTCGGCTCACATCCCAAGTCGAAGCCTGATGAACCTTTTGTGTTCGAGGGATACCGCGCTAGCGAAGGGTCCAGAGGAGCGGAGGGCGCTCCGAGATTTAAAGTCAAGACGAAGAGTCGTGGTGCGTCCAAGGGCAAGCCGAAGACGAGGAGTAGTCGTCGTGCCGCGGCATACAAGGCTGCGGGCGGCAGGAAGGGTGCACAAGAAAGAAAGCCCTGAAGAGAGATAACTCAATTCTTCTGTTTGTATCTGTACGGATGCCTGGCACTGTCATGAGGGTCCTGGAGAAAAGCACGTATATAGCATGTTCTTAGTTTACTTTTGTTTTTAAAAGGATGGGCTGTACAGGTTTGACAATGGTTCGATGAGAATAATCCATTCATAAAGGCATCTTGAAGTTGATAGGGAAGCACTCGAAGAATTGTTCGTATAAGCCACCACATTCATAAGGCTGTGCAACACCAGCGTGATCGTTATAGATAAGATCGCCCAAAAAGCCCAAGCTGATCTTTGACGTCATCGAGGTTTATTTGTCCGTGAAATTAATCGACTAACCAAGGGTCGCCCCAATAATCCATCCCGTCTTAAAGACATCGAAAAGTAGAGTCTTCAGAGGGGAGAACAGAGTTTCTATTACTGTCCGTTCGTTTGGTACGTACTCCATGGTAGAAGCACATGTTGTCCCGCCGCGGTCGATCCGATTCCCCACAGCCCCTCGTTTCCATAAGTACATACAACTTCCACTTATAGCCGCACATCTGGCATAGCTGACTCGTACATCAGGCTCGCAGTTTACGATCTATATGCTTCTTATTGGAGGATATCTTCAAAGCATTTACTAGTTGCTACTGCTTCAGTGGCGCTGACAATCACTAAGTACTTAACTACCTGCTGGGTTTGACCGCTGCCTAGATTGTGGTCAGCCGCAAAGCAAACGGCAGATAACTGACTCGACTCACGGCCTAATATAAAGCGCTTCCTTGATTTTTTACATTCAATCGATACGTGTTTTTTCAGTTCAACAGAAGAGAAGAGAAAATGAGTAAAAGAGATCTCAACATGCCCCGTCTCCCACCGCGAGGCGTTCATCGCTTCCCGACTCAACAGCCCGAACCGCCCGAGAAGCAGGAAGCTGAGTCAGAGTCAGAGTCAGAGCAGGAAACAGAGTCAGATCTGGAAACCGAGTCAGAGCAGGGAACCGAGTCAGAGCAGGAAGCAGAGTCAGAACCGGAAATCTTCTATCCCAGTCTTCGCGATGCCATAGAAGTCCGCGGGATTTTACGGCTAGGACTTGTCCCTGAAGGTCTCCCTACCGAGATTGTCGATCTTATCATCGATACAGCCGAGTACTGGCCGTCCGTCGAGGCGAAGCTATCAGGTCCAACTATCGTGCGTCAAGATGCTGATCGGGAGCTTTTGAGAACGCCCCCTTTGTGCTTAGAGGTAAGGATATCCTTTCTATCGAGCTGTTCTCGTGTGAATGCATAAAGTAGCCTATTATGAACAAGCCGGATATCGACTCCTTATGAATGCATGTCTCAGATTGGCAGGCACATTCAGTCTATCCATTCAGACCCATCCCAAGTACGCTTGAAAACTAATCTTTTTACAGAAACAGGAAGACTCAGCATCACCAAAAATACTTCCGCACCGAGGATCGCATCCATGTCGCAAGATTATCTTCAACATCTGGTCCCAGGACCAAGGTTGGGGCGGTGGCCCACGGAACCGGAATTCCAGATATGACGGATCTTATTCTTGGTTCGATGCTTTTATCATCTCCGCGGACAGTGCAGAAAGAGAATCATCAGAAGAAAGACCCCTTGAAGCTCGCATAAAACCCGGCGAGCCATATTTCATCCCCACTGGCAATAAACTACAGTCTAATGTGGTTGCCAGGGACGAGGTGGAGCACCATCACATCGTGTGGCATCATGAAGATTCAACCCACGCGGATTCGCCTGAGGCGTGGGATACGGAGCTCTTTCAGGGACGCGGACGAGGTACTCTTGATGGCAGTGCGGTGAGGGAGATGAAGATTGGCGATTCAGTGTCCGTATGGGCTAGGGCACGATTTCCTGGATGGTCGAACCATGTGGAAAGGCTTTCAGTCAGAGTTTATTGGTCTGTGTAGATATTCGGATATGTGAAAATACCCGAGACACCCAGGATTAATTTCATGAGGCTGTAGTCTCTTTTTGTCTTGACTCCTTCATACTATTCTAGCATATCAAACATCATCAGGAATAACCAACTCACTTGTGACAAAATAGAGTAGAATAAGAATCAACTATCATGCTGTAGTTCATCTTAGAACTGAAAGCGGTGCCATCATTGAGGTCCTAATTCCATGCATATTGTCCCAAGTGTCAGATAATACTGAGTTGTTTGTGGCGGAGTTGATTAATAGCTGAATTTTCCGTGTGAGAGGGGAGATGATGATTGGAAATGATTGGAAGCAGCAGAATCTGGGGTAAGACAAGAGTAACAATCCTCTAGATCGAGGAACCACGGCGCCCTATTGGACTGCTCATCGATAGCACGGAGCTATGATGCGGGGCCCCAGATATCAGGCCAAACGTCTTATTTCTACGTCCTTGCGGAGGTATACATTGTTGGAACAGTCTCTGCCAGCGTTTTTTTTTTTTTTCCTATATGCCATTGTACTATAACAATGCTCGTGGAGGATTAGAATGGACTTGGCTGTATTAAATAATTGTTGTAGCTAACTACTCTATACAATAGTAGTTTTCACTGGTTTAGAAGACGAGGGTTTCCCAATCGGGAAGGCAAGCAGCATTGCTCATCCCGTCGAGAAATCACGCAATCGCCCTGTCTGCGCTAGTGGCGCATTGGCCACCGTTGAATTCGCAGAGGTAGGTATAAAGAAGAGCGATGTCCACAACGACCAAATTAATCCTACAACAGGCCCTTCTGATGGCTCAGACCGGTCCCGTTCGTGTCTACGGTGCTCTTTGAACGAACTGACCCCAGGATGGACGGTGTTCGCCCATCTGCTCGCCGCGCTGGCGAGCGCACTCCAGACTCGACCAGGAGGAAAGCTTGAAGGATGATCCGAGACAAGAGGCCCGACGGCAAGCGAATCCGCCTGCAACCGTGAACGCCCGGGTGGGGCGAGACTCGTTGCTCACTTACGCAGTCATCAGCAACATGTTCAATGCTTCCTCGTGCTGCGTGATTCGGCCCCCGCATGCCGTGACTTTGTTCCGCCGTGACTGCAAGATCTTTCCCCCCCCAAAACAGCGGTGTCGGTGGTCTTCTCCTTTCTGCCAACGGATTCCGAGGTTTTTGATCGAATAAAACGGCCGATTCATCGCATTTCGAGCTCTCCCATCTGCTGAGGGTTCTTCCATTGTCTTTTCTGTGATTTTAGCCATTCTTTGTGGTCTTTTATCGGCAGAATGAGCAGCACACCGAGATGTGCCGCGGTGGTGGTGGGAGCCGGTCCAGCAGGCCTCGCGGTAATCGGGAACCTCCTGGAGAAGCAGATTGGCGGCAATATTGCCTGGATCGACCCCTGCTTTCAGGCAGGACGCATCAATAAGAAATATCGTGAGGTGCCTAGGTACGATTTGTCTCTCTACGGTGGTTCTGGCTGTGCGGGCCTCTCGGCCGTGCGGCAGACGGCCAGAGGCGGTTCTACAGGAGAAGAAGAGGACTGCCACAACCGTGCATTGAGACTAACCTCCTCCCAGCAACACGAAAGTCTCTCTATTCCAGGCGTATGCCAAAGCTGTGCAGCCTTTCCGCACTGTGCTCGATACGACTCCCAAGCCTAATGCCTTCACGACGATGACCAAACTGGATCCGGACCAGGGGTGTCCTCTGCATTATGCAGCCGACCTGTGCAAAATGCTCACTGAGGGAATCACGAAACGTGATGATGTTTATGCCTGCTGCGGCGTCGTTACCAAAGCTGATCTGGCGGAGAATGTCAGTGTCGTAGTCTCTTGAAGATAAAGCCGTCTGATCGTTGGACTAACTGGCAATAGCAGTCTCAGTGGACCGTCCATATCAAGAGCTACGAGACTCTCTCGGAGGTCCGGGTAATTGCTCCGCGTCTGGTCCTCTGCACCGGTTCTTCACCAACGTTTCTCCCCATCCCTGTGCCGGGGCTCTCTATCCAGAAGCTGGATCTGGACGTGGTTTTGAAGCCCAGTGAACTGATCGGAGCTATCCCCGCGGACTCGCCGCAAACGGTAGCTGTCATCGGTGCTTCTCATAGTGCCATTCTGGCGCTCATGAATCTAGTCAAACTGGCTCGCTCGTCTCACCCGAAGCTGCGTATCAAGTGGTTTACGCGGCACGGGCTGCGGTATGCGGAGTACAAGGACGGCTGGATCCTGAGAGACAACACGGGTCTCAAGGGTGTTGCAGCGACTTTCGCGAAAGAGCAGCTAGAAGATAACCGACTGCCCCAGTCGGAGGCCGGCCGCTTTGTTGAGAAAGTCGATTGCAGCGGAGGCAAGGAGACAGCGGAGTACCAAGCCAAGCTGCCGTCTTGCACGCATATCGTCCAGGCCGTTGGCTTTACTCGCGACCCTCTGCCCGCGTTGTCGCGGGATGGGAAACCGCTGGAGCCGCAGTTTGACCACCAGACGGGTGGCTTCTCCGATCAGGACGGCCAAGTGATCAAGGGCCTCTATGGTGCTGGTATCGCCTTCCCTGAGCGTGTGGTTGATCCGTACAAGAACGTGGAGCTGAACGTGGGCTTGTGGAAGTTCATGAACTTCATCAAACGGGTTTCCCCGAGCTGGGTTGCCGCGTAGATGATAGTTTTCTTGTTCTTTACTCTTGGCGTTGATACCTCTGCTCTACTGTAATTCCCTGTTGATGCACAATATGGCAGGCTGCTGCTAGGATAGTCTATCTGTCCGGGACCCTGCAGCACTACGTATCTATTATTATTATTATTATTCTGCGTAATCTATTATTATTGTGTTTCCCTGGTAGCACCTTCTGGGGTTGTAGAGATTGGATGCCAGACGACTGGGGTCGTTGAAGTGAGAGCTATATCTACTGGAACGATGGCGTTTGCTGAGGGCACTCGATATGCAACCTCGATGCTGCCAGTACCTAATGTGAGGGAATATCGCATGATTCTCTCTGATTCTCTCTGGCCGTTTACGGGATTGGAGAATGAGCTGCATCAAGGATATGTTTCCTCTATGTCATAGACTTGAGTTGTCTTGTGCAAGCTTGCTCCATCCCATGCTTCATGAACTTCTCTACGTATTCCTCCGGAACGAATTTTGTACCGGACCATCACATGCCAGAGAGAACAGCCACGTGCCTGGGCGAACGGGATCATGTGACGTACAGCCAGGATATCCGGCGCTAAACCCGAAACTGCAGTCAGGGTAGTTATTATTATTATTGTATAGATGATTTATTACAATATTAGTTAGTTATTATTATTATTCAGCAGTTAATCGTGAACAGACAAGATGATATTATATTATATGACCAGCTCATCCAGGGTCTACAGACGGATACAAGAATCGGGCTGATATTCTCTACTCCGTACTTCTCGTCGGGATCGGATCGACCGGGAAAGTCATCGCAGATGATGGCCAGACGGTCAATCAATCAATCAATCACACAAAAAGCTCCTTCAGAATGCCAGCCATTGCGAGGTGCTATGAATCGCGCCTCTTGCTCCGCTTCTCCGCAGTTGTTATTATTGCCCATGGAGAGATGGAGACATGGAGAATACTAAACTCTGGAGTGAACCGCCGGTGTCGGCTGATTCGGGGGATCCCATGGACGGACTCGGCCGAGCCGTCTAGTTAACTACCGGAAGTCCATCATGATTCATCGGACCAGCAGTCAAGTCGGCTCGACACGGACTTTTGGTGCTTTTGGTCAAGTTAACTAACTAATCATAATAATCATAACTAAACTAACCCACTTGAAGCACTGCAGAGAACTCCAGCCAACTTGGGCCGAGGTATTTTCCGCTTCGGGCAGCATGTCCTGCTTTTGCTGCAGTTCCGCCTCGGTCCTTGTGCTGACTTTAATATTGCGAAGAGACGCCCCGGACCGACCGCTTCCAAATAATAATAACTAGAACCGCCCATCAGCCATCGCCCCGTTCTCTCTGATTCTGATTCTGGAGGATGCGAGAGGATCTCTGTTGGATGCATCTCTTCTGATTCCTTCCATCCATACCACGAATTATTATCGTCATATCGCTATTCAACGAATATCTATCTCATCTGCACCGATCATGGTCCCTCCGCCTCCTGCTTGGGTCCAGGCCCTCAAGCCTGCCGGCCCTCAGGGCTCAGAACTGCTGCAGAAGGAACGCGCTCAGTCGAATGTCCCTGTCGACAAGCTGGCTGAGCTGATCCACAGCAAGCCCGTCCTCGAGCGGCAAGAGAAGCTCCTCTCGGTGCTCCAATCCGATCCCGTCTTCGATAAATCGCAGAACTATTCCCTAGGACGCGTCGAGCGCATCCAGCGTGCCCTGGCCAAGGGCAAGCGTCTGCAACAGCTGTCTGTGGAGCGAAAGTGGTCGGCAGACGAATACTATGCCGCTGCAGACCTGATCGCGGAGCCGACCCCGTACGGTCTCCATGCGACTATGTTCCTGGTACGGAGATCTCCCGCATCTGATGGACTTCCATTCATATATCTTTTACAGTCAGCTAACGAGACATTGTGATTCTAGGTCACTCTTCGAGAGCAGGGAACTCCAGAGCAGCACAAGCTCTTCCTGCACCGGGCAGAGAAGTACGAGATCATCGGATGCTATGCGCAGACGGAGTTGGGCCACGGTTCAAACGTCCGTGGTCTCGAGACGACCGCGACCTGGAGCCCCGAGGACAAGACCTTCATCATCAACTCGCCCAGCCTGACTGCCTCCAAGTGGTGGATCGGCTCTCTGGGTAGAACTGCCAACCACGCCGTGGTGATGGCTCAATTGATCATCGATGGAAAGCCCTACGGACCCCATCCTTTCGTCGTCCAGATCCGAGACATGGAGACACACCAGCCGTTGGAGAATGTCTACGTGGGCGATATTGGTCCCAAGTTTGGATACAAGTAAGTTCTCCATTTTGAATACTCGGCGGATAAAGAGATTGCTAATCAATCGGTCATTATAGCACCATGGATAACGGTTTCCTGCTGTTCAACAACTACAAGATCCCCCACGTCAACATGCTCGCTCGATTCGCAAAGGTCGACCCCGCCACCAACAAGTATCTGCGCCCGGCGAACCCGACGCTGATCTATGGTACTATGACCTGGGTGCGATCCAACATCGTCCTCCAGGCAGGAAGCGTCCTGGCCAAAGGTGTGACCATCGCTACCCGGTATTGTGCCGTTCGACGACAGTTCTCCGACCAGGATGCCCCCAAGAATGCGGGCGAAACCCAGGTCCTGAACTACAAGATGGTCCAGGTCCGTCTATTGCCTCTGCTCGCAGCAACGTATGCATTGCATTTCACCGGGCGTGGAATGATGGCCCTGTATGAAAAGAACCAGGCGCGGATGAAGGCCCCCGCATCACAGGACCAGGAGAAGAGAGGACCGGCTCCCGAGGCCCTCCGCGCCGGAGCTGACCTCCTCGCCGATCTCCATGCTACGTCCTGTGGTCTGAAGGCCTTGGCCAGCACTACGGCCGGTGAAGGTCTCGAAGTCTGTCGACGAGCCTGTGGTGGTCACGGATACAGCAGCTACAGCGGCATCGGTTCATGGTACGCTGACTACCTGCCCACCCTCACCTGGGAGGGTGACAACTACATGTTGACCCAACAGGTTGCACGATACGTAAGTGATCCCGTATGATAGGCATCTGTTTTTTTGGGACAAATCAACTGATAAAGATCTATAGCTTCTGAAATCCGCCCGTGCCGTGCTTGCGGGTAAGGCCGGCGACAACGACACGAGCCGCATTCTGCAGTCGTTCATTGACCGCCGAGAGAAGGGCGCTTCATTTGACGTCCTCGAAGTGGACGAGGAAATTGTCGCCGCATTCGCCTGGCGCACCGCATACCTCACATTCGAGGCGCTAAAGCAACGCGACGTAGAGAAGCGCTCGTGGAACAGCCTGCTGGTGGACTTCTGGCGTCTGTCCACTGCTCACTCTCAGTACCTCGTGGTGAAGAACTTCTACGAGGCTGTTTCGTCGCCCGACACGGCTGCCCAGATCGACCCGGAGACTGTCACTCTTCTGCACAAGCTGTTCCGTCTGTACGCCCTGCACACGCTCGAGCGAGAGGCTGCCGACTTCTTCACCTCAGGCGCCGTCACCACGCGCCAGATCACACTCACAAGGAACAAGGCCGTGATGAAGCTGCTGGACGAGATCCGGCCGCACGCGGTAAACCTTGTAGACGCGTGGAAGTTCCCCGACTGGGTGCTGGACAGCAGTCTGGGACGCGAAGACGGCGATGTCTACCGGGATCTCTTCCGCCGGGCCAGTCAGGAAAACCCGGTTAACGAGCTGATCTTCGATCCATACCCATGGAACAAGAACGTGTTGAAGAATGGTGCGGCGCGCAGCAAGCTGTGATTTCTTTTTTCCTTTTTTTTTCCAAATCGGGGTTCGTTGACTTGATATTTCTTGTTCCCTTTTTTTTTGTTTTCTCTTCAGCGAACTATATATTCTCGGACATTGATTGAATCGTAGAAGCTAGACTTACTATAGAAAGAGAGGGGAGATTATACGAGAAGCAGATTATAAATTCGCTTGAATAACAATGCATATATTCTTTTTTTTTTTTTTTTTTTTTTTTTTTCTCAAGCACAATTATATATCCATCTGTCCCCTAACTGAACTAACTAGCTAGTTAATTACCATCTCCTGAATCGACTACACCACACTACACTACACTACACTACATAGTTACAGAGTAAACATAATTACGATAACAATTCCTACTCAGTCATCCTACTAGTAGATACCTAGGTAGTTGGTCTCGACTCAGAGTATTTAACTACCTAACTAACTAACCACTAACTAGTATCGATGATTTTTGATCTAATCTGATCTAATCTGATCGGTCACTAAGTATCCGTAACTAGAGTCTAGTCGACGATCGATGAATGATGATCGATGATCGATCCACATCAGCTAGCTACCTAAGAAACTATCTACGGACTCGGAGTAGGTGGATAATTAGATAAATCGAGTGTTTATGTGCCTGGATGCCTGGGAGGCTCGTGCTTATCACTACTGTAGGAACGGCGGGAGAATAATAGACCGTGATCGAATCGAATTGATTCCTCATCAAGGATGTGCATGGCACATGCATGCATGCATATTCTGCATGGATGGGAAGACGGCTTGGCATACGTATGTACATATACTGGTACATCTTCTACTTTAGTTCCTGCTTATCTTTATTTTTTGATCGTCGTATTGCGCGGAAATTAAACCCGAAACAGAAACTGGTATCAAAAAACAAAGCTTTAGAAGCCATGTTTCATTGCTTATGTACCATCTGTAATATACATTACACGTACCAAAGAGCCTTAAGTAGATATAATACACGGAGGCCATTGGATGTACATTGAGCGCATGCGTGGTTGCTTGGATAATGGGCTGCAAAAAGTAAAAAATAAAACCCGAAGTGAATAATAAAAGCTTCAGACGCGCTCATCCAAGCGTCAGTCCTAGGCTGATAACCCGATAGGGATTGTCCCAATCATGTCTTCATCCCGATCGGTTGTGGTCCGATTGGTATCTCGTGACCCTGTCTTAAAAAGCAGCCATGGCGCCCAGGACGAGAGCCAGCAGACCAGCGGGCGCCTTCAGGGAGGCACCAGCGTTGGCGTTGGGAGCCTGGGTGGTCGGGGTGCTCTGGGAGGAGGAGCTGGTAGAGCTGGCCGCGCCGGTGGTGGTGGACGAGGCAGCGGTAGAAGAGGTGGACTTCGCGCTGGCGGAGGAAGAAGTGGACTTCGCGCTGGAGGTCTTGGAAGCGGAAGCAGAAGCAGAGCTGCTGGCCGAAGCGCTGCTGGTGGTCACGGTGGACAGAGTGGTCGACGCAGCAGAGGTGCTGGAGGCCGACGCAGTGGACGTCTGGGAAGCAGACGAGGCCGACGCGCTGGCGGTGGCACCGGAGACGACGAAGCGGGGCAGGAAGTTGTACTCGCTGGGGTCGGAGTCGTCGATGATCTCGATGGTGTAGTCGGGCTCCGCCGCCAGGTCGGAGGGAGGAGTCCAGGTGTAGCTACCGGAGTTGGGAATGCTCTCTGCTCTTGTCAGCTAATTGCCCTCTGATCATCACATCCTGTCGCGCGCGTCGAGAGGCTACGATTCCGTTGTGTTTGGACTGAGACAAGGACGACTACTTACGGGCAATAACCTCGCCAGAGTTGGTGGTAGTGACAGCGCCCCATTGCAGCTTCAGAGTGACGGTGCCGCTGGTGGTGGGATCCCAGTTCAGCGTAGTGGCCGATCCGACCTTGAAGTCGTAGCCCTGGGTTGGGATCTTGAAGGGGTTGGCGTTCTCAGCCGCGACGACAGCAGCGAAAGCGCTGGCAGCGATGTAGAGGACGGAGCGCATCTTGAAGAATGTGGTTTGGTTAATTGATGGGTTGATTAATTGGCGATCTTGTGTGTTGGCACGACAAGACTGGTATCTGGGAAGAAAGGAAGAAAGACGGATATCAACAACGCGAACGAATGACTGGGGAAAGAAGGCGAGATCAACGAGAGTAAAGCCCTGTGGCGCTGCGGTGAGAAAGCAGAGAGAAAGAGAAAAGAGCGACGGGGACAATCATTAATTAAAAGAGAAAAGGGGAGGCTCGTTGGAGAGAAAGAGAGGGGGCAAAGTGCCTGCTGGATGTTCGGCAACACAAGCGATACGATGGCGTCGGCGCTGTGTCCTGTTCTCCCCCAGACTCCGTCTGGCGCGCGGACTGTCCGGAGGCGCGATTGTCTACAACAGGCAAAGTGTGTACGATCTAACAGGCGACGGAGCCCTTTTAGGGGGGAAATTGGTGGATTTCACGAATTGCAACGCCTTGTTTGGCTTCACGCCGGTGCTGAAGTCAGATTGTGTAGGATTTTAGGTCTCACGATGGCGGCGACTCCGCGTCTGGGATTGGACAGACTCGCTCAGCGTGCAAACGAGCCGAGATTGTTCCATCCAGGAGGCGCAGGGCAGTTCATTTTCCATGGCTGAAATGGATGGTTTTCCTAGGTTGGGAATTCTAGTTCCTCGGATCCGGCCGTTCTTTTTGGTGTGATTATGTTTATTTTTATTTTTTCTTTTATTTTTTATTTTTTTTTTATTCTGCACGAGACCGACAGAGACTGCCTGCCTGTCTTGCCTGATGTTAGTTAGTCGGGCAATTTCCCCCCAAGTTAACTAACTGATAATCATGTTAAAATATCTATCTAGGATGTTAAATGAAGATGGATTTGTCCGGCATTTCCTCAAGGTCACATTACCCGGAGATCGACGCTAGTCCAGTTGGGGAAGGTGCTGCAATCACCTGATCGGTTGGCTGCAGATAGTCACGTGAGAGGCTCGTGCAATGTTTATTTATAAACCAATCAGAAGGCGGCGTGGCCTCAGCGTAAAAGGAAGCTCGCTTAGCCATTATTCCGCCTCAGAAACGAGGCAGCAACAAGATGTTTACCCGTCTCCACGTTTGACGTCATTGGTCCGTTCGGGGAAGGAACGATCGACAACCTATGTTTTATCATCACCCGACGATAACTAACTTAATAATAATAATAATAATAATACTAATTACTGGAACACCAGGAAAGATAAAGCGACGGGATGAGAATAATAGCTTTTTTTGCCTCTAAAGATCATCCACAGCTAGAGTCTACCGTATGTCCTGTCTTTTTATGTCGCCCGATCTCCCACATAGAACGCCGTGTATAGACACTGCCAGCAAATAATATACGGGCAGAGTTGGATAGGCCAAGAAGAAATAGAGTACATCAATCATTCCGCATTCGTGACGGCAGTTGTCTCCGCTCCAGATGCGATGACATTCTCAGTCGTCGCCTCAGGATGAGGAGAAGGAGGACGAGGAGGAAGACCGGCGGCGGATTCTGCCTTGACTTCACCGGTCGTCTCCTGTCCAGGCTCGTCGGGAGTGTCGAGCATCCCATGTTCGCCGAGCCACATGATCGTCTGCATAACTCGTTGATCCTCATCGTCCCGCTGGCGGGCCAGAAGCTAGAAAATCGTTGTCAGTCATGATGTTGTCAGAACCATAACGAGGAAGTCCATCACTTACCGCCTGGAGAAGCCCCTTCCGCCCGGTCTTCTCCTTGACGTTCTTGCCCGCCGGCTTCGTCTGTGCCTTGGCTGTCGACACGTCGTGGGAGAAGCGGCACTGGTCACCCCGTGAACAACGACCTTTTTGGACAAAGTTATGGCATAATTTCTTCTTCGGCGCCTCCCGTGGGGGCGGTGGCACCCGCTCAGGCCCGTCTCGTCGGGACGATACTTCCTCCGGGGCGGAATCACTATCGCCATCGCTGCCACTATCGCTTCCGCTGTCCCATGAATCGTCCGATGACAAGTCCGATCCGCTCGAGGACGTCTCGTCGCTCGTATCAGACATCTCCGATATCGACGCGGCAGCGTCTATCTCCATGCCTTGAACACCCTGTGTGCCATTCTCTCCAGGGGCTGCAGACACGCCCTCCGGAAGGACATGAGAGGCAGCGGTAGCTTCATCAGAAGGCTCAACAGCAATGGCGTCTTTCACAGTGGCAGACTCATCCGCCCCTTCCGCCCTGGGGGCAGCCTCCTGGACAGAACCTTGAGCACCTGTATCATGACCGGATGCGTTCTTCAACGCCTCAGCCTCTAACCGAGCCCGCTCGGCATCCGCCTCGGCCTTAGCAACCCGCTTCTCTTCCTTCATCAGCTTGCGCCGTAGTTTGTCCGCTTTGAGCCGTGCTTTGGCCGCAGCGTCTAGCGGATCCGCCGATCCTTCTGCAGCAGCCTTCCGCTCCTCCTTTGCCTGCTCCTGTTTGGCACGGGCTTCTTTCTGTCTCTGCTTAGCCTCTTCTCTCTGCTTCTGCTTCTGCTTCAGGGCCTCGTTGCGTGCTCGTTGTGCTTCCTCCTGCGCCTTCTTGCGCTCCTCTACCCGTTGTTTCGTGGGGAAACGCTTCTTTCGTTCCTCGATCCAAGCTGCAATGTCCGCCTGTGACTGCAGGGTCGATGTTCTCCCTTTGTACGTGAACCGTAAAGACCCAGCCTCGCCGCTCTGGGCCAGCCTTGCTTCCTCGTCAACGTCATCTTCCTCCTCGCTGGATTCGTGCTCGTCCGTCTTGGGTGTGAGGCCAAGCTGGTTATGACGGCGTTTTTTCTTTTTGGGTTTCCGCGTAGCATCAACCGCAGGCGGAGGCTTGGACGGTAACGGGTTGCCAAAGCTGGGAACTGCTGGCGGTGCAGGTACTCGCGGTGCCGTTGTCGCCGGCTTTCCAAAGGCAGATGCGTGTGGCCTCTTCTGACCCTGACCGGAAAAAGTAGAATGTTGGCTGTATGCGTTGGATGTTCGAGGTCCGTGGGGGCCATGAGCACCACGATGAGTTCCAGTGTAACCTGCTGAACTGCGATCTTCAAATCCCCAGCGCAGCGGCGGGCCCATTACCGGCGCCGATACTGACACCGCCTGTTGACCAGGAACAGGGGGAACGTAGGAGGGCGTTGCAGCCGCATACGGGGGAGACTGGGGTTGCCGTTGGTTGGAGCTGCCATAGCCTGCATCGTAGCTTGGACGACGCGAGTACGGTGTCGTTGCGGAGTAAGTTTGTGGATGAGTATAGCCCGGCTGAGCGTGGGGTGCCTGGTATTGCGAGGACTGAGCAGCATTGTAGGGCGAGGATGACGCGTGATTTGATGCCGCTGGGAAAGGTGGAGGATATGCACCGTAATTGACGGGAGAGTAGCTTTGATTAGCTAGAGAGTTCGCATTCGTATGGTAATTTCCAGAGTAACTAGGATCAGAGGAGCCATGATACCCTCCTCGACCACCCCGATTCCCATATCCGCGTCCCCGTCCCCGATATTGCCCGCCAGCGCCTCGTCCACCCCGCGGAACATAGTTGGCGGCTTGTCCGTATGGAGGTGTAGGACCAGTCGGGAAGCTCTGTTGCGGCGGAGGCGGAGGAGGGGGAGGAGGAAACGAAAAGCCCTGGGAGGTCATCGCGCGAGGAGCTCACTCACCTGGACCTTCGATGTCCAGGACAGCAGAATCCATTCTCCCACTTCATCTGAAGCAGAAAATCGTGGGCAATCTTCCAAAAGTTCCCTCCGTCGACCGATGCTGGAGCTCACTTTGTTCCGGTTCCGACGGCCAAAGTGGAAAAGTGCTGCCAGTCACGTGGAGACGCCCGCTGTCACCGTCTGCCATTGGCTGGAGGAGCTGCTCGCTGATCAAAAAATCGTCGGATGTTCCCAGATTCCCCAGCGGTTGTATCATGGAGCTCTAGACAAAGGACGGTAGATCTTGTTTCTTCTTTTGGATAGTCTTGATGCCGGGCGCCTGAATATGGCCGTGCTCTCTGTCCCCGACCCAGTCCTTTAGTTGCCAGTATCGTTAGCATAATCAGTAAAAGAACCATCTTCCATACCAACGCACTTGGGACTGTGATATCTCACCCTTGAGAAACGCAATGTTCATCCTCGTAGGTTCACCTCTTCCCTCTCAAGAGTTAGAAGAAGAAGCAACGCTTTCTGACCGTCCTTCGCAGACCACCATCTCCGATCTAGTCCAGATCTCGCCCGAGGACTTTTCCAAGTTCAGTGCGGTGGCCATCGAAGATAACATCAACGAGAAATATGCAAACAAGGTATGTCACATTACTGGCTTGTATGAATTTTTCTTCTATGATGCCTGTAAGAACTGATTGTCTGACCTATCTCTCATAGGTCATCCAAAAAGTCGGCCTATGTATTGGCTTCTACGATCTCCTAGAGTCATCGGACGGTCTGATCGGTCATGGAACCGGTCTTGTCAATGTTAATGGTACATTGCAGGAGTGGATTATATCCCGTATATTCTTATGCTAATGTTGCAACAGTTAAATTTCGAATGATTGTCTTTCGACCATTCAAGGGGGAAATCGTAATAGGAAAGATTACCAGTGGGACAGAGCATGGGATTAAGAGTACGTCCTCTCGAATCATCCTCCTATGTTCCTATATAGTCCCCCAAGGATGACATGCTGACCACTCCACAGTTGGCGTAGAATTCTTCAACGATATTCTCATCCCACCCGACCTGCTTCTTCCAGGAGCTAGATTGTAAGACACCCTCCCCTTTGAGCCATTTCCGAAGCTTTACATCTAACATCAAATCAGCGACTACGCGGACCAAGTCTGGATCTGGGAAAACGAAGAAGGCTCAACTTTCTACTTCGACATCGGTGAAATCGTCCGATTCCGAGTTGAAGTCGAGGAATGGCATGATCAGATCCCGAACGCCCCGGATCTGGGTGACGGAACGCCAGTTTCGGAGAGGAAGCCACCATATTCGATCATTGTATGTGTTGCGTGTTTTCTTTATATGATATCTAATGGTGAACCGTGCTGATTTGGTTCGATTAGGGATCCATGCAAATGGCTGGTCTGGGTCCGATTTCCTGGTGGTGATGGAGACGAGTGCATATATTTTCTTTGCACGATTTGGATTCACAGAAATACGAGGCTGCGAAGTACCTCGCCAATTCTTATAGCTTGGTACTGTACATTTACAGTGCCATGTAGCATTTCACAGCTAGAGTCCGTCTATCGGACTCCAATACTAACGATTACATCCATGCTGGCCAAGCCAGCGCGAAACTGCGACCAACGCAGGCCGTGGAGATATTGTCTTGATACAGTTCGGAGAATATTGTCGCATATCACTCTTTGTGGGGATTGGACCATGCCGTGACTGATTCGGCCTTGAAGTTTTTGATTGCGAAATCTGCGTACCCAAGTATCTGCGAAGTGTCGCAAATGATATTAGATGGTTATGAATAGACGGAATATCAATAATAATACCTCCGCCCAGCACCGTATCCGGTTGTATTTCTCCTTGAACCAGAACACTGGTGCCGTCCCGACCAGGCACAGAGTCACAGACGGCCTTTGAGCGGTTATCCGCGGAGCTTGTCCCACTCTCGTCGATCCAGGCGGTCTGACATTAGATAAAAAAATATCGGTGGATCCATCTGACCATGGAGTCATCGACCGAACCAAATCCTCCTATAGAGACGGCGCCGAGGAAGAATTCCACAATAACACTGGAGAATGATGTGCTTTTCGCCTCTGATATAACACTGAAAACATAGCTGAAAGCAGAGAGAAATGCAAATTACGTAATCTCTCCAGCTGATGGTTCTGGGATTTTGTAGCATTTGTTATACATCTAGTAAGCAAGTAAGCTTGGTTGAGCCTCGGTGTGTCAGGAAGGGACCAAACGGTAACTTATTAAACAGATCCAAGTTTAGAGGCATTCCGGCGATTGATAATACGAACCCTCAAACCCCTGCCGCGGGCGGTAACTATATGTTCTTGGGTGCTCGAGTCCCCGTTGTGTGACTTTTTTTCTTCTTCGTTCGTACTGTTCTTTATTCCCTCTTTCTTCCGATTCTCTATAGAAGAGAGGTTGTTGTCGTGACGTTGCTGGATCTCGAGGTTGTCGTACTCAGCTACTTATCGCTCCCCAGCACGGTCGTACAAGATGAGCCCCTCCAACCTGTCGAATGGCAACGCTGCTATCGATACCCCGCCACGACCTCCTACGCCAGAACACAAGTTTGGTACTCTGGCCGTTCATTCGGGTGCTCATCATGATCCAACGACGGGAGCAGTGATCGCACCTGTGAGTGGTTTCCTGTCAAGGGAGGGGTTCGTTACGTGCGACAGAATGCGAAGCTTACCTCTATTCGCAGATTTCTCTATCCACGACCTTTGCGCAGTCGGGGGTGGGCAAACCTGTTGGTGCTTATGAATATACGAGGAGTGCGAATCCCAATCGGTGAGTGTAGCCAATTTCGGAACGAACGTGGTGCAGGGATTCTGACAACGTTGCGCTTCCTAGGGATAACTTCGAACAGGCGGTAGCAGCCCTCGAGCACGCGAAATACGCATTGGCTTTCTCTTCTGGTTCTGCCACGACTGCGACTATCCTCCAATCCCTTGCCGCTGGATCTCATGTTGTCTCCGTGTCGGATGTGTATGGTGGGACGCATAGATACTTCACGAAAGTAGCTGCGGCGCACGGGGTCCATGTCACTTTTTCGCCATGCATCGAGGTCGATGTCGAGGGTTTGATCCGTCCAAATGATACAAAGTTGGTGTGGATCGAGACACCTTCGAATCCGACGCTAGGACTGGTCGATATCAGAAAAGTGGCGTCTATTGCTCACCAACATGGCATCTTGGTGGTCGTCGATAATACTTTCATGAGTCCCTATATCCAGAACCCGCTGGATCACGGTGCAGACATTGTTGTTCACTCGGTGACTAAGTACATTAATGGCCACTCTGTACGCTTTTCCCTCTCCAAGATGAAACCGTTTCGAGAAGGTCCGCTAACGGGAGTTAGGACGTCTTGATGGGAGTCGCTGCTTTCAACTCCGACGCGCTCAAGGAACGCCTCAGTTTTCTTCAAAACGCCATCGGAGCCGTCCCCTCGCCATTCGACTGCTGGCTCGCTCATCGTGGTCTGAAGACGCTGCATCTGCGCGCGCGAGAGGCCACTAAAAACGCAACGACCGTAGCTGAGGCTCTGGAAGCCTCTCCTCTTGTGCAGTCTGTCAACTACCCCGGGCTTAACTCGCACCCTCAGCGTGCGGTCGCTCTTAAGCAGCACCGTGACGGCATGGGTGGTGGAATGCTCAGCTTCCGTATCAAGGGCGGCCACGAAGCTGCTGAGCGTTTCTGTCAAAATACACGCATCTTCACTCTCGCGGAAAGCTTGGGAGGTATTGAAAGTCTGGTCGAGGTGCCCTCGAGTATGACGCATGCAGGTATCCCGAAAGAACAGCGCGAGGCTGCGGGTGTGTTTGATGATCTTGTCCGCATGAGCTGCGGTATCGAGGATGCAGATGACCTCAAGGCGGATGTCCTTCGAGCCCTCGAGAAGTCGGCTATTGTCCCGAAATCCGATGCTGCAAACGGACAGTCGTAATGCCTGTTCAGGCGTTCAACTTTACTTACTCAAGGCGTTTTTATGTGGAAGTTCACGACTCTTAACTAGATTTCTCAAATGATACACCCTTAAAAGCCAGTGGAGAAGGACTGCGCTAGAAGGGAATTAAGCATGGATTCATGTCGATTTTCTCTCGGCTTTGTGGACTTGATGTGGACGTGTTCACTTATGAATCTCGTAAATACCAAATACCAGCGCCCGAATACTGAAGAGTTCAAAGGTGTTCTAGAGAGAGAGCAGTCGTAAAAATCTCTTGTTGATGGATTTTTTATACATAGAACCTAGAGTACTGCTACTAGACCCTGCATGATTCTCAACGACAACTGCAATGGGATCTCCAATGCTGCTAGAAATAATTAAAAAGAATAAAACAGCCTTAGACAAGAACTAGAAATCTATTGATAGCTCCGCGCCCCGCGATAGTTACAGTATACATCTGTAGTTCAAGTTCAAGATTGCGGATATCTGCTTAGTCATCGATATTTTCTCGAACAAGCAGATTTTTGACTTTCTGTATATGGCAGATCATCTGTCGCGGGAGATATACTCCATGCTGCAGTTACAATAATTATCCTTTATAAAGAAATACAGGTTCAGCGGGTGAAATTAGAACAAAAGAGTCTGCTCAGAGAACTTGTCCCCGCTAGGTATTCATTCATTGGTATGGACAGACAACACTCGACCCCTCCTTCACAATAGTGGCATATCGATCCCGATCTTGAAAGGCGGATACTAATGCGTCTTAGGTCAATCCTGATCTACTTGACGAAGTAGTGAGATTTTTCAGGAATTGTGCTGTATAGAAATCTGAACCTAGTGTTATCTCGTTGGTTGCATTTATTTTTGCCGCTTTGGGCTTTTGTATGTTCTGGTAAGTACCTAGTCTCATACCCGACGTTATAGCAGATTGAGCTCTTGGTACCTACCTATTTGATGTCTTTCCTGTTTCATGGACTATGGACTAATATTGGCATAGACTATATTACGTTCTTTCATAGCTGCGGAGTCCAGGTGAAAATGGCATCCGGCTTCACATTCGGGTTCTCAGGAGACGATGTCGATATCGACGAATCAGACCCTCAATTTGATGGGGGCGATGTTCAGAACCAGAACCAAACTTCTCGGAATGGAGAGGAGAGTCAACCTTTAGTTGAGGCGAAGAGATGGGATGGTGAGGAGTGGGTATGCTTTCCTATCTAATTCTTAGTTGAGACTTTAATTCATTTCTGGCACCTATTGGCGAAATAGAAAATTTTAAATACTGACTTTAATGATAACAGCTATCAACGCTTCCGTCTCAAATATCTTACAACAAGGTCTCAATTCCTTCTTCCACCAATGGCGGCAAGGATGTTGCCCTTGGCCGTCGAGAAGTCTTTGATATTCGTACCCAGCTGATGGCCGAGGACGATAACGATAACGATGAACTCATCTCTGGGCTCGAGGAAGGTGATATCAAACCGAATTTCTACGAGGGCGGTTTTAAAACCTGGGAATGTGCATTGGATCTGGCGAGGATGATGGCTTCTGAGGAGGGAAAGGAACTACTCCTAGATAATGGTTCTGATGGGACCGATGTGCATATTATCGAGGTGTGTTCATTCATTCATTCATTCTAACTCCTGATTTTTTATGTTTTGCTGCTGTTTTTGCTTCTGTTTCCGTATTCGTGTTTTCTGTGCTGTTTGGCTCGTTTACTCGCGAGGGATGATATAGTATGGTATGGTATACTTACGAATCTAACAGCTCGGTGCCGGAAGTGCGATGCCTTCCCTCTCCATCTTCGCACAACTACTATCTCTCCCGAAGTCTCAATCGTCGAGAAGAGTCCATTTCACCTTTGCGGATTATAACTCAGCCGTGCTGCGTCTTGTCACGGTGCCGAACCTTCTTCTCACATGGAAGCTGAATTCTCATAAAGAAGCCACGACATCCACAGGACCAACTGCTGAGCAACAAGCAGAGGAGAAAAAGGAAGAAGAAGAAGAAGAATTGGACATCGATCCGTCTCTACTCGACGCATTCCGCACAGACCTCAAAGACAGAGGCATAACCATCGACTTCATCTCCGGAGCCTGGTCTCCTGAATTCGTAGAACTCGCCTTGACGGCGCAACGAGATCATGAAGGAAGACCATGGCGGACACTGATCCTCGCTAGCGAAACGATCTATTCTCCGTCATCTCTCGGTGCGTTCTCGGAGACATTGCTGTCATTACTGCGTAGATGCGATGCTGGTGGACCAACAACCGGCTCGCGACAAACCAGGGGGCTGGTGGCGGCGAAAAAGGTCTACTTCGGCGTGGGTGGAGGGGTCGATGAGTTTCTGGCCGTGCTTAATGAGATGGCTGGTGAGGCGGTGGAGGTGCAGCAAAGAGTGGAGGTGAAAACTGAGGGGGTTGGGAGGGTTGTGCTACAGGTCAAAATGGCTAGTTCAAGTTGAAACTTGAAAGGAGGCCTGGACCCGGTGGCAGGAAAAAGGAAAAGCAAGAATAAGAGACACGCATGAGGCGGTCAGTAATTATAGAAATTGATGGGCTTCCGTTTCTTAGATTTACATCTGTTTCAATGATCCTCCGTCCCTTAGTAGTAGATTCTCCCTAAAAATAGGTGTGTTCGATAGATACGGAGGAGAATTCTCCACTAACTAAAAAATACGATTTGTCGACTAAAATCGAATCTAGCAAGCATATTGTTTCGATTATTCTCGATCCGGGGAAAACCCCCCAGATAGGGCAATGGCACTCGTGTGCATCCTATCGAACAGCGGATGGGAAGTAAAAGTAATGAAGCAATGAAATTCTTAGGAAGCCGTGTCCTGATATATGTACAATACAACGCGCACAACCCAGTTGTTTTCTCAATGACGGAACGAATTCGTATATGTAGGTTTTGTTCTAGCCTACTCATAGAGAGATACCACCTTTCCGTCCTTCATGCGCGCGACACGCGCCTCCTCCATCGCCTGGTTCTTCTTGTGGTAGTGCGCGGCAACGGCGCTCAGGTCGGCGGTGGTGCCAGCAGCGACGTTGTAAGGGGAGCCGGCGTTGAAGATACTGTTGATCAACTGCAGTTAGCATCACTCGATCCAAGACAATTCCAAAATAGGCTGCACGATATGGTGCCTGCATAGAGCTGGGTGACGATGAATAATATATGGGGACATCGACATACTCAGGGTCCTTCAGCTCAATCGTACTGGGCTGTGCGGCGCTCATGAACAAGTGACGGTCCTCAGCGGCCTTGTCCATAGCTGCTGAGCGAATGGCATTTCTTCTCTCCCAGAGCTCCTCTGGGGGAGTCCATTTCTGAATGAGGCCGGTGATCCAAGACTCCGAGCCGGATTCCTGCTTGGCCTTGCTGACTCGGTAGAGGAGGTACCCCGAGGCGAGAGTGGCGATAGAGATGTAGAAACCAGGCTAGAGAAGGAGTAAATGTCAGTACTGAGGTCGAACCACACGGCACAGGTACACTGGTTTCCCAATTGGTCTGGGAAACGTCAAAGGAGGGGTGGCATACACCAAAGGCTTCGTTCACAGGCCCGGCATGATGGTGGTCGTGATGCGCCGCATGAGAGTCAAAACGGCGAGGCTGCTGGCGTCGCAGCGCCTGCCGGGCTGGAGCCACTGATCGCCTGGCAAGAAACATGGTGAAGATGGGCAATTGGCGGCGCAAACAGCTCGAGATACTCTCGTCCAGCGTCACTCTGGAGGTTGTTCCGGAAGCGAGGCGGTCGAGAAACCATATCACGTGACATCCACATCGGGACTAGGGCGGTCAGCAGACAACGGAGAGCCTCACATTGGATGATTGGGGAGTTGGACGCTGTCACTGACTTAGCTGCTCGTTAGTTGACTTAATCATTAATTGATCAATTATCCCACAGCTCCTGCGCTATCCTCCTGTCAGTTTAGCTGCGTGATGCTTGCTCTAGTACTCCCGCTCTGCCCGTTTGATCCCCTTCCATCAGATCAACTAAGTTAAACAGTGTTTCTTACAGCCAGGCATCTCGTGCTGCTCCGACAGCATCACTGACTTACATTATGGGTGGAAACAAGCGGCCTCCCTTTTCGCCCCCGGCCTCCTGCATGAACTATTTCGCCCTGCCACCGAGCAGAAATAATGGCGGGTCGATGTGGTTGTTTCATTGCCAATCTCGATGACTGCGCGCTTTGCGGTTCTTGGCCACTGCGCATGGGGACTGCCAGCTGCTCTACGCTTATTTGCCCGCCTGGGCCAAACTAATTCCCCATCATCGCGTTGTCAGTTGGGTTCCTCAGACAACCAGTTCAGGCGGTCATTAAATGTTTGGACAGCGAAGAGACATGTCATCGTCCGTCTTGCTCTGTGACTCCTACTTGTGTCCACACCCCACACGCTCTCTTGACCCCATTGCTGACCTGCGCAGGATGGACTCCATGAAAGACCCTCCCCGGAACCGGACCAGCTTCCGTTGATGCCCAATACGGCGCCTCGGAGAGTGTTGGTCTTGCATTGGTTATGCGCCTGGGCTCTTTTGTTACCATCGTCTCTTTCGCCTCGGGCTCCATCACAATGGTGGTCTTTTTTTTTCTTTTCCACTCTCCCAGCCTCCTCCGATCACTGGGTGACGTGGGAAACATGTACATACGTTCAAGTGTAGGTTCGGTCCGCTGCGTATCCACATCGTCCACTCTGGCGGAGAGCGGTGGGCAAGGCTTCTGGAATCTCGAATCGTGGCTGGCTTCCGGAAATAGATTATTACCTGGTGTTCCCCTCCTGCTTTTGTACCCCTTTTCTGTCTGGATATAATAATTCTCAGATCTAGTCAAAATTACACCAGTTGACGTCTCGCGTTTCCTGAATCGTCCCTCTGCTTTCTTAGAGCGTGTGGCTGCTGCCAACTCTTGTCCCCGTGTGTCTCGACGATTCGCAGCCCTCCCCCAAGTTATTGGAGTTCAGGAGGAACCCTCTTTTTTGCTCATTCGCACCTTCCTTCTCTTTCGTGGATCATCCCACCGCTCTCAGATGTTCTCGAACCCCTCAGTCTTCGTACTCTGAGCCGGTTGGCGCCCTATATTCCTCCCTTGTCATCGCTGGGCATTCTTGCAAATGTACACTGCTCTCACGGCTGATACCCAAATTCTCTGACTATTCCTTACCCCCCCTTACCCCTGAAACGTGAACGCTTGCTTCTTCGTTCTATTGGAAACACGTCTATAAATATCAGGTGATCCTATCAGCGTCTCTGGGTCTGCCCCCCAACCACTTTTCGCCATGGGGCCCAAAAAGAACAAGAAGGGCAATAATAAAAACGCGAAGAAGGCGAAGGAAGCCGCTGCCAAACCCGCAGAGGCTCAAGAAACCCCTCCGCCTACCCCGGGCTCGCCCCCTCCGCAACCAAAGCAAGAAGAACCCGTCGTTGAGGAGGTCCCTTCTATCTCTGAGCAAGAGCCTCTGGCGCCTCAGGTAGCAGAAGTGACCTTGGATCAAGAGACACCAGACACACCCAAGCTGGATCTGGAGCATCAACCCCATGCGGAGAACGAGGTGGGTGTGACTGAACCACCCAACGATATAACCTCGCCTCCTCAGGAAGACGTGGCAGAGCCAGCACCGCAGGAGCCCGAAACCACAGATGTCCCTGCTGAGGAATTACCTCAAGAAACCGAACCGGTGATAATCAAGAACGAAGACACCAACGAGAAGCCGATTGAGGCTAGTGAGCAACCGATTGAGGCCAGCGAGCAGCCTGTTGAGGCCAGCGAGCAGCCTGTTGAGGCCAGCGAGCCACCGATTGAGGCCAGCGAGCAGCCTGTTGAGGCCAGCGAGCCACCGATTGAGGCCAGCGAGCAGCCTGTTGAGGCCAGCGAGCCACCGATTGAGGTCAGCGAGCAGCCTATTGAGGTCAGCGAGCAGCCTATTGAGGTCAGCGAGCAACCGGTTGAGGTCAGCGAGCAGCCTGTTGAGGCCAGCGAGCAGCCTACTGAGGCCAACATCAGTCCAGAGGAACCTGCTTTCAACCCAGAAGAAACTGTCGAGAAGTTGAAAGAACTGCTTGGCCACCGACAGGAAGCTGGTGACAAACTAGAGGACACTCCTGTGCCTCAGGAGAGCGGTGACAAACCGGAAGAAGCTTCTGTGAGCCGGGAAGAGATCGTTGATAAGCCAGAAGAGTCTCCTGTCAGTCAGGGAGAAACTGGTAATCAGCCAGGAACAGTCATCAGTCCAGAGGAACCTGGTGATAAGCAAGCCGAAAGTAACGACATCCCTAACGAAACAAACGAGATTAACGAGATCAACGACCAACCCAACGGTATCCACGACCAGATTGACGAGAAGAACGAGAAGTACGACGACAGTGACGATAAATTCTATGACGCAGACGCAACACCAAACGAAAACCCCACACTAGACGACAGCAACCACAAGCTCGAGGAGTCTATCTACGGAACGGACGACTCGACTCAAAAAGCCATAGACGACACGCCGAGAGCATCTGTGTTTGAAGAACCAACATACGGAGCTGCTGAGAGATCAGGTGCTAGCACCTCTAGACCGACGAACGGCACCAACGGCGCCAACGGCATCAACGGCACCAACGGCAACGGTCACCACGCTTATCTCTTCAAGGACACAACCAAGGCACCAACCGTTGCTTCTCCTATACCTCGTCGCTCACCACCAAGCGGTTCTGTCCGTGCCGCGTCGCCTTCATTCACAGAGACGCGACTGGGATCAAGCCCTCCACCAGAGCATCGCCCCGTATATCCCGCTTCACCGGCCTACTCATATTCGAACCCGGTGCCAAAGGTCGGAAGCCCCCTTGTGCGTCCTTATATGCCCTATATGATGGGCCATAACGACCACGGTACAGGATCTACTGTTGTTGCAAGCGTACCGCCGTCGACTGCCCCCAGTTTCACCACAGCTCTCCATTCCCCCATTATGAGTGCTGCCGCTCTTCCTTCTTACGGGGGCGCTGTTCCCCCTTATGGGGGTTACCAGCATCATCGCTCCGGAAGCATAGCGTCTGGACGCGGCCCACTTGATACGTTCTTCAATTCACCTTATCAGCCGGTGCGCGAGCCGTCCTTGAAGAATGGACACGCGTCAGAGGCCGGAACATTCGCTGCCGAGTTCGGTGATACTTTCCATCTCCTAAATCGGATACAAAGTGCAATCCCTGACCTCGACCGATTGCTGAATGCCCATAGGGAGACTCAAACGAAGCTGAATGCGAGAGAAGCTGAAATCAAGCAGCTAGAAGATCGTCATCAGGAAGATCTGATGCATAAGGACTTCTATGTTCAAGCCCTCAAGGACCAGATGAAGAAGGCTGCCTCAGACAGTGCCGAAGAATGTGGAAGACTGAACCATTCGATCAAGGAACTCAAGTCTGAGATCGGCTATCTCCGTGACAAGAAACAGACCCTTGAGGAGAACTTGGAGGCCACCCAGAAGGAAAATGATGAACTCTCTCAGACGAAAACGGAACTGCAAGCTGAGATTGAGCAACTGAATACCAACATGAGGCAGGCACAGGAACACTATGAGGTCGAACTCCAGACCCAGAGAGAAAATGAACAAGCTTCCCTTGCAACTCAGAAGCAGGAGCTCACGGATGCTTTCACGCAGATGAGAGCCGAGGATGAGAGGGCTGCAGCTGAGGCATTGGAGAACCGCGAGAAGGAACTCCTTTTCCAGCAGCAGAAGATGAAGGAACAGATGGAGGCGGCCCGCGCTAAGGTGGAAAAGGAACACGAGGTCGCTATGAACGAAAAGCAAGCTGAACTTGACTCAGTTGCAGCGGACCTTAAGTCAACTCAAGACGACCTGGCAGCAACGAAGGCGGAGTTGGAGTCGAAGATCGCAGAGTTAGAGGCTACCCACACTGAGCTCGAGTCCACAAAGACCGAGCTTCATGAGACGAAGACGGAGCTTGATACTACTAGGACTGAACTTGACTCTACTAAGACTGAGCTTGGTGAGACGAAGGCCCAACTTGAGGCTACGCAGACTGAGCTCGACTCTACTAAGACCGAACTGGATACAACTAAAACAGAGCTCGAGTCGACAAAGAATGAACTTGAGTCAACAAAGAGTGACCTTGAGTCTACCAAGAGTGAACTTGAGACCACCAAGACTGAACTTGAAACCAAGATCTCAGAGCTGGAAGCCACCACTGGAGAATTGGAGGCAACTAAGGCTGAACTCGACTCTACTAAGACTGAACTTAGTGAGACAAAGGCCGAACTTGATACTACAAAGACTGAGCTCGACTCCACTAAGACTGAGCTGGATTCGACTAAAACTGAACTTGACTCCACGAAGAATGAGCTTGAATCAACAAAGAATGACCTTGAGTCTACCAAGAGTGAACTTGAGACCACAAAGACCGAGCTCGATTCCACTAGGACTGAGCTGGATTCAACTAAAACTGAACTTGAATCCACGGAGAATGAGCTTGAATCAACAAAGAGTGACCTCGAGTCTACTAAGACTGAACTTGCGACCAAAATCTCAGAGTTGGAAGCCACCACTGGAGAACTGGAGTCAACTAAGGCTGAACTTGAATCTACCAAATCGCAATTGGAATCCACAACCGCAGATTTGGAATCAACTAAGGCTGACCTCGAATCCACCAAGTCGACGTTGGAGACCACCATTGCGGAGCTCGAGACCAAGAAGACCGAGTTGGCGGACAAGGAGAAACAGCTCCAGAGCGCTATCGAGGAGATGCGCTCTACCGTTGATAATATGGACAAGGAACGCGAGCGTCTGAAGAAGACTCTCCACAGCCTTGGCGAAGCCACCGACTTGAAGAGCACAAAAGGAGACACATTCTTGTAAGTGACCTGGAACAAAAAGAAAAGATAGCATACACCGGCGCAGCGGCCTAGAGACCTTTCCTTTGTTGGATTTCATTTTTTGGATCTTTCTCCGTCATGTAACGGATATGCATTCCTTTTTCTTGTTACGAATTTCCTATAGTATGACGATGATTTTATGTCGATAAGCTATTTAAGTATCATGCTCTAATTAAGTTCTCTTTCAAATTTTAGTTTGGAATGCTTCGGCAAGCTACAACATCTTATCATCGACCTCTCTAAGAAACACTTCGGATACCTTCCTATTGATCCGCCCAAAGACATACTGGCGAAGATCCCATCGGAATTGCCCTCATTCCTGGACAATACTCCTGCCTCATGCGAGCTGCGCTCGGCCTACATCCAACACGTCATCTCGAAGACGCTCACCTATCGTATCTTCCAGCCTTTCTTGTTCACTCTCGGAAGAAGGTTCGACAAGGCAGACACATTTTTCCAGTTGCTCTCTATCGATATCCGACGCAAGTCGGTGAGACGTGAGGCTTTCTGGCGACAGCAGACACTCAAAGCAGCCTATACAACGTCAGATGCCAAACAGTCAATCAATGTCGTGGCGGCAGTGATTGTCGATGAAATCATTGAGCAGATCCGACACTTCGCTGACCCTAAGAAACTGGACGACTTGCTCACTGGCGTCAGGATGATTGTGAAACTAGCTGCTGAGACCTGGAGACATGCGCGCGTCGAACGAGAGCTAGTGACGGCTTCCATGCCGGCTCCTTCTGCGGAGGGCGTCGCCAATGAACACTGGGATGAATATCCTTTTGGCAGGGACGAGAGCCGACCTCCGAGCAGGAGTTCTATCCGTCATGTTGTACTTAGAACTTTCCCTCGTATCTTCCGTGAGGCCGCGCATGAGGACTTTGCGGAAGATGAGGAAAGGAGAAACTCCTGCGTGTATATGCCCGGAATGGTTCTCTACTCTGACTCTCCTGTCGTGCTGTCCCGAATTGACGAGCTGGCCAAGCGGTCGAGCGATTCGCTTGATGGTGTCAACCGTTCCCCCCGTGGCGTTTCAAGACGTTCTACTAGTCGGTCTCCAGCGAAACGAGTTCGAGCTTCGGTGTCACCTCCGGCTTGATCTCGACACATAGACCGACCGACCTCTTATTTTCCTACCCTGTAACTGTTAATGCTTTGTGCTAAGCTTCCTTTTTTGGTTCACCATACTGCTTTTAACTCCCTGGTTCGATCTGGCATATCGAACTCACCTTTCGCTTCATCAAGCACTGTTCGTTTTCTTTTCTTTTCTCTTTTCTGGCGTTTCTTCTTTCTTGGTTGGCCCGTACATGTATTCTTTATAACGTCGTTTTCGCTTTTCTGTCTCTTGTTTCGTACATACATCTAGGTCATCATGTGAAGGGATTCTTATGGGTTTAGGCTAGCGATTGATTTCAGCGTTTTGTTGAGGGAGCGGCTTGTTTCTAACACAGTTGCATTTTCCTTTTCCTTTCGTTACGGCTGCTACTCATGTACTGGTTACAGGGCTAGCTTGATGAGGACACGATACATGATTACACTCTGATCTTCCATTTGTTACCTATCGGTTATCACAAAACACGCAGTGACTGTCAATAGAACTGACAGAGATGATCTCATTACCCCCATCGTAGTGGCATTCATATCCCCTAGATACATCAACCTCTTCAGAACACCACAGCCACACTAGGCAAGCAGTATGAGGCTCAGGCTCGATAATGGTCCAGCACCGCCTTGGAAGAACCGTGCCAGGTACAGTACAGATGCGATCGCGGAACAAGTGCCCCGGATAAATCATATATTTGGCGATCAATGACGTGAAATCCCAGATCTGTTTGGATCTAAACGGCCCCCATCCTACTGTCCAAACTTCACAGCCTCACTGACGGGGCAAGAGTGGTAGTTCGATACTGATTATTGCCCTTGCGCCACACCGCATCGGCAACGGTGATGGTCCTAACGGGCACTCCCGCCGAGGAACCTTGGGTCTTGACTCGAACCTCACGATCCTCCCTCACGTCGACGAGACTCCGCATTGTTAATTCCGGCCGATTTCCACGATTCTAGCTTATTTACTCAAGCCGAGTAAGTTGAATCTGTTGACAAGATGGCTGATGGAGGTGAAGGCACTGCCAGTGAGCGCATTGCGTTCCCATTTTCTCCCCACCAGGCGACAACGCGCCCAAAGCGACACCAGGAAAGCTATTATTCGAATCAGCCGCATGGCGCTACGACATCTAAGGAGGGGTCGAGCTCTCACCCATGTCAGCCTTGGGGCGTTTAGCCTCATGAGCAACGCCCCAGCGCGATCATCCTTCTCTGAGCTTCATAGCCTCTGGGGGTTCATTCTTCCCTTCGTTTCTATAATCCGCAAACGTGCTCATCTGGTCTATCTTCCAGGGACGGGCTGAAGGTAGATCTGGAACCTCGTCTGGAGTCTATCACCAAAGGTGCAAGTCTAGCTGGTTTTTAGCATAAGGGCGCTATCTCCCTTTTATCAGCTACGCGGTGCTCCAGGTCGGTACTCTGTGACTGCTGAGCTCGTCTCAGGCGGTCTTACTGGATTCTTCAACGGAAACTTCGCGGCTACATGGTATTGAATCTTTGATCGTTGACGAGCGCAATCCTCACTCTCAAGTTCTCAAAACTTCCACGCTTTATTGTGACTCGTTAGCCGGAGTTGTACCATATGGTCTTGCGTCTGCATTGACATCTCCACCTCCCGCATCGGTCATCGACGCCCTCGAGACAATACCGGTAGAGCAAACACCTGAGCACTTCCGTCTTCTGTGAATATGTCTACTCCTGCTACTGTCTCTGCTGCCTCTCCCGATAATCTATCCTCAAATCACTCTGCATTCAAAAGGCAAGCGTCCGAGCAGCTGTATCTCACGGTGCTCTCAGAACCAGATGAACTCGCCTTCCTGAGTGCGGCTGCTAGTATAAATTCCCGATGCCATACTCCTGTGGACTGTGATGGCAGCCAGATATCAGCTTCATCGTCTCCCCGATCAAGTACCAATTGGCACGGGCCAGCGGACTCATTACATCGCCGCTCAGAATCCCCGCAAAACATAAATCTCGAATTTATGACTACCGGTGATGAGGATTACTTCGCACAGTGGTTGAATGACAATTACATAGAGGGCGACCAACAGAATGCCGGTCTCGGCTCGAAGATAAATTCAGGGACGTCACAGCTGCTCAGCCCTGGTCTCACGAATGACGTTAATACTCCTTCTGATGTTGAAGACAATGCGGCCATGACCGAAATAGTTAACCACCAAACAACAACATTGGAAGATGGGAAGACCAGAACAGACTCCAGCTCCGGTTGTAATGCCGCAGCATCATCGCAACTTGCACCGTATTCCCTGAATATGAATGGTGCTGCAACAGGAGAGACTCTGCCTGTGATCACAAGCCCTGTTGTGACAGTGTCAGCCTACAGCCGCGGTGACTCACCTCATGCAGATGCCCGATTCAGGAGTGCAAGCATATCGTCCAGCCTATCAAACCAGGGCCAGAGACGTCGTCGTGGTTCCGAAGATCACGCACAGACACTCATGAGCCCTCCATCTTTGCGTGCAGAGGATGGATCGTGGGTACCCGACTCCGCTACTGGTCATGCCGGAATCGATCCCCTTTCGAGGGGGGATACTCAGATCCAGAGCCCTAACCAGGTTGAGGAACAGCGCAAAATCGCGGAGAAGAATGCGGATATTCAGACGTGGTCCGCTTCAGTTATTAGACCCAGGGCAAGAAGTACTGGTAATCTAAGTCACCGCAAAGATTATTTTGACACCGCGCCTGGGGACCTACATTTTGATGACTCGCACATACCAGGGCCTGGGATCCTAATCAACGAGCCAAGCGATGATGAGAGCGATGTTTCAAGTGAAGAGGAATCTTCTGCCGAAGATGTCATCCCAACAGAAGAGCCCTTGAGACCTGAGCCTGAACCAGAACCTCACCAGTTCTTCCGACCTTATCCATGGTACGACCCGCCTCGAGACCATAGGACGACGGCGTCAAAAGAGCACCCTGAAAGCTCCAATGCTGCAATCGTGGAGTTCTTGAAAAAGGCTAAGGATGTGGAGACAGCGTCTCGGGTAGCAACCTGGGGAACTCGAAGGAAGAGCGACCCAGAAGTCGGGAGTCTCAAGCCAGCAGAGGGTTCATCCAGTAAGCCCACTGTGGTCGGAGAACGAAGAAACAGCCTTTTCAAACGTATACCGCGGATGGGTGACAGCAGTACCAAAAGGAAAATGTCCGACTCTCACCAGCAAAGGCAGGAACCTATCTGCATTGGCGGAGACAATAAAATTCATGAAAGAAAAGGTAGTTTTACCTTTGGGATACCGTCTCCCCAGCGTAAATTAAGCGTTGGGCGATCCAAGTCAACGTCTCTAAATACGAGCAGTGCCTTAGTCGCTATGACGGGCCAAATGGCTGCCGTTGGGAAAAGCACCTCATCTGATTCAGCATTTGGATCTTTGGCACCTCGATTTAGCAGGAATAGGAGCAAAAGTGACATCTCTAAGACATCAAAATTTGGGATTATAGAGTTAATTTCTGGACATGGAGGACCGCCTGTGGCAAATATCAGATCTCCGACTCTTGCAGCCCCCAGCCACGGTGCAGCGCATGAGAGTATAGGTCATAATAACGCCGAGGAGAAAAGGCTAACTCTCAGGCAAAGGACGGTGACAATGGACTTCTCAATACAGTCACAAACACCTCTACCCACCATTGAGGGCTTCAGAAAGCAAGTCGAAAAACTCAATCCGCGCATGCATCCCTGCTTGATTGAACGTCTTGCTCGTGAACAGGTTAGTCGCTACAAGAGTCTAAGGGAGGCAAAAGCGAAACATGCACTCGCAGTCAAGCAGAACAACTGCAATGCCGGCAATCATTGCTTCGCTCTCGGTGGACAGGCGACCCTGCTATCCCCGAAAACTAATGGGCTTGACCCCGATACTACCTGTTCTCAGTACCAAATACCTGGGCACGAGACAAGTGACAACGAGTCTAACGCAGTCCCTGAGGGCATTGTTGCTTCTGCTCAGTTCCCTTCAGGCGTACCTTTGCCTCCTGTCAAGCGCTTGCCTGCTGAGTTCGAATGCACGCTATGCTTCGAAGTCAGGAAAATCATGAAGCCATCAGACTGGACGAAACATGTCCATGAGGATATTTATCCATTCACATGTACTTTCCCGGACTGTCCCCAGGCAAAAAAATCATTCAAAAGGAAAGCCGACTGGGTTAGACATGAGAACGAAGTGCATCGGAAGCTGGAATGGTGGACCTGCAGCTTCCAAGACTGCCAACACCTGTGCTACCGGAAAAACAATTTTATTAAGCACCTCGAAAGAGAACACGGAATTCTTGGGCCTGGAGCAAGGAAAACAGCTGCCAGGAAAGCGAGCGTCAAAGATGATATTGACGGTTCCGACGGTGAACGGGATATGAGCGGCATTGCAAGTTCAAACGAATTGTGGCAACTCGTGGAATCATGTCGCCATGAGACGACAAAGACACCACAAGATGAGCCCTGTCGATTTTGTGGTAACGTTTGCAGTAGCTGGAAAAAGCTCACTGTACATCTTGCGAAACACTTGGAGCAGATCGCCATGCCTGTTTTGCAGATCTTGAAAGACGTCGAAGTGCCAGCCGACGCAACCGCAGAATCTTCTGTACCAGGAAGCGACGGTCAAAATATGGATCCATCAATGCACTACAGAGATATCGGGGCCATGGCATCTCCCATCCCAGCGGCTGTTAAGATGGAACAAGACGTGGTGACCGGTTTATCGCAGGTCCCAACCTTCAATAATCTAGCTTATCGGATTGAAAGTCTCGCCGCTGCGCCTGTTTCAGCTTACACAAGTCAGCCACCGACTCATAATCATTTGGGCAACTACATGCAATCTCAAACACCGGTGTTCAATAACACTTCATCGTCTCATCTTAATGTGCCCGGTTTCGGGACATGGAACTCCTTTGCAGGCCAACAAGAATTTGCGTATAGTCGCGGAGACTCTGTCACTTATCCTCCAGTTTCCATGCCGGGAACCTTCAGTGAACCGAACCACAACCCCGCAGCTCGTTCTTATCCCCCAAGGAATTCGACGACGCAACTAGATACTAGCATTACGGTTTATGATCCCGACCAACCGCTCTGTGCGTCTCCTACAGATAATCTTTGCCCATGGCCAGCCGACCGTCAGGGAAGATAGAGTATTGGATCCTTCGGTCTCTGATCCCATGGGAGACATGTATATTCAAATAGCAGGGAATACACACCAGCCGTTTTTCCAATGAATCATGCATCAGCGGAAATGTCGGCCACATATACACATTATTTTGGGCCTTGTTTGTCTATTTTACTATTATTATTTCCATCTGTTCCTCGTTCCTAGATACCACTTTCTTTTTGTTTATCTTTTCGGGTTTCTTTATCCACAATTGAAGCTGTGCTTGAATTTCACAGTGCAGTTTACGCACGACTTCATATAGGATTTTATGATATCAACAAACAGTATGGTTACCGCATTTACTAGCCAATAAGCGGCCCTTGGGTTGGTAACGAAATATATCCTAGCTGCTCCAGCTGATTAGAAGAGCGACCGATTTGTTGAACCCTCGGACACTATTAACATTACGACAGCTTTCTCGAAGACTTGAGGTTAGCCTGAGAGCCTGGGAGCTAAAAGGAAGATTCCTCCTTTATGAAGATCGCCGCAGTAGTTCTGATGCCACCATCTTCATATCTAGCCCCGGTTTAATCACACCACACAGAATGCTTATCACTGGCCAATACATGCGGTAGGAATTTGCCTTGAGGCTATTCTTTCGCGGGACCAGGGAACATCTAGAAGCCGCCTCACATGGTGATACATCATACAAGAGATACCTCGAGCGGGGTACGTAGAGAAGTTTTAACTGTCATTTACATCTATCCCAGCAACTCGGAACCAGGCGGTGAAGCGCTGAAGCATCCTTTCAAGCCACGTCTTATAAACTCGCGCCGGGTAGATGCACACTCAGATGATTCCAGTTAAGACTTATAACTAAGAAAGGATACACTAAAAGGTGACTCGAGAGTCTCGAAGACTAGATTAACCAGGCCATGCGGGTGCCTGAACATGTGGGAAAGATCGGGTGAAAGTGATCAGCACATTTCACCTTTTCACACGGGGTGGAATCACCCAAGCTAAGCTCTATATAGTTAAATTTGGCGTTCTAGGCCTGGAACAGTGGACACTGACCTGACATGGCGCTTTCTGAGTGCTTTGTTATACAGCACCTCCTCCGTAAACTCCTACTTAAATCCCGCAGGGTTGCACGAGGTGGATTGGCACGGGTGTAAATCCCTAGTACTTCTGTGCATTCTGAAGCATGCAGAGAGACAGGTGTGGGATCCAATAGCTCCTGTAGATATATATGTAATACATCGGAGTACGCCAACGGAACAGTTAAATATGTATGAGATCCTGGAGAAGCTGCGATCTGATTATAATTAAATATTGGACTGCATAAATCGCCCGGCAGTAGCGGCGCTACGCCAAACGACAAGGCAAGCCCATTACGGACAGAAAACAACGATGAATGCACTAAGTGGATATTAGCTTCATGTTTCTCATCAGGCAGCAGGAACGCTCTGATGGGCCGCATCCCCCCAACAGAGCTACGAGTAGCTTCCAAGCGTCAGAGCCACAATAGCCCGTTATATCCCACATGTCCACGCTGTAATAATATCGTGTGGGGGAGTCAGAGACCGGCCCTCCTGACGGATGACGATTGTGCTTACTTACCAGATGACCAGGATGATCAACCGTTATCTTTTGGATGCGCGATGTGGTGGTCATTTGCCCAACTCAGCCACACACAGCGGTGGTTGCACTTAGTCTGTAAGTTGTTGAACAAATATCCCGTTGCCTTGCTGATGCTTTCCCGATCGGTCGTCGGACGAGACATTCTAGAGCCTCTCTAGTTGATCGCCACCAGCAGGGATCTCAGGGCGGCCCGTTGAGTGAGATTTCACCTTTGCAGCTCGAGATTGTTTCAGGGTGATGAGTGCCGCTGAAACGACACTCAAGAACTGGCTCTGCAGAGGTGCAGACGGAGTATGAATTCCACGAGTCAGTCTGTCAGCAATCAGCATATTTTGGCCATGGGTCGAAGAGGGTATCAGACTCAAAAAAGAAAAAGGAAGAGAAAGGAACTTACCAGTTCTAAGTCTCAGATAGATGCAGTACTTAAGACCTGTTGTGGGCCAGCAAGGCTATTTGTCGCTGGCTGGGGAAGTACAGTAGATGCCTTGGACCGACGCATGCCGCAGCGTCACATCAGTAATAATTAATACTAGCAAGGTACTACTTGTACTGACCGTTAGCAACAACAAATCCCACCATGGCAGATGTCATAAGCCTCTCCTTTTCTATTTGTCCTGTCGCTGTCTATATTTCCCAGCCTTATACGTCTTCGTCTACAATTACCCAGGCGCAAAAAAAGCCACAATGAAGACATACTTGCTCAATCATTTCCGTTAAAACTGGGCACCATTTGACCCAACTTCAAGCCTTTTCTTTTCTTCTCTTTTCTTTTGTCGGGCGCTCACGCCTCCAGGCTGTGCAAAACAGCATACAGGTACAATTGTCAATTATCTCTTTCGAGACACGTATTCCGGGCCCTGACACAATTGCCATTCTGCGAAAGGGACATACTATACCGGCCAATCGAATCTAATCCTTCAGCCGGGAGCAGATCCCATCAATGCCCACTGGGGAAAAAGGCGCATCGTTAGGGCTACCAAGGTGAGAACTAACTGGGTTCACCGGAAGGATCGTTGATCATCCTCCGACAATCTCTGGCTGATCGTCCCAAGAGAAAGTTGTGCGCGCGACCTTACAGACCGGGGGTGGAGAGTTTCTTAACTGCGCTTATCCCGTCTCTAACTCAGGTCTAAGCTGATAGCTTTTGTTCTAGACCCGAAGGATCCAAATACGGTTATTAAGAAAGTACTTTATCCGCGTGTTATTGTGCCTTCATAGGCTTTGCTATGCTTTGGATTCTTCACGAATAGTGCGGCGAGCACGATTCAACTAGCAGCATGACGACCGAATATGATCAACCTCACAAATTGCATGTTCCAGAGAACCTTATCGACGTATGTCAGGTCTTTTCTTTCCTTTCTATTAATAAATGGCTGGCCACGAACCATGTCTTCGACATTGAAGTTTTCTGTTATCACTAGGGCGGGAAACGGCCTAAGCAGGCTACAGAATGAGGCAGATGGTCTCGACCTCCTTCAGTATACCATGCAACCTTCCAGCTAACTATGATATGTTTGCTATATAGCCTTTCCCGTTCCCTGGCCTCTTTGAAGAATCGTCTTTCTGGGGTAGCGGCCCTGGGGAGGACCTTCAGGGCATCATGGACACCCGCATGGGACCACCGGCGGTGCCAATGGACCCTTCATCTGATAGCATCAGAGATATTTCGGCATTCAATTCAAAAAGTTCCGTATCATTGTTTGGTCCTCAGCTACAGAATCCAGTGCCTGACTCAGGGGACAGTCGAAACCATGCGTCCATATTGCCTCCATGGTCTCCAGGCCAAGGTCTATCACCGAGGAATACTGGCGTTCCTTTATCCTCGTACACAGTGAAAAGTTTCTATAACAACCCAGATGCATGGACACCACTACAGGTAACCGGCGTACCAGGAAATCCGTCATTTATGGGCTCTCGCGGTGCATATAAACAACAGCCAGCTCATAATTCTGATAGGAGATTATCATATTATCAGCATGGACCTTATACAGATCCTGAAGTCAAGCCTCGCGCCGGTTCCTCTTCTGATTCAGGGTATGGGACCAAGACTTTGACGACGGGGTCTGTGATCAGTTACACGTGTCCAATGGATCCTGTCTCTACGCCGCGACAGGTCAATGCTCCACTGCAGAGTGGTCAGCCAATTGATGCCACTGTGCCTCTAAATTTTGAACAACGTCAGGAGCTTCCTCCAGCTGGATCACACCGAGAACCGCTGCCAAGGACATTCCCAGAAGAAATAAGATGCAGCTATCCAGGTTGTCAGTGGAAAGGAAAATGTCCCTCTGATAAGAGGTACGTTCATAATGTATCTTATAACCGATAAGCATAAGCTAAGTTCTCGGAAAGAAAACACGAAGCCAGACATAAAAAGATGCATAAGTGCGATGAACCATCATGTTCACGCAAAGAAGGTTTTGGGACTGTGAATGATCTCGAAAGGCATAAGAAATGCATCCATAACAAGGAGCCTGAACGCGGACCGAAGATATTGTATATGTGTTTTGCACCTAATTGTCCACGGAGAAATAAACAGTGGCCGCGACTAGACAATTTCCGCCAGCATCTTACCCGGATGCATCGTGATGAAGATCCTGTACAGCTGTTGAAAAAGTAAGTCATCATGTATATTATCCTCTCGTTATGCTGTTTTCTCATAGTGCCTAGATCTGAAGAGTGGTATCATCGCTGGAAAGAGAGCCAGGAAGCTTCAAAGTGGCTTGTGGAACCAGCTCCTCTTTCTGATTTATCGTGTAATAAGCCCCAGGGTTTGTCTGCTCTGATAAGTCTTGACGAAGAGCCCAAGGCCTATTCCAACAGTGCATATCGAGCTCCCTGCACTACGGTTGTTGCGCCGGGTGAAACTATGATGACCGAAGATCTTCTCGGTCCATCCGAAAGCCTGACTCTGAGCCCCATAAAGGACATGAGGCCCTTCGATAAGCGTAGCGATCAAGAGTCGCAATCGGAAATAGCACAGAAAGACTCGCAGCAATCCCCTGCAGAGAAACGGCAAGTGGCGCTTCCGGGACTGAAGTCTCTGAACCTGCCCCTCAATAAAGATGGCAAGAACTTGCAGTCTATGTCATCGAATATGAACCGAGGGAGACATCATGACATTGTGGCTGAAGCTGCCTTGAATGTGGTCGATGCCATGACAAGATTAATGGATAGCGGCCAGAGAAGGCAGAGTGATCAAGAGGCACTCAGAGCTAAGGCAGCTAGTGCTGAGAAAGCTGCTACGCTGCAGGATAGGAAGAAAGAAATGCTCCAGAAGATCTTGTCTGCTGCTTTGGAGCATCTGGGAGGTCCAGATACTGGAGCAGATGGGGGGATATGCAAAAGTCCCTCTTCCATACCGAGTGCCGCGACTGATACTGAAAGGTCTCTTCAATGCAAAGTCTGTGGAAAGACGACTCGTCTTCCCTGTGAGCTAAAGTCTGAATTCCCACCCCCAAAATAGTTTCTCCTCGCTAACTATCGAGATATAGAAAGCATATGAAACGCCATGAGAGACCATACGGCTGTACGTTTCCTAAATGCTACAAGGAATTCGGCAGCAAAGCAGACTGGAAACGGCATGAGAACTCACAACATTTCCACCTGCAAAGTTGGCGCTGTACCCTTCCAGATATTGGTGACCAGACACTCGAATGTGCGCGTCTTTTCTACCGTCAAGAAACATACGTGCAGCATCTTACTTCTCTGCACTCCATCAAGGATGAAGAGGTCAAGCCTCTACTTCTCAAGAACCGACTCGGTCGAAATGGCCAATCGCAATTCTGGTGCGGATTCTGCAGGAAGATCATCCCGTTGGAACAACAGGGTCTAGAGGCGTGGAATGAAAGATTCAATCATATTGACAGTGAACATTTCAAATCAGGCGAGAGAATCGGATCATGGGTCTCACCCACCGGTCGTTTAACCAAGGATCAGGAGAAAGAAGCAGAAAAGCAAGAGAAAGCGAGGAATAGAGAAGAAACTTATGAGATTAGCGAGAACGACAGCAGTAGCAGCAGCAGTGGCTCCAATTCTGATCCTGACGATATTCCTGAGGAGTCATCATCCCACCCAACAACAACAAGAACAAGAAGAGACGGAGCCTCTGATGATGCATATTCTCATAACGAAGGAGAAGCAACTGTCACACAGAAAACCAACAACTCTTCTGAAACTCCACACTCGCAAGTTGAACAGACGCATAACCACAATCACAGGAAGAGAAAATCGGCCCTCGTCTCGGACGCAAACGCAAGCAGCAGCTCAACCGTTCCCAGAGTCCCGAGACAAGGACCCTCAACCCATGCGGCTAAGCTAAAGAAGCTACGAACAGAAAGACAAGAAGCAGCCTCATCACTCTTCTTCACCAAATATTCGCGATCAGAACAACCTGATACTGATATAAGAATCTGTGTACGTGAACACTAGCACCACTTCTATTCTCCCCTCTCCTTCTTCCCCCTACCTCCCTTGGGAAAACCCCCATCATGAAAAAATACATACCCCCTAATATCCATCCTGAACATTATCATAGCATAACTATTATATAAAAAATAACTATCACTAACATGACCTCGGAGAGAAAACAGTGTCAATGCCATCAAGGACCCTGCGTTTATGAAGTCAATGATCGATGCGTGACCTGTTCGCATGTCTTTTGCAGTGCATGCCAATCTTTATCTTATGAGGAGCAGTCAAGGGGAGTAAATAGTTCAGTTTAAGTTTGTATGCCATTTTGGAGAGGCTTATTTGTAGATAGTGATGATGGAGGGTCGTTGTTTTCTACTTTTTTTTTTCTTTTCTTTGAGGATATATGATCGGAATGTGAGGGAATTAGCAGAGTTGAGTACAGTTGGGTTAGATAGATATTGTTATGTGATATTTCTTTTAAGGGGCTTTTACCGAAGTGTCTACAAAATACGTACATGGTTTTTCTGATATCTGCCTTTTTTTTTTTAACTGAAGAACCAACGATTGAGAACGTCAATATAATGTTGATTTCGATTGCACTTAAAAAGTCGTTTGAGTATAGATATTTATTCACAAAATCATCCTTATTTCATCACTCTACATACATACATACATTAAGGGGGCATTGATCATGAATGCCATTTATATCTTTGATCCCTCTGGTTCACCGACAAGAGTCAAGAATGCCTCATGTACCTCGTCGGTCAAATCGCTGGCTTGCATACTTCTGCCCTTCGCCTTGAAGGCTCGACGAGAACACTCGCGAGTGATGCTGCTACCGGCCCATGCAGCGAGAAGAAGAGTTGTAACAGGAGACATCCGCTTTCCCTCGGATTCTAGCTCCGCCTTCACTTCCTCCCGCGACTGCGCTGGCTTGTCGTTGTCCTGTCCAGTCCCCCATAGACCTTCGTGGTAGGCAGCACGCCAGGCAAGGAATGTGCCCAACGATCCGGTCAGAGTATCGCCCTGACCACCACTGCGCTTGAGACCTCCTGGGAGATCGGAGATGAGGCTGGTGACTCCATTAGAGATGACATCGTGGGCTCCCTTCTGAATAATGGTTACGCCCCCGAGAGCGTTCGAGAGCTTCTCGCAAGCTTCGGATTGTTTGCTTGTCTGTTCCTCCTCGGAACCTGCCTTGATCTGAGCCTGGTTGGGAAGATCAATTCCCAACGCCTTGGCTAGACGGCCGAATTCGACGACGTTGGGTGTCAGAATGCATTCCTTATACCCCTTGACCAGCTCCGGGTTCTCGGTGACCAGTAACAGAGCGTCCGCATCGAGCACAAAAGGTATTGACCGCGTTCGCGCCTCCTTCATGATTTCTGAGACCACCTTTTGTGTCACGGCGTCACGGCCAAGACCAGGTCCTATCACTAGAACATGCAGCCGAGAAAGCATGGCGATAATCGGACTAGCGAGTTCGGGTGGATTGATGTTGTTGGGATTCGGTACGGATGCGCTGCTGGGTAGGATCGGATGAACCATTAGGTTGGGGGAGTATGCCTTGATGACCTGAGTATGGATTTAGCAGTAGCCTCGTAATGGAGATTACTGGGGGCACGTACGGGTGCTGCTGATCGTTCGCAGATTACATGGCTCTAAAATGCGTCAATTCCCCGGGGTTAGCGAAAGATATTCATTATCAACTTCTCGCAATTGGACCCATGAGAATTGGGATCTCACCAAATCACATCCTGTAATTATTGGTTAGCTTTTCAGTATGAATATGTGGATACTTATACATACCTAATCTCGCAGAGGCCATTGCGGAGAAGTACGGAGCTCCGGTATAGCTATTTCTCAGTGAGTATCGAGCCATAGAAACACAAATGCAGCCTTTTCTTTTGCAATTCATGACTGCTAGAGGACCAATCTTACTCTGCACTTCCTCCAATAACCGCTACACGGCCCAGCTGCCCTGCAATATTGTCAGCTATTCGAACGTCGCAAACCATCTCATGCCATCTCCGCGGGGCATTGTCCATTGGCATGCTCCCCCAAAGAAACAGCCCTTATCCCCAGGGATGATACCAGTGTACCTTTATGGAATTTCTCAAGCATAGGTGGCACCAACTTGCGCACTTTGGCAAGTAGCGCCTTGGAGGAAGTCGACACATGGTGGATTTCCATGTTGGCGATGGGATGCCGTTCTGCTCCACGCTGTGTCGTGCTGGTTATACAGGGGAAACAAAAGGAGGTCGAAACAGAGCGTTTACAAGATCGGAGTCAAATCTCTGATAGAAATGTGGTTTAATGGGAAGGTCTAAGACCGAAAGTTGCGAGTTGAGCATTATTGTGAGAGGGGAAGAAGAACAATTGATGCGATGACCTCAGACAAAAGGGTGATGTCACCGCCCAGCGGGCCTGTGGGGTCAAAACAGCGACAATATCAAGATATCAAGTTCAACATCGTCTCGCTATTAATTGCCTCGGACTGTCCTGGTGAACAGGTTCAATATGCGTTCTGGAGTCATCTCTTAAGAATGGGTTATAGGTATACTTTGGATTCGCTGCCCTGCAAACATGCAGATCGCTCTCGGGCTTGTCGGCATTTCCAGATTGATCTGTACTAATTATCGTGGAATGAACTATTCAGTGGATGATTAACTGATTGTGGGTATTTCAGTAGAGAAATACACCTATGTAGTATGCTAATCTATCAACAACCCGAGAGAGCAAGGACGCCCGCTACCCGAAGACAAAAAGAAAATAGAGCAATCACCCTCCATCTGTCGACACCATACGCACCAAAATGCTAGAAAAGAATATGCTAAATACATGCGATGCACCCTAGGGTATCCCTCGCCGATGCTTGTGAAATAATCAATGACGGAGAGTGGTGATAACAATAATAACCTCGAAACTCGAACCCGAAAAGAGGAATCAACGCCTGGACTTGGCCAGAAGAGCCAACTTTCTCTTGCGCTCCATCTTCTCCCTCTTCGCGGCCATTTCAGCCCGTATGTCTTCCTCGTCTTCTTTCTTCGCAGCGCGGAGGGCGGCTGCTTCCTCCTCCTCGACGTCACTCAATCCGGCTTCCATGTCGGAGGACTCGTCTGAATAGTAGTCACCGTAGTCATCCGCGTAATCCCCTTCATCTTCCTCGTCCGTTCCAAGGTATTCATCTCGCCTGACCGGTTTACCATAGCGGGACGATGTACGACCGCGGGAATCAGTGGCAGGGCGGCGCGGGGGTAAGCCTGCGGTTCCCTTGTACGTCGTCTGGGTTGGTCGTGCAGTGCCCTTGTATTCGATCTCGTCAGGACCTCGTCGCCTGGCCGCTGTCTCCTCTCCAGGCCTGACGCCGGCCTTGATGTTAGCAGAGGGAGCTGAAGCCATCCCGGGCTTCTTGCCCGCTTTCCTCTCTTTCTCCTTAGCCATTGCTTCCATGGCTCTCTTCTTGCGTTCTGATTTACTCAGTTTCTCCTTCGGAACGGCCTGGTGCTTGAACAGGCCGACTTTTACAGGCGCTTTCTCTTGCGCAGCCTTTGCTTTCATCATTAGATCAGCAAAAGAGCCCTTAGGGGGTGGTTTTGAGGTTGTTGCGGCAGGGGTCGTTGTCCGAGAGGTCGCCATAGCTGCTGATGTCGATGGCTTTTCACCGGGTTTAGTAGTGCCACCAGGGCCGGTGCCGGTCGTTGGACGAGGTTTGACTGTCGCAGACGTGTGTGAAGATGCTGTTTTTATCGACGCATTTTTGCTCTGTGGTTGCCCGTTGGCCTTATCTGACCGCTGAAGCTGTTCCTCCGCCTTCCGTTTTGTTCCCACCGGGGCGATAGACGGGTTCTGAGAGCCATCTCTGGAGACGGGCGTAGCTTTGCGGGAATCTGTCTTTGTCGCCGTAGAAGAGCTACCTGCCGCAGGAGATCGCGGTGTCACTGGCGCCGGGGGCGGGATGGCAGCCGGCTTTCCAGTCTCAATGGACGAAAGGACGGAGCTTAAGAACTGCAAATCAGTCAGCAAAGATGCTACTTATCGGGGTATCCTGTCATCAAAGGATGCATACACTCATCGTGAAGATTTTCCAGACCAATAGATACGAGTCTAAAAGGTGGGAAAGAAGAACATTCGTTCACCGCCGATGGTTGGTACGACGAGGTAGCTTCATGACTTCAGCACGAGCGCGCCAGCCATTTATGGCAGATCAAAGCGTTGGGCAGCCGGTATTACTCGATGGCGAGGTAACGCTCTCCGTAGAGCCTTCCACGGTCCAAGACAGACACTGGAGCGGAAAAGGGCGCGTCCAGAGTCTGGTTCTCGAGAATAATCAAGACCTCACGATAGCTCCAGCGAGGGCAGAAGGTGAGGATAGGAGTGAAGGCGGGGGAAGAAAGAGAATCACATCGACGACAACAGCCCAGTGAGGCTTCTAGAAGAGAGTGTCACGTGAGCGGTGGCACGATTGGCGTTTCTGGTCTTTGTCGTCTGCCGCAGCGGATGACATAATACGGTATACGCACCAGCCACATCCACCTTCGCTTACGGGCCCAGCACCAGCCACTGCTCCGCCGCACTTTCAGAAATGTGTGGGTTCGCGAATTAATTACCGGCGTCGTTAAATCTTCGTCCACCAAGCGATCTCGTCTTTCCGCATCTCAAACCCCCTCCGACGAACTTGACGTCTCAGTCTCCGCCCAACTTGCGGTTAAATCGATTGATTCTCCTGTTCGTATAACGTTCATCTTCAGTAAGTCCAGAGGTCCTCTATTCTTCTCTCCAGTCTGCCGCAATCTTTCCCGGATGCGTTATTTCTGGACGAAGATCGATCGAATGCGACAGTGCAGCTGACAAGTTCATCAATTTTTTCAGAACCACATTCAAAATGAAGCACCTCGCCGCTTACCTCCTGCTCGGCCTCGCCGGCAACACTGCCCCTTCCGCTGACGACGTCAAGGCCGTCCTCTCTTCCGTTGGCATTGACGCCGACGAGGAGCGCCTCACCAAGCTCATTGCTGAGCTCGAGGGCAAGGACATCCAGGAGGTTCGTGTTTCCGACGATCTACGACCAGATTAGAATATGTTATATACTGACGGATCTTCCACTATAGCTGATTGCTGAGGGTACCACCAAGCTCGCCTCCGTTCCCACCGGTGGTGCTGGTGCTGCCGCCGCTGCCCCTGCTGCTGCTGGCGGTGCCGCTGCTGCCGAGGAGAAGAAGGAGGAGAAGGAGGAGGAGAAGGAGGAGTCCGACGAGGACATGGGTTTCGGTCTGTTCGACTAAGCGTCTCGTCCCCAAGTGCGAGATGGTCACGAACGTGGAGAAAACAAGGTCTAGCTGCAATCCGGCTGATACCGGTTGTCGAGCGTCTGGTTCGTCGCCTGGTGGTTTGTTCAGGATACCCTGGTTTCTTCTGATGCAGTTACGACTCTGTACGTATCGTCTATGAGCTGAAATTGCTCATAAGTCAAAAAATAGAGAGACCTTGCCCATAAACACTGGTGTTTTCGTTTCGTAGTTAATCCGTCGAAGAGTAGATATACTATCATTGTTCGAGAGCGTTCAATTATTACCTGGGTTACTAGCATTATCTTCAACGGCCGTATTAGAGCAATTACGGTACTCAGCATACATCCGCCAATTCCATACGACGTACATATCATATCTGATCGCCCATAACAATGCCTCAGGAAGACATGATGAGAACCACAATAATAATCACAATAATAATGATGTACCAATACTTCATATTCATACTGTAATTAAATGCACTTGTTCTGTATGGATCCGCTCCAGGGCTAGGGTTAACCTTATCTGTATCCGGGATAGCGTGTTAGGGTTCGTGACCTAGCCCCGTCGCTTAGACGAGAGAGCAGCCCACCTGCAAACTTGAAGCGCGAGAACAAGAACAGCCCAACGCCTTCTGCGACCGACACGACGACAACTATCCCTCCATCGCTTTTCGATTAACCGCATCGAAAAGCACCTCGAGGAATACCAGACAAGATGGCTGACACCGAATACGTGAGTTCCCCCCACTTTTTGCATCTATCCTTTGGGGATCGCGATACAATATATATACCGTTGTTTGAGACATGTCATGCTGATAAGTTGTTCATCTACAGAACGCCGAGGAGGCTGCCGGTACGTGATTGCATATATTTCCCCCCGAATCTTGATCGCTTTGGAATATCCCTTGGTCGACTGTGCTATGTTATATCGATGAGGAAATGTGTCTTTGGGGGATGTACGATTGTCAAGGGACATATCATGGGGAGCTGGGCGAGCTGCTGGGATACGAAAGAGTTGCACCGTGGAAGGAATAAAGGAACGAATGCGCTGACGATCAGTTTTCGCCAAACAACAGAGCTCAAGAGAAAGAGACAGTTCCGCAAGTTTACCTACCGCGGTATTGACCTCGACCAGTATGCCTCACCACGTCCTCTTGATTACGAAATCCGGAAATGAAGGAAAACAAAGGTTCTAACTCGACTCTCTCTTAATTCAGGCTCCTCGACCTCTCCTCGGAGCAGCTCCGTGATGTCGTCCACGCCCGTGCCCGCCGCCGCTTCAACCGTGGTCTGAAGCGCAAGCCCATGGGTCTGATCAAGAAGCTCCGCAAGGCCAAGCAGGAGGCCAAGCCCAACGAGAAGCCCGACCTCGTTAAGACGCACCTCCGTGACATGATCGTCGTCCCCGAGATGATCGGTTCCGTCATCGGTATCTACTCCGGTAAGGAGTTCAACCAGGTTGAGATCAAGCCCGAGATGGTCGGCCACTACCTCGGAGAGTTCTCCATCTCATAGTACGTTTCCTCTCATATTCCAAAAATGATTCCCCTTTTTGGCGGGGAAAGCGGTCAAGATTTCTAACAACCATACAGCAAGCCCGTCAAGCACGGTAGACCCGGTATCGGTGCCACCCACTCTTCCCGTTTCATTCCCCTCAAGTAAACTGTTGTCAACTTGCTCCACGGACGGATGGATGGATGGGATCTCGGCGGTTTTCCTGAGTTGTCGTATGCGGAGTGTGCACTGTTCAGCTGTTTCGTGTTGGATTTCTTCTTTTTTTCTGATAAAGGGAAAGGGAAAAAGGAGGAAACGATCACGACAATCTCAAGCGGGTATACTTTGGAGTAAAGAAAAAAGTGGAAGAATCTCGCAGCCATGGGTTTTAAAAAAGGAGCATCAAAAGGAGACCAGGCCGGTTGAAAGAGACCTTGCCTCGTTCGTTTATTTTACTACCTAGCTTAGGCGGAGACTCACTTCTTTTTACGAATTCACATATTTATTCCCTCTAATACCATTCTCTCTGGAAAATTAACAACTTGAACAAGGCATATTGGACTCGTGTCTCAAGCATTCTTGTTTTCTATGTATAGTATTATGACCAGAGAGAGAGAGAGAAAACAAGGCCCCAGCATAACTGCACCATCTTCAATTGAAATGCCCTCGCCATATCAGAATCGAAATATTTATCACAAAACATGGCTTGTCCCCGATTGCATAGCCGATAACTAACCACACGAGAAATCAATCGCCCATCCAAACGCCTCCACCAATAGAACAGACTGAAGCAGCGTCACTGATCACGTCAAAATCGAACTCCTCGCTATCGTGAACTGTATCGGTAAAAGGCATGAACAGTGGCGGGAGTCGGTATCCACCCGATATAGCGTTAGTAAAAACCCAGGGAGGAACTGCAGGCTGGTCCCCATGATTGTATTCTCGCGCTCTGGATGGAGTCCTCCATTGGGACTGTTCTTCTGGATTCATAAACTGTTCGGAGCAGGACTCGACTGTGTCCGAGCATGGCACGGATGATGATGATGATGACGATGATGATAATGATGACAGCGGGCGTTCATCCAGTATCATATTCAGGGATGGCCAGAAAGCAGAATCTCGTCCGTTCTGATCTGGATTGACGTTTGTTGCTTCCCGTTCGATTTCGAAGCTGTCTGTAAATTGTTCAGAGCGGGTGTCGCACTCGGCTGCGACGGAGTATGGCATCGATGATGATCTGAGCAGACGTTCGTCACGTTCCGTGTTCGAAGCTGACCATTGCGAAGAGGATATATCCTCGTCGCTATCGCCTGCACCTGCAGAGAGGCCATATGTGTGGTCGTCGTTCTGTTCTAGCTCGGATGGGATCCAGACGCGGCCGCTTATCCAAGATGCCACGCTGGTACGGTCATCGTCATCGTCGTCGTCACCATTGTACTCGGTGCCATCTACTCTATAAGCAGGACCTGGAAGAGACGTCTCTCGATCGTGATCGAACAGGGCTTCCGCTGGACCGGGAGTCGTATGAGGCTGGAGAACTTGGTTCGGGCCTACATTATTAACATGGTCAGCAGCTATGTCTTTTTCACTTCTAGATAGAGTGAGGTCAGAATATTGACAAAGATGTTATGTCTTACCATTCTGGCCGTAGCCCGCACCCGTCGAACTTCGAAGTCGTGCTTGCTCCAGTTCAGTGTGCTCGAGGTCATCAACCGTCATACTGTCTGCTCTTCGAATCATGTCTGCCAGCTCTTCCAAAGCACGTATATTCGCGGCGATCTCGTGGCTGCTTGTCCACATGTCCTCTGGCAGCATGCGGCTCATCACGCTCATCCGGTCATAGTCAAGAGTGGGATTAGGATGCACGGCGAGGGTGAGGAGGAGGAGGAAAGCAGGATCTTCTCGCGTTATATATGAGGCTTGCCCCCCATATTGTTCAGTCAGACGAACGGTTCTCGACATCTTTCTGGTAGAGAAGAAGGAGGAAATTGGAAAGTTGTATAGGTCGTCGAGGCGTCAAAGGTGAGGGTATATATGAATATAGCTGGGGAGTAGATATATTAGCACGGGATCAATGTGAATTCTGGGCAGTGAAGATACTGTAGGATTTGTGGATGTAGGCACGTACCTGCCTGTTGGATTCACTCCGCAGAGATGTCTCAGATGCGGACCAGCAGTCACAGCGCCGTGCAATTTGCAATGTGGACGTGTCGAAGCACCTGTTCCAACCTTTGTTGGTGGAAATAGCGTAGAATAAGAATTCAAGGGACCAGATACCAAATGAGGAGATGGTAGGTGAATAGGCTAGGGGCTTCAAAAATGATCCCCAGTTAATAACTATTTAGATATATGCGTGGACCCACGCCTAGGGCCGAAAATCACACTCTATAACCGTGTCTATCAGATTCGGTTCTAAAGAGGACTATGACCTTGTGTAAATGCTAAGGAAACACGGAAAATTAGAGAACAACCCGGTTTTCTGCGAAAACATTTCACATCACAGCAGAATGAAATCCCTTACCTTGTCCATATCGAGATATATAGAGGTGGAGTAGAGACAGAGAGCGCACATCGTAATAGGCGAAATGAAGATTGTGTGATTCGCACATTGGATGTTTCCAAGTATATAACATGAGCGAGCCAAAGCAATCTCCTGCCATAAGCAAGATCTAAGTAGACATGGGTATGTTTCCTCTGCCCATGCGGGAACAACCAATCGCCTGCGTCATTGCAGTTTCCTAGTTGTAGTAGGTCGCTGCAAGCAGAGAAAGGAAGAGTACATGGTTGGCGCATTGGATATTCTATGTAGAGACAATAGGTCAGTTACAGGAATCTCAATCGGTCAAAACAACACTCGGAAAAGAAACCTTGCAGGGTACGGTATTTTCACCAAATGAAGATTCTTACCTATCCATATATATATACATTCCATACTTGGGGCCTCATAAAAAGGGCCCCAGTAGATATGGACATGCTTTTTCTATCCATATCGGCGGGAACGATCGATTTTCTGCGTCATCGAGGCCTCATAGTCGTACTGCGTCGCTGTCGTCACTCCATATCTAGGGCCTCTTCCACAAGGGCCCCAATAGATATGGATGTGTTTCTTCTTCCCATACCGGCAGGATCAACCAATCGCCTGCATCACAGCGGCCCCTTAGCCATAGGGGCTGGCTGTAAGCAGCGAGGAGAGGAAGACATCATGGTTCGTACATTGAACATTTCTAAATAACGATTTGAAGGGCTCCTAATTAGTCAGAAAAGCACACGGAAAGACCAAGAAATTCATGTATTTATAGATTGAAAACTCTTACCTCCACATGTACAGTTCGAGATATATGACAGTCTTCACTCCATCTTAAGGGCCTCATCAGCAGTTGCTTCAAGCTTCTCCCATTCCTCCTTGATCTCGGTGACAAACTTCTCCGGTTCAAGACCATACTTCTTGAACTCCCCGTCGACCGTTCGGTATGTTGAATTTACCAATTCCCGAAAACTGGGAACTGTACAAGCTGTCTGCTGGCTCTTGACCAGCTGGGACAACAGAACCCATATGATTAAGTCCATATCCTTGGGGAACTTCTGGAATACGGCATCCGGAGAACCTATTGCGTGGTTCCGATTTAGGTTCATAGCAACTTTCACAAGGGCGTAGGTATGAACTTGACGAATAGGGTGGCCCTCGTATGGGTATACAATAGGGTCAACGCGAAGATACCGAATGACCATTTGTACAAAAGCTGATTGAAATTGCTTTGCTGCGGCCATCGCTATGATCAATTCATCCCGCAGAGATACGTAAGGCTGGCGAGTGATGGGCCAAGCCGAGGTTTCTCGTAGCATGCGTAAAGCAGATCGGAGCTTCTCCATACTTTGTAATGCATCATTATCAGCGCTTGCGGATGCAACCAGGTTCCGCGCTCTCTCGTCAATGTCCTCCAGAGTGGAGGGGTCCAACGATGTTGGTAGAAACTGGTCTTCACGGGTCTCTTTTCCTTGCTCGCATTTGGAACAATTGCATTCGAAATAGTATCGCTCGGCTAGCTCCTTGCGTCGAACATTATACGGATAGGTGGCGTCAACGTACGAAATGAAGATCTGTTCGTCTGCTTTGATCGGCCTTGTAGCCTTGATGAATAGCTCATCGCCGTCAAACCCCACCACTGAGTTATAGTCACAGCTGTGGTTTATAAATGCCGCGTATGGGTGTAGGTATAGACCAACGCGATCATATAACGGGTTAACAAGGTTGAATGTGTTCAAGTCGATCTACATTGCGTGTCAGCGATTACTCAATAAAGACAGGGAGACCCTACTAACCTTTGCAAGGAAGGAAGCAATCGATTCTTCCTTCATATCAGTGCGTGAGTATTCCTTGACAGCTTTTGCTGTCAGCAAGATACGGTTCCACTGGTCTTGGTTCGTATCTCGAATCTCAGCGGCATGCGTTTCGAGCATCTGAAAGATGTCGAACTCCGAGTCATCGTATTTCTGATTTGCCCGGCGCAGAATAATCCGTAAGACAGCTCTCGCAAAGTTGGGTAGGATCTTCGGTTGTAGCTTGCAATAGATTGAGCATTCAAGTGAGTGCGCGAATTTCCAGTCCTTGGATTGGCAGGCCTATTTGAAATCATTAGTGACAAAGGATCATCACAGTCATATATGTGAGCGGTTACTGCCAACAAGTGATAATTGATGACGGGAGTCGTCCCCAACTTCACGTCACTGACAGTTACCGCCTTATATAGGTGACAGGAATCATAACGACCACTGAAGAGAGTGGAAAGAACAAAACAAAGCAAAGAACCAAACAGAGCCTTTGAAAAGACAAGATCATAGAATTGTAATGAAAGGAAAACAAAGAATAGCTGACAACCCCTACCAACTATTACATAAACATTTTCATTTTCAGACATGGCTGAAAACGATCTTATAATTGAACAGGAACAGACAGAAACATGGAACTCACCCTATCACAATACCTCACAACCTTACATCCCGTACAAGCTTTCGGAGGCTTAACCCCGTCAAAAAACTGCTTTTTCCCAAAACATCCCGAGCAAGTATCCTCGAGCTTAGGAGTATCGAGCACAGCAACAAAGGGACGGTTCGTCTTCAGCACATCTTCTCCGACATTGATATCCTTTGTAGCAAAGAGGCCATTGCCCATGTTGTCGGTAAGACGAGGCATGGCTTTAGTGTCCATTGATGGTGGTTGGTTGTGGGGTGACATTTTGGGGATGGGTTGGACCAGGAACTTTGAAGCTAATAACAACCAGCTTGTGGATCAAATAAGAGAATAGGAAGTCCAGATAGAAGATTCCCAGTCTCACGATTCACACTTCCTATCGCTCACATCCAACAGTTCAATGCCAACTGTTTCACAGGTAAACGCGCTCAGAAATAGTCGAGTAAGGTGCGAACAAGATGAAAGTCAGACGTCCCAGAGATCAACGTTGGTTCTATAAGATCAATTCTTCTCTAGCAAGCCTTCGACTGAATCAATGAAGAAGAGGTACTGTCTTCTGCTCTGAGAGGTCTATCGTGTTCTCTGTTGATCAATCAAAGGTTAATTTGTGACGGTCGTCTTGAGCCAGTCAAGAGACAAGTAAGAGGGGCAACAGAATCCACAATCACGTGGTTTCCACTTGAGATCCAATCCTGGAATAATATAATACAGTTCATCTCCTGACAGAGCAACACGGGGTAATTATTATTTTGAAGGCTGTAGAATTTGATATAACTCTAGGTATATATACACGTACATACGTAGATGAGCTAATTGACAGACCCGACAAGATAACAGAAGAAAAAAGAACAATGTTCTGCCTTCTCTGTACTTGACATGAGCGCATATGCAGCAAACCTAGTATGACAATAAATATGAAAGGGCAGACAAACAAGAGATTAGCTGCAAATACAAATAAAATCGTGGAACAGGAATTATCCACTCCTCCATACTCCTGCCCACAAGAACATCGTAAACAAGAGGAACGAGGCAGGGCAGGCGCTGTAACGAGCAAATAACAGGTCTATCAGGAGTAGTAGACAGCATTCATGCGAACAATCGTCTCGCATAAAACCGGAAAGAACTTTTCATCTAGCCAATGCGTAACTCGGGAGAGGGGAATGTATCTCTTCTTCTCGATCTTGGAATCATGCCAAGTCGAGTATTCACAGAAGCTTACCACCAACGAAGTCAGACCAGGTGCGGACCTCGGAGGGGATACCTTCCTTGCGGGGCAGCTTCTCGTTCATGCACTGAGCGAAGAGAAGAGCAGTCTGCAATTGATAGCCATTAGCAAAAAGGCACAAACATAAATACGGGGGATTGGGATTATCTTTTCATACCTTTGGCTCCATGAAGAGAGGGACACCAAAGTCAACAGCATTTCGGCGCATAACATAGTCCTCGTCGAGAAGAGTCTTACCCCTCTGCTTAGCAAGGTTGAAGACACCGCGGATGTCATACTTCTGGAACACCTCACGGAGCGCCCTCTTGTCCTGCTTGGGGAACTCAATAACGTCCACAGTCACGTTGCCCTTGGAAGCAGACTCGAGATGAGCCTTGACCTCGGGGCTAGCGGCATACAGCTTGTAGCCCAGAGGCTGCACGAAATCAACGATCTGGGTCAGGTAGTCACGGAGGTCACCACCGAAGAGAAGACCCTCACCAGGCTCCGGGACACGGAAGTTCATGGTGGCCTGGAGCGAAGCCCAGTAGGCCTCAACCAAGTCCTTTCCGAAACAGGCAATCTCTCCAGTACTGGACATCTCGACTCCCAAGAAGGGGTCAGCACCGGCCAGACGGGTCCAAGAGAACTGCGGCACCTTGGTGGCCAGGTAGTCACGCTTGGTGGACATAAGATCAACGGGCTCGGGAACGTCACGTCCAACAAGGGCCTTGGTCGCAACATCGACGAAGTTGGTACCCAAGACCTTGCTGACGAAGGGGAAGGAACGAGAGGCACGGAGGTTGCATTCAATGACCTTGAGGTCGGGCTCGCCACCCTCAGCGTTGTCGGCCTTGATGATCTGCATGTTGAAGGGACCGGTGATGTTCCAAGCCTTGGCCACCTTCTCAGCAATCTCCTTGACACGAGCCATGGTCTTCTCATCCAGGTTGGCCGGAGGAAGGACCAGAGTAGCATCACCGGAGTGAACACCAGCAGGCTCAACGTGCTCGCTGACAGCGTGCAGGATGAGGTTGCCGTTGGATCCGACAGCGTCGACATCAATTTCCTGAGCACCCTCGATGAACTTGGTGATAACGACGGGGTGATCGGGAGACACGGCACTGGCGTTGAGGAGCTTCTCCTTGAGCTCACCAGCGCTGTAGATGACGCTCATAGCAGCACCGGACAGGACGTAACTGGGACGAACCAGGACGGGGTATCCAACAGCCTCGGCGAATTTCTCTGCCTCGGCGACGGAGGTGAGTTCCTTCCAAGCAGGCTGGTCGACACCAATGCTGTCCAGAATCTGGGAGAACTTGTGACGGTCCTCGGCCTTGTCAATGTCCTTAGGATCCGTACCAAGGACCTTAGCGCCACCAGACTCCTGCAGACGGAGAGCAATGTTCTGCGGCAGCTGACCACCGACAGAGACGACAACTCCAGTAGCAGACTCCAACTCATAGATATCCATAACACGCTCGTAGCTCAGTTCCTCGAAGTAGAGCTTGTCAGCGGTATCGAAGTCGGTCGAGTAGGTCTCCGGGTTGTAGTTGATCATGACAGTCTTCTTGCCCATGTTGCGCAGGGAAAGGGTAGCGTTGACAGCACACCAGTCGAACTCGACGGAGCTACCGATACGGTAGACACCGCTTCCCAGAATGATCGTTCCGTGGTCATCGAAGGTCACATCGTGAGACGTGGCGTTGTAGGTGGTGTAGAGGTAGTTGGTGTCAGCAGGGAACTCGGCGGCCAGAGTATCGATCTTCTTAACCCATGGTCTGATACCGAAGCTCTTTCTGCGAGCACGAACATCGTCCTCGGTAGCGCCAACGCAAAGAGCAATCTGCTTGTCAGAGAAACCGAGCTTCTTGGCCTTGAGCATCATATCCTCCTTGATGCCGAAAAGGCTACCGATCTCCTTGAGCTCATTCTGGCAGTCGACAATGTTCTGGAGCTTGTACAGGAACCACTTGTCGATCTTGCTGAGCTCGTGAACGCGGTCAACGGAGTAGCCCTCGTGGAGCATAGCCTGTCCGACAGCCAACCAGCGGCGGTCGGTGGGGTTTGCGAGAACCTCATCGAGGTTCTCGAACTTGTCACCCTGGAAACCGATGAATCGAGGGTCAACCTGACGGATAGCCTTCTGGAAGGACTCCTCGAAGGTACGACCAATAGCCATGACCTCTCCAACGGACTTCATGGCACTTCCAATGTCGCGGTTGACGTGCTGGAACTTGCTCAGATCCCATCTGGGGATCTTGGTCACAATGTAGTCCAAACTGGGCTCAAAGTTGGCCGTGGTGGTCTTGGTCACAGCGTTGGGAAGCTCAGGCAGGGTGTGTCCGAGACCGATCTTGGCAGCGGTGTAAGCCAGCGGGTAACCGGTAGCCTTGGAGGCCAGGGCAGATGAACGAGACAGACGAGCGTTGACCTCAATGACACGGTAGTCCAGGCCATCGGGCTGCAGCGCATACTGGACGTTGCACTCTCCAACGACACCGAGGTGACGGACAATCTTGATAGAGGCAGTACGAAGCATGTGGTACTCCTCATCAGACAAAGTCTGACTGGGCGCAACGACAATAGAGTCACCAGTGTGGATACCAAGAGGGTCGAAGTTCTCCATGTTGCAGACGGTAATACAGTTGTTGGCAGCATCACGGACGACTTCATACTCAACCTCCTTCCAGCCCTTGAGAGACTTCTCCACGAGAATCTGGGGGGCAAGAGAGAGAGAGCGGGAAGACAGGTTCCTCAATTCCTCCGGGTTGTTCGCAAAGCCAGAACCCAGGCCACCAAGGGCATAGGCGGAACGGACAATGATGGGGTATCCAATGTTTTCGGCGGCCTTCAGCGCCTCTTCGACAGTGTTAACGGCAATGGACTCAGCGATGGGGATGTCAATCTCATTCAAAGCCTTGGCGAAGAGGTCACGGTCCTCACTGGTCTCGAGGGTCTTGACGCTGGTTCCCAGAACCTTGACGCCATATCGGTCGAAGATACCCATGCGGTTCATGTGCACACCCAAGTTCAGAGCGGTCTGACCACCGAAGGACAAGAAGATACCGTCCGGACGTTCTCTCTCGATCACGTAGGTGACATATTCGGGCGTAACGGGCAGATAGTAGACCTCATCCGCGAGCTTGTGGTCTGTCTGAATCGTAGCAATGTTCGGGTTGACCAGAACGGACTTCACACCGGCCTCCTTCAGAGCCTTGAGCGCCTGGGAACCTGCAATTTTTTTCAATCTCCGCGTCAGTCAACTGCTACTAAAAAAAGGATGAAATCCCATGCGGCCGGTTCCTCAATCGATCGATCCCTGGAAGTTGCGCGTCCCAGGAAATCTTATCCTCCGAAATTTTTTTTATTCTACCGTCCCGCTCGCTTGGTACAAAAACTGAATCCAACCCTCCTCCAGACACGCAGACTTACCAGAGTAATCGAATTCTCCAGCCTGTCCAATGGCCAGACCGCCACTTCCAATCACCAGAACCTTCTTCACATCGACGATATTGTCAGAATCCTTGACCACACCGCTGGCAAAGTAGGCCTTGGACGAAGGGGGGTTCTCAGCCTCCGATGCCAGACGGCGGAGAGAGCTGGAGAAAGCGCGCAGCTGCTGCGGTCGGTAAGGCGAAGGGAGCTTCTGCTGTAATCGCAGACCAGACGCCGTCGAGCGGGCAGCAGTCTGGGTAGAATACGAACGCAGGGCCAATGTCGCCGGTCGCGTCTCCGCGAGGCATCGCTGGCGCAGGAGCGAAGAGCTCAACCGCGCACAGCGGGCTGGAAGAGCCATGTTCTGGAGAAGCGGGGAGGGGTGGACTTTTTGGAGATAATTTGACAGGGAAAAAAATAAAAAAGGACTTGAAAAAGGTGCCCGGAGAGAAGAAGCAGCAGTCAATTGACTGCGAACCAGCGTCCTCTGGTAGACGGAATGAGAGTGTCTACTCTGGCCTGCTGTTTCCTCTTCTCCTCACACGCGCGCGGCCCTTGGGTAAAAGAAGTAGATATGGATGACAAGGAAATTTTCAAGATGCGGAGAGAGACCGAGGAGGAGAGGAAGATTTTAGCGGCGGCTCCAACGAGACTTTTGCCCACCGGATGAGTCAATGGGCGAAAAAAGACGGAAGAAAGAAAATCAGGGAAAGGATAAGTTGAGAGGGTCCGATAAGAGCTCCGGTGTGCGGAGCTCGTTGGTTATTTGTTAATTAGTTAATTATTTTAACTTAGTTAGAGTGGGTTTTCTGGGAAGCGGAACACTTTTTTTTCTCTCTTTTTTTTTGCCTGTAGACTACTTTTCTGCCGCCAGCATACATAAACTGTTCTGCTTATTCTCAGCCACGATGGGATGGTCAATAATGGATATGTTTAATTAGACTGAAAGGACCATCAATTGTTTATTAACCATGTACACATACAAATAAATAAGTGGTTGATTCAGCCCATCAATTATTGTATAACTACTGTGTTGAATAATAGTTATTCAACCACTCCGGCAAAGAATCCCGAACAGAGTCACGATCTCCGCAATCGTCTGGAGTCGATCAGCAAAGAATTTACCCAGCTAAAACAGATGCAGCCAATCAGTGCGCGATCCGTCCAGAAAACAGTATGCTTGTGCTCCGCATCAGATCAAATAGTCTCGACTACTCAAGCACTCGGACTGCTATCGCGCGGGTATCATCGCGGGAATCGATCGGTATGAATCATCACAACCTCTTTCTCGGGACTTCTATACGTCTCCAACAACCCCAACACGCCCGTTGAGCCCCGACCAAGGACCCCGTCCTGGCGCGCGCTTCTCCGTCCGGACCTGTCGAGTTCGGGACCTCGTCGGCCGGACTTCGGATGCCCAGATATCTCCCTCGTCCGGGGTTGCTCCCGCATCGTGCTCCTCCTCGTACTCCTGGTTGATAATCTCATAGACCTCCTGCAGCGTCTGCTCTGCGCTCTCTGCCATCTCCTTGCCCACGTCCGTCTTCTCTTCCACATACGCCCGTTCGTGCGTGCGAGCAGCGCTAGAAGCAAACGCCCAGGCTTGCGCGCGAGACAGTATCTCGTCTGGCTTGGCCAGCTCCGGTGACTCAGCGGCGGATCGCGAACTGATGGCGGTGACGGCCTGTTTGTAACGAGGCTGGCGAGCCAGCAGTGGGTATTCCGGAAGCAAATGACTCTCATCACTGAGACGGTCCAGCATACGACGCGCTGTAGACTTCTCCTTGGCCAGGATTCCGGACAGATACGTCTTCTGCAGCGCAAGGGACTTCTGCGTTTTGGACAGAGGCAAAAGCACCTCGCTCGCGTAGGGTAAGAGATCAAGCACTTCCATGTCCACTACCTCTCCGGTAGAACTTCCCTCAGTAGTAGATTTGAGCGGACTCTTCGCTGGCGGACTCGCCAGCGGTTGCGACGCGACAGAGATGGAGTCAAGCAGTGCCCGTCGAGATTCCACGTAGCTGGCATATTGGTCTCTGATCTGCTCCTTGCGCTCCTCAATCGCCTTCGACATATCATCCACTTCATCCTGCGAGAATTGCGGCAGATAGTCATTGCCTTCTCCCCCGGACGCAACCAGCTTGGCTTCCACCCACTGGACTAGCTCGTCACGGATTCGCTGCAAAGCAGCAACCTTGACACCAGCAGAGGCACTTCGCGCTTCGAGTGACTCCCGGCTGGCCTGGAGTTCCTGCAGCAGCTTCTTCTCCCGATCCAGCTGGGACTTCGCCCGTAAGACAGCTTTCTCCAGCTTGTAGACCAGTTGTCCCAATCCCTCGCGCATCTCTTTCGAGCCCGACGTGCCGCCTTCCATCTGACCGTCCAGCTGGTCTGTTCCCCGCGATGAGTATCCCGACTTGTAGAGACGGTCCAGGTCTGAGGCGTCCGGTGCGTCGAGCCTTGCTAGATGGTCCTCGAAAACTTTCAGCTTCTTCAATCGTCGTCGGTCGCGGAGGAGAGCGAGGTAGGTTTGTAGTTCGGCGGAGGGTTCCTTAGACAGACGAGCATCAGCTGCGACGTTAGTCTGCTTCATGAGCTTCCGCGAAGTGACATCGTCCACGAGTGCATTGTATTCCTTCCGCGCAGCAACATTCTCCCGCAATGCTTCCAAATATTCCTTTCGCAGTCCGCTGAAGTCAGCAGGCACGCAATCCACGCTCACAACACTCTGCGGGTTGCACAAGGAGATGTGAGGCTGAGACTGCTGATTCCCACCGCTCGAGCCATCCTCTGCGAATTTGATCTGCGATTGAAGGTATAGAGTCAAAATCTGTCGGGTCCGGAATGCTTCCTGACGGCTCTTGAGATATGGTGCCAAGGGCTTCGCGAAAGGTGGGATGGATATCGACGTGTCGGGGCGATCCGCCATTGCCCCGATCCAACCTGTTGAGTGAAAGCGTGAAATATCTTGGAGAATATCAGATCAAGCTAACGGTTAGGAATGGCCCATCAATCATATGTCAACAACACATGCTCTTGGGGGGTTGTTTGTTCTTGTTCTCTTCCAGCCGCTAAGGTGTACTAAGTTAACTACCCCGTAAGTTGGAAGCGGATTCGCGCCGATTATGTAACTGCTATCTACTCTCCAGCATCCAGAGATACAAAATAAATAAACCTCATAAATAAATAATCTCCCGATCAGGGAAATATCGAGTCTTGAAAGAATTTGGTTCTGGGATCTTTTTGAATCTCCAGGGATCTATATTGAATTGATCGTAAATAATAGCCCGAGCGGGTCAGTGACACTATTTTCCCTGTGGCCTGGCTCCGAAATATATTATTCTCTCTCACATACCTTTATTCCAAACCATCAGAATCATCGCCTTGGAGATCTTTCGAGATCCAGATCAATTGACTCGATTTAGAGCATTGTCTCATGTAGTATATGAATGCACAACATCCATACTGTGTTGAACGGGGCATTCTTTCGTTCTATGGGCTGTCTCGTGACACCAGGTCTATTGCGCCGACCAGACGAGCCTCCTTGGGGGCGATCGAGCTAGTTGTACGAGCAATACATAATAATACGTCAATTGGTCAAGGGCCATCATCTGGACTGCTTCCGGAAAATAGTAAATATTATTAACCGTTTCATCGCTCTTACAGGGAAAAAGGATCGCTCAAAAGTTGTTTGATCGACAAGTTGGAAACCAAGCGTACAATGCTCTCAGTGTCAGCGAACGAAGCCATCCCATCTCAGGGCAAGTAGCCTGACTGGGAGACATTCGGATTCTGGGCTAGTAACTTGATTTCATCAGCAGTCATCAGGTGTTAGTCGTTTCTAAGCCCCTGAATATCGGTTTATTGGATAGGATGGTTATTAGGTTAAGGGTCTCCGAGGGAGAGAAGAGAGAGAGATCACCATCGAGCTGAGAAGTTCGGTGGGTCTACGAACTCCGAAGATGGTCTGTGATCTGGTGAGAGAAAATGTGCCGCCGCCAGTGTTATCGATTCAGTTGTGGCCATTGCAAAACAGGATGCGCATCTAGCGGTCGAAGATGCGTCAAAGAGAGCATAGTGCGCTGTTACCTAGAAGCATTCCAAGCGAGAAATGCATTGCATGGGAAAAGTCTAAGATAGTATTGCCTTAGAGCAATCAACACCATCAGATCATCATGATGAAGATGCGCTTAACTGATTGTCACTAGGTTGAAGTCACCAGCCACGACGGGGAGTGGGCTTCTTTGATATGGTAGACGATCGGACGGGTCATTGACTTCATTCGGATAGGACTCCATGTGTGTGTGGCGCTGGGCGCATGAATACGGAGTCCATAGCTCGTCCCAGACTGAGAAATGGCGTGCCTCATGATTAACCGATATGAAGTCCAATTCTGCATAACTTAGATATCTGCATTTCAGCCTCGAAAGGCGCAGTGGTATGCCATCCGTCCAATGAGAATATTCTGTTCATCGAACCCCGTGTGGCGGTGCTGAAAGCTGGCCATCTTTTCGAGTTAGACTGTTAGAGGGAAGAATGAATGAATGCGGTGGTGGCGCTCAGACGATATTATTATTTTTATAAAATGAGATCAGGAACGAAAGTCTGTCGGCCGTCGAGTTCTCCACATCAGACTGACTGACCCTGTACCTTTCGAACTTGGTAATTAATTAATTAATTAATAATTAAAGAAGAAGAACCGCACTTTTGTAGACGATCATTATATGAAGATGCCTTGTTTTTTTTTGACAGCACGGAGGATAAAAGATATCTACGCTATGAAGTCATTGGTGCCTCGTGCTGGCTCGGTACTCAAGGCGAATGTTTCCGACCATTGGCATTTCTGATCTCTGGGCATTTTGTGATGGCCGCTATCTACCTAGTTAGTTCAATCCATGGTCTTTCTGCAATTTTAGCCTCTGCGCCAATCGAATTGTCGTGCTGAACCACCGGACCAGGTGTTGCAGCTTGTCAGGACTCTCGCTTCTCTGGTATCCTGTCAAAAAAAAAAAGCCTGAAACGGTATTAACTAATGAACTAATGCGCCGTGCTTCCTCCAGCAACATCTGTATCCGACGCCGCGCCACACTTTGGGACGCTAGGCCCCTGATAAAGAAATCCGGTTTGAAGGAACAAGATGCATGGCAGTAGCGTCGAGCCAACAATCTTTTTGTTTCCGGCGTGCTGGCCACAGTCGGGAGTCGAGTGGATATTACCATCCCGCTTCCTCTCCGATTTCACTTTAAGTACTCTTCAGCCGCGCTGTTTGCGGATATCTTATTCGTCCCATTTGACATCTTTCTTCTCTTTCGGGAACACCGGCTGGTACCGAGAAATTAGAGCAGCCAGCATATATGATCCACTGACCGTCCCAAGCTGCTTGAGTAAATTCATCTGGACTTTCCTCTCAACTGCCAGTTGCCCATATCCATATCCTCTCTCTTACACCAGACTGTCGGAAAAGAGCTGGAACCCGATTTGAACCGTACAACTACAAACACAACCACAACCACAGACAAACCTCGAACCGTTGACATGGCTTTAAAAGACTCTTTTCGCATCAATCTCAAGGGCCGCGGTCTGCCATCCCGGCCAGACCAGGGTCTCCGCTCCAAGAGCTCGCCAGAACAGACGCAGAATAACGCCGTGATTCCTGAAAGACCTGCACCAGCCCCAGCCCTAGAGAAGCCACTTCCGTCAACACAGTTACCTTCTCCGCCGATGTCCCCGACGATGGCTGTTCCTGGGAGCTTCTCGCAGATCTCGCCAATCAGGCGCGGCCAGGAACTTTCTCCCAAGGAATTTTCTCCCGTGGAATTCTCTCCCAAGGAACTTCCTCCCAGCCCTCGAGCCCCGGCTGGTATCATGACTTCGCAAGATGATGACGACGGTGCGTCTCTGGAAGACTTTATACCTGAGCCGGAGGAGAACTCGGGGGAAAGCATCGACGCTGCTATCACGACCGCACCGGCCAAGGAGGGAATGAACGGAATTAACAGCAATGATAATCTCCCGCCGCCTCCGCAGCAGCTAGAGCCAGTCGCAGCGCCGCTGAGCAAAGTGCATTTTGCATGCTACCAGTCGCATAGATCGATGCCTGTCGCAAACAACTACTGGTATTCAGTTCCCTGCATGACTTGTCGGAAAGTTGATCAGCAAAGCCGATACCGGTGCACATTCTGCTGTCTTCGCATCTGCGGTGATTGTTTCCAAGGTCTGCAAAAGTGCAACGACCGCTCTCTGGCGGAGTTTCTCGACACTCGTCCGACAGCTTAATAATAAGAGTTCGATGGTCGAGCACTGGACATGTCAATCCATGTTTCAGAGCAAGACAGAACGTTTGTTTTGATGATTTATTGGGATGAATTCGGTTTGAATCGGAGTTAGCAGCGATACAGGAGTCATGCTTATTACGAAATTGACCAACAATATTGAAGACAGAAGAGATCTGGGTGAGAGCCCATATGCAGCTCAGGGTCCGCGAGCGGAGTATAATAGTTTTCCGATACTTGCAATCCCTCATCGCAGGGGTGGATTCCTGATATACTCACATACTTCCGGGAGAGATCTGTGGTCTCAAAGTCGAGATGATACCCAAGTATGCGAGGGCATGAGCTAATGATTAGCTTCTTGTTCTGGCAAGACGGACTCGATTTGTTCCCTTTGAAGTGTATATATTTTGCTTATACCCGTTGAATAATCGGTTTAGATTTTTTCTTTTGCTCGAACAAAGCTATTTTGACACTCTACCGATGATACCTCGTATTCATTCAGAGCACATCTCGCGATGGGATTTAGATCGGCGCAGGCAAACCGCTGGCTATCATCGTGGCAGCATTCAAGGAGCAATTTTTTGCTATATATTAGATCTTGGTATCAATAAAAGTAATAATTTTTATACTCGATCTGGCCGACGGGTGTATTTTCCCATTCGTAGCCCTTTCCGTTTGAACCGATAGTAGAACATTTCGCAGAATGAGAAGTCGTTCTTGTTTCAGAGCACATATGGGTGCTTCGAGAGCCCCGTACTAGTCAATGTATGGTCGACCTTCATATGTTCCGAACAGTTGCTGCAATTTGCTAGAATCTGTCTGCAACAAAAACTGTCTATTATTCTCTGTACGTTAGAGGAAAGCAGTTTACCGTTAGTCATGATCTTCTTCGGTCAGGCCGGGACAGCCATCCAAGGTGTCTGTCTCATAGCGGTATTTGCACCAAAAGCAATATCGATGCTTCTCTCGTAAGTATAGAACCAGTCTCATTAACCGTTCCTTGGGGTCCAGCTGATTGAACTCGTCGAGTTCTGGGTCTTCTTCGTCAAGTTCTTGTTCTACCACCCTCGCAGGATCTGTCCGGAGACCAAGAGCGTGTCGATCGTCAGCGTCCAGGTTGGGGTCTTCATATCCAGGCAATTTCGGGTCTGGAAAGAACGACGATGGGAGTGACGTCTGCATAATATGACGAGCTTGGATCTCGCGCTCCTTTTCTTCTCTCTCGCGCACAAGGCCACGGTACAAAACGTTGATCTGAGAAGTCGGCTTGACTTTGGTTCGTTTGCGAGACGTCGCGGATGATTTCTCCTCTGCATTTGTGTCATTTCCTTCCTCCTCCTCTTCCCTGCCGGGAGACTTCTGGTCGGCTCCGGACGGCTGAGCAGCTTCATCGTCGTCATCAGATTCCGTATCCAACTTCTCAGCAACTTTTTGCGCTGCGCGTACTTGGGCTTCCGTCCGACGTTCCTCGCGTTCGAGCCTCATCCGTTCTCGATAGTCACCTTCTTCGGCTTTGACTTTCTTCGACATTTCTGCAGCTTCTTCTCTTATTTTACGCTTCTTCTCGTTATCCAGGCCTATCCCACTTCTGTCTTCCTTCACGATTATATTTAGAGGTTCCGTGCGCGGTCGACCCCAGTCGTCGGTCGTGGTTGTGGCCGTGGCAGCTCCGTCCGAAGAGCCAGCAGGAGCTGCCATGCCGGTTGATGGCTGCTTGCCAAGAGCATCTCCTACCTTGAAGCCTAACTTGGCCATCATCTGGAAACCTTTGTTGCTAGGATCCAGGGCGGTCTTAGCCAGGGCTGCTTCGCGACGTGCAGCCTCCTGAGCTGCACGTTCCGCTTTGGAGGGAACCTTTGCTTTTGCTTCGGCCTGTTCATAGATAAAGACATTTAGTAACTGGATATGACGAGATATGGAGAGATACTGAGTGTAAGCAGCAGATGCGCGTGGGATTTCCCGAGCAAACCCGGCGAGCCTCAAGACGGAAGTAGGAAGTACGACGTACTAACCTCCCGTTGCTTTCGGAGTTTCCGCTGCGCAAAAGTCTCCTTTTTCTCCGGCTCTATAATGGCCATCGACATATAGTCTTCTTCCTCATCCTGGGCGCTTTGTGGAGCCATACTTAGTCGGCGCTGTCGCTGTTTGCCGTGTCCCTCAACCGCAGGCAGGTCAGCCGATCACCAGCGCAGAAGAGAACGAGGCTCAGAGACAAGAGAAGCGTTCACGAGATTCTAGCGCACGGCCAAATCTGGTCAGTCTTGCAGTAACTCGAGAGCGTACTCTCACGTCAGTGGTGCTCAGAGTGGCGGTGTTGGTTTTGCGGGGAAGCCGATCTTGAAATCTGAACTTCAAGCTTTTTTGCTCTTTGTCGATCTCAAGAGACACCACCGAGGCTGACAATCATTAGATATCTCAGATCCAGATTCAGACTCAATCAATCCCTGCTCATATCAGCACCATTCGATCTGTCAGGTTTGCTTTGGAAATCCATCCAAGTGGGACTATTGTGTGTAGGTAGAGTTTGTTCTGCTGCAAGGCGCTTCTCGTAGCGCTGCAGCTAAATCGTCTTTCGACGCCATGTGCTTTTCTTTTTCCGCCTTCGAAGGTGTATACCATTGATCAGCTCCTCCGCTTCAGGCAGCCAGTATGCGAGAGAGACGGCCTGGGGGTTCTTTTCGGTCTTAAGTCTTTTGATTACTGAGATTTTAGCTTTGTGAGATAATGACCAGCATGACTCTGATCTGCTGATCCTGCTATCTACTTCCCAATGTTCCCAGTCACACCTACCACTGCTCTTGTCCTCTGTCCCACAGTGTCATCCCTAGTCGCGCATAAAACGAATGTATTAGGCGTTCTTCCATGTGAGGCCATCCAACAGAAGAATGCCCCTGGCTCATTGGCCACGGGGCGTGCACCATTCCTCGACGCGACGGCGTGAGTATAGTCAGATATGGAATGCAAGGATCAATGGACACTTCTACCGACGTTCTGGCCAGCCGAATAGAACCATCCGAAGATACCGGCCACCGATAGATAGACACAGGCTATCTGTTTAAAGATGGAGGCTGTCCTGGCGTGGGAGGTCTCACGCCTGGCTCCATTCTCATCTCCTACACAATGGCGGCGCGAACCATGCCGTTGCTGCTTCTCTCAGTCCTTTCTTGCTTGCTCTTCTCGTTTGCTGCTGCGCAAGACACCCTGGTAGATCTGGGTTATGCCAAGTATAAGGGCCAGGCATTTTCAAATGGCATCTCTCAATGGCTCGGGATACGTTTCGCTGCTCCTCCCATAGGCGATTTGCGCTTCGCCGCCCCGCAAGATCCTGTAGCCTCTGGAGACACAGTCAATGCGACAGAGGTAACGTCTATCCATATGAAATCTGCTCTTCGGTTTCGTGCGTTATGAGACCAAGACCATGTGACAAAGACTAACGTCCTTCCAGCATGGGCCGCTTTGTATCTCGACCTCCACGAACCCAATTCCAAGCAACATGGCCGAAGATTGTCTATTTTTAGACGTCTATGCTCCTAGCAAAGCCAGCAATTCATCCGAGCTTCTGCCCGTCTACTTCTTTATTCAAGGCGGTGGATTCAGCGCCCTCGCCAACCCTAATTACGATGGCACCGGCTTGTTACTGGCCTCTAATCTGAGCATAGTCATTGTTACCATCAACTACAGAGTTGGGCCTTATGGGTTTTTGGCAGGGAAAGAGATTCAAGAAGGCGCAAGTCTGAACAACGGGCTGAAAGATCAAATCAAGGCTCTGCAATGGGTCCAGAAACATATAAGCAAGGTAAATAATAACAATGATCACAATAATACCCCTACTATTACTATTTCCTTTTTTTCTTTTGTTTCAAGAAAATTTCCAACCCTAGTTAGCATATATCACAGCTGACGTCTTCGCATAGTTCGGCGGGAACCCCAACCATGTCGTTATAGGCGGACCTAGTGCTGGCGGTGCATCCGTCACTTTATTACTCTCAGCCTATGGCGGCAGGGATGACGGACTGTTTCATGCGGCCGCCGCCGAGTCACAGAGCTTTGGCGGCATGCTTGATGTCGCCGGGAGTCAATTCGCGTACGACAACCTGGTCAATCGCACCAACTGCACCGACAGCAAAGACACATTAGCCTGTCTGCGAGCTCTGGACATCGTCAGTCTCCAGAAACAAAACATACAGACCCCATTTCCAGGGGCCGAAATCCCGCCTTTATACATGTACGGACCCACGGTAGACGGAGATCTCGTCCCGGATTATACATTCGCCCTATTCGAACAAGGCCGCTTCATCAAAGTCCCCGTGATATTCGGCGACGACACTAATGAAGGAACCATGTTTGTCCCCAAAAGTACCTCCAGCGTCAAAGAAGCCGATACCTTCATCCAAGCCCAATTCCCCGCTATTCAGCCAATACAACTGTCCAAAATCAACTCCCTGTATCTGGGACCCAATTCCACTCGCAACTTCCCCCAATCCAGCCCCTACTGGCGTCCTGCCAGTAACGCCTACGGTGAAATCCGCTACATATGTCCGGGCATCGCCCTCTCTGATATCTACGCTAAATTCGGCGTCCCATCCTGGAACTACCATTACGCCGTGTTGGATCCCGATTCGGAGAAATCAGGCCTCGGCGTATCTCACACAGTCGAAGTGAACGCCATCTGGGGCCCGCAGTACGTTAGCACCACGCCTCCTAAGTCTTATACGACTACAAACGCGCCCATCGTGCCTGTCATGCAGGGATATTGGACGAGTTTCATCAGGACTTATAATCCTAACACTTACCGGGTAGCGGGGAGTCCGAGGTGGGAAACGTGGTCGGAAGGGTTGTCTGATTATCAGAGAATCTTTATAAGAACCGGAGACACGAAGATGGAGACTGTTTATAAGGCTCAGAAGGAGAGATGTCAATATTTGAAGTCTATTGCGTTGGATTTGAAACAGAGGTGAGGTTTTAAGGGGGTTCTCGGTTTCAATGGATATGTAAGTAATGATTATGATCGATATATGGTATATACGTTCGCTATTGGTAGATAGTTCATATTTTATTGGACTTTTCTTGAAAGAGATTCTTGAGATAGTTAGAAAGATTACCAAGTGTTCCCTTTTTCTTTTTTGTAAATCCCGACTTCATGGATAATAGACGTGATTCCATGATGATGATGATGATTTAAAAATAAACAACCCCCCCCCCCCCCCCCCCCACAAAACATAACTTTGATAACCTGTACATACAATGTACGTACACATATGTACAGTATAAATCTATGATCCTTCCGCTTATTAGCAGCAGCAGCAGCAGCCGTGGGTATGAAATGACTAAAAGGAAACACTTCATTTCTTCCCCTGTCTGAGCTTCTTTTCCCTCTCGTAGGCCTTGGCTTCTTTTCCTTCCTCGCCTTGGATCTCCGCAATAAGCCTTCTGTACTTCTTTTCGTATGCCGCGTCGCGCTCCTTCTTTTCGCGCAACTGTTCCCGTGCGATGAAGTTTGCGTCCTTCCGCAACTCGCGCATAGCACCCTTCTTCTCCCGCTTGTACTCCGCTTTCAGTCTGTTGGATTCGGCCCGTTCTCTGTCTGGATCGTAGTGGCGATCCGGGTTGAAGTTCTCTTCGAACTTCGGTATGGAGGTCTTGATGGCCAGAGGACGGTGGTTATGCAACAGCAGAGGTCGGCGCTTCAAGGTAGCTTGAGAGATGAGATTGCCCAGCTTGTCAATAAGGCTCTGCACGCGATCTTGCATGGCCACGGAAACCTTGTTTGAGCAGGACTTCTGAACATGCTCCAGCACGCGTTGAACTTGCTCGAATATCTCACGGAAAGCTGACCGGTCTGTCCACATGTCTGCTGCGATGTCCAAGAGAGAAATAAATGTTGACATGAGACTAAGTTTGAGTTCCTCTGCAGCGTTTCCAGAATGGTGGGCCTCGACAATATCCCAGAACTCAAGCTTTCTGGTCTCAATTGTCTTCTTCGGGATAAGTCGTAAAGACTGAGGAGGCTGTCTGGATGGGAAGAAACCCAAACTGGTTTTTGGGTCCGTGGGACTCAATACGCAGAGAGCATTCAATGCATAATTCACAAACTCTGGGATGTACCGCTTTGAAAGGTCTTGGTACTGCAGAACCAAGCTCGCCGCGTACGCGCCCGTCGCCAGGTCAGCCAGATCATTAATGCTACCCTGCCCGAGGTAGCGCGCAAGAACCAGATTGGAAGGCGTGGAAACGGCATGGAAGTGGTCTGACGTAGGAAAGACAGTCGAGACACCGGTGAGGATAACGAGATCTCCAGGGGTAAGTTTCAAGGGACGGTCTGCTGTAATCGTACGTAGATGCGCTCGGAAAGCCTTAGCCACGCTCTCAGGATGACTCTTTGCTAGAGAATGAACGTGTCGAAGGATGTTTTCAAGGATAGCAAAAGGTGGATGGTCCGGCTGGTCGGCCAAGTATGCAACATGTTCGACCAGTATCGCCGCGAACCGGCTGAGCTTAGACTTGTTGTCGGGGTGAAGTCGATGATGATGCAGTGCTCGAATCCTCTGAACAACAGTGGGCAATTCCTGAACGGGAACATCCTTGAGAATTTCCAGAAACTGTTGGTGGTTTTCGGGGCATGGATAGGTATAAGCTGCACCTTCATTTGCCGCTTGTGAACCGCCCGCTGAAGTTGCCTTCGCCGTGTCTTCAGCAGGAAGAGTGAGGCCGTTGATCATCTCATCTTCTTCTTCATCATCCTCCGATTCGCCTGGAGACTCGTCCTCGTCGCTTTCGATGAACGAAAGGCTAGCATTGGAATCTGTTTCCACCAGGTCCTCGTCAATAACAAAGTCATCCTCGTCTTCCACGCCAAGCTCAGGGGCGCCGTTGACATCCGTGGCTGGTTGGACGAGACCGAAAGTTTTCGCATCGTCTGGTATAGATTCGTCTCCCGACTCGTTGACATCCTCTTCTTCATCTTCTGATTCACTCTCTTCCGAGCCGCGCATTCTGCGAAGGCGCTCTTCCTCAAGTTCCTTCAATCGTCGCGCTTCTTCCTCGGCCTTCTCCTCCTCCGTTTTAGTGCGGTCAGCCGGCTGGGAGCGCTTGTCGAATGTCAACTGTTTCAACCGTTGATCATATTCGCGGTTGGCTTCCTCTTCGTCCTTTGCGTTCAATAGAGCAGCGCGGTCAGGATTCATCGCCGCTGTGTCCTCCTTCGGAGGTTCTGGCTTGGGCTTTGGAGCGGTTCCTCTCAGCATTTCGAACAGGTCAGGAAGGCCCTTGTCGAGCTGTTCTCGTAATTCATCATCGTCTTCCTTTGCCTTTTGACGCTCGTATTTGTAGAACTTTGACTTGGCAATGACTTCCTTCATTACTTCCTGTTTCGACTTCTTCCGTTCCGGTTGTTCTTCCTCGTCTTCATCTGCGAGGCCATCCATCTCATCCTCTTCTCCATCGACAACCCGTCGGCGTTTCCTTGACTTTTCGCTATCCGAAGCATCGTCGTCCAGACCCATGATATCTGTTTCCTGAAAGTCGTCTGCCATCCCATCCTGATCAAACGATAGAGACTGCCCTCCGTGTGTGAGTTGAATCTCCTCGTCCTCGTCATCTTCAAGGTTGAACAGAGATTCCTTTCTGAATTTCCTCTCATTCTCTCTGGCGAACCGTTCCGCCGCCCTTTGTTCCGGGGTCATAGTCGGGTCGTTTTCACCAAAACGACGGTCCATAATACCACCGACTCTGTTCTTCGAGTGGAGATCCCGAAGCAATGTCTCTCGTCTCTGGTTAAAGGGCTTGTGAGCATTCTTCTGGTCGGCATGATCACTCGGGCCAAACTTACCCTCTCCTCACCCAATGACTTGGTGACACCGGGTCTGACATATCCCGCACCACCAGCACCTTTCGAGACTGCATCTCTAGTTGTGACATCGAACTTGACCGATTTTACTGGAGCCTTTATCTCGAATGGGTTGAACCGTTCTCTGATTCCTTGGAGGGCCGCATTGCGCTGAAGTCGGTTCTGGGCTGCTGCACCAGATTTTGCATTTTGGCGCTTCTTCTTTTTCGACTGCTGGGGTCCCAGAATACCGGTCTCACGGAGAGACGTCTTCAACTGCTTCAGCTGCGACGGCGGCATGGCGACAGCTGATGTGCATAGGCGCTGAGCGATAGAGACGGAGATTTTTTGGGAATTTTCCAAAGCGTAGGCTCACCGCCTTCGCGATTCGGACTATCTGGGGGAATAGTTTATCCGGGATCCCGCCAAGCATTTCTGGTTCCGCGGCGGAAGGCGGAGGAAGCCGCCAAGTCTCTTTCTGCCTTAGCGATTCAGGCTGCCTCACTAACGGGGTTAACTTGCTTAGCTCCGGATCAGGCGTTCCTCATCTCCGCAACGTAAGGGAAGCTTCAAGCTTTCACACCTGCTCAAGCATGTCCAGCCACACTGCTATTCAGTTAAAGCGATGACATCGCAATTTAACGACCGGATCCTATGGCTATGTCTTGGTAAGGCTAGTGACTCTGGAACTAAATCTTACCCAGCTAATGTCCCATAGGTGTCTCCCTGTTCTTTGCAGTTCGGGGCATTACCCTCGAGCTGCGGCGCGTGCGCGATCTGACTGAAATCAAACACAATGATAATGAGGATCGCATGTTAAGTGAGGGAACGGAAGACGGTAAGGATAGTGGTCTGTTTGAGTTATTGTTCTCTATATTGATTTAGCCGCAGCGCTGAAACTAGAGACGCTTCTGAAACTTTCCGAAAGCACGAGTTTCGATCTTCGAGCGGCGTACGAATTTCTCTATACCCTATATGGATTTAATTGTATACTTACAACTTTGCAGAGCACTGCGCATTGTCGCGGAGAGGTCGACGAAAGGTTCCACGCGAGACCTGCTCCTGAAAGACCTGGTCAGCAAGGATAAGGAACGACGAGAGAAAGCTCTCACGGCTCTACATTTTCTTGTATCTAATAGAGCACGTAAGTCCAGCTCACTTGAACTCGAGGCCGTCTGATAATTTGTACTCATCATGCGTCTTTACAGTCTCCCGAACAACCGTATCTAGTCGACTCAAGGATCTCCCGACATATACCGCCCTGATTGACTGTCTCTGCAACTTCCTCGAAGAACACGTCGAAGAAACCGGCACCACAATATCACCCATTCTACCGAAGACGAGGCCTCCCGGTGAAAGAAAAGCACTCAGTACACTCAATATCGTGTTGCCCGAGAACATCCAAGGTGCTCTGCAAGCGGGGATCGTGAGCCGTTGGCTCTCGAAGTATCCATTCCCTTGCGCAGTTGCGGATGAAGCCAGGAGGCAGGATGTTGTTTTGCTCTGCAAGTCCTGGTGGGGCGACGATACGTTTATGTGCTCTATCATAAACACTCTTGCTTCGCACCCGGATGGAGTTAAACAGCTGCGGAAATACGGCCTCATGGGAAGCATGATGGAAGAAAATGATCATGATGATTACGATAGGGACAGTGATGTTTGGATGGTAGGAGGTGATGATACGGCTGGTCCGAGAGGCCTGTCCGGACGGAGACTTCGCGAAGAAAGCGAGGAAGAACGGGCTCTGAGAAGACGCAGAAGAGAAGCAATGGTCTTTAGCGAAGGAGGACGGCCACTTGGAAATGATAATATTATTCACCCAACGGAGAACTAGTTACGCATTAGGTCTCCGTATCAACTTTTCCAATTGTTCTATACCCTTTGAAGGATATTATAGATTTAACAATTCATTAGGCAACGAAAAGCCTAATATTAACCTGTAGGAGCAAGGCCAAACAGACTATATCTTACAGTCCCTTCCATGCTGTTTTCGCCACGTGATCGACCTTTTTGCGACTGCTCTTGACCATTCCTAATAGTTTCAATTCCGACAAAGCACGATAGAACAATGTGAGCGCCATACGCTCGTCAAAGTCGTCGCCTTCACCACCAATAGTGCCGCAGAAAGCATGCCAAAGATCGTACACATTCACCAGGTCTCCAGACTCGAGATACAGCTGATATAGTGTCGCAGTAATTGGTTGCATCGCCGATGGATTGCCGTCTGGACTGGTAGATGATGACAGTAGATAGTCGAAAGGACTAGAAAGCACTCTTTCGATCGCGAAGCGGGTTCTTGGGGCGAACGTGTCTTTCAGGGGATTTTTCAAGTCGAAGAGAAAGACTTCATGCAGGAACAAGTCCTGCGGCTTGATCAAAGTCCGATCAAAATGAGCTTTCAGCTCCGTGCAGAAACGATCGATGAGGGCGGTGTATTCAGAATCCTCCTTTGACAGCTTTGCTTGGGACTTTCTGAGTTTGACTTGTTGCTTGACGACGGTTGTCGTGACGGATCGGCTGCTACTATAACCGCTTTTGAGAGTTCCTGCGTCTTTATTTGACTCCACGCATGTCTCGAGATCTTCAATGATCTTCTGAAGGCCGGAGGCGTTGTCCAGCAAAGGTTTTAGCGTTTCGAGAAGTTCCTGTAGACCGACAGAATCTTGTTCCCTGGTGGCTGATAACATCTGCTCGATAGCCAAGGAATCTCGCAGTTCTCCAGCAAGAGCAAGAACAGCTAGATGCACAGTACTAACTTCTTGGGAGACTTTTAAGAACCCGTTAATAGAAGCGGCGGCTCTAACCGATTGGAACAGCTCCCGCATCTGTTCTTGGTTCGTTTGCAGAGCTCGTTTGGCCTCCTCGAAGAGGAATGTATCGTCATTGAGCAAGTTGCGTACATGGATGGTGTGGCCATTGTCCAGAAAATCTTCACACAACCTACATATGTTAGTTAAATAGACACTCAACCGCACCGTGTTACATACTTGCGGAAAGATGGTAGATTCCTGATAGACTGGCAAAATTCGCTCTGCTGCACTGCCGGAGAGACGTCTTCTACATCTTCTGCGAGAAGGACTGACAAGGGATTTGCGAAGAAATGTGACATGCATGCGTACTAAATACATCAAACAGTCAGCAAACAGCATTTGACGTTTGCAAGATATCATACCTTCACCATACGACCAAAGGTCTCGAGGCTTTGAAAATAATTTCCTGATCTTTCCAGTAGTACTTTGCTAATTTGCGGACCCAGCCACAATCTGTTGTTTTTGCTCGTCTGCAGTGACTTGTATAGACGCTGAATGGAATCCCCGACGCCCCCGATTTCGAAATGCTTGCCCTGTAGTAAGGATACGGTCGATCGAGGAAGTCTCTCTTCGAATAACTCGAAAGATGTTGAGACCCCAAAGAGCAAAACAAACGGTATTCGGTCCAGCCACGAACTGAAATCTGTTAGTTTTGAACGAGTGAAGCACGCTGTCAGTGATACCTTAGCAAAGATAAGAGATCTGATAATAGCTTCGGGTCGAATGCTTCGCTGTCACGAAAGGCGACTGCAAGCCTTCGGACTCCATGTTTCTTTACACACCCGTGCAGAACCTCGAGGTCGTAACTCAGGAGTCGCGGTCCCTAGATGGGAGGTCAGTACAACTGCATTCGCCGACACAAACTTATACATACGCCAGTTTGAGTAGAAAGCTCTTGATAACCCTCATTGCCTTCGAAAATTGAGACACCTGCTCTTATGATGGTTTTCAGAGCGGTCTTCAAGTTCGGTGCGTCTTCCGACTCTAACACCACGACGCCGCCTTCCTTACTGGTCAGCAGTCGGTCATGGATCCTGTCCAAGAGTCTGCCAAATGAAGCGACACTGGATCCAATATTAATCAGTGCGGTCGGTATATGACTGTGGGTTCTGAGTAATTCAGCATCAGCTTGTAGACATGAAAGGTAAGGCGACTCACGTCCCGGAAGTAGAATCCGCAATGAAAGATGACATATCGTGTAAGATGTGAGTGTCAAGTTCTTCAAGGACCGTCTGATTGACCGTTAGATTACGACACGACCCTATAAACCGGGCTATGCTCTACTGACCTTAATTTCCTCTTCCTGCCGCAACCAGACCTGCTGGAAAGTGCTATATCTCAATTGTACAAGATGGGCAGACTCCATCCCATTGAGGAGAGGCACAAAGGGGAGTTGTCCATTTTCTTGAACATGGTTCTCTTTGGAGACCTTACGTCTTTTCGATGAACGCTCCTCGGAAGCATCTGCTGTTTTTGCAGGTTTGTAGACGTACACCCCCTTTGATTCGTTAATTTGCCTTCTTTAGCATGGAGTGATTTGACAGTACCTGACTGGAATTCTCCCTAGCCGTCCCAAAAGCTACAGTCTCATGAAACTCGACATCCATCACTGCAGTTTGATGTGATCTCTTCTCCTGTCTGCGATCCTTGATTCTGCTTTACTGGCATCTCCGAGTGGAGCAACCGCGTCGCGCTTCGCTAAACCCAAAAGGGATACATTCATCGTTCTCGCCACGACTCCGACGCTTTATCGGGACGGACTGTGAAAATTATCTTGAAGGCTTTCCTTGCTTACGGTTTCTCTCTCTACTCGACAGCATTCTTACTGATGACTTGAGAGGGTTTCTACTTCATGCTCCGTCAGGCTATTCAGGGAGCTCGGTGGTCTCAGCATGCCATTCCCAGGAGCTTGTTAATATCATCGAATCGTCCTTCTCCGCGGCGGACCTTCTCCGCCGCAGCGTCGCGCTTCGTTCGAAATGGCGATTCCAAGGACAAGGTCCGCTTCTTCGAACAGGACACACGGGGTAGCAAGCACAAGGTGGAGGTAAATCCAGAAGCTGAGGAGAGTGCTGAAACGCAAGAAGTGGAGAGTGAGCTCTCGAAACTTGAGCAGGAACTGCAGGCGCTCGAAGAAGGTCCATATGGCCCCAACAGCGATTTCATGAAAGAACTGCCGGAGAAGGATAGGGTTATCGCGCTCAAAGCTCTTCGAGAGTATGAAGCTCAGAAGGGCCAAGGTCAACATGAATCGAAAGCTGGTCTTGCAGAAGTATTTGACGAAGAGCTGGATGCAATGCTCAAGGAGGAGTTTGAGGGATTAGCGAAAGAGGAAGAGGAAGACTGGGATCCAACGAAACCGATCGAGCAGCAGCAGCGCTTACCTTCCAAAGAATCGCGCGGGACTCCACTTGACGGGGGACACCACCCCTATGTTTCCCGATTTTACGAATCTCTGAAGGGCCTTTCCAAAGACAACTTGGACGATACCCGCAAACGAGACGAACTTTGGAAATGGTATCGACGGTGCAAGCAGACTATACCGTCTTTCTTGGCTTCGATGCCAGAACAGACAGTGGCTGCGTTATGGGACTCACAATCCCTGAGTGAAACCGCAAACACTACCCGCGTGCAACGCCTACGGTCACTGGTCGAAGATATGGCATCTGCAGGACGGACGCCTACTGCGCAACAGATGCTAGTCTATATCGAATCGTTACATGAATCTGGAAAGACAGACGAGGCGTTGGAGCTGTGGCGTGCACACCAAACGGGCATCGGTCAAGGAAGGGAAGCTTTAGAGAGTTATTGGACGCTCGGGGTACGTCTGCTGTCAGCACAAGATGATCCTCAAAAAGCGCAGGATATGGCTCTGGCTTTTCTCGCAAACGACAGATCTCGTCAACCTCGTATCCTCATTCCCGTTATAGACGCCTGGGGTAGGCAGCCCGGCGAGGCAGCGGCAGTCAAGGCATGGGCACTTTATTTGCAGCTAAAGACCTTCCTTGGTTCCGATATGACCATGGAAGACTACGATACTATCAGTGTGAGCTTTCTTAAGTCTAACCGGCTTGATCTCGCGCTTGCTGTCTTCAAAGATATGATGGTCACTGGCCGATATCCTGATAATGATTCCACGGCGCTATACAAGGCCGCAGTTGGTCTCGTGGGCAATCTCCATGCCTCCAGTATAAGTGAACAGGAAGTCAACAAGGTGTCGCTCTCGGCGCTGACGATATTACCGCGTGCTTTTCAAAATAGATTCTTCTATGGTAGTTGGATGAAGAAGCTTATTGGGATGGGAGAAGTCGACTCCGCTGCGTTAGTCGTTGAACTAATGTACGAGCGCGGTGTCAGGCCAGATCCGAAGCATTTGAATGGTATAATCGGGGCGTGGCTTCGTGAAGGAAATGCCAACGCAAGAGACAATGCCGAGAGGCTAGGATGGGCCATGATTCAGCGACGGATCGATACGGTCTGGGCTCGAACATATCCAGAGAAGTCATCCCATGACTCCTCAAAACCGTCTGTGTATCAAGGATCGGAGACAGCTCGTATTCCCCGCTTTATGCGGAGAACAGTCCCTCCGGCGACTATCGAGACGTTTTGCTTGCTGCTCCTTCATTATACCCGTCGCGGAGAGGAGGACATGGTCAAGTACCTGACAAAATGTCTCTCCGACGCTCGGATTCGCCCGAACTCCTACTTCATGAACCATCTCCTCTATGATGAGCTGCGCCGGCAGGATATTCGCACCTTGTGGATCAAATACAAGGAAATGTCTACTCACGTGAAGCCCGACCTTGAGACATTTGCTTGTCTCTGGGACTGCGCAAAGCTTCAGTATGACCGTTTCAAGGATCCGAACACGGGTTTTCCGTCCGCCAAGGGTCTCTACGCCGAGATGATGCGTTGGTACGCGCAGCTCACGCCACACTGGCAGAAAGTCGCTAGGGAAGAATTCTCTAAAGATCTATATGACCAAATCACCCGCTGCTTCTGCCTCTCCAGAGATATCCACGGCACCCTTGTCGCCCTGCACTCGATGAGAGACACCTTTGGATTCTTCCCAGATGACGATACGGCTCACATGTTGGTCCTGCAAGTCGCCCGCATGGCCGGTGTACCTACAGGGACACCCAGACGTCGCCTCCGCAGACTCTCCGACACTCCTCGCAGTAAAGAAAACATCGCACATGTCAGAAGACTGCTTGAGATTCTGAGTGAGCGCAAAATGTCCGCCCTGCAAGCCCAAGGGCTCAATGTCGAGCAGCTCGAGACCACGGAAAAGCAACAGCTACAACTCGAGATCATGGCCGACCTTCTCAGAGTCGTGATCAGCCGAGCAGAGCCCAACTCTACTCCTGCTAAGATTGAGGACAAACTTACTGCCACGGCAGCAGAGATGAATGTTCCCGGAATCGACCTCGGTTCGCCTCTGACTGGAGACTCGCTGGTCTTGTAGTAGCCATTGGCCGTTTTATCTGCTGTAGATGGCTATCCTCCTTCATGAGCAGTTATATTAATAATATAGATATGAGTTCAGCAATGACTTTAACCAGCACTACGATGACATCGAAGAGAAAGAGAGAGAAAATGATGGCTGGGTTTAGGCAAGATTAGATAAATGTGTATATATATACCTCCTCTCTTGTATGATTAGGAGGAAACAGTGACATATTTTCCTATCAGATCTGTTTATCCATTTAGATTAGGCAGTGTATTCCACTTCGAGGGACTCATACTTAGTACGTAAGAGATAGGATACATATTCCCACGCTAGTTTGAAGTCTTACGAGAGGGCGATAATTATTATTCAGAGATACAGAATATCCGATCCTTACTTCTCTCAGAGATCCACAAATGTCAAGGTCAATGTTATTATTATGAAAACTTCAAAAGAGACCGGCGCCATCAAACTCCACGATAAGCTCGAGGTAGCTTCGGAAAATGCATCGTCAAAGGGCACTCTGTGCGCTCATGCAGTTTGTTCGGAAATCAAAACACAGTTACCTTTTCTAACTAGCTCGTTTCCTTCTATCGCCCATTCCCGCAACAAACGAACTCGTATAATATAATAAAAGGGAAAGCTTCAACACCTGACTGAAATAGGGGTTCATTTCTTGCCCTTCTTTTTCTTCTTGGGACTTCCTGTTTCAGGAGCTGCTGGGCCACCTGCCTCTACTAGGACAGCATCATCATCGCTGGCTGTGGCAGATGGAGCGGCCGGTTCAGCATTCTTTGTTGCAGAAGTTGTTGGGGCAGATGAAGCAGGAACAGAGCCGCTTTTGCCAGCTGCTTCCTCGTCCAGCTCCTTCATAAATCCTTCCTGAATAGTAGCCTTCTTGTGGTCCCACCACTCCCGCTCGTCTTTCGTCTTAGACTGCATTTCCTGAATACGTCGGCGGAAAATGTCGTTGTTGATCATCTCATTAGCGGACTGGAAGATCGTCTGGCCCCAACCGGGGACATATGCATTGGCCTGTAAAATAACCACCGGTCAATATAACTGAATTGTGGAGGGATTGAATAGAGCCTCAGAAAGACGGAAACAGCGCATAGTAACATACCTCAGCGACAACATCGCGAACCTCATCCTCCATCTCCTTCTCCGCTCTCAGAAACCGATTCCATAGATCATCACCAACGCTTCCACGTTGTAGCAACATTGCCAGCGCCTGCTTCTGACTCCGGATAGCCATGACACGGTTGATGTCCTCAGCAGCGCGCCGCAGAAGTGCAGCCTTGAGTACAGTCTCCGGAACAGGAGGAGCCTTTTTCTCCTTCTCCTTCTCCTTTCCTGAAGCGGGAGGCTCAAGATGAAGGAGAGAATAGTATATATCTCGTTGCAGATGAGGCGGAAACCATGGCGCGAGGGAGGTTGCTTTGACTATTGTAGGAGAACCATTAGCTTTGATGCGAGGACATTTCCGTGTTCTTTCCGGTGCGACGAACCAGCTTTTCGTTTTCTGTATAGAGAAGAGAATGTCGCTAATGAGCCGATTAGAATGCCTAGATAGGCTACGGGGACCGCAAGGCTGAGCCAGTCCACCATGATGCCGGCGCCGTGGACGTATTGTCCGAAACGAGGGTTTTTTTTAATGAGACAAGAAAAAGAGCTTCAGTTGCGAGCGGTGCCCATAGTATCAGTAGAAGCTCAAGTGCAGAAAGGAAAATGCATGCAAGAAGAGTCTCCTGGTCACAGTCAAAAACCAAGGAGTCCCATAGAGCGACAGGACAGAAAGGGTGATCGGAGATGTTGGCGGGAAAGGCCAGCTTGGTGTTTGGCGGTCACATGTCAGTCAGCAAGTACTTACTTAGCCTCCGCGAGTCACCTCTCCGCCTGAACTACAAACGAGGATAACTGAAGCTTTCAAGAACCAGGCTATCTGCCTGTTCTGAAATTCATATTGAGGTCTGTCTGTTTCTAATGGGATTCTACAGTTGCTAGCAGAGCCTCATGATATCTGCACGTGGGAGGGCTTGAGGGGAATAACACTAATACAGCAGTAAACCAGCCGGACAGAAAACAGCATGACTTCAAAAGAAAGCGAAAAGACAGAGTAGTAAGATAGACCTCCCAAATCCCACGGGTCATCTCTTATCAGATTGCCCAGATTACCACAGATCATGTTTCCCTCCCCCCAAAAAAAGACAAAAAAGGAAAGGACAATAACAAAGATTATCGGCGGTTGATGCTTAACAAAAAGCTGTAAGGCAGGACCTCTATCATGTACAACGTACATTAGCTTCTTTACTCGTGGAGTCTAGACATCGCCATCTGCTCTTTTGTCTTCTGGCTGATGGGTCCGAACTCCTGCACCGCCTGCATGTCATCGAGAATTTCGTTGAACGTGTCCCGGACTGCGGCAGCGACCTTCGTCCGGTTCCACTCGCTGCGCATCCTCCATATACAGTCCATGAGTCCCGTGTTAATCTGTTCCAGTTGCTCCACGGAACATCCACTCGTTCGTTGTGTCAATTGCTGATGAAGTTGGTCGACAAACTCATTGTCGATAATAAATTCGAAAGATGAGTCCTCGTTGTTCAAGAGAGACTGGATATCCGAAGGATGTTGTTGTGACTGCTGTTTGGCAGGAGCATTGAACAAGGGCACAGGAGGTTGTTGTGACCCATATGGAGCCTTCCACTTCGATTGCTGCTGCTGCTGGGACTGCGGCGATGATTGCGATTGCGACTGACTTCCATTGGGCGCACCGTTCTGAGAGTATACGACCTCTGAGATACCGGTAAGTAGCGCTTCCTCGCCATATAATCGACTGTTCTCACCTTGTTGAGTGTCTGGCAGATGTTCTTCCTGGGATACTCGGTCTGGGTACGAGGTAAGATCGGGGTACTCCATACGATGTTGACTGCCAGCAGCAGGGCTCTGAGTATGGTACGTAGGGCCAGTGGATTGATCAGATGTTTTCTTGTCAGATGTCGTTTGCGTGGTATCGGCATCATTGGAGTAGTCTCCCGGTTGTGACCCGGGAGCCATAGGAGTCATTGGCCCTTTCTGGGACAAGCTTGAAAGGCCTGATTGTCGTCTGATCTGTTGAGATGGCGCGGTGTGGGAATGAGGAGGTTTAGGTTGCGCAGAAGGTCCGAATGAGCTGTGCTGCGTATCTTGTCCGACAGAAGGGGCGTCTTCCGAGTTAGTCATATAGACATCTCCGTCTCCTTCCCGCGAAGCAGATCCATTGCTAGTAGACTGATTTACGGTGTCTTCATTGAGATCGGAGCCACCGCCTCGATGATAGCCGTTAGTGAAGCTCACAGTTGAGTGCCGCACCGGAGTAACTGGTCGCCCGGGAACGTTTGACTGCCCATTCGTAAAAGGCTCACCCAGGACAACAGGTCCAGACGAAAGGCTGGAGTCGGTATTGCCATGGGGAACATTGCTGGCGGCTCCCGGAGCCAGTGAGCCTCGGGCTTCTTCCTCTGCTCTTTTGGCCTTCTCCATTGCGACCTTTTCTCGTTCCAATTCTCGAAGGTAAACATTTTCGCATTCAGCCACCAGTGCAGGGTCGGTCTGCTCAATAGTGCCGATATCCACTTCGACGTTGGAGAGAAGTTCGTTGGCTCTCAACATCCTCTCCTGGTCTCCAAATTGCCTGGCATCTTTGGCGAGGCGCTTTATATCAGCCAAGAAGTCTTTAGGCCGCTTGTAGTATCCGTTTGAAAGACGCTTCTCGATTGTCACAATTTCCAGATTGTAATAGAATTTACCAGAAACCGTTTCTCGCAAGCCTGGTACGCCGTGCTTATCGAAGTCTTTCTCGAATGGCCGGAAAGTGGTCCGTTGTTCGATTGGCAAATCACTCGTCACAATGTTGGGATCGTCTTCTTCAAACAGATATCGGATCTGGGATTCGTCGATCACGCCGGTCCTGAATCTCTTGTACTTTTTGAGCTGGTCCATAATTGGTTGGATCCTGATCTTGAGGTAGTTCAATGTCTGGTGGTCCTTCTTCTTTTGAGCCTTTAGTTGCTCCTTTGTCAGAGTTGGAGGAGGTGGAGGCGGCGGAGGGGGTGCAAGTGGTAAGGACTCCAGCTTCCTCCTCCTTCGATTCTCGGGATCCGGAAATTCTGCCGGCGGAGTCTTCACATACTGAATAAGTTTCTCGAAGAATTCGTACCTGGCGGAATTTTCAGGTGCTCCCAGCCGATAAATGTTTTTCTTCGAGAAGCCGAAAAGGCTCTTCATGAAACCGGGATCAACCTCCTCTCTATCATCTTCTTCGAGAATTCCCAGGACTAGAACCGGGTCTGTGGGTGGTACTGAACGTAATAACCCAAGGAACGTCGAGACCACCGTCTGCCCAACTGTATCAAACCACGTTTGCACATTGGGGATGTAGATGACACTGGGCTTGTGCCTCTTGACCTCTGTGAATAGCTGGACGACAGCTGCCTCGGGCGACCTTGTGGAGTCACTGATCAGTGTTGCGAGATCGAATGACTGTACATGGAGACCCTCGAAATGGTGCAAAATGGCTGCTGCCAAGTACTGCTGACCCATTCCCTGACCTCCCCGAACCAACAATCTAGGCCGAAAGACGCGTGATCTCTCGAATTCTTGTTGCATTTGTTCCCTCTGAAAGCTGCCAGAGTGCTCAGCATCTTCAAACTGCGCTTCTTCCAGTGCAGTGAGTCTCTTCTTTTGGGGCAGAGTCTCCGATAGTATTTTCTCGATCTCGCCGAGAGGACGGCGCAGAAGAGGCTCAACCCCCTTAGGGAGCGGAGAAGCTCCAGAGGAAGCAGACCTCTCCGACGATGGGACGATTTTCTTGATAGACATCATAAAATCTTTAGGCGTCACTTCGATTGACTTCGGGTCTATCAAGAGCTTGTCCGACGACTGGTAAATCTGGGGGTATCTTCTCTGTACTGCATTAAGAGCCGCTTCCGTGCATAGAGCACGCAGGTCTGCTCCCCCGTAACCTTTTGTGACCTCCGCCAGTTCATCCTTGACATTAGCAGGAAGTGGAGGATCCCATCCTTTCGTGTGGATATCCAGAATCGCCCGTCTACCTTCTTTGTTGGGAAGCGGGAAGTAGAATTCACGATCGAAACGACCAGGCCGTCGAAGAGCAGGATCAATGGAATCCGGTCGATTTGTCGCACCGATAACGATCACCTGTCCACGCCCATCCATACCATCCATCAGGGCCAATAAGGTCGAAACAATGGAAGCATGGATTTGCTCCTGTTTACTAGATCTGACCGGTGCCAATCCTAAGACATGTCAGCTTAACGATGGAAGATTATCTAATGACTTTCATGTCGAGTGCTTACCATCGATCTCATCAAAGAAGATAATGCTTGGTTGCGTCTTGCGAGCCTCCTCAAAAAGGAGTCGAAGCTGCCTTTCAGCCTCGCCGACCCATTTACTGAGCGCATCGGCGCCCTTTCTCATATAGAACGTGACCTTGCGTCCTTCCGTACTCACACTTGAAGCTAAAGCGCGTGCCAGCAGTGTCTTACCCGTTCCGGGAGGACCATGGAATAGCACACCACGGGGTGGGACAATGTGGAATCGCTGGAAGATCTCGGGATACAGCAACGGAAGCGTTACCATCTCCTTGAGTTGGTCAATATGCCCCTGTAAACCTCCAACGCTACTGAAGTCGACGTTAGGATCTACCCCTAAGGGGTCCGCATCAGCCAATGCTTGTTTATCCTTGATCTTTCCTAAATTCGCTGGTGTCCCTGACAGTCCCTGGGCATCGCCATGAGTCTGAGCCGGGTTAAGTAGAGCTCCACCAATGCTCGGTCCAGCAGCGGCAGCTCCTTTCGGTTGCTGCATGGCCTCATCATCACTGCTATCACTTTCGACTCCCCCAGTGGCCCCAGGCGCACCTGGGGGTGCCAAAACCGCAGCTGGTCCACCACCGCCAAACGGTCCATAAGTAGAGAAGAGGGTTCGTTGCCAGGTTCCGCCACCACCACCGCCACGACCGCGACGAGAAGGAGACTCTGATGGCTCATTCTCGGCTTCTTCGATGGGCAGGATAAGGTCGGGTCGGATGATCCTATAGTCGACATCCTTTCTGCTCCGGCGCGGTTTCTCGTAGACGATTTCAGGCTGCGCTCTGCGACGCGGTCGGTCGCCTCTCAAACTCTCCAATTCCTCGGCCAGTTCGCCCGCAATGTCTCCCCTAGCCTCGGATTGGCCCCGTGATTGAGACTTCCTTTTCCGGAGTCCTGGACGTCGTCCGCCAGCAGTGTCGTCCTCGTCATCCTGGTTTTTTGTTGGAGAGCCACGCGATTTCCCTGACTCTGAAAGCTCGTCCTCGTCGTTAGATTCATCCTCTTCTGGCTCAAAGTCACTCTCATCGTCGTTTCGCCTGCGTTGACTGCTCCTTGAAGGCTTCTTGCGACTGGAACGGGGTGGCTGGGACGTCTCTTTCTCCGACTGTTGTTCTTCGGTCTGCCGCTGTGGCCTGCCCCGACGTCTTGTCGTTGGCCCTTCATCATCATCGTCGTCCTCCTCTTCTTCCGCTCCTTGTTCCTTTACATCGCCGTTCTCAGATTCAGGAACGAACCCAGTATCGTCCGCCATCTCAACATCGGCCTTGTCCTGCTCCTTCTTAGACAACGACGGTCCCTCTTCAAAGTCGCCCTGGGGATCACTTTCCATGATCTCCAACTGGGAGTTCTTGGGTTCATGATCCGCGGCTTCTTCCTCCCTGATCTGGCCAGTGTTGTCTTCTTCATCTTCCGCGATAGTGCTCTTCGTCTGCACCTTCGTCTGAACACTCTTCCCGCCTCGTCGTGGCCGAGTTGGCGCCTCGGGGCTATGGGTACCCCGTTCGACGGTCTGCACATGTCGACCAGAATTTGTGAGTGCATATATATCTTCGGACGGGTCGCGATTGTGGCGAGTGCTGCGCCTGGAGCTCTGGAAGGCCTGGGCCCCAAATCGGGACTTTAATGCACTGCCAACCTTTAATTTGATCACGTTACTGCGTTTCGAGCGCGGCGGAGGTTTTTTCACGGGGCTTTGATCTTCATCGTCATCCTCGTTCTCCTCGTCCTCCGCGCCCTCGTCAAAGCTACTCGATTCACCTTCATTGTACACTGGGCGGTTTCTGGCAGCCCGCCGGCGAGGAACACCTTTTGCGTTTCTTTCAACATTCTCGTCCTCGGCCCCCGACTCGTCATAAGAAATCTCGTCGTCGTCGCTGAGCAGGTCATCGTCCGACACAATATCGGAGTCAGAGTCGCGCCTTCTCCTCTTCTTGGACGGCTTTGACTTCTTTTTGGATTTCGACCGGGCAGAGCGAGGAGGGCGTACGGAATGATCGCTGTAATCATCGTCGTCGGAGTCTGACTTATTGGCGATCTCTTCGATTGAGCGCTTGAAGCGAGCCATGTTCGATCCGTCGTTGTTTCCGCGAGGTTTCTTCTCGATATGTGGATTAGACACTGCGCAGACCCAGCATTTGGTTCAACTCCAGTAATGGAAGCGACTGTAGGAATCAATAACAGAGCGACAAGGGACTTACAAATAGCACAGCAAGGTATAATCAGTACAAGAAATCAGACAGTGTGGCGAAGACAGACACCTCCTCTCTTGTCACACTAACAAGATCCCATAAGTCCTAAAAGCGATCGGGATGCAAAGAAACTCAAACGATCACTCCCACTGGCAAGGACCTACCGCGGTGCGAGCTAATCGCAATGGTTGGCAGGACAGCTAGAACTCGCTCCAGAGAGCGCCAGCCAAGCGGGAGCAAGGACCAAAACTCATGTGACGAATCCGCGCCAGGTTCAGCGAAGGATGGACACAGGGCGGGATACTCCAGAGCAGCCAGGAGAGAGGGTATCGCGTGGAGGTTGCCGTCGAGCAGCAAAGCGGGTGTTCACTTATCGAAGGGCAGGGCGTCCCGGGCCGAGTGAGACTCGCGGCGCTTTTGCTGTTCTGCTCCAGCCACACCTTACCGAGGAACAGCCGCGGTATGCGCCACAGCTAGATCCTTTCTGGGCTAGCGTCGAGGACACCTGACCACCAGACGCGCCCAGAGCAGCCAGGGCACGTGCCATGGTCCACTATACTGCGATCATCTTCCACCGCGTCTTTTTGCTCGTTCTTTGCCCGCAATGTCGATGCTGCTCAGACTCCCTCTGGGACCGTCTCTCGTGGCCGTAGATAAGTCCCATCCACGGATCTAGCCCGTCGCACATCTACTGCGTCTCATATTCAGCAGTTTTCGGGGTATCAGCACAGAATTTGAGCGTCTTTTTCGCATGTCAAGGTGCAGGCTGTTTGATGTCAGGAACAGCATTGCGGCTAAAACAACAAACAAGACCAAAGAAGCTTATCGGCCTTTGGGTTTCCCCCCGCATGATTGTCAGCGCGTCTAACTACCGCTAACTACGATGTACTAATTATTTCCTCTCTCCGCCTCCGCAGCGGCGCCAGAGCGGTTCTGTCATGTGATTTGATGACTCAGCCGGGTCTTCCGCCTTGTCTGCTTCCTATTATATTATCCTTTTCTCTACTATCTATAACTATTATCTAGTTAAAACTATTAACTATCCCCCGTACACCAGGCTGCGGATCAGAGCAGAATTGAACATCCAGAAAATCTAATCTCTTCATCTACCCTGGCCCTGTTGTAGTCAGGGTGACATCTTCGCCAGCGGTTGAAATTCTCCATCCCTCAGTTCCAGATGCTTCCTCGTCCAACTATCCTGCAGCGGTCAGCTGCCATGTTCCGCCCGCAACTGCAATTGTCGCATGTGCACAAGAATAATCTCTTCCCTTATTCTAGAACATTTACCGCTTCGCCTCGTTGCAATTCATCCGGGGGCTCCAGTTCAATAAAGGATGGTGTAAGTGGTTGTTGTTTTTTTTCCCCTCCCAGTCTCCCTCAAGTCTGTTGCTGTGTGGCATTGTTTATTTATTTTAACGCTATATATCTATCTAGCTGGCGGCATTTAGGGCTTTTGGTCGTCCCTTCGCAAAGGTCTTTTTAGGTGCTATCCTCACTTATCAGATTCTCTATTGGACCTGGTTCAAATTGGAGACGGATGAATCCAAATTGGAAAAGAATGGTCTGTCTTCCCTATCCCATTGCTGACTGCCTCTTGCACTGCCTTGCCGGTTCCAATTCTAACTCTCCCTAGGCCAGATTGCTGCCTTGGAGGATAAGGCGAGAGAAATGATATCGACGCGGAAATGAGCTTGTACATGTATTTTGTGGAGCGCGGTATTTTGAGTGTCTTGTAGTTTCGCCTCTAGCGATCGTTCTGCACAGTAGATTCAGTTCTAACCATACTTTTGCCGTTCCAGCCACCCCCCAGATTCCTATCATACATATGGCCTTCCTTGTTTTCTCGTGACGCCGCAAATATCCCTGGCTTCGTAAATCTATAAATAACCAAGCCCAGCTCCGCTGATGGCCTCCAAGTCCGCTTTGATCTCCCACTCATCCGCACCAACGCGCGCGGCGATTTCCATTTTCCGCTGTCTTCCCAAGTCCAACCATCGCTGTAGTAAAGTCCCATCAATCATGCCGCGACCACCGATACCGTCGCTCTCTACCGCTCGGTAGGCACGGGGATTCAGCCCGCATGGGTGCTCCAGGCTGTTGATCAATTGCGACTGCAGGGCTGACAGGCGCCTGTACGACTCCTCGGAGACCGATGTTATGAGACCTATCAATCCGGTTTGGGTCGTAACCAACACTTGGTGTCTCGGGACATAGACATCTATATCCATCTCGTCCGAATTCGAGACCACAAGTTCTGAAGACACCACAGTGCGAGGTAAGAGCGTCATGGTCGAAGCGAAATGGCCCATATGGAAGGTGCTGCGGTCCAAAAGTCGATCTCCGTTGGATGACTTGGGATCTGATACAGAAAACACACGCAGTCAGATTGCAGGTTTTCAAGGCTAGATATCTTCTCTGACTTACCTTCCGGGTCATATTGCAATACATGCAGATTGCAATCGCTGTCGGAAACTAGGATGTACAGCTTGTTCGCATCTGGGAGGAATTCCGCTGCTACAACCTCCAGGTAGTCGGCGTCCTTTCCAAATAATGTCATCTTGTATGGGTCCTCCTATTACAGAATCAGTTAGCAATGACCCGACCCGCAAGTAGACACATGGTGCGTTTCCAGACCCGGGGGTTGCTGAGTTGGAAGGGCGCAGACAGAAGATTCTGCCTATCGAAGGAAGCTGTTGGGGTTATTACCGAGTATCCCGTGAACCATAAGCCTTTCAACGCGTCTCCCAAAATACATAACCCAGTACCCTTGAGCTCTTTCACCACATTTACGTAGCATTGCATATCCATGAAGGCAACAGGGAGCAGACTCCCATCCTCTTTGAGTCCTCTCACCATGCACTTTTGTCCTTGAGCTACTATCAAGAAGCCTTGGCCTCCGATGCCTGACAAGCCAGTTACGGCCCCCTTCACGGGCTCCTTTCCCACGAGTTTCAACTTGCGGTTTGCCTCCGGTCTCTCTGGGTCTGGCACGACTTCGATGACGTCAAAAACATAAATGCAGCCCCGAGAAGCAATGTCCTCTCCTCGGGCGAAAGCAGTTCCGACAACAATAAGATCTTTGCGCTCATGAGTATGTTCGGAGACTTCAAGGTTGATGTTCTTGACTGCCATGACACGTTCCGCCGGGGCGAAAGGATAGCTATCACGGGCGACACGTCAGATACGTACATAGGTTTCATATGCAAGATCACCTACCTGTCTATAATTGACCACGTCCTCGAGCTCATGATCTTAACAGAACTCTGATCGATCTGCGGAAGGAAAGAAATGACTAATGCACGGTCAGGATTTGCTTTCCTGGTAGGAGGCTACTTGACAAACCTTCATTGCGCCATTCGGTATGGACCTCGTCATCATCGGGAAGTTTGAAGTCAGACTTGTGGCTTGTTCCGAGAATATACGTCCCAGATGAGGATGAGTATGCCAGGTGATCAATCTCTTCCCCTACTGGGATCCTTCGCGTTGTCCACGGGAAATGGAATTGCGTATCACGGGGCAATTGACACAACCTGACGACATCCTGCTGGTTGTCAGCTTAGATAGAACGGTTTGAACGATGTCATCAGAGTACTCACGTTAGAGTCGAGGTATATAAAGCCCGAATCGCCGTTAGGAACATGGAGACTACTGAGACCACGCACATAATCTGCTCTCAAGCGTATAATATGCGGCGTGGTGACAGCGGCCTTGAATATGAAACTCGGGGACGCGCCAGGCATGAATACGACGCTAAAACCAGAGACATCTGACAATGAACGTAACGGTCTTGGTCGTAGCTGTGCGTCTGCATTTGATTTTGCCGCGGCCTCAGAAGGAAACCTTGGCAATGCGTGATTACTCTCCTTCAGGAAGTGCAAGTCTGTGGAGGTGGCTGCACTGTTCTCGGTGGCCATGAATGGCCTGTAAATGGCCAGGTCATCGGTACCCGTTCGAACCTATCACTGAATTAGATCATGAACTTAAAGAAAGCTCCAGGAGACATACAATCAAATAGGGGGATTTGCTCCATTGGTCTCCAAGGTCAGCAACGCATATTTCTGTCAAAGTCTCTCGGTTCGATGACCGTCTGAGCGGTGCGTCTTTGGATAGAATTGGAAGCAGTGAGTCGACACATTCAATAACAGATACCGACCGCAGGTCGGGGAATTGGAAAATCTGATTGCGCCTGTTAGTGTCTCTCTTATAGCTCCCAGTCCCAGGTTTATACGCTAAGTAAAGGGGATCCTCACAAAAAGCTTGCATTCCGAGTTCAGCGCAAACAGGAGAAAATTATTTGTGCTTTCCGTTGACGGCGCTGGAGAAAAGACGGACTGCTTATCGTCATAGAGACTGCATGAGAGCCATCGCCCGGAACTGACTTCTTCTGGAAGGGGAACTTCGTCCAAGTCACCACTAGCGTCTGCTTGCAGAATCAACAGCGTTGCATCATCCCGTAATATAACCAGATAGGGATCAGCGAAGCTGGCAGCCACAACTACACGCTCATCACTGGTATCTTCGTCCCAGACGGGATATATTTGAGCCAATCCAAGATCTGGTCCATTAGCTTTGAAATTAAAGAGGCAAGTAGGGTAAAAAAATGACACTTACTTTTGTCATAGCTCCTAACCTCACTTTTCAACACTTGGACGACTCGCGTCCCTCTCGCTAGTGTGCCAATATCGATCGTGTAATCCTCGTTCGGGTTGAACTCGGGGGCCTTGAAAGCCTCGAGTTTGCTGCCAACCGAAGCGTACACCAGAGATTGCTCTTTGTCGCCAGATTCTATCTTCGAGAGAATCACATAGCGGCTGACCTCGTTCTCTGTGGGGCCATCCACATTTGATAGCGTCGCACGATCATTCACAGTAACCGACCAAAGACAGTCAAGATGATCGAGCTCAAGAGAGCTGATTACGTGAGGGTCAATCTCACGCTTCAATACCACAAGACCACCGCTTCTGCCTGAGCCATGAGAGGCCACTAGCTCTAGTTCTGCCGATGCAGCGTTATCATTATTGCTGTTGCCGCTTTGTGTTCTCTGCGATTTGCCCAATGCTACATCTCTCAAGGGTCCCAGGTTGGGAAGCCTATCGTGAAGTCGAAAGTTATAGCTTCCGATAATCGAGCTGTCTTGCACCGATGTAATATCCTGCAGAGAGCCACTCGGTGCTGTGGAATACAAGTCATCCTCGTAGTTGTAGTCGTCCTCCTCCTCGTCTATATCTGAGACGTCGCCCAAATCGTCTGCGCTTTGCCTCTTATGCACGCGCGACTTCGTGGATGATGTATTACTCCAGCTTAGAAGCAGCGAGTCAGCATCTTCACTACCGAAAAATATTCGGTTATGGCTGAGAGTTGCTGAGCAGGATGGGGCAGCTTCGAGGATATTACCACCGCCATTCGCCGAAATAGGACGAACCGATAAACCGGATACTGATCTGCCGTCCAGTTTGAAGCTCACAAGGATCATATCACCACTAGAGAGGACCAAGATCAGATCGCCTTTGTCCATATCAAGCTGCTCAATGTGGCAGCCTTCCAGACGAAGAGCCAGGTCTGACTGATCTGCCATTGAAAAGGCCGAGACTTGTCTTGAAAACTCATTGACACCGACCGCATTTGTCTTTCCAGCTTGATCCACATGCACTAATTCGTTCGATCCGATGAGAAGCGCTCCACCGACAGGGGAGGGAAGAGCTACCACTTTGAACAGGTCGCTGGGGAGTCGAGCAACCGACAGTAGGGTCGTGGAGGCGCGTTGTTCAAGATCAAGCGTGAAAACTGCGTAGAAGACGGCATCTTTTCGTTCATGTAACAATGCATTCGAAGTGGCCACTTGCGAATATAATATGCCAAATGTCGGTTCTCTATACTCATATAGGAACGCCAGGCTAATAGGATGGAGCAGGGACGGCTCCAGGGCAGTGAGTGGTAAAACGAAGGATGGACCGTACGGCGTCCGATATAACTGCTGTTCTTTGTTTGCAGTCTCTGATGTTTCCATCGTTTCTTGTTCGCCATCGAGGCTAGGGTCATAGTCATCCATCACCAAGTCATCACCGGGCTGGTGGAAGGGTATGATAGCCAAGTTACGGATACCAAAATTCAAGATCGCACATCTGCTGGTGGGATCCACGGTAAGATGGCTACCGCAGCTGCTCAAATCCGGTACCCAAGGGCTACGGGTCAGATCCTCTTTCTCGTAATAGTGGACTGAGATAGTAGAGATTGCATGGCGCTCCGGATCCCATTCAATCAAACTCAGTTTGGCATTGCGGAAGGCTATGAGTATAGCCTCTCCTCCGCTCTTCGAGTTCATGATCTTCACAGGACTCATGTCCGTCACTGTTCCGGATAGAGCGTACTCCGCTACCAATACCAGCTTCCCATTCGGAGCTCGTTCAGGCCGACGGGCCTTGTCTTCAGCCTTTCCATTCTCTCCAGATACGACATCAATCAAGGAAAATATCTGCAAGAGTGAGGTCTTAGCTACCACCAGGTTGCTGGCAGTAGCTGAAGTAAACGGAACGGACAGGGCATGAGTGACCCCGGAAGGGGGTAATAGCTCTGTATAACACTGCATGTTTTGGGTTATCGCAGATCCGATGGGACCTTAAATCCAACTTAGATATTGACCAATCATATAACGAAAGACATTGCGATTGACTGTAGTTAGAACTGGGTATGATTCCGCTGGCCTTTAAAAGCCCAGTGTCTCTGGGATCAACCTTCGGGAGCTTCAAAAGCTCGCTGGCCCACAACAAAGAGCCCGAGCTTCAGAGCCGGCGAATTGCACGCGGGGCGCCAAAAGGCCTATCCTGATACAGAATAGCGCCCGATGATAGCACGGTCACCACGTGATCGTTTATTTGATGTGATGACGATCGTCAAAAAGAACATATGAGATGTCTGGATAAGCTACTCAAGTGTCCAGCCAACACCATTGCTGAACAACTATATTGCCTTCCTGTGAACAGGTCAGCTTGGCGGATTCTCTCTGTCCTTGCCGTGTAACCTACTATCCCATCTTGTTTGGAGCTACATCCCAAGCGATGCTGGCCAGCTTAATAGGCAGCTAAGAATATGGCGCTTCTGCAGTCCTCTCTAATCTGGATCGGATATGCAATTGTCATATCTATCCTGGTCGCAGCTGTCTCTATTTTTGTATATGTGTACCAGAGTCCTCGCGATCGCTCCCCATCAGTGAGCACAGTCAGCATTCTCACAATCACAGCCTTGCTTGCGACTGTGCTCTTGCTGCCAGTCGATGTCGCCTTAGTGTCATCAACCACATCTTCGAAAACAGGGAAGCGAAAAGACTGGGCTACTCAAGATGAGGTTGACAAGATTACCTTCTCCCTAACGGTCATCTACTACTTGCTTTATTCCTTGGATGCTCTGCTCTGCCTGCTGGTGGTGCCGTTCACATATTTCTGGTATGAGGAATACGACGAGGTAGCCGCCTTGGAAGGTGAACAGTCGTTTGGACGACGATTCTGGGGGGCTTTTAAGTATACGATAGCGTTTATCATCGTGGTCGTCGTGCTCTTACTAGTTGGGTTTTTTGTTCCCATCTCAAGGAAGAATGACAATCTCGATTTCGATTTCTTCCGAAAATTACTACTTGAAAACCGTAAGTGCCCTTCAAGGTGACTTCGGCTATGCGTGACTAGATGACTGACCTGTGTACGCTGTTGCAGATGGTGAGCGGGCTCTCATGTTCGCTCTCGGCGCGCTAACGACTATTGGGATATGTATTTATGTCCTATACACTTCTTCGGGCCTTGCTCTTCTCCCGATCTCCCTCATCAAGACCGCACCGTCTATAGCCAACCCATCGTTTAGAGCCAACACTATCTCGCAACTGGAAATGAACCGTGAACGCCAGCGTCAGCTAGAAGGTCGCTGCGCCGGTAATCCCGATCACCTATCATCCAAGGACCGTAGGGAGCTTGATGCTCTGGTCCGAGAAGAGCGGACACTAATACGGCGCCAGCGCCTCATAGAAGAAACTCAAGGAGCAGGTAAAAGCTGGATAATACGAGTGTGGTTGAAGATCGAAACAATACTCAGACCATTCAAGCTGCTGGTTGGAATAGTCCTCCTTATTATTGCATTACTAACGTGGGTGTCGATGCTTCTTACCGCGATTGATAAAACCAAGAACTCCATTTGCAAGCAGCGATGTGGATATATCCTCGGCAATGTGAACATCTTCAATCCGGTAAACTGGATCTTCGTTGAGACTGCAAAAGTCTTCCCGGTCGACTACGCCATTTTTTCAATCCTTGTGCTACTCTTTTTCAGCGGGTCTGTTGTTGGTATTGCCACCATCGGTATCCGATTTCTGTGGATTAAGATTTTCCAGATACGCAGAGGCCATACGTCCCCACAAGCTCTGCTTATCAGCACAATGATGTTGACGTTGATAACTCTCGCTCTGAACTACTCGATCACAATGATCGTTGCCCCTCAATACGCGACGTTTGGGCCACAGACATTCTGCGATCGCGCTTCTGGATGGCTTGGTGGACAGCCTGACTGCAGAGATAACAAGCATTTGATCAAGCCGTGCTCTGAAACGGCGGACAACCCTTCTGCAAAAGCGGTGTGTACGCCTAGTGTAGTCAGTACCATATTTAATCGTGTGACATCGAATTTCCCTTTCTTCGGCGCGGTCTTTTTCTGGGCTCAGTTTGGATTTCTCGGTAAGTCTTTGACACCCTTCCCTCCCTGAAGATCATATTTGGATTGGTCGAAGTGATATTAACCGATATATTGTCCAGGGATCTATCTCATTGTCTTTACCACGACACTCTTCCGTTCACCCAAGCTGTCTGAAGACCAGATTGATGAGGATGCTCAGGAAGCAGAAGAGGAAGGGCTATTAGCTCGAACTGCCAGACGCTCTCATCAGACGTTCTAAAGAAGTTGCTTACAAAGCCCAGGAGAATTTGGCACGCATGACACAGGCCGCCACCAAGTAACCACTCGACTCATCAGCTCATTAGCTCCTCGACTCGCCCGCTGGAAGGGAGGACGGAAAAGAGGGACCAGAGATAGTATGAGTACCCATACTGGGATATTTGAATCACGCATAGTGCTACAGTCCCGGGTCTTCGATACCTACACTTTTCTTGTGAAGCTGTTGGCCATTTTCAAAACTTCAATCTGCATTGGTTCTATATGCAATGCTGGGACAAGCTCCTGTCCGCTATGACTATTACGATTTAGGGATATTGAACATGTAAATTAACGCGAATGACATGATTAACCTTTGTAAGATGTATTAACATGATTTGCTTGCCAAATCCCTCCTTCATTGAGGAGAACACGCACATGTCCGTATACGAGGTTGTAAATTCTATATCGCTCAATATAGCCTTTCATAATTCCGCTGAAATGGAGGCTTCCCCGTATCATTGTTGCTTCCCCCGTAGCGGTAAGATATATTCAATCTTCACATGATTTCGACCGAATGTGGTCCGAAATCTTCGAGCAGCTACTCCAGACCTGGACTGCTTGCAAAGGGGACGACGTTTCGATCGCGTGAGACGACAGTGAAGAAGTCTCCAGGTCAGAGCTGATCAATGTCGCCGATCAGAAGCCGTATTCCACTTCTAAGCGATTCCGATCTTTAGCTAGAGAAGCGTATACTCCAATAGCCCGCAGAGGAGAAGATAGCGTCGAGGATGGAGATGTGCAGGACAGGCAGTGATCGCAGGATGTTCAACAGATCGTATATCACCAAATTTCTGATTGCACATCATGTATCCGCAGAAGAGTAGCGTAGAATATTTTGGCTCCTCTGTTCAGCCCTCGAGCAGAGCAAGGGCACTTTCGAATGCTTTAACGACATTTGCATCTACATTGGGCATGATCAGTATATTATCATTTCATAATAACAGCACATTATTCTTACAATGCTTTTTCTTATCTTCTAACTTTGTCTCAGAGTTCTGCACATGCTGCATACGTGTCTTGAACCTGCCGTAGGAGTTAGCACATCGATTCATTTAACCAGGCAAACACAGAGCGGCATCAGACCTTTTAAAGGCTCGGTCTTCGTCATAGGACACTGCAACCTGTGACCAGGTCATAAACACCTGACTCTTTTGTCAGTAGGGCTTTCTTTTGCTTCTGATGGCCGGTTGCTATGTACCTCGAGCAGCTTAGCTGTTTGGTCCCGTAATTCCTGCTCGGCTTGGGCATGCGTCTCCATTGCGGTTGAAAATTTCTCCTGAAGAACCTCCCAGCTACATTCGTGGAGGTTTTCAAGCGTATTTTCTAGGTCAAACCGATCATTCTGCGCACCAGGGGCACTTTCCGAGATACCTGGGGAGAGAGCTTTTGATGACGAGTGCTCCGAAATGTCATCGCGAGAAACAAGCTCCTCATCGTAGTCACTCGTTTTCTCTATCCCTGTTGTTTGCATCATGACAAATAATAGAAGTCTGACATCGATCAAGCAGGATGCTGGCAATAATAGATTCAGAGAGGTGCTGTTTGCGAGATACTTGCAGAATATGGTACCACCGGTGTCAACACAGGTCACAGGTGGGCACCGGCCTTAGTAGCGATCACCAATAGCTTCTGATAACTATCTGCGCTGGATTGTCGAACTGATCTGCACAAACTAGTAGTTATATTATAGCAAAATGCTAGAAAAAAGTTTTCTTTTCAAACATCAACATTGGCCTGGATTCATGGAGTCTTCAGAAATAAGGAGCAGCCCATCGCAGGCGAGAGTCATGTTTGGGCTGTCAGGTGACGTTATCTGCGGACATCTGCAGTTCCCGACCTGGGTGTCGGAACCGTCACAAGAGTGCTATGGCAGATGCCTTCCGGTACTTCACACGCGCATAACTCTCCTGGACAATACCATAATCCCTGGAATGAACACTTTGGTCTACCAGAGACTAAGCCATGAAGGCTCTCGGCGGTTGCTTAAATTCACTTGCTGAGCTGCATGGTTCTTCTGCCCGACAGCTTCAACCTTCTTCGAATAACCACGAAATGATCATGGGATGGCAGCACCGTTCTCCAGCTACTTCATCGATCCCTTACCGAAGCGACCAGATATGAACTGCCACATCTGCACCGTGTGCTCTCGCTCCCCAAATTCGCGGCGGCCTTTCTACTGCTCCACATGCGCTCGTAATCAGCTCTATCAATTACGGGTGGAAAATGCCCAGATACTGTTGGAAAAGGATAATGTCAGACGCCAGGTCGAGGCTATAGTTATTAGCGGAAATGAGCATGGCGAAGAAGGGCGAGCGAGGATTCCAGCCTCTGATGTGCAGGAAAGCTCTCGCCGCTGGTCCATCCATGCCACGCATAACAAGGAGTCTCAGTCGTCCGCGAGAAAGAAAGCGATCACTGAGTGTATTGAATCTCTCAAGACTAGCATCCGAGAGAAACGCAGCGACATAGTCCGACGTAAAGCGGCTCTAGCCCAGCGACACTCGGATGCCGAATCTGCAAACTACCAGTTCGCGGAGCGCCGGACCGCGGTGTTGACCGGCATTCAGAACAATATCAAGAGAACTGAACATCTTTGGCATGCCTTGCATAATAAGACAGCCGAGTCACGTATATTTCTCTGTCGTGAGGCTGCCAGTCTCTATGGGTTGAGGCAAAACATCAAGAAGAGAAACGGTGAGCTCAAGGAGAGCTATACAATAGGCGGGGTGACTATATTGGATCTTCGTGATATGAATGGTATGTTGTCTTTGCCCTCCTTGACAGTATCTTATGGGTACTAATTTTTGCATAGGTGCTTCGCCCACACAGCTATCCACAGCCTTTTGTAACATTGCCCATCTACTTGTCCTAGTTTCTCACTATCTCTCACTGAGACTTCCGGCTGAAATCACACTTCCGCATCGGAACTATCCTGCATCAACAATATTCCCACCCGCTGCTTCCTACCTCTCGCGAGATGTGAGCTTCCCTGGAATGTCTCCTTCGCATTCGTCATCCACTAGTCCTGCAGCATCAAGGACAGTAGATGCGCGTCCAATGGCTCGACCTAGACCTCTCTATACAGACAAAACACTTCCAAAACTCGTCAAGGAAGATCCTGTGTTTTATGCTCTTTTCTTGGAGGGTGCTTGTCTGTTGGCATGGAATATCTCTTGGTTATGTCGAACTCAGGGAATCAACGTCGGATCAGACTCATGGGAGGATGTCTGTAATTTGGGAAAGAATATGTGGCACCTGCTAGTTGCACCAAGCGCCCAAGCCTCAACTGTTATGAGAGTGCACTCTGGCCCAGACGTCCAGGCAAAACTCAAGTCCTTGAGACACTCCCCGAGGACTAGTATTCAAAGGACGAAATCGTTCCCCATGCTTGGCCACTTTTCTCACGGAACGTCTCATTCCTTTCTAGGTGCAGTAGATGGCACAGAGTTCATGCGAACGTGGAGACTACCGACGCCCCTAAAGGTTTATGACAGACTTAAGTCGGTACTGTTGGGTGAGATGGCAAGTGCGGAATGGGAGCTTCTCGAGAAGGAGTGGGATGATACAGGAGAGGACCAATCTCAGCCCACCTCCAGCCAGCCTCCCCTGAGTCAAAGCAATACCGAGAGCATACTCTCCGGTGCGACTGAGGTTAAATCACGGAGTCCCGATAATACGACGGCAACGAGTGAGCGCATTGGTACTCAGGTGGACCCCGATCGAGCAAAGGGTACCAGCGGCTGGACAAAGGTCAAGAGCAGATAGCGAAGCTTCGTATTATAGACTACAATGTACGTACTATTGGCATCTAGTGACTATTTGGTTGAATCTGCTACATCCGTAAACTCATGTTCATCTGCAAGCGATCTCCGGGCAACATACCTTAGCCGACTATCTGTTCTAGTCACCGCCCGCTGCGGTACTGCCGGACCCTCCGCGGCCCACTCCAGATGTCCGGAAGAACAACATGCGGATTCCCTATCGGAGTCGATAGAGCCTCGACAATCACAGACGTTGCGCTGTGCACAGAGCGAATATTCCGCATCTCCTTCGGGGCCATGGATGTGGCGGAAAAGCGACACGGTTCTATATCACTGCAAAAATGGACGCGGTTCACATAGAATCCAGCGCTGCGGCCGGAGACCTCGGTGAGTGTCCTGACCTCCTCCGCAGCAATGTTTTGTCTTATGTTCTGTACAACTGAGGTCGAATCCATTGGGCCATGATGTGTCTCTGGAGTTTTGAATTATTCAGCCACAAGCTTGACCAATATCAAACCTTGAAGTAGTACTAACTCCTCTCCTATTGTGTTCAGGGGCCCGACAGAGTATCCAGTCTTTAGCGGATTTTCCGATTACCCTTCTGAGAGCAGAGCTCCAGCGCAGGACTGGAAACGAAGTGGTGACTAGAGGGAACGATGATGGATCAACTTGTGGCACGAGCAAGCAGGGATCGTACAATACCTCGTTACATGTGCTGGCGCTGGTCCTGATTCTCGGGTTGAGTACGCTAGGTAAAGGCGATCCTCCCCAGAAAGCATTGACTACATGTGCTAATATATCCATATCCAGCGTGTTCATTTCCCGTTATCGCCCGTAGATTCCCACGCCTCCCGATCCCTCGTCGTTTCCTGTTCCTCTCGAGGCACTTCGGAACCGGGGTGTTGATTGCTACAGCATTTGTTCACTTGCTCCCAACCGCCTTCATCTCTCTTACTGATTCATGTCTCCCCACCTTCTGGCATAAGAGCTACCCTGCTATGGCTGGCTTCGTGGCCATGCTCTCAGTCTTTGTGGTCGTCACCGTGGAGATGTTTTTCGCCATGAAGGGCGCACGTCATGTACATGGAAGCGAGTATGACAATCTCACCCGCGATGTGGACTATCAAGATGCAGAAGACGAGTATGCACGACCTATTAGTCAGGGCCACCGTTCTTCGCTACGACTTGAGAATATGCGAAATCATCGCCCTCAAGGAAGCGTCTCAAGAGATATGGACGGATCGTCGGAAAGACTAGTACCCGCAGATGGTCACGAACCTTATGATGAGACAGATGGGGACAAGGATAGCGAGGATCTCGATCTCGAGACTTTGGACCCGTATAACGATCAAAATACTTTCGCCCAGGGGCGTGGTCAGGGCTTTGGACGCCGCAATTCACGCACTCAACCAAGCAGTCACAACAACGGCTTGCACAGCTTTGGCGGCCATCATAAATCCGATATCCAGCATCAGAATCCGCAAAAGCAACTTCTTCAATGTCTTCTTCTCGAAGCTGGCATCCTGTTCCATAGCATCTTTATCGGAATGGCTCTCAGTGTCGCGACGGGGACTTCATTTATTGTCCTTCTAGTAGCCATATCCTTTCACCAGACCTTTGAGGGATTCGCTCTCGGCTCCCGCATCGCCTCCCTTATTCCTGACCTTTTCCCTCCATCTTCGCCAAGGCCATGGCTCATGTGCCTTGCCTATGGAACCACAACTCCCATCGGACAGGCCATCGGCCTGATTCTCCACAATATGTACGACCCGACCAGCACAACTGGCCTGCTGATGGTTGGTATCACAAACGCCATCAGCAGCGGGCTTCTTCTTTTTGCAGGCCTCGTGGAACTTCTAGCCGAGGACTTCCTCAGCGACTCAAGCTACGAAACACTTAGCGGCAAGCGCCGGGTCGAGGCTTGCGTGGCTGTTGGCTGCGGAGCAATGCTGATGGCCTTCGTTGGCGCTTGGGCATGAGGACAATTTGAGGGTTTCCTTTTTTGTTTTGTGGAATGCAAATTCAAATTTCTTTCTGAGCCTGGACTCTTTATAAAGGCGTTTGTACCATCTGATATATTCTCGGGGTTCCTGATCGAAATAGACCATGGATTTTTGACACTATTTCTGCGCTGTCGAATCAACCTGTACGCTATTGAGGTTTCGGGGATTTGGAAGCGAGCACTACAAACCTTGAGTGTCTTAACTGTAGATGCGAACATAATAGACATGGGAAATGATAAAATATCGCGTTCTATCTACGTACGTACTAAAGGTGGTGAACATGGAAGTGACGGAAGAACAATCTTCATCGGGACATGGTATGGGGGAATTTGTGGAATCGGCGTCGAACTGCGTTCTATATTTCATGTTCCAGTTGCATGGCTCCATGGCTCGTACGCTCCCACTGTAGAACAACGGCAAACCAGCCATATGCTGTTAAACCTAATTACAAGTTATATAAATGCGCCAAAGTCATATCCATCGTGCCTCTCTAAAGGCAGATCTCGAACACCATAAAGTTCTTCGAAAGTGTCGTTTACTGCAGCGACTCAATAACGAGGGCACTGGCACCACCGCCCCCGTTGCAGATTCCAGCAACGCCAAGTTTGCCCTTCTTGGCCTTCAGGACACCCAGGAGCGTCGTCAGGATACGGGCACCACTGGCACCGAGAGGGTGGCCAATCGCAACAGCACCACCGTGCATGTTGACCTTTTCCTCCGACAATCCCAACAACTTCATGTTTGCGAGGGCCACGACGCTGAAAGCCTCGTTGATTTCGAAAGCGTCAATAGCATCCTGCGACACGCCAGCGTGCTTCAGGGCTTTAGGAATGGCCAGAGCCGGGGCCGTGGTGAACTTGCTGGGTGCGTGAGCAGCATCTCCCCAGCCAAGGATCTTAGCAATGGGCTTCAGGTTAAGCTCCTTCAGCTTAGCTTCGGAAACGAGAACCACAGCTGCAGCGCCGTCATTGAGTGGTGACGCATTGGGGGCTGTAACCGTGCCGGAGCCGGGAATGAAGGCGGGCTTAATCGCGCGAAGCTTCTCAGGGTTAAGCTAGAGTGACGGGGTGGTCAGCCTACTAAGAATCCTATAGAGGGCAAGAAAGAAACCTTACGTTCTTAGGCTCCTCATCCTGGGAAACCGTCACACCTGGCTTGCCCCTGAAACCAGGCAGCTCAATAGGAACAATCTCCGCATCGAACAGGCCTGCCTTCTGTGCAGCTTGAGCTTTCTCGTAGCTGCGAATGGCATAGTCATCCTGCTGTTCACGGGTGAAGCTGTGATCCTGAGCACACTCTTCAGCAGCGAGGCCCATAAGCTCCTTTTTGCCGTAGGCATCAGTCAGACCATCCTTCATGATACCGTCCACCAAGCTCTGATTGCCATATTTCGCACCAGTGCGCAAATTGGGGAGATAGTGCGGCGTGTTGGACATAGATTCCGTACCACCGGCGACGACGATGTCAGCAGTGCCAGTCATGATCGTCTGCGCTCCGAGGATGACAGCCTTCAGAGCGGATGCGCACACCTTGTTGACAGTCGTGCACACGGTCGAGTCCTCGAGACCAGCGCCGATAGCAGATTGTCTGGCAGGGTTCTGTCCAACACTGCATAGATCATAAGCATCCCCCGGGGAGCAATTGGGAGAGTAAGACGCTTACTTCGCGGAGAGGACGTTTCCAAAGAAGACCTCCTCAACATCGGACGGCTTAATTCCCGCACGCTCAACAGCCGCTACATGAGACGGGTCTAAGTATACGTTTTCGATCCAGACATCGGGAGAATTGGGGTACCTTTGATAGCGTGGGAGCCCAGCTGCGGGGCAGTGAGACTGGAGAGAGCGCTGGGGAAGAGAACAATTAGCTGGGAGACCAAAGCAACAGCAGTGAGATGAAACTTACCCTAGGAAAGATCCTACCGGCGTACGAGCAGAGGAGACGATGTAAACTGGAGGAAGAGAAGACATCTTGTAGACTTCAGGCAACAGCGATATCAGAAAGTGAGGGGCGGTTAGAGAGGACCGTTGGAGTAGATGAGGCTTTTGACGGGAGAGTGAGAACAGATCAATAGAACAGAATGTCTGGCACGCAGCGGAATACCAAATAAGCAGAACCTCGCGAACAACCTGAAGAAGAGAAAGACCGTCTCAACAGAACCGGGGAGAGTTCGTTTCTTAAAGGAGGGACACGCCTTAGTGTATTACTATCTAACTTAGTGGGGGCAGCGGTCTGGCGCCTTAATAGGCAGTGCCGCAGTGCTAGGTACAAAAAACAAAATTGGGACACGGAGAAGAGCTTGGGCCATCTCCGGTTGCCGGCTTCAAGAAACTTCAACTGGAAGCGCGACTGGCCTATCCCCGCGTCCGTGACGATCGCATTGAAGTTGCGATTACAACACCGCATCATGGATGACCTCTACGATGAGTATGCCGTTGCCTCTATGATTCTCTAACCTATGGTCTTTTGGCTGACTGGTGTTTTCCACTGCAGGTTTGGCAACTATATCGGCGAGGCCGAGGAGGACGAATCCCAGCATGGAGACGTCAGGCCTTCCACTTACACATACGATGAGGAGTCTGAGGAAGGTGAGGAGGAGACGGCTGAGGATCAGCAGATGATGGAAGTGGATGGTTCGTAGTCTGCCCTGGATTCCACGGTGAAGAGGCTGACCGCGTGAACAGAAGGGCCCTCAAATGCGGTTATTCTCCATGAAGACAAGCAGTATTATCCCACTGCGCAACAAGTATACGGCGAGGAGGTAGAGACTCTGGTTCAGGAGGAGGATGCGCAGCCACTCTCTGAGCCCATTATAGCGCCCGTTCAGCAGAAGAAGTTTACAGTGCAGGAAGCCGACCTGCCACCCGTCTTCTATTCGCGCGAATTCATGACAGATCTTCTCAACTACCCAGAGCAGGTCAGGAACGTGGTATTCGCGGGTCATTTGCATCATGGCAAGACGGCTTTCATGGACATGCTAGTGACGCAGACGCATGACTTGAACGAACGGCTAGAGAAGCGAACAGGCAGACGAAGAGACGAGCAATTGCGCTATACTGATGTACACCTTCTGGAAAGAGAGCGTGGCTTGTCCATCAAGGCTGCCCCAATGACTCTCGTCCTGCAGGGTACAAAAGGGAAGTCATTCCTATTCAACCTGCTCGACACCCCAGGACATGTGAATTTCGTGGATGAGGTGGCTGCATCCATGCGACTGGCCGACGGCGTTGTACTAGTTGTGGATGTCGTCGAAGGAGTTCAAGCAAACACGGAGCAAATCATCAAGCATGCAGTGTTGGAAGATCTTCCGTTGACGCTAGTAGTGAATAAGATGGACAGGTTGATTCTCGAGCTCAAGCTTCCGCCGAACGATGCGTACTTCAAATTGAAGCACGTGGTGGAAGAAGTCAACACCATCATTGAGAGGACCTTGCCAGGACAGGGAGAAACGAGACGGTTGAGTCCCGAGAAGGGAAACGTCGCTTTCGCTTGTACCTCTATGGGGTGGTGTTTCACCTTAGAATCGTTTTCTAAGATGTACTCTGAGACATACCCCAAGGTTGATGCCGCTGAATTTGCCGCTCGTCTATGGGGAGACATTTTCTTCAACCCAAGAAGCCGAAAGTTCTCCCGGAAGGGAATGGAGGAAGGCTCCAAACGGAGTTTCGTGAATTTTGTCTTAGAGCCCATCTACAAACTCTACTCCCACACCATCAGCGACAGCCCAGAAGACCTGAAGGAGACTCTGGCTACATTGGGCATCCAATTGAAACCATCTCAGCTCAAGTCTGATGCGAAAGTACTTCTCAACCTGGTTTGCGCCCGGTTCTTCGGGTCGGCTACAGGATTCGTGGATATGGTTGTCCAGCACGTTCCCTCCCCAGTAGAAGGGGCCCAGAAAAAGCTGGAGAGATACTACACTGGTCCGCTTGACACGAAGCTGGGCGCAGCTATGGCCGCTTGTGACCAAGACGGACCTTTGGTTGTCCACGTCACGAAACTCTTTAACACCACTGATGCCTCGAGCTTCAATGCGTTTGGACGAGTTATGAGCGGAATAGCTCGTCCGGGCCAACAAGTGCGCGTTCTCGGAGAAGGATACACGCTGGACGACCAGGAAGACATGGTCGTTGCGACTATCTCGAATACCTGGGTTGCCGAGTCCCGTTACAATATTCCAACTAGCGGTGTGCCCGCTGGAAACTGGGTTCTGCTTGGCGGTGTTGACAATTCGATCGTTAAAACAGCAACCCTGGTACCATTGAAGCTCGAAGATGAGGAAGATGCCTACATCTTCAAGCCGATCCGGCACTTCACCGAGTCTGTCTTCAAGGTCTCGGTGGAGCCCATCAACCCGTCTGAACTGCCCAAAATGCTTGAGGGTCTACGCAAGATCAACAAGAGCTACCCTCTGATCTCAACGAAGGTGGAAGAATCTGGAGAGCACGTCATTCTAGGCACTGGAGAGCTGTACATGGATTGCGTCCTCTACGACCTTCGCAGGCTGTATGCCGAAATGGAACTCAAGGTATCTGATCCGGTGACACGCTTCTGTGAGACAGTTGTCGAGACGTCGGCAATCATGTGCTACGCTATCACACCCAATAAGAAAAACAAGGTCACCATGATCGCAGAGCCATTGGACGAAGGTATCGCTGAAGACATTGAGAGTGGCAGAGTCAGCATCAAGGATCCTATCCGCAAGGTCGCGCAGTTCTTCGAAGAAAGATACGATTGGGATAAGCTGGCTGCCAGGAGCATATGGGCCTTTGGTCCAGATGAGATGGGTCCAAATATCCTTCAGGATGATACACTACCGTCCCAGGTCGACAAAAAGCTTCTGGGAACGGTAAGAGATTCCATTACTCAAGGTTTCAGCTGGGGTACAAGAGAAGGCCCTCTGTGTGAAGAGCGTAAGTCTGCAATTCCATTTGTTCCAATTAAGCGGCGGAATAATTGTAGTCTTCTGTTGATATTTGGGGCACATGTTCTGACTGGTCTCTAGCTATCCGTAATACAAAATTCAAGCTCACGGACGTCTCCCTTGCTGAGCAGGCTATTTTCAGGGGAGGTGGACAGATCATCCCTACAGCTCGTCGGGCTGTCTATTCCTCATTCCTCATGGCATCTCCGCGTCTGATGGAGCCAATTTACCGCTGCGCCATGACTGGACCAGCAGACGCTGTGGCATCAATCTATACTGTCCTGTCACGCAGACGAGGTCATGTCCTTTCAGACGGGCCTATAGCAGGAACTCCTCTTTACTCCGTGAGCGGCTTGATTCCAGTGATTGATTCCTTCGGATTCGAGACGGACCTGAGAATCCACACGCAGGGCCAAGCCACCGTTAGCTTGGTGTTCGACAAATGGAGCGTTGTTCCAGGAGATCCGCTAGACCGCGATGTGAAGCTCAGGCCGCTTGAAATGGCCCCACCAATGGCGACTGCCAGAGACTTTGTGCTGAAAACCAGAAGAAGAAAGGGCTTGGCAGAAGATATAACCGTCAGCAAATTCTTGGAACCGGAACTCTGGAAGGGTTTGAAAGAGAGCGGAGTCCTCGAGGGATAGACAGCCCAGAACGGACCGTCTTGGCAATCAGCGTTCATCATGAGCTATGGCCTCCTTTGCATGTAATTATAATGAATGGGAGTGTCATGTCAAGAAGATTTGGGTGGCATGTAGATCTTCCAGAATCTGTTTCACTGGTTTGATGTTTAAGTGGGTTCGAGCAAACTCTGTCGATTGTGCTCCAAGGATGTTATCGGTTTGACATCGGTTCCTCGTCAATAGAGACGGCCTGTTCCAACATGACTCTCATATTTGACGCATCCATGCTCGGTTCCAATGGGGATTCTGCACACTGCTATCCGTTCACTGGCAGGTTTCCAACATTTTCCGGATGACACCCATCAAGGTTCCATTTTCCAAGGCAGCAGCCACTCTCTCTTTGTCCGCCAGCTGCTTGTTAACCTCCTCTGCGGTGCTGTGCGTTCCTTCCTTGATGCGCACATCGATACGGAATCTAGGAGGAAGAGACTGTTCCAAGCGAACCCGTACTCCAAGCCCGATAACTGTGGCTAAACTACAGTGCGTGATAGTTGGTGTTATGAGAACAGTAACAGTTCGCAGAGGTGATTCTGGATTGTTCGGTAGAGACGGTTTGATAGAGATGTCGGGAAGGGAAACGACGGCAAGAGAACCCAGCGATATAGGATGCTCCGGGTCAGATATGGTAGAAACTAGATCTAAATGATAATGTCAGCATGGAAGCACTCCTTACATAGTAAAGTCACAAAGAGATAGTAGGCCGCAATATTTTGAGGGACGGTGTGATAGAGGGTATTGTAGTATAGTTAGAATCGCATACCGAATATTTCTTGCTCGTCGATGGGTTCTTCCATGAGATCTCCATCGTCGCTCTCTGCATCAGATGACGGCTGAGAGCCTACAGCGAACGGATCGCTGGAATCCGCCAGGTAAGGAATATAGGAAGCAAAGATGCCACCATTCTCCGATCCTGGTTTACGAACGCTGTCCGGCCGATGACGAGTCGGCAGATCTGCAACGTTCAAGATAGTGGGATTTGAATTCTGCATCTCCGCCATGATGAGATAGGGAGCGCAATATTATGCGATATTGTGCGGGAATCTAAAGAAGAAAATGTTATCTAGAGCTAGTGTATGCAAAGCGTCAGGTCAGATGGATGATAGTATACAAAATGGGGAGGTGCTGGGATTTCTTGTGTCATTCCGCGAAGTCGGATTATTATATTGGACCCCTCTTGCGGTACTTAAAAGAGGGGACGCCACACCAGATTAGTAACTACCGGTAATCCTTAACTAGTTGCTGCGGCATATGTAGTAGCAATATAAAGACGATTTGAACCCGTACAGCACAATCTTCATTGTATACTCTGTTTGAAATTTGAGTGAATCAAATTCTTGCTCAAGCAGCAATAACTCATTTAACATGCAATAATTCCTTGCCCAGTGTAGACCGTGTAATGTCCAAAAATACATATTTATCTGGGTATGATACTGTTCTTGGCATGTTGCGGAGCTTTACCGCCTAAGGTGTACTTACGAGCTTAATGCCGTGTTAACATAGTTATGATTTATATTACTGTACAACAGGAACCAGAATAATACATTCAGTTTAACTGTCGCCATGTCTGCCCGGGCTCTGTGTCAAGGTCGCCCGGCGATACGCAAGGCTCTTCTTCCCTCAGCAGACCTTGTGAGCGCGCGACTTTCGGTCCTTAATCAACAACGAAATTTCATCCCCAAGGTGCCTTTTGGTCATAATGCCATTGAACGCCAACAGGGACTCGGACGTGCAAATACTGTCCCAAGTGGTCTACGTTCATTCCACAGCTCTCCTATCCTGAAGAAGAAGAAAGACAAGGGCAAGAACGGGGGCGAAGCTACTGAAGCTTCATCGAAAGCGGACGCAGCAAACGTCGATCCTTCCGACCTTTCACAGCTACACGACGGCATACGCGATGCTGTGAGTCGGCTAAAAAATGATGTCTCGAAATTACGTTCCGGTGGAAGATTCAACCCAGAGGCGCTCGAAAATCTTCGTGTCCATATCGTGAAGGGAGCCAAGGAAACGATCAAACTGGGCCAGTTGGCTCAAGTTGTTCCCAAAGGTGGTCGAATCGTCACCGTCCTTGTGGGTGAAGAAGACGTAAGTTGTGTCTCTTCCTTTAGCTCTGGGTTCTTCCAATCCATCTTGCAACTTGTATTCCGATAACAGTTATTCTGACTCGAGTGCTTTCCTACTGTAGCATGTCAAACCGACAATGTCGGCCATCATAGCCTCTGACCTCTCGTTGACGCCGCAACAAGATTCTCGCAACCCTCTCCAGCTCAATATTACCATACCCCCGCCGACAAAGGAATCTCGTGAGCAGACGGTGCAGGTCGCCAAGGCTGCAGCGGACAAGGCAGCCAGTGCGATTCGCAACGCAAGAGGCGCAGTCCATAAGCGATTACAGGAGATGCAGAAGAAGAAGCTAGCCAGACCGGATGACATCCGAAAGGCACATGATGAAATGGAGAAAGTACAAGAAAAGGGTCAAAAGGAGGTCAGGGATATTTTCGAGGCAACGAAGAAGGCCCTTGAACAGGCTTGAAAACATCTGGATGGGGCGCTCGTGACCCCTGTACAGGTGCGACCAGGCTTCACTTTCCCTCACTGTACTAACATGAAGTTACCATTGTAAAATAATTCATCCAATGTAAAGAATGTGGTATTTAGGCCATACAAAGGATCATCGTTGTTGGTAAGCTCTTAAAACCATGCAGGGCTATGTAGTAGTATAGTAGTAGTACATTAAATGTGACAAAGCATTCCGTTCCAAGCCGAGACCAGTGACCAGTTTCGCAGCCACGATAATCTAAACTCGTTTCGTACGTCGGCCAGAAGCAGCAAGGATAGACTCGAATTTCGCCATGAACTGAGCGGTCTTACCGACGGTCTGATATGTCCCGTTGTTTTGGAGATTTCTGAGCGCATCAGCAACGGCAGGCTTTTCACCCGCGCGAGCGTCGAGAGATGGATATTTGCCCGTGACAAGTTCGTTCAACATGGCCTTGCGCTCTTCTGCACCGATTGGGACAAAGGTCGTGTCCTCAGGCTCAACCATGTCCCCTTTACGTTGCGTCAATTTATCCGCACGATCCTGGGCTAGCTTCTTCACTTCTTCCATAACCGCGTCCTTCTCGGCTTGGCTGGAGAAAACAACACGTTTGCCCTCGAAGAGTTTCTGTGCCAATTCGAAAGGCGGTTCGTATCCGTTGGGGTAGCGTCCGCTTATCCAAGACACTTTCTCGAGTATGCTACCGCTGCGGGCTTCGTTACCGATGGGAAGAGACGGCCAAGTGTCTCTCAAAAGAGACATATCGTATTCTTTCGGAGGATCATAACGGACAGGCTGCGGGTTCTCTTTTTCGGCCTGCTCACGGTAAACTTCCTCTATCTGGGCTGCTCGTGCGCTGTCGCCCTCTTCTTCCTCCGAGGACTGTCTCCTCTGTCGTCTAGGCCGATCACGACCAGCGGAACGACCTCTTGGAGCAGCACCGAACCTTAGTGGTCCTGGCCGACGTCCACGGACGTTGTCTCCGGTTCGAGGTTTCTGAAGCCTGGAAAGCCGGAGGATGTTCGCCGGTTCACCGCCTGCTCGCGGAGCTGCAAGCGATCTTGCATCGACTGCACGGTTTGAGCGCACGTATTCTGCATTCGGGGCTTTGGCATTCGAGGTGACCCATGCGATTTTAGCCCTGTTGTCGGGTCGTTGAGGACTGGCGGCACCCTGAGCCTGTCTGTTTGGTGCAGACCCGGACGGACCTGTATTTTTCCAAGATCAGCAAACATCATTGGGTGCGAAATAATGTTGATATAGAAATGGAGATGTCGTATGCGTGGGATTGCAATCTTCTTTCATACCGGAAGATTTAATCTTGCCTTCATCTCCCGCAGACCCGGAGACCTGTCGGAGTGACACCAGGACGCCCTCCCTCAGCTTTGCATAGTCACTATGTTGCAAGAACTGGCGCAGAGCGGGGCGCCGCGGCCGAATCATCTTGCAACGCCACCTATCTGAAGATGGGTTTGAGAATTGTTAAGGGAATTGCGTCGAAGGTGAGAAGGAGATACAATGCTCAACTCAGTTGCAGTTTCGGGTGCGGTAATTTCAATCACGTGCCGGAAGGCGGAAGGCGGTCTCCAAGCGCGTCAAAGTAGATTCATTGTAATCTAGGTGACAGATACTGGATAAACAAGTCACAAATATCAAGAAATCTGTCTATCTCATACGCTAAGGATCAAAGAAAATCTGGTCTCCCAAGCTATATTTGTTGCTCTGGTGCAGCCATTGATTTTGTCATCTCGATCCTTAACCATCATGCTTCGCCGCAAGCCAACCGCATTGACCATCACATCTGAGGACCTGATCGCGTTCGAGGAGTCCCAGCGCCAGAAATCCGAAGAAAACAACAATGGTGGATCTGCTGCCACAGCAAAGAATAATTCGGGTCATCCATTCGATCCAAATGATGAACTAAAACCACTGCCTGGTGACAAGGCAAGAATCGTCCGCTCTCGGGAAGAGAGAATTGGAGTCACTCGCCGCGGATAAACATGAAACATGATTAGCTGGGCGGTTCGCTATTATGAAGCAAAATGGGGCGTATTGCTCTTCGAAGAATTCGACTCATGTCATCTATTGTGACGCTGAGAACATACCCATGAGCGAGACCTCTCTAGCGACCTCTGTGTGTTCTCTCCATTGATATCTGTCAACCGAACCGTTGTTGCTGTGTGCTGTGTGATTCAATTAAGACATTTGATGGAGCCATAGCACTATCTACTACAGGTATTTGACAGGATAGTGCGTCATCTATTGGGCCTTTTGAAGGTTACGTCTGCTTCTGGCATGGCAGGCTTATTTGGGTGTGCTATCTAGCACCTTACATGCACTTGAAAGCTACTGTCGCGGAAATAGACATCTTCGTGATATAGTGGATAAATGGCGATATCCGAAGGTCTCTTTTTATCTCAAGATATATACAGACCTGCCAAGTCTATGCTATTAACAAGCGCGATCCAAGTGACCACATAATGCCCTGGACAGTAATGTACAAACTCCTATACCGGCTCTCCTGGCAACCATAGCCTGTCCCTAAAATGACGTAGTTTTGGAAGAAACCATCAATGTCGATTCAAAAAAACGCGGAACATGCCATCATATACAAAGAAGAAAGGCTCGAGATTGAAAATCAACATTGGAAAGCTATTCGCTTACTCACCGTATCCAATTCAAACATAGGTATATTTTGCGAATTCCAAACCCAGAAAAGGGAGAAGAGAAAAGAAAACTGAATATCGCACACTGCCATCAAGGCGAGGTATATCATAAAGCATGTGTAATGGAGACAACGTAAGGTCATAACAAGCCCTGAGTCGAAATACCGCACAGAGGATTCCATCATCATAGGGATTGAAGATCTTTCTTTGAATAAATAATGAAAGGCTGGGCTAGAACTTCGATTTTTATTATCGCGCCCTTTTCGAAGCGTTTTCCGATCCGAGGTCGACGGAATAATTCCATCTCCTTTTCAGTCCCTGCGGATCGAAGACACTAGCTACACTCTGTTGCCAGTCTCTCGCTGTGATCATCACTGGCTGAGGACCATACGCAGGCTGACTCGGTGCCACAGACGCCATCTTCCCGGCCTGCGCATATTGTATCGGGTAATGGTTGGGCAGAGAAGTTGCCGCGCCCATTGCAGGGTTGTTCATAGGCATTGGCGGTGAGTTTGTGCTAGAGGTTGATGGAGCGACTGAAAAAGCCATATCCCATTGGCTTCGTCGCATGTTAGCAGCTACGCGTAGAAGGAGAAATCGAGGGGTGCATACTTGATGATCCGAGTAGGATCCCAGCTGTTTTCATCCACCAAGGGAACCCCGAGGGGTGCGTCTGAAGTTTGACTGTCTGCTATCATACCCAATGATTGAAGATGAGGAGAATCGGGCTTGGAATCCTCGGTTCCAGAAGAAATGGGCGGGCTGATAGGATGTGCGCCATATCCAAGCCTGCTAGGGGCGGCCGCTGGAACCTGGTGAAAGTGAGGCTGGTATTGTGAGTCCATTGGCGGACTTGGGTGGTAGGATTCAGAGGGGCTCCCGTAGGGAAATGTTGGCTTGAGTTCGAAGGGTCGATTTATGTCCGCGGAAAAAGCGAGCCGCAGAGAATCTATTTGTGCCTGAATCTCTGGCATCAGCCAATGTGCCGCACACTGTTCCAGAATTCGCATGTGTCGAGTAAAGTAGTCGCGAGCGTCTGCGTGGAAATCAGGGTCTGGAGAGGTGATGGCAACCTGTCAACGTGTCAGTCAAAACTATGCTCGGCCGTGTCTGGTTTGGCAGTCTCACAAGATGAATCATAGTACAAGTCAATATGCAATATATGCTGAAATTGATTCCACGTTGCATGTAAAGCAACCCGGAGGGACCGAAACGGGCCAGTATTGCCTCCTGCAACCGGCACAGACTTTTGGCAGACGAATAGCACAAGGCCATATGCGTCTTCCAACTACCACCTGCAGAGAATGACTTCGACGCAAGAAGCTGAGGGCGATGCAGCATTATGATTCCTAGATGACAATGAGAGTGCATATTTCCCACAAAGTGAGATGAGAGCCAGGGAGGTGAACCATCCACAGGATAAGTCACCTGCAAGTCTGGAGGAAGGTTCCTAAGCCAGTCACTGAACAAAGGGTTGTTCTCCACAAGGCGAGAGTCTGCACCCCAATCTTTTTGTCTCTTAATCTTATGGTAAATGTCGGCGATCAGCCGAATGTGGTGCGCGTTTCGAACAAAGTACGAGAATTGTCTTGACCGATCGATCTCGAATTGATCCATATTGGGTATATCCAGGAGTGGCCGCATGTCCACTGTCTCCGGGTCCACACCATAATCAGAGCGTCCTATAGAGGTGAAGTTGTCAGTCGATTCATCAGTTTGTTATACTATATTCGGTACGTACCTTGTGGTGCTCCGACCATTACTTCCACAACCAGAAGAGTCTGCCAAACGCGTGTTTGGACCAGACACTCTATTGGGTCCAGTTCACAGGTTCTTTCCTCCTGATGCGTACCGTAATGCTCGTGTAAATCAAGATCCTTGGCCATTGACACGGCCGTTTTGACCGTTTGCCATGATCGGTAGTAATACCCCTTTTTCGGCGCAGATTCCCGGGCCTTTAACAACAACAAAAGCGCCTGGATGGTGCTTAAACGAGGTACGTCCATGAAGCTAAGTTCGTGCCCTTATACAATGGTTTATCAGTAAAGTGATTTAAATCAAGCTGGCATAGAAAATATGGAATCAGCGCCGGAATGCAGTAGTAAAAGACTCACTATTAGCCATTGCAAGCCATTGCCGACCTTGGGCAGGATCATCGGACATCCTTGCGGCACATGCAAATATGGCTTCGAGAAGTAGAGGTGATATTGAAGCACGCTCCTGCCGCCATTGGCGATAGAGATGAGAACGGTGTACTACAGGAACGTAAGGATGTATATCTGAGAAGTAGATATCGAAATATTTTAGAGCCTCTTCGTCTGAAGGCATGAGTTCAGGAGGAATTCGGATTTTTGAACCGGCCCCGGTACTGAGGGGCGGCAATTTGTCGTCGCTTTCATCGTCGACTGGAGCTTCTGGCTCGCCCATGCCTTTCCTCTGTCGCCTTATGTAGGGTGCTTCGAAATCATCAGCTTCTTTCCCTCGTTACACAAGGCCTATATTGTGTTTGAGAAACTCACCAATTCCAGTCTCGTCAATCTTGAGTTCGCCAAGGGCCTCGCTGAGACCTTCTGCAGTTGACTGTTCTGGGTCGAGGAAAACGCCGCTCTCCGCATTTGCAAGTGGCCGAGATGGAGTCGTCGGGTATACCGCCTGTTGATGATATGGATGCGGCATTGTAAGCTGTGGGTGAACTTCGCTATAAATACTATGCTGGTTTTGAGACGGCACATATTGCGAGTAGATTCCTAAGGCGCTATTATAAGGTGCGATACCTCCGACCTGATTCGGGCTATTGCTCCCTAGGTTTTGTTGCATAGGGAGGTTCTGGCGCGACGCATCTACCGAATGGGATGTGCCCACGTTATGGGATTCTTGTCCAAGCGCCTGTCCAGTCGCAAGGAAGTCACCATCCTGAGCAATAGTCGGCGGCACGCAGACCAATTTTAATCGCGTACATGCGGAGCATGGCCAAGTGTTGGTGGTGGCAGCGTCGCATTTGATTTTCCTTTTTCGGCAACCGTTACAAGCTCGCATCACTAAGATGGGATGGTTAGCAAGTAGCCAGAGAATACTTCAGGTCTGATATGGATTCTCGACTGTACCTTTGAGCCTCTTATGTCGATTATGTTCGTCCACGAAGACATAATCTGCGATAGGTGTCAGCGCTTCATCGCATAACATACTGCCGCGGAATTTCCCGGAAGAAGAGCGGCAATCCGTAAGGGAAAGGCTCACTCTTTTGTCCCTCCCGTGGAGGCCCGCTTGCTGGCGCAAACGAGTAGTTCTGCATCGTTTAACCAAGGGCCTTCTGATATCTAGCCCGGAAAGAGGCCCCGACTGTCCCCAGATGCAGTGAGTACCGTGTCCCGGAGAGCCAGGAAATAGAATAATTGTCTTTGTGCTGCTCACGGGACTTGCCTCTTCGAAGAGTCAGAGGGTTGCTGTGACCTTCAGTGGTCGATCACTACGCTGCCCTTGTACTTGCGCTGTCCACTCTCTGGAAAACGTATACGATAATGGATGCTGTCCAATTGATATGATACCAGTTGTCGTAATTTCCCATACGGAACCGTACCTCTGCGTGCTGCACATACGGGTAGCCGGGACGAAGAGGGACACGATACCCTGGTTTCGATCTCGTGGTGTTTTTTTCTCTGTTCTCCCTATTGATGCGAACAGTTTCGCAGCCGGTGCAAGTCGAGATGTGGCCCTCGCGGGAGAGACGTCGCGAAGTCAAAATGGCGCAAGCTGTGCCCAAGTTGACAGTTCAGGAACGGCACTGATATGCGGGGGGAATTCTGCGGGCTGCGCTCACGAGCGAGAATCAGTATGGTGCAAATCGATGGCAGTGTGACGGCGCCATACTGAAAGGAATCAACTTCGAGGCCGACAAAGTATATCCAACTAGGTCGCAGGTACAGTTGCTCCTCCTCTCGCAGCTGCGCTGACGGCAGGTCAGCTGCCCGCGTAGCCCGATGATGGTCGTCAATATAAATGTGACAAGAAAGGCTTCGAGCCTCGACTTTCCGGAATTAGGACCGATTCGGGAACATTGATGGGATATGAGAGACCGCCTAGTAGTGGTTGTGTGCTTGATCCGAAGCGAGAACCCGTTAATGTGATGGCGACGAGCATAGGATGCTGCAATACACAGCTAGAACTGGTGGGTGGTGATAGTGACTGCACGCGCTGCCCAAAGATGGCGGTGTTAGAGGATCGATCAGATCATCGGACGGAGTCGCTGCGGGACAGGCGAATGATAAGAAAGGAAGGGATCGCTCCAGAGAGTGAGGGGGGAACTTGTTCGCAGGCAACCTCGGTAGCGGCCAAATAGCGTCGCGCGCCCAGCCTGTCTGGAGACTCGAAGCAGTTCGCGAGTGCTCTATTCGAAGTAGCCGATGACGGAGAGACGTCGAGAACGTTTGCGGCGCAATCGAGAGTGGATGATATTCAGCCGGGATCATTGAATCATTCGTTTTTAAGGATTCAGAGTTCAGACCAACTTATCCAAGGTTTCTTGGCCTGGTTGAATCCGCCAAGTGGGTGCGATCGCCCCCAAAGTTCATAATAATGAACCTCTTGCAGGCGCCTTTGTCGCTCAGGGGTCCGTCGCGGCAGATGATGTTAGCACTCGCCCCGGCAGGATCTCTCACAAGGGCTAATTATAGGGACCAAGCGTCTGTCCCAAAGCCTGGTTACCTGATGTCGACTAGCACAATCGAATAGCGCCTGCAAGTGGCAGATCTGAATTCTGAAACCTGTTACAGTATTATTAATGGTCCAGTTCCCGGACCAGCCACCCTCAAATCAAGGAGTTGGCCGCCTTCTTCAATGCGGTATATGTCAGGTACGTGATCGAGGTACAAACAAGATATAGCCCAGATGCTTATCTCTCTTGGATCTGCGTGTGGGGGATAAAAGCCTGTTCTCTGTTGCGCATCAGTATATGATTCTCTAGGATGGCATGCGGGGTTGTAACTGCAAGCTGATCCAAGAGAGACCTATCTCTCTGGGTGGCATTGATGCAAGTCTGGATACTTACATCGGCTTTTTTCTTTTCTTTTTTTTTTTTTTACCGGTAAGATGATGTCTTATCATTATCACTCGTCATCATCTTTTCGATATGTCTCGATTGCTCCCTCGATGGGACGACTTGCATTATGAACCAGCTCGCCTTTTGGCGGATGCCGCGCCTCCAGACCTTGGATTGGACATTCGGAGATTGTAGTAGTTCACAGCAAAACCGGTAGTGCCACGATGAGAATAACGGTGTAAATTGAGGAGATGAATGAGCGTGCAGCGTCGGTGTCTAGAAAGAATTATTTGATTGTTGTGGTTTGGCTACCATAACAGCCACGGAAGATGACGCCAACTTCTAGCAGGAGCATGTCTACCCATAGCACATTCAGAGAGACCGGGGATCGAAGTCAGATGGGAACACACTTTGGTGCTCTTCCAAGTCTAACCCTACTAGCAATTTTCGCTTGGTATCTCCCCAAATGACTTCCCTTTCTCGATGTGTTTGTCCTCAATAAATGTTTTGACTGCTGTTCCCGCGCGTCCAAGGTTGTCTATCATTCACCTGACTACTTACCAGCCTTCCACTTCCTGGTATGATGATGGACCCAGGTTCCAGATCTGTCTAACTACGCTGTTCGTCGATATAAGTTCGAGAATCTGACGCAGATATGCCAAAACTCAAGCAATTGACGTGCCATGTCGAATGGACACCATCAAACACCCCATTTCGTGAATATGGCATCTGCTACGGAGACGGTGTTGTGGAAAGCTACATCGCCATTCCTGCTGGATCTACACCCTTCAGTATCAATCTGAGATCGGACGGGTTTATAGCCCCTGGTCTGGCGGCGTTTGTGTTCATAGATGGCGTCTACCAGTGCAATCGATACAGGGGCGATCTCCAAATCAGTGATAAAGTCAGGATGGATTGCTTGTCAGATACGGTCAACTTTCGAGTTCGTCAGAAGGAGGAACGCCTTCCAGACGGCGGCTGGATGGGGAGACCCTGGAGGTTTGAGCCGTTGAATATTGGTACCATTTCCCCAGAGGACAGAGACTTCTTGACAAATCTGACAACTACTTTTTCTAGACAACTCTGTAAACGATCCTACTTTGTCAAGCCATTTTCGGCATCTCGGAACTATCCATGTGCTAGTATTACGCTGCTTACCGGATACTGGGCTGCCAGACTACGCCGCCTCCGGTTTCGATTTGGAGTGTCCAACGTCCCCTGAGTCTGCAACAGCTATCATGAGCGATGATGAATGTATGTGCCCCCTTGGATCTGCGAGCCGTCTATCAAAGCTCATTGAAATGTAATACAAGCATTGTTTACCCGTCCCTTGCATGGTCAGACCAAAAGCAGAGATCAGACAATTATTCCGCCCTATGCTGGATTCGATGGGCCAGGTGACATCCCTTATTATAACTCCAGGCAGAGCAGACGATACGACCAATTTCGTCCCAATACGTCTTCCGCTCGTGACGTTAGATCAGAGTTCCGGAGAGGATCTGGCGGAATTTCCAGTGATGATTGGAACCAACCCAGACGTGACAGCGATTGGACGGACGTCCCTGTTCGCAAGAAGAGCTCGATCAATCGCTTGGAAAGAGATCAACGAACAGCAACTACCACGAGCTCTCATCTCTCCTGTCAGTCGGCATTGAGCAGACGGCTAGACACAAACTATGTTCCGGATATTGATCCTTTCGATTCTGCCAGCAATGCCCCTAATCGAGCGCGTATGGCCCAGTCTCGAATCTCATATGCCCCCAGTGGAACACCAATAGTGGTAAACATTAACCCCATGCTATCCCCCGAGCAGCGAGTCACTACAAGCAGGGGTCCTGGTTTGCCAGATGAAAGAAGAACAACAACAGGTGACGCCGGCCATGGACATATCGGCTCAAACAGGGACAAAGGTTATCAAGAATATAATCTTAGGCGCCGCTATGATGACTCCGAAAAGGACCGAGAATATCAATATGGCCGTAAGGAAGGAAGACGCAATATGAAGCATGGAAATGTCCATCCTGCCTCGACCCCTGGAGGCTTCCATTCTAGAGACCATCAGCAGCATGATGGTCGTGATTCTGAGTGGGATAATCATGGAGACACGGACCAAGGCGTTGACAACAACTCACCCTCCACCGGCTGGAAACCTAATGGTGAAAGCGGTTTCCTGACTGAAGATAAGGATGAGTGGGGTGCCAGCAGTCCTCAAATGACGCAGTCCGATGATCAGCAATGGGAACAGGATGCTGATCCTCTGAATAACAACAAAACAGAAGCGGATAATGAATGGGTTCAAGCTGACACCAATGCCAGTTCCTCCAATAACGAGAGTTTGTTAAAGGAAAAGTCATGGCAACCCGACGCTGGCAATGTCAACGAGGGATATGATTGGGATACCAGCGAGAACCCTAATCAAGACACCATACCCGAGAAACAATCGCATGTGGATGAGCATAGTACCACTATTGGCAATGGTACCTGGACAAGGACCGTTCAGAGTTCAAGCTCCGGGATTGATGACCAAGATCCCTTATACAGAAACACAGCTGACAACAAGGATAGCCATGGTGCAGAGCCTGGAAGAATTAAAGTGCAGATCCCGTGCGGCGAAGCTGCGCGGATGCTGCGAGAAAGGCCTGTATTGTGGCAGGGCAATAATCCATTAACCGAGAATGCAGCTCCTTCGCCAGCGTCGCGACCTCAACAGCTAACCCCTGGTCAGAATTCAATGGTGCTTGTATCTCCACTGGCCACAGGAAGTGACGGGAACGAACCAGCTCTCTATACCGTTCCCCTATCTGTTGCGCGGTCCGGTTTATTGTCACACCAAGTTCAACTAGGCAGCGCGGCAGAGTACGTACACAAAGTTGGACAGCCGACATATATTGACACCCTGGAATCACCGTACGCGAAGTTTACCTTCAACTACCGAATTCAAGGTATCTATATACCTCAGTCTTGCTACTATGCCTAGAATAACGTGATTTTTAGGGGCTATCGAACAGCTGTTGGGAATCAAAATTGAACGCAACTTAGACGAAGAACGCAGAAAATTAGAGAGTGTTTCAAAAGAGGAACTCATAGCTCACATTTTGCGCACCGAGGTAGTCCAAAACAGCTGATATGGATGGTGTGTGATAAATGCTAATGTCTTTCATAGGGATTATCTGGCGGAAATCACAATATCCCTAGCAACTACTAAGGAGGGCTATATTCCCAGTAGCAAGAGACCTCAAACGGTCCAATCCCATCACAACGGGAGGCCCTCGTTCTCCGAATATACCTCACAGGGCTGTGAACACGGCTGGGAATAGTGGTAGCCATTTGGAAACAGGGAATGGTGGAAGATGACGGGAGTATGGATAAGTCAGCAACGACAGCGATCCTTTGTAATGAGTGCAGGACATGGGAGTGGATACACGAGCAATGTACAAGAGGCCTTGACGCATGGTGCAGCCTAGTCAAGGTTCCTGGGGGACGGAGCAACCAGATGGGAGAACGCATGGAGGCGAAACCAAATCATATGGTCCTCCGTCCAACAGTTATGCAAACGTGGTCTCCCAGCAATGGTTGTCAGATTACTATAGATAAAATCATAAAATACAGTAATAGCATCCTTCCTATTAGCCTTGCCTCACTTCCTATTGCAAACCCCACTAACATGTAGTCTGAACGGTCTGAGCAGTTTGAGCACTCCATTCACGCACCTGCTGGTCTGGCCAGTACATATCTTCCTGGACAAAGCTATCCACATCGCTCATATCCTCCGCCTCATCTTCAATATAGTAGGAGTCGTGTGAGGCTATATCACCAGGATCACAATTGCTGAACAAGGCTTCAGCACCTCCACTTGGAACAGTAAGGCGATGTTATAACGATGTTATAACCACTGTAGTTCCTATAGCTCTTTGCTGGGCAAAGGTCTCTCCTGAGGATCATCGGTCCGTAAAGTCAAGATGTCGCCAGAACAGGCCTGCTTTTGCGTGTTATAGTCAAAGAGCATAATATAGTTGATTAACTCTGTCAGATTGCTGGGCAATTGCGGGGTCGTAGTAAGGGCGATATATGTCAGGCGATAGTATGGACGCAGCCAAAAAGAAAAAAGTTGTATATCCATACTCTTACCATCTTCTGACGCATCCAGAAACTTCAATGCGAAAAGGGCCTTCGACAAATATGCATGAGCACTTGGAGATAATGTCGTTAGATTTTCCGGGATTTCAGTGGATTTGTCAGTAAAGATAACATTTCTCCATCCATCAATTTTCTCCTGAGGTCAGAATATTCATGATCTACTCCAAAATCAATCTTCCTTAGGAATGGTACCCATAAAGTAGGGATAAATATGCGCCACTTCGACACGCTGTCCGACATGTGTTAAAACACATTCCTGGTTATATGTTCTAGACACTAAATGATCTGTATTAGTAGATTAAAAGCAATATGAGTTCCGACCGCGGAATATATTCTCTGGAGGAAGTTGACATAATAGACCCAGGAGCATCTATTGGAGCGAGATCTCGAGAATCGTCGGGATCTCGTAATAAGGCCACACGTTGGTGCGTAGGGGAAACGGGGATGGGATTAGCACTCGCCTGCTTCTTCCTGGCCGTCCTCTTCAGTTCCTGGTCTGTTGGTTCCCTGATTCATGTATAATTAGCTCCCGTATCGGATTTTGGGTAGGGAGAAATATACTTCTTTTAGGAACACGATCTGTGGGTATATCTAAATGACCTCGAAACTCGACTATTCATCTCCGCAAGTGAGACAATTTGTGATAGTGAATCCAGATCCGACAACAACCACAATGCAGCCCACATAGCGGGGGTTTACCATGAAGTCCTCTCTAGAAGTTATACGAGAGAGTTGAGTTTGTGGATGAGCGCTTGACGGCCAAGATCGCTGAATTCCTCGTCCGAAGCCATGGTAAGAATGGACTGAGAACTAGCAAGGGAAGATTAAAAGATCGAAAGATTTCTCACAGTTATTCTTGAGTCACGGCCTTGAAATGGCGACTTGTTTAATAATGGTCTTGATGGGATCTGTTCTGCAAGGACAACGTGAAGTGAAGAAGCTTGAATAGCTGAGATACAGCAGGCCATAACCGCTATGTAGCATGTGACCATCCTAAATTATTCTTGCTCAAGAGGCATAATATTATTGATTCTCTAATCCTTTGTAAATCGTTAGAGATCCCGGCAGACTAGCTAGGAGTTCTCCTTTTTGGTCAACTGACAGAAAGCCATCATAAATTATCGAGCATAATAGCTAATAGAGTGAAAGCAGTACTAGATCAGATTACGCATACCTAGGTAGATTCATTGGCATTTTAATTATTACTAGCGCTGTACAAAAAGTGAATGCATCCCATTCAATGGATATGCTTGCATAGCCATGGCAAAGAAGAAAGCCCCGGAACCAACTTCTATCATCCAAGATCTCCCTACAGTTATTGAACAGGAAAAGAATAATCCTAAAGGGGTTTGCAGTCGCAGTTTATATTCTAAGAACGTAACTTTTTACATGGTGACCATAACTAGTAATAGCTGATATTTATCTTCATTTTATTCTCTACAATCATCCGGACGTAATTAGCCAGCAAGTTACCAAGAATATCCCGGGCATGAAGAGAGGCCCACTTCTAATTGTAAATAATGGTGTCCTTGCTGAATTAAATATGTTGCCTACATCTAGAGAAAGAATGTTACAGTAAGCTTTCTCAAGAAAGCCAGAAATAAATCCATATTGTGTCCAGAAATAGATGCCACCGAATCACTTAGAATAATAGATCTTGAAATATCAAATACATTTAATATGCGAGAGCGACCTTCAGCGGTTTGGGTGAAGCTATGCTCTGATGCTCACCGCCGCCTTAAGCTGCGTTCCGTAGAGCGAAGTGTACTGTCTATCCTGGAATTCGTGTTCGAATGATCAACAATGGTATGATACTATGTCCCCCTTCTTTATGATACATCGTGAGTAGCATGAGACCAAATCATTTGGTACTGATACTTCTGTGATTATCTTGGGCGTAAGCGTAAGTGTACAGTCCCCAAGACCAAGTAACCGAATCTCAAACTGGGTACAAATAGTACAAATAACAAGAGTACCCATACAGAAAACCATAATATTTCCCCTGGGTATAAAATTAAAGGAATTTACCCCTCGAAAAGCGAGAGGTATAGTCCGATGACTTATTAATTATTTCTCTGCGTTTCGCGGAACTTATAGTCCCTGGACCAGCGATGTCTTTCTCTCTATCAAATGGACGAGCACTTGGATCGTCTTGCTCTTTAGCCGGATTAGACGTCTCCTGGTGTTCTTTATACAGAGCCTTGCGCTGCGACTTGTCCTGTATGATTATCAGTACATAAACTGTATATATATCCATATTTGATGACTCACACTATATGATTGCAGACGCTTTTCCATGAGTTTATCAGATGCAGATTTGTTGCCGCTGGGCTCCCTCGGGGCACCGGGTGCGGGTTGCTGGATGCCCATGACCTCGTTCTCCAAACGCTTCCTCTTTTGTTCCGGCGTTTCTGTCCATAGACTACTCGACTTGCCAGACGAGGGTGCGCCTCCAGCACTTCTACCCGTGTTGAACTTGCGATTACGTAGTTTCGTCGGGTCCACGCGCGAAGTCCAGTCCCCTTGGTCTGGTGGTGCGAGCATCCAGTCATCGCGTTGATTTTGAATGGAGACTGGAGGAGAAGCCTGTTGTTCAATTGCACGATTCTTGGCTGCTTCATCATTATCACGGCTAGGACCAGCACGTCCAGACTCAGTGCCGCCAGGTGGCGGCAGGCTTGGTCCTATGTCATCACTATCATCGCTGCTTTCACTGTCATTTCCATCTTCACTAGCAGACTTGTCCGCAGGCGGAGGAGGCAGTGATGGCCCAATTGTTCTCGGTCGCTTCCCAGCATCCTCTGTAGTCGTGATAGAATTGCGGTCGCTCAGATCGTGTGCTTCGTATTTGCGTTTTGCGTTCTTCCCAGCGCCGGTCGAGGCGTTGGCCGAGTTCATGATGACCGCCGCTACCTAAACTTGGCTTTCGAGATGAGTACCAGGGCGCGCCACTAGTGTTCAAGGACAACGACAAAAGTTGAATGCTGGCCGCGCTTCGCATAGAAATGGCCTCGGAACTGCGATATGCGGCGGGCTCAAGTACTGTATGTATTTAGAGACCCTCTCCTGCTAGCCGCATTTAATAGTGAAAAAAGTGGTAGTGGCAGCGGTGGGGAGCTTGCTGAGCTTCCCCGTCCGCATCACCGTTAGCTAAAGAAGGGAGACCGACAGCCTTAGCCGCTTTATCTCGAGCTACATTATTAGTCCCAGGCCGCACTAGAACGTGCAGTCTCGGGAAAGCTTTATGCTCTAGATTGAATGATTGATGGAAATTGAAGTCGCTTTCGACAGAAGTTACCAGGAAATTAAGTGACCACACTCCCTTGATTCTATCGCGAAAGCCTAGGAGTACGCTAGGACATAAACATTTATCAGATACTCGTTATTCTATGAGCCATGAGGAGATAGAAGTGAAGAGAACAAAGAGAACAGCGGAAAAGGCAAAAGCCAGACTGAATAAAAGGAAACCCCGCCAGTATGCCAGACCCATCACATGACTCATGAAAACTGCCAATGCCATAAACATCTTTTTGGCCTGATGTATCTTTTCATCGATGCAAAAAAAAAAGTCACAAGTATGTAACCGGGTCCTTAAATGAAACTTTTGGGAATAGAGGAACGACCAAATACAACGAATTTCCGCCTGAAGGACGGCCACAGAGGCTACCATGCTCCTGCAAGAGATGACCCCTTCATGTCGCTAAGCTGAGGAATCACAAATTACCGGGTGGCCATAGCCTTGGTCATCAGTCTCTTGAGGGCCAGCTCCTTCTTCTTCAGGTCCTCGGGGGTGGAGTCCTCAATCTCGAGCTGAGCCATGGCATCGCTCAGAGCGGATTCGATCTTGTCCTTGTTGCCACGCTTGAGCTTCAGAGACATGGTGGGGTCGGAGACCATCTCCTCAACACGGGAGATGTAAGACTCGAGCTGCTGGCGGGCCTCGAATCTCTTGCTGAAAGCCTCATCGCTCGTCTTGAACTTGGCAGCATCTACATATACTGTTAGGATACATTCCGTAAAAACAAGGGTATCGGATGCCTGGACTTACCGTTGATCATGTTCTCAATCTCGGAGCTCGACAGCTTGCCGACCGCGTTCGAGATAGTGATGTTGGCAGTGCGTCCGGAGGACTTCTCGGTAGCGGTAACCTTAAGGATACCGTTGACGTCGACCTCGAAGACAACCTCGAGAGCGGCCTCACCAGCCTTCATAGGAGGAATGGGGGCCAGAGTGAACTCTCCAAGGGAGGTGTTGTCAGCGCAGTTGGTACGCTCACCCTGGTAAACGGGGAACTGCACGGTCTGCTGGTTGTCGACAACAGTGGTGAAAGTGCGCTTCTTGATGGTAGGAACGGTCTGACCGCGGGGAACAACGGGGGCGAAGATGTTACCCTCCATAGCGACACCCAGAGAGAGAGGAACGACATCAAGGAGCAGGAGGTCCGCAGTGTCAGCAGAAGTAGCCTTGCCAGACAGAATACCGGCCTGGACGGCAGCACCGTAGGCGACGGCCTCGTCGGGGTTGATGCTCTGTGCAACACCGTTAGCACCTTATTCGCAGAACTAGAGAACTAACGAGAGTATGTATATCTTACCTTCTCGAGCTTCTTGCCGTCGAAGAAGTCGCTGAGGAGCTTCTGAATGCGAGGAATACGGGTGGAACCACCGACCAGGACAATCTCGTCGACAGCGCTCTTGGCCAGACCAGAGTCCTTCAGCACCTGCTGGACGGGGTCCAGAGTGCCAGAGAAGGCCTTGGCGTTCAGATCCTCGAAACGAGCACGAGTGATCTGGGTGTTGAAGTCGTCACCGTCGAACAGCGAGTCGATCTCAACAGTGGTCTGAGTAGCGTTGGACAGGGTACGCTTAGCACGCTCACATGCGGTACGCAGACGACGCAGGGCACGGGCGTCACCAGAAAGGTCTGTTGTGTCTAAATTAGCATTTGGTTCTCTCAAGCTGGCCTTTGGATCGTTTGTGATGATTAAAAATAGATATGTAACGGAAGAAAAAACTGCAACTAGCACAGCGATAGTCCTTACCCTTTCCTGTCTTGCGCTGGAACTCCTTCTTGAAGTGCTCAAGGAGGTTGGTGTCGAAGTCCTGACCACCCAGGTGGGTGTCACCGGCAGTGGCCTTAACAGTGAAGACACCACCCTGGATGTTGAGCAGGGAAACATCGAAGGTACCACCACCAAGATCGTAGATCAGAACGTTGCGCTCCTTGTCGGACTTACCAGAGCCCAGACCGTAAGCGATGGCGGCAGCAGTAGGCTCGTTAATGATACGGAGAACGTTCAGGCCAGCGATGGCACCGGCATCCTTGGTGGCCTGACGCTGGTTGTCGTTGAAGTAGGCAGGGACAGTGATGACAGCCTTGGAGACCTTCTTTCCGAGCTTGGTCTCGGCAACTTCTTTCATCTAAATCAAAGTCAGTACGGCCACGCCTCATATCGATTCTGCGGGTAAGATCTCACCTTCATGAGGACCATGGAGGAGATCTCCTGCGGGGAGAAAGTCTTGGTCTCGCCCAGATATTCGACCTCAACGAAGGGGTTGCCGCCCTGGTCGACAACCTTGAAGGGCCAGGACTCGATGTCCTTCTTGACGACGGGGTCATCGAATCTTCGTCCGATAAGACGCCTGGAGGGCCCGTTAGGACATCCTACACATGATACAGGAAACCCCACATCATTCAACTTACTTGATATCGAAGATAGTGTTCTTCGGGTTCATAGCAGCCTGGTTCTTGGCGGCCTCACCGATCAAACGCTCCTTGTCGGTGAAAGAGACGAACGAAGGGGTGGTGTAGCTACCCTGCTCGTTCGCAACTGCGCACAGAAAAAAAAATTCGTCAGAGCCGAAAACTCGAGTATCGGGTGTTTTATGCATTGAGAGACTTACTGATTTCGACATTGGTACCCTCATAGTTGGCAACACAGGAGTAGGTGGTACCTGTAGAGAGCAAGAGTTAGTGTGTTGCCATACGCGAGTTGGTCCAGTGAAGATTGCAAGTCTTACCAAGGTCGATGCCAATGGCACCCTCGTAAACTTCGTCAGACATCTTTATAGTATGGTGCACAAAGGCAGATATCCAAGTACTATGAAACGGTACTTTGGAAAAGGAGGGGGAAAGGGGGAGAGAAAAAAAGGCTGATAAGGAGCTGGTTGAGGCGGAAGTTGGATCAACTTTATAGGGAGAAAAGTATGCCCACTCTAGAAATTTTTTTTTTTCGGCTCCGGGCGAGGACTCGGGTGCAAAAAGATGCAAGCCCACGGTTCCTTGGGGAAGTGTTGGTCTTAGCTAAGCAGCTTAACCGACAATCTATTGGCACACATCCAGCAACCCGGAGCGCTAGCTTTTGGCTTTCAGCTTTGGTGAAAAATAGCGAGTCTGAGTGGATCAGATGAACCCCGCTCAGGCAAATCTTCCAGATCTTCACCCTACTGGGACTATGGTAGAATTACTGCTTTGCAGATGGCGAAGGCCTCGGAATTTAAGATTAATTGGTTGAATGGACCGGTATGCGGGATATCTCTATCATTTATTGAATCAAAAACAGAAAAGAACAAAACGAAGAGGCCACTCGGCCGAGCCGTTGTGTGAAATCTGTTCTCGATGGCAATAATATCAAACAAGGCAATCTCAACTCATAACAAAATACGCTAAACCAGTTTGAAGCCGTGTGTCAAAATGTCAACCCTAGCATCTATACAGCATGCACGATACAACTGAGGCCTCCCGAAAGAAGAGATCGACCAGGGCACCTGAATCTCGTATTGAAGGATCTGGCTGGAGGATTCCAACCAAGACGTCCACTTCACATCATCAAGTAGCCCAAAAGCACGCTCTTGTCCCATTTCACTGTCGCAGTAGATGGAAAAATATCGTCAACCGCTCGTATTCTATGTCAGTACCTGGTGGCCCATTTCTTGAAACGGTTCTAGAAGGGCCGGCAACGACTTCCAGGTCAACTCGAGTAACACCCCTGTTGAGGCGTACTTCATAGACAGGAGCGCTAGAACCAGGAGGCCGGGTGTGCACTGGCAAAGGAATCTTCTGGCTACCAACAGATGCCACAAGTTTAATCTGTCGTTGAGGTGTCTCTTCCACGGTCGTAGGACGTATCAAGAGGTAATTATGAGTCGAAGGAAGATTTATCGTTATCGATTGTTGTAACCCGACGGCGGAAGGGGGTATGTCCAGTTTGAGAGCTTTGCGAAGCTCTAGGCTCGGGTGAGTAAATACAGAGACATTTGTGAGAAGAGCATTTGCGAGACCTAGGATAGTCAGCCAAAGGAGCCGCAGCCAATCCAGTTGATAACTTACTTCGATCTCGTCCTTCCCAGATGCTATCGAATGATACATTCTGTGGTACCTTAAGATACGCAGGTTGGTCAACAGGAATAGATGGGCTGCCAGTCACATTGGGCGGGGCAAGATCCGGAGGCGACAGCACTGTTGACTGAGAGGCCAGCGGTATCGTGGTTCCGGCCGCGGGTCGCATGGACTCTTGACTGTCTTCACGAGACTGGACGGCAGCCAGGTTGGGTGAGGCGACTGCTTGTCCCTCGCTTTTGACAGCTGTCGTGGTAGAGCGTGCAGGAGAAGGCGCAGAGCTGCTCCCTCTACGCTCGGGTGGAATCTGGAACCTAGCACCTAGCTTTGGACTGCCATTTCTCCTCAGATTCCTGGTCGATGGTGTCGAGCGAGCATCGATATCTTGCCCATTTGACCCAGCACGGACGAGTTCTTGCTGTCTCTTCAGTGCTTCGCTGTCTACAGTCACTCCAGGTTGAGTCCTCTCATCTTTTGGTGTGCCATCCGATTTCTGACCAGGGAGCCTCAACGTCAGCCTCTGCGACGACGAAGACGACGACGGTTCCGGTGTTTTTGTGGTGGCCATCCTTAGCCTGAGACGAGGAGTGCTGCCATCAGTGCCTTCTTGTATACCGTCGGGCACGACTCTTTTGGCTTCGGCAACGCGTTTTTTGAAGTAATCCTGAGTTTATTAGACCAAACTGTAGCACAGTCCCACGTAGTTATAAGCCCTACCTCGAGTATACCGGCGTAGTTGAAGATTTCGCTGCCGTCTTCATTGAAGTCCCGCGCATTGCGCCATATATATTCCATTTCCTCTTCGAACGATAACCATGTGGGGAAGGCGGTTGTCCTTGGACCAGTCTTCCTGCCATCCGTACCGCGGGCCTGCCTTTGTATAGTTCTCAACGAGACAGGATGTTGGATGATCTCATAATAATCTTTGTAGAGGTTGCGGTCAGGTTTATTGACAAAGGGGAGTCCTACTTCGGTGCCTCTGTGAGTTTGTTAGGGGCCGTCAATCAAGCATGTAGAAAGGAACCTTGACGGGTGGCAGCTAACTTACTCCGAATCTTTTAGATTGATCAATTCTGAGATGATCTTATCTTGCGCAGTCTGAAGACTGTCGCCTTCGAAGTTCGTCTGCTGTTTGTCGTCCTTGCCAAAGGCAGCAGAGCTGGAGCGCTGTTTTGATTTCTGCTGCTCATCCGGAGATTCCTTAGGACTGGCATCGGGCTCTGCTGCCTCTTCATCTCCAGGCGCTTCATCAGGCAACGGGGTAGGGAAAGCGACATATTTCGGGTCCTTGTACGCGGGATTTATCTTTGGCATATTGTTGGAGAGTATTTTGCGTATCCTCTCGGCATCAGCAAACACCTGAGAGGACTTTTGGTTGTAAACCTTCGCATTGCTAATCATGCGCTTGAGATCGCTTTCCAGGGCGGTAATTGTGGGATATTCATGGCGCTTCAATTTTTCCTTTTCACGGTGTTAATACAATGAGTGTCATGGAACGAGGAAATGGTGTGAAGAGCATCCATCGAAGGTACTATCTCTGTATCCAAGCGGCGTCATGATATTGTAATTACGACTTGTGCTCGCGAGGTCCAGGGAGAGCTCCCAGTCTTGGGCTTGCCGAGAAAAAATAACTCCACCTACCTCTACTGTATCTATGGCGATTGGGAGTACAATAGTTCGGTAATAATCTGGGTTTTCTTTCTAATAACCATTAAACGACCATTCAAGCATCCTGAGGATGTCAACCAAGGAACCACGACGTACTTTATCGGGTAGATGAAGGAAGCTGGTGGTAATTTGACGTCCACTATGCACACGAGAAAGTTCCTTCATTAGTACCAGAGAAGGCCAGGAAAGGAAGGTCGACGGAAGCGACGAGGAGACATACTTTTTATCTGTGGACTGTTTTATATGGGCAAGCAATTTCAGGCCAGCTTCTGTGGTGGTTTGCGGGGTCTCGACGTCAGCGGTAGAATCGTCCTGGCGAGATGGATGCCATTGTCAGCGTCGATGACGGCCTCGACTGGAAAAAGATCAAAAGCAAGGCATGATTAGGAACCACCGAGGAGAGTGCCCGTTGAAGACTGCGAGGTCTGCACTTCACGCGTTGCCATCTGGCATTGCACCGCCGTTCTGATGCAGGTCATCACAAGAAGTGCCAGACGGCGGAACCTCTTGACCTATTCTCGTCCCAGACCGGGGCAAACTAGCAAGTCGCAACCAGCGGCAGCCACAGCATATTATTGTCGGAGTGATTCCGTCGCGGTCAAGTCAAAGCCCCCAGTTAAGCAAAGGCGTCGCTTTGGGAGAAAGAGGGAGAACAATTAATGTACTTACGGAGACTTTCCTCCGCTTTTGCCCATGAACAGACGACTCCGGAGAAGCCACGGGCGCAGCGCGTCGTTTGGAGCTCATGGTCCTGCCAGCTTCCAAACGAAAGATCGCAACGCGCTCGCGACTCACGAATCTCAGAGACAAGGTCTACTCGGTACTTATGAAAGGACGGGGCGATCAGTAACACGTGGGAACGGGGGATCAGGAATTAAAGGGCGCAAGGAAACCGGGATTGGACCCGGTAGAGAACAGCTTTAGTATATACCATCAAGAATAATAATAATAGCTGCTAATGTTCTCTGCTTCGTCGCGGGTTCAACCTCTGCAGGCTCAGGTTCGCGACTTGGCCCGCGGGTTCCCAACTCCGTGTGGCGCGGCCGGTGGCTTAAACGAGTAAGTATCCGTAGGAACTGCGCCATACTATTTTTCTATCCCCTATCCCTGATGTAATTACTAATTTAATTTAGTCTAAAGCTATTTAAATATTATTTATATTACTATAGCTAATTATTTTTTCTCTTATATTAATTTATTTAATTATTTAAATAATTACTATATAATAATAAAATAATAAATTAAAGAATTTTTAATAGTAAATTCTTATTATAATAAATTAAATAGTATATTTAATTTAAAACTAAGTTTATATTTTAATATTAATTATATTAAAGTAAAAGTATAATAAGATTAAATTATTTAAGTTTTATTAAATAAAAGAGTTAATATATAATATAACTAGTATTATAATATAATAGTTTAAACTAATAAATATTATAGGAAAATTATAGAGAAATAATTAGCTTAATAGAAAAGTTCTTATATTAAGCTAAAGGTATTATAGTTATTATACTCTTAGCTTCTTACTAGAGTATAAGCTTATAAAACTATATATTATAGAGAAAACTTATAGTTTTATTACCTTTAAACTTAGCTTATATTTTTTAAAATATTTAAATATATATTTATTATAATATTATTATAATAAGTAAGCTCTTAGCTTATTATAATTAAGAATATATAAATAATCTTTATAATATAAATATTTTTTTTATTAATAATTAATTAAAGTAATCTTAAGATAATAATTAGCTTTATAATTTAAGGCTTATAAAATAAATTATATTAAGTTATTAAATAAATAAACTATATCTAGTAAGTCTTTAATATTAAATAAATATTTTAGCTTATTAAGTATAGTAGAGAAACTTAATTAATCTTATTTAATAAATAAAGCTATTTCTTTAATAAATAGAATAGTTTTTTTAATAAGCTAAATTATTTCTTTAATAGATTAAATAATTTTAATAGATTAATTAAGCAGTAAGATAAATTAAATAAATTCTTTAAACTAAATAATTTAATTTCTTAAGATAAATTAACTAAGTATTTTTATAAGTTTAATAAAATTTCTAATCTTTTAAGCTATTAAGTTAATAAAATAAATATATTTTATTACTTAACTTTTAATAATAGCTTTTAATTTTAAGAATCTCTAAATCTATAGGTTAAGATTCTCTTTCTTTAAGACTATTTAACTTTAATATTATAACTATTTATTCCTTTTTTTAAAGAGATTTTTTAATTTCTTAATTAAGATATTAAGCTTTATTTCTTACTTTTTAAAGTAATATATAATTTAAAAGTTAAACTAAGATAAAAACTTAAATTAATAAGCTTATTATTAGTTTAATAGCTTAATTAATATAAAGTATTTTAAATTATAATAGTTTATAATAACTTTAATTAATAATAATATACTTTTAAGCTTAAGATATTATTTTTTAAAGTAATAAATAATTACTAGTAATTCTTTATTATAAATCTTATAATTATACTTTATAATAAAAAGCTTTTTAAAAAAAATATAATAAGATATAAGATTTTTTATTATTATATTAAGATATAACTTTAGCTAATATATAATTAAATAAATTAGTTTTAATTATAATCTTATAGGTTTAATTAAATAGCTTTAAGATTAAGGCTTAAATAAATACTTTTTTTAAGGCTTTAAAACTAAATTAATAGATAAGTATTTAATTAAAAGAAATTTCTTTTTAAGTTAAATTTATAAGTAATATAATTATCTTAAAAAAGTTATAAATAAACTAATAATAAAAGTTATTAAATTTAATAAAAGCTTATATATTAATTATATAAGTTATAGTCTTCTATTTAATAATTATTTTTATCTTATTTAAATTTATCTTAATATAGTCTTAGCTAATAATAATATTTAAGAACTTAGTCTTAAGAATAATAAACTTATACTTTTAAATCTTTATATATAAGCTTACTTTATATAGCTTCTATAAAATAATATAAATATATTAAATATATTTAAAATAAGTTATACTATATATTAAGATATATTTAAAGTATATAGTATAAAAGATATTAAGATAATTTTATAAAATATTATTAATAAACTATTAAAATATTATAAATACTTTAATTAACTTAAATAATATTATTAATAATTTAAATAAGCTAAATTAAATATAAAAGATAGTTAAATATTTTTATCTTTTCTTAATATAAAAGTTATTAAATATAGAAATAATATTAATCTTTATAAAATATTTTATTCCTTTTAAATTATTTAAAGTCTCTTTTATTAAAAGTAAAGAATATTAATCTTTAATAGTTATTATATTTAAAGCTTAATAATCTATATAAATTTATATTTCTTTACTAGGCTTTTTAATAAATAGAATTAAGAATATAATAAGTAAAAAGCTTAAGTAAATAAATTTTTTCTTAGATTTTTTTAATTTATTTCTTTAAGACTTTTAATTTATCTTAAAATATAATATATAAGAGTTTAAAGAGAAGTAACTTTTCTTCTAATAGCTTAATATTATAGTTATAAAAATAATATAATAATAAATATTTAGCCTCTTTAGAAAAAAAGATATTAATATAATTTTTAAACTTCTTAAGTAATAAATAAATAAAATCTTCTTTTTAAACTTATTTAATCTTTAAAATAATATTTAAGTTCTCTAGAGTAATTATAAATATTTAAATATTTTTTTTAATATAAGCAGAATAAGTAGCTAAAGAAATAAAGGCTATATTTTTCTTTTTTAATCTTTTAAGTCTTAAAAGTAAGTATTAAGATAAAGCTTTTAAAAGAATATTATATAGAGTAAATATTTTAATTAGTTTTAAAAATATATTATAATTCTTTTAATAATAGTTACTATTAAAAATAATATTATAGATAATAAATTATAAATATAAATTATAATATTTTAGCTAGAGAAATCTTAAAATAATAAGATAATATACTAATTAAATAATATAGAATTTAATATCTTTCTTAAAATAATTCTTAATTCTTATATTTATTTAAATATAGTATATAATCTTCTTATCCTCTAATTCTTTTTTATTAAATATATATAGAATAATTAGATTTTTTAAAGAAATAAGCTTTAACTTTTAATCTTTAGCTTATTCTTAATTTATAAATCTTTATTCTTTAGCTTTAATATTAAATAAGGCATAAATTAATAGATAAATCTTCTCTTTTTTTTCTTAATATTATAAGTAGTATTATTAATTTTAATTATTATAAATATTTCTTAAGGTTAATTTTATAAATAGTAATAGTAAAGATTTAAATAATATATAGTTCTTAAGTTTAGCTATAATTTAATTTAAGCTTATTTTTTTATTAATAATTAGCTAAGTAATAAGCTATATAAGTTTAGAAATTAAATTACCTAAGAGATTTAAAGATAAAGTTTATATATAGCTATAATTTAAATCTTCTAATAATTATTAAAGTATAAGTAGTCTTTAATATAATATTTTAAAGAATTATAATAAAAATAAATATTAGTCTTATAATATAATAAGCTATATTTTTTTTATTTAAGTATTTAAAAGTACTTAAATCTATAAGATTATATAATTATATTAAAGCTAACTTATCTCTCTATATAAGGTTTTTTTAAGGCTAACTATTAACTCTTATAATAAAGATAAAGCTTAAAATAAGTAAAGAAGATTAAATGCGCTAAATAAATTTTAAAATAATAGTATAAGTTCTTATAATAAAAGATTAGTTTATAATATATTAATAATAATAGTTTTTTAAGTCTTATAAAAATTTAATAAATTAATAATACTTATAACTTAAAGGCTAATTATATAATAATATTTCTTAAAGTTTTTAATTAATAGCTTATTTAAATAAGGTAATTTAGTAAATAATATCTCTTTAAATATTTTTTCTTTTAATACTAAGTATTAAAACTTAGTAAAAAATATTTTAAATTTTTTATTAATTTAATAAAGGTTAAATAATTTATTATATATATTATTTATATAATTAAAGTTATTAAATATATACTTTAAAATATTTAAGATCTTTTAATAGTTATTAAAAATATAAGTTTTATTCTTAATATAAGGTAATATTTAAATATATAGTATATTTTTTAAGTAATTAATTATATAAGCTATATAGCTTTAAAGAATTAAAAATTAATCTTAATATTATAAAATAGCAGTTAGAACTAGTAAGTTCTAGTATAATAAAGATTTTACTTTAAGAAAATCTTTAAGAATAATTTTACTTTAGTAAAATTAAGTAGCTTAGAAAAATTATTTTTTAAGCTTTATTTAAAATCTATTACCTTAACTAAAAATATATATATATATTTTATATCTACTATATATATTAATACTCTTTTTACTTAAATATTATTAGCCCTTTAAGTTAATTAAATAGTCTAGAGAATTTTATTTAAACTTATTCTTTTTAATTAATTATAAGCCTAGATTTATAATAACTTAGGAGAAATAACTATATAATAAAGACTATTTTATTTTAAATATTTAAGTTTAAACTAATAGTAATAAGTTATTCTTATATAAGAGAACTTATAATAAAATTACTTTAGCGTTATATTAAGTATTAAATCTAATAAGAATTAAATCTTATTAAAGATTAAAATATTAACTTATTATTATTATATCTTTAATAAATAGTATAAAAAAAAACCTATTTTTATATTTTTAAAAAAACTATAAGAAGTAGTTTATTTATATAAAAAGATAGCTTATTAGTAAAGATTATTAAAGAGCTATTAAGTTTATTAAAAAGCTATATAATAATTAGTTTAATAAAGCTAATATAGCTATATAGTAT